CGTCTTTCCTCCTCTTCCTCTTCCCTTTATCCACCCATTATATACCTCTCTCATATCAACCTATCCATATACCTTACAACTGTGAATGATCCTTCCGCAGGTTCACCTACGGAAACCTTGTTACGACTTCTCCTTCCTCTAAACAATAAGGTTCAACGTACTTTTCATCTTACCCTTTCAAATCAAAAAATAAAACAAGCCGTACGCTTCACCGGATCGTTCAATCGGTAGGAGCGACGGGCGGTGTGTACAAAGGGCAGGGACGTATTCAACGCAAGTTGATGACTCGCGTTTACAAGGAATTCCTCGTTCATAAATACAGTTACAGTATTCAATCCCACAGCACGATGCAATTTCAGAGTTTGCCATACTCTTCTCAGAAATGGTCTCTTACAACTATTTGATCGCATCAGTGTAGCCCGCGTGCAGCCCAGGACATCAAAGGGCATCACACACCTGTTATTGCCTAAAACTTCCATCCGTGAAAAACGAATAGTACCTCTAAGAAGTATATATCGTATATCTTCACATACAATATAACTAGTTAGCAGGAAAAGGTCTCGTTCGTTAACGGAATTAACCAGACAAATCACTCCACCAACTAAGAACGGCCATGCACCACCACCCATAAAATCAAGAAAGAGCTATCAATCTGTCAATCATGATCATGTCCGGACCTGGTAAGTTGCCCCGTGTTGAGTCAAATTAAGCCGCAGGCTCCACTCCTGGTGGTGCCCTTCCGTCAATTCCTTTAAGTTTCAGACTTGCGACCATACTCCCCCCAGAACCCAAAATCTTTGGTTTCCCGAATAAAAAGGATGTACGATTGAATAATCAATACACCATCTTTAAGATGGCAACGTTTATGGTTAAGACTACGACGGTATCTAATCGTCTTCGATCCCCTAACTTTCGTCCTTGATCAATGGGAATATCCTTGCCAAACGCTTTCGCAACTGTTCGTCTTCCAAAAATCCAAGAATTTCACCTCTGACTAGGGAATACAAATGGCCCCAACTACCCCTATTGATGCATTTTCAATCAATAAAACTTCCTACTAAAGTCTTATCAATACATTAATACTATTATACCATGCTAAGCTATACTTTCACAAGAAGCGCTTGAAACACTCTAATTTTTTCACAGTAAATCAAAATCAATGTCAAAAATCAATCAATCAAGATCAATCCAAACATTCATTTCAAAATGAGTGTCATCCATTCGTACTCTTTCAAAAAAAAGAGTAAAATGAAAAACATCTCACAGTTCAGACTACGGGCGTTTTAACTGCAACAACGTTCGTGTACGCTATTGGAGCTGGAATTACCGCGGCTGCTGGCACCAGACTTGCCCTCCAATCGTTACTTCGTTACGCGTTTACATAAACGTCATGCCAATAAAATAACACTTAGTGTTATCTATCAGTATTTCTTGTCGCTACCTCCCTGTGTCAGGATTGGGTAATTTGCGCGCCTGCTGCCATCCTTGGATGTGGTAGCCATCTCTCAGGCTCCCTCTCCGGAATCGAACCCTAATTCCCCGTTACCCGTCAACACCACGGTAGGCCTCAATCCTACCGTCAAAAGTTGATAGGGCAGATATTCAAACAATGCGTCAATAGTAAAAAGACTATCAATCCACAAAATTATCATGATTCAACATTCAACACTAAACCCTGTGACAGGAAAAGTGTAAAGTAGGATCACTAATAAGTGCAATTCCCAAAAATGGAAATAGGGCATGTATTAGCTCTAGCATTACTAGGGTTATCCATATAACAAACTAACATTGTGTAGATTATAACTGTTTTAATGAGCCATTCACAGTCTCGCCATCCATGTGGCTTATACTGGCATTTGCATGGCTTAATCCTTGAGACAAGCATACGCGACCCGCAGGATCAACGGGGTATCATGTATATACAACACAAAGAAAAGAGAGAAAATGTCCACAAAATTGATTGATATACACACAAAAACAGCACAATAGAAACAACATGAATATACACACATAAAATGTACATACCATAAGTCAAAAAATTGTATCTTTGTGTCGTACACAACTTTGGTGGAATATTCACCTTCTTTCTTCCTCTTCCTCCTTTCCTAAACTGGAAAAGATGGAAATTTTACTTTTTTCTTTCGAATAATAAATGTCTCAATGAAACCCCAAAACAACAGATGGGATCCATCTATAACATTCATCATTGAAAAAACCATCCTTTGTTTCATTCCTTTGTCTTGTTGGAAGAAAATACATCTCTTAAAATACTACTTACTATTTTACATCCAGTACTGTGATTCACACAAAAATGAAATCATGACAATACATAAAGGAAAATAGAGTAGCAGAGGTTTCCTTCAAAAAGACAAAAAACATATAGTCCATTCTATAAAGATGAGCGGCGAATGAAAATTCAAGCCAAATAATCTCTAACTCATCAAGATGGAAACTATATTCATACTTTTGAATCAAAATAACATTACCAAATCATCGGTAGTTTAATACATCAACTCCTAACCATACTATATACATCACAACATGCAGTATACAGAAAAAGTTCCAAAAGAGACACAGAAAAGAGAGACATAAAGACACGCAAATACATACACATCTATGTAATACGCACAAGCACATCTTCAACATCCTCCTCCTTCTTTCTCTTTTGAAACCACTCTGATTACCCACAGTTTTGAAATCAATGGCAAAGATGGATTACAGATCATGCATCATTGGAAAGGCCCACCCCCATTCGAGGATTTTCCCCACTCCCAAATTCAAACATCATCTTCATCCATACATAAAGCCATTCAACTTTCGCATATCACTCCACTTTACCCGTCTTTGAAAACTAGTAAAAGTGGTTTTCTTCTTGTCTGTCTGGCTTCATTTTTCTGGAAAAAAATGCTATTTAAAAAGCCAAAAGTGACGGTTCGTTGCGCGGGCTTTTGAGATGAATCAAATGATGACACGTGGCAACAAAACAGTTTGAAACTCAACAAAAGGAAAACAAACCAACACTCTTTTTTTATTATACAAACAATAAAAACCTAGCTTTTAAACCCCTCTCAAAAAAAACCAACTCTCTCTTGTTTTCCACTACAAATATATATATATATATATATATATATAGATATACGAGTGTCTAGAAAATAAACCCATCTTCCTAATTGTCACTCTTGTGTGAGGGGATACACACAATAAAAACAACTCAAAAGGTCAAAACTCTTCAAACTTTCATAGTGAGGTCCAAACTCTCCTTCAAAAGCAAAGTTTCAAAAGGAGAGAACATTTCCAATACTCCCTATTGTATACACACACACATAAAGAAGAAGAGTTCATAGCTCTATACAATAAAAAAAAGGAGGATAAACCCTCACACCCCTCCTCTCTCTCTCTTCTACTTGACAAGGCAAGACTATTTGTGAAAAAATAGAACAAAAAACACTCAAAAAAATGTAACCTAAAAGTTGAGTTACTACTTGAATAACTTGTCCTTTGACACAAAAGTACAACAAAAATTTCAAACTCTACATGGTGTCCTCAACATTTCAAATGATTGGATGATTATTCTTTGAACCTTGGTCCCAACATGGTTGCTTTAGTACGTTGCTGAAAAAGTTACAACCATCAAACTTTCTCAAGTTGTATCGGAAAAATATCAAGTCAACCTTCTAGCACCATTCCCTAGCTTGTAGTTTTCTCATTCAACAAAAAAGGGATAAAGAGTCGTTGTGTAAACATACACAACTTTGTTTTGAAACAACTCCAAAAAAGAAAGACTCTAGTGAGTTGGAAGCAGCAATCATAGTTGGGTATTACTTGTAGTGATTGAGCTTTTTCCAAAACATAGTCGCAAGTTTAAAATTGACAGAATTATCGTTAAGAACAGTTTGCAGTTGACCATACAAAAGTAGTTACACCCTTTTATTTCTTTCGAGCAAAAGAAATTCTCAACTAGTTACCTCACCATGTAAAAACAACTCTATAAAGACATACCAACTTGGTTCCTGGAATAGAAAACCTAGTATAGATACTCGTACTCTCCTTAGAAAATCATCGTGTTTCCACAAAAAGCGTTCCCATTTCTTTCCTAGTGATGAACAGGATACATAGATATACACACAACGTGACAAATGACTTGTTACACTTCCCATCGAAATTCCAACTACTGCGAGTAACCAATCAAACAAACCAACTTGTTATAAAAATTCTCAAGTCTTTTTACAAAAATAGTTGAAAGAGCAAACTTGAAAGATCGTATTGCTTTTGCAATAAAAGGTAAAATCGGAAGAGCCGTTTTCTTTTTCACTTTGACCTCCAACTGCTTAAACTTTGGTACAAAATGGAAAGTTTCTCCCTTTTAGATGGTGTCACTTTCAACCACGTAAATAAAAGTCTGGTACTTGTGTCACAAAAACCAAGACTCCGCTACAGACTGGACAACAACTGAAACAACTCGTCCAAAAAGCTTTCTCAACCACTTTCAGAATTTTTCTTTAAGCAACACAACCAAAAAGGAATCCCATCAATATTTGAATGACATTTGTAATATTAAACAACAAGATGAGAAATATTTTCCCATATAAAAAAAAAGTTCATATAGATAGACTATAAATGACATCCACCATTCAGAGAAAATGTCTTGTGTGTTTTGACTAATAATTATAGCATTGGATTTTCTGCTTGTCAACTTGCCAGTTGTGTCTGTTTGACACTTTAAAACTTTTTATTCCCTACTTTACATAGGTGGCAGTTCTATCCACCTTGACTTTCTTTATCACTCTAGGAAAAGAATATGACAATTTCAGACAAGATGAAATCGCCAACACTAGAAAATACAATTCAAGTATTTTGCAGTCAACTACGCAGCAGATAATGACCTCCTCCTTTTCATTTTTTAATAAACACTAACTTGTAAGAATACATTTGCAAGTTGGGCTACGAGTGCTCAGACAAGGTTTTGGCACCTCGTAAGTGACATTGGAGCCGAAAAACATAGTTGGTTTTGATCAAACTAAACTAAGCAACGTAAAATTTATATTGGAACCAAGTTTGTCTTTTTGTGGAATTATCGTTGGTTTGGTGAGATAAGGGAAACTAATGGTCTGGAAACTTTTTGTTGCCCTGCGGTGTGAACACTTTAGAGGTTCCAGTTATGTGGTTTGGGTTCAAGGAATTTTCTATTAGGTTGTGGTTCTGAAAAATAAGAAAGGGCACACCCTGCTCTAAAATATGATGTTGTACAGTGGGTAGAGTAACTTTAGGAAACCAACGAAATGGTGTAAATACTTGTCGATAGATAGATAGACAACCTGCCTGCGATAAGAAAGAACACCGTTGGAAAAGTTACAGTGGCCGTGGTTCTATCGCAGTCTGATGAATCGGTTGAGAGTTTGAACTTTTAGTCCTTGTAACACTTTAGTTTCCTTACACGGATATTTCCAGATCAGCCTACTTATTCTGCAAAACCAAGGAATTGATTTTGTGTAGAGTTGGGTGCAGTAGTTGACTTTGGTTCTTCACAAAGACCATTACTTTGACCACAAACTTTTAGTTTGACTAATGATGCGTTATACCTATGTAAAATCCGATCAAAAAATCGTTTTCAGACTTTGCAGCTATTCTTCAAGTAGCTTCTTCTGTCCGTTTCGACAGTGTAGTCCAATCCATCCTTTATTCCATCGTTTATTAGGAGGAAGACGAATTCCCATGCTTTCTTCTCTGATTTTTAAAGGATAAGTGGCAGTTGAATGAATTGTTTGAACCATTTCCAAAAATGCACATTTTGGTTGTTTCACGATAGACTCATTCATATCTTGTTGCGTTTAGAAGAGAATGAAGAAACACCAAGAACAACTAGTCACGAACAACAGGAGCTATATGATAATACCTGCGTTGGAGATGTAAGGAGTCGGGATAGAGCTTATAGAAGATTTGTTGACCAAAAATGGCACATGATGTAGTCCAAGAGCTTCGTAATTAGTGCTCCGTAAAAATTTCCGGGCAAAAAGTACACCGTTGAGTTTAGCTTGGAACAAAAGTTCCTTGACACTTTCAAGATCAACTACTGAAGAGAAGGTTACAGGACTGCTCCCGTTTGTCCATTTAAGCCAAGTCATCGTTCGATTCTGAATTTGTACCCACATTTGATTTTCTACAAGAAGATTAGCAAAATAAAATTCGTCTGTCAACAAATTCCACTCAGCAGCTTTGCGAATATATACCATATCAGAATAATATTCAAACAGAGTAAAATTCTTTGCAACTATTAAAGCATCACGATTAAGGGCTATCCACTGTGATGCCTTAGGAAGTTCTACAAGTTGTGGAAGTTGATCCACAGTCCTATGTAACCAACAATAAGGATCGGACAGAAGAAGTCTGTAGCAACCATCAAAACTCTGCAGCGGCACACATTTATCAGAAAGAAACACAACCTTTGCAATCCTTCCATCACTGTCTTGCGCAAAAGCTTCGTTTAAAAGAAGAATCATAGCCTTTGTCAAATTGGGATGTCCCCAGGCAGTGTTTACTTGAACGCTAGTGCGATGCTCGTTCAACCAGTCACTGGTCTCAGAATCAGTACATTTATCACAGTGTATCAACACTAAAGCCTTCTCTTCATTTCCCCGAAACCAAGCCCTCCACAACTCTTCAAATTCAATGCCATCTTTGGACAAAAACAAAAAACCTATTCTAGGTACAAGGTTCTCGGAACCCTTCCAGGCACGTAACAAACTTTCCGTTTCTGGAAACTTTGCATAAGATAAGACTCCATTCATGTTATGACTCCTAAAAGAAAAGATAACGAAGAAACTAATCAAAGCAACCACAAGTAATAGCGAAAAGAGATAATGTTTTAGCATTTCCGACAAAATTTTAATTATTTGATGCTCAAATGCCTTTGTATTCTCAATTCGTTATTGGTCCTCCTGGTTCCGGTAAAAGCACTTATTGCGCCGCTGTACGTGAATTGTTGGAGAGCAACTGTAGGTAAGAAAGGAAAAGTTTTCATATTTTTTCTTAATCCTTCTCCTAAAAAGACCGGTGACTCTTGCGAACTTTGATCCCGCTGCAGAATTTCTACCCTACTCCCCAGATATCGACATAAGAGACCTTGTGAATTTCAAGCAACTTTGTTCCTCTGATTCTTGTGGACCAAATGGAGGACTGCTGCGTTGTTTTGCTGTTTTGGAAGACAATTTTTCTTGGTTAATTGAAAGTTTGTCGAAAACTTCAAGTGAGTTGCTGAAGTGACCCTAGTTCTGTTTTATGCTGAATTATAGCTGAATAGACCTTTATCTAATTATTGATTTTCCGGGGCAAATTGAGCTTTACTTAAGTTGCGAGAGTATTGCCAAGTTAATTCATCGTTTGCAGGAAACTTTTGATTTGCGAGTTTGTTCTCTTCCGACTCTTTTTATTCATGACTAACTATTGTTAAGGCCGTCGTACTCAATCTGATAGACAGCAATCGTTGTTTGGAATCCTCTTCGTTCCTTTCGTCATGTTTGACTTCTCTAAGTTTGCTCATAAATCTGTCACTACCGTTTTTGAGTGTTCTTACTAAAATCGACATATTTCGTGATGCTCAAGATTGCGGTAAATTGAGTTTGGTCTGAGTTGTGTTCATATATGACTCGTCGTAGAAATTGACTTCGAAGATATATGTAAATGTGAAAACCTGGCAACGCATATGACCGTATTAACGGGAACGTCAACATTTGTAGCATTACATAGTGCCATTTGTAGTTTGCTTGAAGATTTCAATCTTGTACAGTTTGAAATGCTTAGCGTCAAGGTACGGTAGTTACTACTTGCTACCAAAGAGGTTTCAGCATTCGACCCTCTTAGGATCCACAACTTTTAGCAAAAGTTGTGAAGGAAGCAGATCATGCATGCGGTTATATGCTGCGATAACTGTATTGCCGCATATGCTGAACTATCAAGCAACCCCACTGACTCTCTTTTCAGAAATCGAAACTTATCTGACTTGAAACAGAAGAAGAATTTTATCTATATTTCAAACCCGCTGTAATGATAGATAAGGACGACTAGTTTAGAGCGTGAATGAAGCTGGGTTTTTCGACAAACGGTTCTTTCGTACTAGTCAGAATTTTGTCGATTATCCCTGTTGGAAAACGTTTAGGAAAAAGTTTGCAACTAGTTATTAATCCTACCGTATTCCTTCGCCTCCTCTGGAGTCATGTATTTCGTCCTCTGTGAATCCTTTTGAATCTTTTCGAAAGGCTGTCCGGTTGACTCACTGAGTAATTCAAAGGTCACCTTTCGATTGTATAAAACTTCTCTTGCCTTTATTGCTATGTCTGAAGCCTACAACACGAAAAACCAGTTGAGAAATAGTTTAACTTGGTCATAGGAACGTACCGGCCCTTGAGTTGAACTTCTCGGTTGATGTAGCATAACAGTAGCGTGTGGCAAGGCAGCACGGAAGCCCTTTTCTCCTGCAGCAAGTAGTAGCGCTGCGGTCCCATAAGCTTGTCCAACACAAATTGTGTGAACCGGTGGCTTCACGTAGCGCATGGTGTCACAGACGGCAAACGCTTCTGTTTCGAAACCTGCAGTGGAACCGTCAGGATTGGAAGTACCCGTTGAGTTTATATAGAGATATATTGGCTTCTCTCCACTTTCGTACTGCAAGTAAAGAAATTCTGCAATAATTAACTCAGTCACGGCAGGTAGGAGGGGCATGCCAAGGTATATAATTCTTTCGCGGAGATCAGAATTTTTTAGAACAAACAACCATCATATACCTGTTATGAAGCAAAAGTGAAGGGAGATCGGGTGGAGGTCCCAACCTGGCACCTTCATAGTTAGAAGCCCCTGTTTCCACTGCAGTAGTTCGACAACGGTTACTCAACCTTTCCAGTCTCCTTACTTTCTTCAAGTGCTGTAAAATACCAAGCTGCTTTACTGAAAAACAAACTTTCTTTTCTACAAAGCTATTTACCAACGTAGCTCTCCTATTCTTACACGCAAAAACATTTGCAACAAACGCCATAAAAATCATAGTTCAATGCACGTTAATCCGTAAATAATTTTCAGTCGGAATTGAAACCGCAGTATACAATGTCAGATAGTATCTTACATAAAGGCGTGGACTGAAAACATTGAAAATTAGTAGCAGAACTGGAAACACTAGCTACGAAGTATTCGAAGGTAGCTTGCGTTTCTTCAACCTCTCCCACTGTTCTTCTTGTTCCTGTTCGGCTGTCTTATCAGCTAAAATTATCTTATCTTGGTACTGATAAGCTCTACCAGTAAACACGGGCTTTGACTTGGCGTCTTGCTCATAACGCAAAAGTGCCTCCCTAGGATCCTCATCTGCCCAAGCTTTCTTCAGGTGTGACTGCATAAAATGGGAGGATAACGTTGTCTTGCCGACCAAGTCCGGTCTTGGTCCAGAAGGCACAGTTGGCTTCTTTGTTAACACAGGGTCTTTTCGAATCTTGTTCCTCTTGTTTGCTTCTGTCATCGGCAGGCCATTCGGTAAAAACTCGGTTTGGTACATGGGTAACGCATTGGGTAGAAATACCTCGCCGGCACCAATATTGGCAATACTTCCCTCTTCTCTGTAGAGAAAAAATTAGTTGCTACAATGCGTACAATCTTAGAGTAGACTGACCTTTTCTCTGGTGTGGATACACACAATAAGAGTCCCTTCTTGCTTGTTTCTGGGGAGTAAAGTCCCACAACACTTCCAGAAGTGGAGCCATAAAATATTTGATTCAGAGCAGGAGACCAGCAGACAGCAACAGCAGCACCGTTTCGGGAAGATACGGCAACATCAAAACAGCGACTTACAGAAGCTCTGGAGAAGAAAACAACGGAAGAGCTGCCTCCTTTTGAATTGTCACTTGTAGTTGTACATATATATTCGCCGTTCGGAGAAAAGACACATGATGTCATATCACTGCTGTTCGGTAAATCGTCAAACACGGTTAAAGGTTCTTCCAATCTTCGACAGTCCCACATAAACAAGCAACCGTTAGTAGTACGAGTAACCAAAGTTAAGTCATCTCTCGTAAGTTGAAGATCTGTCGCCACACCCAGTGTGCCTCGAAACTTTTGTGCGCTACCGACTTCTTCGACCGGTCGTACTTGGGTTGAACTCGGCTCATATACTTTCAACGAACCATCTTCGCAAGCACAAAACAACCTTTTCCCATCGTTCGCAAAACGGAACGAAGAGCAAGTGTTTTTCTTTCCGTCCTTTGCTTTTAAAGTCAGAATACTTCCTTGTTCCACAGAACCTTTTTTACTCAAAGTCCACAACCTAATTGTTCCGTCTGTTGAACTAGTTGCAAAGCTGTCGTTTCTCGTTGGGTTCCAGTTACCATATAACAAAGAAGCGACGTGGCCTTTTGTATTTTTCATACTTACGAGATACATATCTCCTTGAGGTGTTTCAGATATATCTTCACCGTCACGGGTAAGTAATTTTGCACGGGAACTTCCTCCAATGACAAGAATACTAGAACCTGTTGGTGAAAATTCTGCTAGTCGTAGAGGATAAGCCCCAAGTGGCTCAATACTAGCAAAATACTTTAGTCTATTCGTCATTGTTGCAAAGTCCCACAGTTTAAGAGTTGTGTCGTTAGAACCGGTCGCCATTCGAACCCCAGAAGGCTCTATAGCGATGGTAGAAACAGTAGCACGGTGGCCGCCGAGGTTTACTTCGTGTGAAAGAGGTAAATTCACCATCGTTTCAGTTGTATTCTCGTGGAATTCTTCAGAAAGAGACTCATCTGAAAGGTCACTGTCCGAACTTTCCAAAGTCATCTCTTTTGTAGTAAAAGTATCCACTTGGTTCAACTCCGTCATGGGAATGAAAAACAAATTTAATTTTGAAGCTAACACGATAAGATATAAAGCTATCCACTAATGTCCGAACTTGCCTTTGCATCTCGATACGAAAGAAATCCACCAGAAATATTCTTCACGTGATAACCCAACTGACACAATATTCTGGACGCTAAGTACGAACGCTGTCCCGAACGACAAAATACTGCAATTTCCTTCTCCTTTGGTAACTTTTCGAGATGGCTTCGAATATCACGGAGTGGAATATTCTGCGCATGTGGGACGGGTTCCGCCTGCACTTCTTCAGGATTTCTGACATCAATTAAAATGTTTTTCTCATTCTCTCCCTTCTTTGTCATGGAATCATTTAACCACTCTTCATGTTCAAGCCAATGCGTCTGTTGGACGTCACCACGCAAGATATTGGACGCAACCATCCCTGCAAGGTTAACAGGATCTTTCGCAGAACCAAACTGAGGAGCATAACATAGTTCCGATTCCTCTATATCCATCACAGTCATACCTGCTTGAATGGCCATTGCGATACAATCAATCCGCTTGTCAACACCATCTTCACCAACAGCCTGAGCTCCCAGAATCTTCCCATCTTTCAAACCAAAAATTAACTTCAAATGAATAGTCTTCGAGTTGGGGTAATAACCAGCATGAGATCCAGCATGGATAACAGCGGTTTCATATTCACAACCTTGCTTCCAACCTCTTTTCTGTAATTTTTTCTCCGATGCACCGGTTGCAGCAACAACCATGCCAAATGCGCCACAAACAAAAGTTCCTTGCACACCACGGAAAGTGTGATTCTTTCTTCCCAATATACTTTCTACTGCAATTCGAGCCTGTCGATTGGCTGGCCCCGCCAAGGCCAGCAGAGTTTTTTCGCCAGGAAATAAGAAATCGTCCACCTCTACTGCGTCTCCAACAGCGTATATATTGTCATCCGAGGTTTTCATATGCTCATCAACAACAATTCCTCCCAATGATCCTATTTTTAAGCCACAATCTTTTGCAAGATGGGCATCCGGACGAACTCCAATACCTAAGATGACCATATCCGCAACAACAAAATTACCCGATGCAGTAATGACTCGCAAGCTACTCTTTCCAGAACTACTCTCCTCCTTCTTTATGCTTTTCAGTCCGTCATGAAAAATAATATCTACGCCATGCTCTTTCATTTTTCTGTACAATGGAGGTAACATTTCAGGGTCCATGGCAGGCATTAACTGTGGCAATGCTTCCACTAAATGGACCTTCAGATTCAAAAGACATAAATTTTCAGCCATCTCTAAACCAATAAAGCCACCTCCAACAACAACTGCGCTTTTCGCATTATTCTTAGATATCCATTCTTTGATATGTGAGGCATCAGGTATATCTCGAATGGAATATACGCCCTCCAAATCAATTCCTTCAAGTTTGGGTCGAATAGGTTCAGCACCAGGAGCGAGTACAAGATAATCATATTTCTCTTGATAGCTCCTTTTGTTTTCCAAGTCCGTAACATCAACTGTTTTCTTCTGTCTGTCAATTTTTGTCACTTCCTGACGCAATCGGACATCGACATTCAGTCGGTTTCTAAACAAACCTACTGAGGCAACCAAAAGATCCTCCTTTGTTTTAATAACACTTCCGACATAATATGGTAATCCGCAGTTTGCAAAAGAAATATAGGGACCACGTTCGAAGATAGTGATGCTTGCATTCTCGCAAAGTCTACGGCAGCGTGCTGCGGCTGAGGCACCTCCTGCTACGCCACCAACTATAACAATACGAGGACTGTCTTTTGCTTGCGCTGATGCCATGTTAGAAACAAAACGCGCCAAAATGCTTTAACCAAATTTCCCATTTTTCAGATCCCTCATGTGTAACTTGTTCATGCCCTTTTCGTCAACTAATTCTGGAAGGTCAACTGAAAGTTGCTAAGGAGATCTGATGTGAAACATTGAAATAGCACAACGACAACAAGACTATGCTCGATTTCGTTTTCTGTGATAACGTTAGTTTTCGTTATACTTGTAACAACTCTCTTTCCACTGGGTATGATATTAGAGTGTTAACGAAACAAGAAAATATGACAAGTATCTTTGAAACTGTAGTCGACGGTTGAAGAAGCTGGCCGTCAATATATCAACATACTTTTTCACTTGATTGTGTTCAAAGACTAGTTTTGGATGACATTAAAGACAAGTTAAGTACTTTTTTAACCCTTGCTACATAAAGGTCCACTGGACTAGGAACCAGTGTGGCTTTGCAAGAGTTGCAAACAATTTCACAGTTTCTGCCAAAGACCGCAAGTAAGTGATGACGCAAGGCAGTCAGATTGAGTTTGGACAGCTGCAAAGTAAAAGTCTTATTGCCTTTTTGGTGGCACTAAAGGTTTCAGTTTTAGTATGACTCTTCTATAAGTAAAGAAGAAAGCTGCCAGACAGTTGACTGCATATAACGTCTATTTTGTAAAGTAATGGTTTGTTCATTTTTAATCATTATGTTGTACTTGATGTGTTTGGAGCTTCACTGGATTATTGAGCGCATCAACATGAGTCCGCCTTAATCAGGCTTCGTTTGCTCAAAAATTGACGCATTCGACGATAATGGACATTGGGAATTTTGCGATTGTACTACATTTCCTAAACGGTATGGTGGCAGCTTGTTGAAAACAAGAATCACGCCTTTTACGCCTAGCAGAATTGTTTTTCCTTGAACAAACTGAATAAGTTCCCAATGTCAGAAACAGAAGACTTCGAGTGGAATGAAATTTGCGTCAAAATAGCTTATGAAGAAGAGAAACTTTTGAAAGGGCACGGATTTCACGAGATTCCTTCTAGCTCGAATGCTCAGACAGTACAAAATAGTAGACTCAAAATATCTCGCTCATTCCAACCCCATCCTGAGACGTTTGGTGCTTTCAATAGAGAAACGGAAGCTTCTTCCACTTCCGACAAGGATCCTTCACCAGATTCGGCTAAACTTTCAAAAGGTACAAGTGACGGCTTTACATTGAATCAGGCACGTCCTACAAGAATGGTTGAGTTAGAGTCTGTATTGATGAAGAAGCAAGGGGAAATTTCCATTTTACGTGAAAGATTGGAAAAACTGGAAAGAGAAAAGTTTGAGGCAATAGAAGCTTGCAGGCTTCTCCGACAAGATAGCCACAAACGAGACTCTTCACTTCCATGTTCCTCTAGGGAAGAAATCAACCAGCTTCATGCAGAAGTCACGAGGCTGCAGAAATTGAACGAATTTTATCACCAGGAAATCAATTCTTTAGAAGTGAATAGAAAAGTAAATTCCTTTTTGCAGGACGGAAGCGGAGATAAGGACCTTCCGGCTCGTTTAGATGCAGAGACGACACAGAAGAACTCAAGAAATATTCTTCGAGGACATCTTACTCAGTTGACAAAGCCCGGTAAGAGAGTAAAAAATGTTTTGGACGAATTTGAGACGGTAGTCAATGAACTGAATCAACATGATCAAAGTCGTCCTGTCCCGAATTCCGCGTTTGGTTTTTATGACAAAAGACGACCTAGACAACTAATTTTAGATGAAGAAATACCTGATAAGAGGTATTCGTTTCACACTGCCGTATCTTTTCATATTTTTCCGGAACCGAATACTGGTGTTACCAATGATATGACGCAAGACCGTGCAGAGAAGTGTTTAGTCAATACTATGAATCTTTTAACTGGTGATGAGTTGATGGCATTGAGACGACTTGTTCTCAATTCTGAGGAGCATTTATCAAGTAATCTTCTTAGATTCCTAAATATGTACTCAGAAGAAGACTATAGTGTGTTGAAAGACACCACCCCGAATCTGCTCAAGTTTATAGATTCCTTGTTGCAAATTCTTGAAAGCGGATACTCAATGACGTCACTCGAAGATGCAAGCAGAATCCTTCATTCTGTCCTTTTAAAGATCAAAGAATTTTGCCATACATTGGACCTTTCAAATTGTATTAGTTTAGAACGAATTCTTGCTCTAGTTCAAAGAATGATGGAAGAAACAATACCTTTGAAAACTTTTTTCAATGTTATAGAAGGTACAGTTATCATTTTGGAGGGGTTTTTACTACAACGGTATGATAATATCATTTGCCACATTGGCGCCTTTTAAACTTGAGTAGTGTTTCGTCAGACGATATTGAAATCATTTTTCGCTTCTTGAGACATTTTTCGACAATACAACAAGAAGAAATCTTCTTATCTGCCCATTCGTCGTTGCTTTATATGTTGATGTTGATAATCGATATTTTATTCACAGGACAAGAATACGTAAAATCGAAGCAAAGCATGTACTCAGGTTATATCGTTCAGTTGGGGACATTACTTTTGTCATCGTCTTCCTTATGCTTTCAGCGTGCTGGAATTTATCTTGGCTATAAATTGAAGGAAGTTTTGACTTGCTCGTCTGAAATTCACGACTATACTTCTTTGACGGAGATGTTGATATGTATTACGATTCGAGAATATCTCATGGTGAGTGTTAAAATGTTCGTTGAAGAAATTTGAGACGGAATCCTTTGTAGCTTTTACAATATGAATATTCTACATATTTCAATCAGCCCAAGTTAAGTTGTATATCGCAGAGGCAGCCTTCATGGCAGCGAATATTTGTTGAAAAGCTAGGAAACAATCGGTTCACAATGTCAGAGTCAGTTTTGTTTTTTCATTATTCAGTAAGTATCAGCCGAAAGAATTAGCTTAAACTAAGAACACCAACAGCTGCGAACTTGTCATTTTATGATTTATTACTTGAAGGACCGAAATTGTTCCTTAAACTTTCTGTTGGATTACAGGTACGATATATTGGACACGGTATATTCGAAACGTAACTATTCCTAGTGTACCATTGTTTTCCATGTTGAAGGCAATGTTCGAGGATCGACGCAAGGCCTTAGGAAACCTCAAGGAAGCTTATGAAATCTCACTGGTTATCTGCGATGTGATAAAAGGAATAGAAGTTAATGGAATTATCAAATGACGTTGAGAAATACCCATCTTACATGGCCATGTACCAATATTTTATGTAAGTTATTTTTTTTTGAGCGTATCATCATAGACTTATTCCGTGTTCAGATAGTGCTTTTACTAAACTACATCTTATATCCGCATAGGAAACAACCAAAAGAGATTTGCTATCTTTGGACGCAAGAAGCATGAGCTCTTCAGAACCCACATCCACTCGATTTAAACATTCAATCACGTGACTTATATCAAGAAAACACTTATTCTAGAAAAATATGAACCCATGTGAATGCAAAAAAAATCTTCTCACCTCATTATCATATGGATGGAACATATAATCATAAAATAATCTAAGGACAAATTTATCTTCTGTTTCGGACCACTGTGAAATTGTAGAACTGTCATCCCAATCCAGGACGAAACCGAATAGACTGATGAGTTGAAATAACCGACTAGAATTCAGTCTTCTATCCAGCTCAGCTTCCAAGGTATCCGCATGAAGCCATACCTATTAAAGAACAGAATAAAATATATTCTTTCAAAAGTAAAATTCCGTACATGTCCGTAGTCATAAATTATTTGTGGTGCCACTATAGAACAAATTTGTGTTATGGAAACAGGTAAGGTCCTATTATAGTGATCGACAAGGAACGACAGAATATGCAAAATGTCGTGAGAATAAAAAGCCATACTCTGCAATACATTGAGCGCATCATTCACCCCTAACAAAGTCTCGATTGAGAACCAAATCATTATCCCTGAATATTTTGCTATACCGATTTGCAATACTCCATTCTTTACGATGGAAGCGTGACTACGAAGAGTCAAAAGAAATAAAAGATGCATCAACCTCCAAACATCATCTTGCTTCTTTCTTTCAATATCAAGTACAAAAGAAGTGCTGTATTGAGAATAGTTTTTACTACCAACCGAATCAGTTGAAAGCGACTCGGCGATACCGCATTTATTCAACCGGATTCTGTGCGTACCCACAACAAGAATTCCTATCAAAGCTCTCGTTTATAACAATTGCCTATCAAGAATGCAAACAAACACTACCTGAAGATGACAATGACTCGCCTGCAACCATCTCTGCTGAATGCAAAGCATCCAATGAAGAAATTAATTGTATCAATATGGTCCAAATCACTTTCTCAGGTAAGGGAAATACTTGCTTGTTCTCTTCATCCTCACTGGGTAGATAAACCTGAAGTCCCTTCTGAAATGTCGAAAATAGTTTACAAATACTGTTTACCTTTCGAAATATTTGGGCGTTGTCGTAAAATGGATAAACAAATACAAGCTCATTTGCAGCTCCTTGAGTGAAAGCAAAAGTAGAAAACACTTCACATAGCGGGACAACAGAGGGATGCCGAATTTTTTTCCTTTTCAAAAATAAACTTTGAGTTACACAATGCAAACGCAAATACAATACCATCTTTCCACACATTTTAAGACAAACTGAGAATCAAAGGGTACAGCTCCAAGAACTCTTCGAAGAAGGTAAACTTTTCCATCTGACGATGACAGACATCTATAGTTGAGAAACACAGGAACTCCAGAAGATGTTTCCTTAAAAATATTTCAGTAGACAAATATATGGAACACAACTTCCAATTCCTTGCCTCTATCTGATATAGAGAGTGATACTGGTTGATTGTTGTAGGAAGGCTAGAGGTTATTTGATGAGAACAGAAAATCCAGTCAACTTTCTTTTTGGAACTTCGTACTAAGCGACTCTCTTCAAAAAGATCTTCCGTCATACAACTTTTTTCACTAAGATTTTCCTGAAAAACGATATTCTTTCTTGGTTGTCTCGAGGGACTGCCCAGTGACTGTTTCCTTGTTGTCTCTATTAAAGATGAGCCAGCCAAATTACCGGCTTTTGAATTCACTAAATAGTTAAGGTTTCTAAAAGAAGGGACGTCATCCGACAGGGTGACATCATCTTCTGCAGTCGAAATCGAAATATCGCTGCTACTTGCGGAATAACCTTATCACGCAAGTCGGAGCCACTGTCTCAATCACGAGAATTCCACATACCATGAAAACTATCCGAGTGCTTTCTTACGTCTTGAAAGGTAAACTCTGGAGCAGAAGCTCTTAAACCTCTACCACCCCTTGAAACATCTTCCATTTCTCTCGGTAGCAATCGATTTGAACTTATCGGCATTCACTTATGTTTGCAAGTAAGGCAAAGGAGTGGCGGAAGCATCCAGCGATTAGCCCTTGGACCAACTTTAAAGCTTGTTTTACCGGTTTCGGTACAGCTTTGGCGCTCTTTACTGGTTATGTTGTCTTGGAACAGGCTTATTTCTATTTTTACAAGCCCGCATCGAGTCATCACGCCGCGGAATCTAAGACGGAAGAACTTGGCTCTTGAATTGTCTTGTTAGATGGACACTTTCTGCGTAAGAAAGAAAACTGACTTGAAAGCATGATAAAAGTTGAACACTGTATTTTACTAGGGCAGCAAAACTGGGCCCTCTTTGAAGAACGGGTATTGTAGTTAGCAAAACCTACCTAGTGGAACCTTCATAATAAAATTTTATGTTTTTTGATCATATGCCACTTGAGCGGGTAACTCAAATTGTACCAACATATGAAATTTTTCAGGAGCGACGTCTCTTACAAGTCTTACTTGAAAAGCAGAAGTGTCAAAGGGTGGGCTATTTGTTCCAACAAGTCCTTCAAAGACAGCGGAAAGTGCATCTTTGAAAGGATCCGGTCCTCGACCGAAAATATAACAATATACAATAGGAAGCGGTCTATCCTCTCTACCTTTGTACAATCCCTTCAAAACGTGCAAAAATTCAGTTGACTTCGAAGGATAATTCATAATAAGCTTAGTAAAATATACTTCTTCTTCGATAAGCTGCTTAACAAAAGTACAAGCGTCGAGGCAAGAGGCTCTAACCAAATGTGATACACCATTTCTTCGAATATTCTTTGATAAAAATTCCTAAACTTGTGGTCAAAATAAATACCTAACACATAACTGACTTACAGTTGATATGGGGTTCAAGTCATTTCCGAAGGCAACACAACCTTTGTGTTTTGCTGCTGGAATAACAAAAGGTCCAACCCCAGCAAATGCATCAGCTATAATATCACAAGATGAAAAAGTTTCAATCACGCGACGTCTTTCTGCTTCTAGCTTAGAATTCCAATATACTCTTTCGTAATCTAACTCGTAAACACAACTAATGCGGGAAATTACTACCATTCCAGGAGAATCATATAAGCGTGCTTACCCATTTTCTTTTACCTCTGTGATCAAGTTCGACTCGCCACTCAATATTTCCATATCAAAAGTCCTAAACGGACCTGATGTCTCTCCAACTTTATTCACTACAGTCTTTATTCGTGGATAGTGTTTCATCAACAGAATGTTTCCTACACAAAGCATAACTCAAAAATCTGACGAAATCAAAGAAACAAACCTATGAGATGACGATAAGGCAAAAGTTCCTCACGAAGATTCAAGTGAATAATACGTCCGACTGTCTCAAAGGAAGAAGGCCACGAAACTATCTCGGGGAGTAGTCGCCTTAGAATTTTGTTCAAGGGCCAGTTGCGAATATCATATGAAATTTCAAGGCTTTCAAGTTCGGCGCTCCTTAGGAGCTGCTTCAAGTATTGTGACGTATTTGAATTGTAAGTCGTGTCCTATAAAAATTATCAAAGACTGAAGTGGCCTACACAAAGAAGTTAAAAGCACCTCTGATATTGTTCGATATAAATATTCTCGAAGTTCTTTCTCCCTATTGATAAATTCGGGACTCACGTGCTCAAAATCTTCTAGAACTTCTTCAACAGGAAGTTCCGTTAAATATCGGAGCAATAGTTTTCTTTTTCTCCCTCCGTCTTCTACTTGAATGCTTTTGATTTGATTACCTTTCAATACATGCTTCCCAAGTAGCTTTCTTACTTCTTCACAGTACTTTGGCTGCAAACGAAAAGTTGAAGTGCGAAATACAGTCTGCAACGGTTCATACCTCACATGATAGCGAATAGAACTTCAAAAAAACTTCAAGGTTAAAACTGCTATGTGCAACAGATTCTGGCCTATACGAGCAGTACTTCATATGTCCTTTTGATTTTATAGAAAAGCTGTTTCTAATATTCCTGTAGTTGTACAACCGAAAACCAAAAAAAGCCAAGATGCTAAACCAACGAGGCATCCAAACACATTTTAGTTGGATGATGATAAATAAGATGTTGTTACTTTCCTATTCAGCTCTTGTCGGCGTTCTTTTACTTCCTGTAGTACTTAAAGTTCCCGTGTTTCTTCAAATGATAATAAGTGCAACGTCTTGTGTAGTATTAGGTTCCTATAGAGCAGCAAAGAAAGAACAAGAGCGGGTAGGTTCCTCTTATTCTTGTGTGCTGCTCTTCGTGAATACTAGAGTTAGAAACGGAAAGGAGGAAGCAGAGACGCACAAGTCATTACTGAACGTGATGCGTATAAGTTTCCCGTCATTGCTTCACTCTCCTTGTTAGGGCTTTTTTTTGCTTTCAAATTTCTGCCGGAGTACTGGGTAAGTTCCTTTTCCAGTTTTCTTACCCAAACCAATCTCTTTCTCGTACTAGTTGAATCTTTTTTTGACCGTTTATGTGGTTGTTTTGGGTGCAAGTGCCTTTTTCACGTTTGTTTTACCTTTAGTTGAAGATTTCTTGTCCTACTTGAGTTTGAACCGTGAATTATATTTTAACGTGACTTTGGCGCATATCATTTGCTTCATGATAGCTAGTTTAGTAGGATATTGGTAATTTTAAGTTCATTCTTTGTACATATGAAAGCTTACTTTGTTATAGGAACGTATCTTCCAAGAGCTGGCTCTCCAATAATATGATGGGAACTAGCTTGTCGGTGTTAGGTATTGAAATGCTTGCTCTAGGTGACTTCTTAAGCAGTTGCATTCTACTTTTTGGTTTATTCTTTTACGACATCTTTTGGGTTTTTGCTTCAAAGCCAGTGTTCGGTGCAAACGTTATGGTTACTGTCGCCAAGAACTTCAATGGACCTATCAAGTTAATATTCCCGAAGGTACCTACTTTGTTTATATTTGCAATCCCTGTTTTGAGTTTTTTTAAAGTCTTTTTCGGGAAGTTCTGAGGAATATTCCATGCTGGGCTTAGGTGACATAGTCATTCCAGGACTATTTGTTGCCATGATTCTTCGTTTTGATTGGCGCAATCTTAGAAATCAAAATGAGGAGGAAACGAAAACTCCCTATTTTACGACTGTAGGTAAATATGAGCATCTTGGTATTTTATTGACATAAAAAGGTGGTGTTGGCGTATACGTTAGGACTTGTGTTGACCTTTGTAGCTGTCGAAGTCTTTAACGCAGCCCAGGTATTGTTATTTTTTTTGTGAGATGTATTCAGATTCTAAGCCTCTTGTTCTAGCCGGCACTCCTATATTTAGTTCCTTGTTGCTTGGGTTCAGTAACTTCCTTATCGCTGATTCGCACAGAATTCAAACAGCTGGTTAAATACAATGAGTCCAAGGAAGATAAATCTAAGAACTAAGTAAGTTATAGTTTATCATGGAATAATTTAGAAGAAAATTCGTTTCCACAGATTTGTGACTGCTTCAAAAGTTGACTGGCATCAAGGCCACAGCTTTTTGCTATTTCAACAATACTGGTGTACTCTAGTCCCTGTAGCGAAGAAAGCAAAGTACTATCTAATAGTCGTTCACCAAAGGTTCTTGTTTTCTTGGAGAGGCCACGAGGAATTCGAAATTCTTGTGGATTTAATCCTGCTACATAAAGAGAGTAACTATGAAGATACACCTTTTTCAATAGTTCATTTTTTTGTTCGTATTCTTCTTGTTGTAAAGGAAGCAGACATGCCAAACCACCATCCCATGTTCCTAGCACCACTATATGTGATCCTGCTCTATCTTCTGAATTATTTTCTTTCCAATCCGTCCTTAATCGAATCATGCTACTACTTCTCGTACCTAAATGTAAGACGCCTCTTCTAAGCAGCTTTTCACCTCCTCTCGATTCTATTTCATGTGGACCCGCGTATTCCAACAAATGCAAGTTTCCAAAGTTGTCGGATACAACAAACAGGATGAACTCATTTAGGATCAAAAACTCAGTAGATAATGTTTGAACGGGGTCGAAATCTTTTCCTAAAAAGTTGAGACTCTTGTTTCTATCTCTCCAAAACAGAAAATAGCCGCCTTTGTACATGTCTCCAACAAAAACATACTGCTTGACAGTATTGATTGAGGTTGAGAATAGTTGAAAACCTGAATAGAACGAGCAACAAACAAGTTCACTTTCATTCACTAATTTGTATATTTCCACCTTTGGACCGACCGCACAGCAGATATAACCCTAACGGCATGAAACACTAGAACAAAGTACAGAATATCATACTTACCTCCAATCTAGCAATACTGGAAACTACACTCTTTAGTTCCTTCTCAGCAATTAGCATCAGTTGAATGGCAGAAAAGGCTCCGGACTCCTCAGTATAAGCTTCTTGCCTAGCAACTTCAAAAAGCATAAGCCTTCCACGAGTTCCTGCATCTTCACCTTTGATAAAACCGGTGCCAATCACAATACACTCTTTAGGCTTGAACTTTATCGAACGAGAGCTTTGAGAGATGGCTGCTTCAGCTTGTTGCTGCGTTGCTCTGGAAGATTTGTCATCATTATTTTCTTCTTCAGTTATCTTATACGCATCAACCTGCATGAAAGTTGCAGATAAAACTGCTTCTTCTTCCTTAAATGCAAACTTATCCACCAATTCCCAAGTATCTGCTCGATATATTTGAAGCTCATACGCTTCTACTTCAATCGGCAAGGCATTCTTGGGTTCATTTTCTTCGAACTCAGTATTATTCTCTTCTTCGGGAGGAGCCTGAGAACCCAAAATGGCTCGTTCGTCACGTTTCTGCCTTTCAAAAATTTGTCTTTTTCTTTCTAGTCTACTCATAGAAACTATAGAACTAACTACAACCCCAAATGTACCCGTTGTTGCATGATAAACCACGTTCTTAACGCAGCCATTCATTCGAAACACTTCAACAGGCCAAGCCCAGTTGATAGACTCCAACTGCGTCTCTCTAATTTCCCCAAAATGAATCCTTCCGTTACTATCCAATATCCATAGTTTCCGATTATTTTCTGGATCTCCCATATTCGTAATAGAGAGTATATCTCCATACTCAACTCCAGAATCTATCATTATCTCATGTTTTTGAGGATATCCCTTACTTAATACAATGATGCTCGGTACAGAACCTGTAAGAAAGACTCCAAAATGACTAGAAAGATTATAAAAAGGTCTAAGATGTGGTATCACATTGTTCTCAATATTGACTGAAGGACTGTCAACATCTAATGAATATAGTGAAACACGACAAAAATCAAAAGTAAAGATATCGTTTTCATCCAATTGAAAATTGCCGCGATAAATAGCCAACAATTCCTTTCGATATCGAACAAACAACCACAAACAAGAAGCTTCTGTTGCTCTTTCATTCTCACCTGGAAATTCGTATATCCTGACCTCTACATCTTGTGGATCAAGTTTGAAAGTTCCTCTAGAGACTCCACGAGTTCGAGTTGTCTTCTCACCGTCATTAACAAGTATTCTCGGAAAATAAAGTAAAGATTTGTTGAAGAAACAAAGTTGCTTCGAGACAACGTCATAAATTTCTAGAAAACCTTCACGTGATAGAATACCCACAAATGGATGAACAATAATAGCAACTTCTTGTTTCCTGTTCGAATGCTGACTCAATTCCAACGTAGGTGGTATATAGTTGTGTCTCAGACTAGGATGTAAAAAGGAATATTCAAATGGAACCGACGACGTTGCAAACAGACTATCATACTCTTCATCAGAAACATCGCTTATCACTCCATCCAACTTCATTTCGTTCCGCTGTTCATCATGATAGCTCTTATCGTAACTACAACTAAAAGTACAGGACGAAATGATACTCAAATGAGAAGTAGAAAATACTTGCTCAAATGCAACTTTGTTTCCATCCGAAGAAGAAACTCTGTCGTCCAAAGAAATTTTTAGTATCACTAAATAACTACTAGAAAGATGAAGCATAACGTAAGGATCACAGACAAATGCTTGAGTCACTACATCTCCAGGTGGTAATTCGTAAAGACTGATCAAACTGTCCCAGTTTCCTAAGATTCGCAAGCCTTCATCAAATACTTGAATAATGTAGCGATCATGCAGAACCCTTGAAACCCACAAAGTACGCGAAGATGTTTGAAATTGACTGTCCACAAGTTCGTCTATTGTGTCCGAGACTGATAAAACAATTGTATTTCTCTGCGTACTTAAAATTAAAAGAGGAACGCTTCCATTCCTTTCTCCCATTTTCCGTTGGCATAAAACATTCCAAATTTGTTGACAATCTTCTAAACGGATGGACGTCAAAAGACTCGGGCTTACGGTTCGTCGAAAGATGATAACAGCACCATAATTTCGAGAACCTACTGCGGCAATTAACTCCATCTTTCTAGAGCTACCTATAATATTATCGAAAACTTCTAGGTCTTGTATAGGACCGATACAAAACAAAGAATCTCTTGAATCTATGGTCTCCACGACAAAATTCTTGTTTGAAGACTTTCCAAAAAAGCTTTCCAATTCGTCGTCCTCAGGATGTAATTCAGTAGAGTTCTTCCAAATAATTTCCAACAAAGCAGAAGGAGAAACATGAGAACCTAAAAAAATCAAACCATTTCCACAGTATGAGACAGTTGAAGGTTGTATCAAAATTTTACAATAACGAAGGGATATAACAGAATCGCCTCCTTTCTTTGGAATGCATAACTCAAAAAAAGCCCCATCTCTAAGAATTATAACGGGATTTTTCATGAAAGTATCATGACTATCGAATTCCGAAACAACTTCACAGCCATCAAGCGAAATTGGAGCATCCTGTGACCTCAAACTCCACTTGGAAAGGTAAACATCTCCCAAATCATTGCAAGATAATCCATCCACAAAGCTACCATCACGAAAATAAAGAATAATATTCCATCCAAATACAAGAAAACCACCTCCCTACAAATGAAAAGTAAGTCAAACAATAAAATGACACCACTTCATACCTGCAAAAATGGTACGCTAGAAACCATAAAGCATTCATGAGGTAGTTCTTCAACTTGCCATATTCTTTTCATTTTTTTATCAGACAAATCGAACTGTACGACAGAAACAAGGCGACTATCTCTGGTTACTGAAAAACTCCCAGACCATGTCGGAGTTTTTTCTTCTAAGAGAGCTAAAGTTGGGAGAGAATAACTTGAAACTTTGTTTAAATCTCACACAAACAGTTTCTAAAAAACATACCCGAACATAAAACAGAAATGAATGGTCTCAAAATGCCCCAGCCTCCTCAAGTCTAGTATAACTGGATCAGAAAGCAATTTGTTTGAACTGCATTCTGCCGAGAGACTATCTCGATGTGATAAGATAGGATACTTTGCAATAAGAAGAAGATTTTTCTTTCTTATAAGTACTGCAATCAGACCGTGTTCAGGATCAACTTTGGCATCCATAATATCTCGAAAAATGGGAGGCTCTTCTTTCGTTACTAACGAAGTGGAGCGCGAGGACGTTCTAGCTAAGTTTTCAAGTAAAACGCTATCTAAAATGCCTTCAAAGGACTCTGCTTGTTGAATGGTCACGGATTGATATATGGTGGTATACAAATCTATCAGTTGAATCGTGTCCCAAACCTGCGACTTATCACTCCACTGTAAAACTTGGGTGTCACTAAAGGGTAAACAATTTGAGTGAGACTTACTTTCAGCAAACTCCAGCGAGTGCCACCTCCAAATATCAGCACTAAATAGTCACAACGGCCGATGCTCCGTCGGATGGAAAGCATTTTCTCTGGTCTTCCATACAAGTTGAAAACAGAAATCAGGAGAAACCTTTTGTGTTCAAAATAAATTTGATAAAGCTCCAACACTGTACCCTAGATTCTTTCAAAATTCCAAACTACCGATTTCTACAAGGCAATACCTTTGCTACTGCTAAACATGGACCGAAAGAAGCGCCACGTAGAGAAAAGTATCCAACTGCAGAACAAGTTACTGCTGAGGGTGGCACAAGGGTATGCAAACTACCATTCAACATTTCCTCACTGCCAAGCTTGAATAATGTCGTAGAAAATTCGCAATGTCGAACAGTTCTTCTGAAGCTGTTTGGTTAGCTTTCAGAGACGAAATCTTAAGAAACAAGACACGATATGAGGAACTCGTAAATACTTTTTTTATGTCTAAAGCAGGAGGGGATACTTGTTTTATTCTTCTGGCTGGATTTCTTGTCTTTTTCATGCACGCAGGTTTTGCCATGTTAACAGCAGGTTCTGTAAGAGTTAAAAACGTCAAGAACGCTTTGTTCTTGCTTTTAATAGATTGGTCAGTCGGTTCCATAGCGTATTACTTGTTTGGTTACGCCTTTGCTTTTGGTGGCGAGGAGCAAGATGCCGCTAGGGGTTTCATTGGGCAACATTTTTTTGCCCTATCTGGTATTCCATCTTTAAGGAAAGATTTGGAAGCAATACCCGATGAAGCTTCACCTTATCTTCAAGGAAGTTATACTTACTGGCTGTTTGAATGGAGTTTTGCTATCACTGCTGCAGCTATTGTGAGTGGTTCCGTTGTGGAACGCGTTTCAGTAGAAGCTTACTGTATATTTTCTTTTTTCATGACCTGTTGGATGTGAGTATCTTATGTCTTCGTAATATGGCATACGTGATGTAATAGTTTAGATATCCAATTTTCGAACACTGGGCTTGGAGTAGAACAGGTTGGCTTGGAGCCCTCAAACAAGATGGACCGCTATTTCTTGGAAGTGGCTATATTGACTTTGCAGGTTCAGGAGTGGTTCATATGGTATGTTTCTTGAGAGCATTATATGTAGTACCATTGAGTGAACTGTCAGGTTGGTGGTATCGCCGCTCTTTGGGGTACTATTTTTGTAGGTCCTAGAATAGGTCGTTTCGATATGGAAGGAAAACCGGTTCCTATGCCTGGTCATAGTGCAAGTTTGGCAACAACTGGAACTTTTGTCCTGATGTTCGGCTGGTATGGTTTTAATGCAGGTTCTATGTTGGGAATCTCTTCTTCAGACTCGTACATAACGGCAAGCAGAGCCGCAGTAAATACCACACTCGCACCTGCAGCTTCTATGTTAACTGCAATGGCGTATACTCGCCTCCGTTCGGATTGTTATGATTTGGGAGCATCTTTGAATGCTATTCTTTCAGGATTGGTTGCAATAACAGCCCCTTGTGCAGTGATTGAGCCTTGGGCAGCTTTAATTGTCGGCATGGTTGCTTGTTTGATATATTTACACGGTTCTAAATTGATTGTGAGGTTGGGTTTAGATGACCCTTTAGATGCCGTATCGGTTCATTGTTTTTGTGGCACTTGGGGTGTTTTTTCGGTATCGTTGATTTTGCTTGTTTTTTATATTATTCTGACAAACGATTTACTAGACTGGTTTATTTGCTGCTGAAGACCCAAGAATACAAGCTTATGGCACCGTAAGTAAAGATTATGGTGCATTTATGGGAAGTGGAGGAAATTTATTGGCTTGTCAAATCATTGGCATTTTACTTATTTGGGGTTGGGTATCTTTGAACAGTGTTATATTATGGTTTTCATTGAAATTTCTTGGTATCCTTCGAGTTCCACCAGAGGAAGAACTTGCAGGAATGGATACATCAAAACATGGTGGACCTGCTTATCACTCTGAAAATATCGACAATACTAATGATGAGGATTTGCAGGAACTGAGAGGAGCAGAATCATTAGAGTTTTCGAGAAAGGACAATCTTGGTATGGACAATGGAATGTCTAACAACCGCGAGAACAATAGTCATGATTCGAATGGCAATAGCCATGTTTCGTTGACACAAACTCATTAGAAACTACTTCTTTAGAAATAGAGCAGTTAACTTTTAAAGTCATGGCATAAAGCTACTCGAACATGTCTTGAAAAGAGTTATCCATTATAAGAGTAGTTGTCGCGACTCATTTAGCCCAGTTTCTAGAGAATAGTAGACAAAATTTTGAAGGAATTGCAGGAAGACTTCTGTATCTATCCACTATAAAAAAGTTTTCATTCATTTTCATTATGAAACTATTACACAATCGGAATGGGAAATCTTCTCTCATCGATTTGATGATTTGATTGGCCGTCTTAATGGAAGTTGAAGAGGAACTTGTTATGGACCTGTCCCACGAACCCAACGGTGCGATAGCTTCCAACTACATAATACCCGTGACAGTAAAGGTACAGCTTTTTGGTTACTTTTCAATACAAAGGCTCTTAAGGACTACATAGGAATTGGACTTGACAAACAACCGTTTAACTAAAATTGAGAATCTCGACCATTGCACCCAACTCGAACGTCTAATCCTTCGTCAAAACAAGATAGATAGGTTACAGGGAATTTCTTCTCTTGAGAATCTTGTTGAACTGGATCTATATGACAACAAGTTGAAACATATTGAGAACCTCTCAGGCTTTACTAAACTTAAGCGATTGGATCTATCCTTTAACCATATCAGTGATATCAGTAGTCTCAAACAACAGTGTCTGGACTCTTTGAAAGAACTTTACCTCATTCACAATCATATAAAACAGATTGCAGGATTGGAAAACCTAAAATCCCTGGAATTGTTAGAGTTAGGAGACAATAAAATCCGGGTATGTGATGATTTTCGCAAGCTTGATTCGAAAAGTTGATGTTGTACAGAAAATAGAAAATTTAAATTCGTCTTCGTGTCTTCAAAGTCTATGGCTTGGTCGTAATAAGATTTCCAAGGTCGAAGTATAGTTGCCTTGAAAAGTGTTTCAAGTGCTCTTATTTTGTTGTTAGAATCTTTCAAATCTTTCCAGTTTGAGATGTCTAAGTCTACAAAGCAACCGCATTGAAAGAATCGAGAATCTTGATGCACTGGTAATGCTCGAAGAACTTTATCTGAGCTTCAACAAGTTGGAAAGTGTTAGTGGTCTGCCTTCATTGGTAAGCAACTCTTCATCTGTCGTCATATGTTTGTACTATTGTTATTTAGTCACATTTGCGAGTGCTTGATCTTGGAAACAATAGGATACGAAACTTTGAAGGTTTAGTTTTCCTTCATGAACTTCGCGAGCTTTGGGTAAGTCTTATGAGCGTCATTTATGACTAATGCTAAGTGACACACTGAACAACAAAGATCAATGATAATAATATCGACGATTTTTCTCAGTTGGATATACTTCATGAGAAGACACCCAAATTGGAAACTATTTATTTGGAAGGCAATCCTTTGTCTCAAGATAGTGAATATCGCACCAAAGTGATGGAGATACTTCCTCATTTGAAGCAGCTAGATGCTACGCCCGTGTAATAAAAGTGTGCGCTTTCGCCTAGTATATATGAAGCTCCCATTTTTCGCTTTCATTCAAAGGTGCCACTTTCAAGTTGAGCTTCTTTATAAAAAGAACTCCATCAACAAACGAAAAGTGTAACGTCGCATTGTTCAGTTGTGAGGAGACATAAGCTCGTTTCGGCTGCTGCTTCATTCCATAGACAACTATCTGCTCGATTATTATATCCGAGCCTACAAATGGTTTGTTTCCAAGTGGGTGAATCATAACTTGCAAAGTACCAGTTGAATTCCAAAGATATTTTGCTAGTCTAAAGTGTCCTGATTCATACAAAAAAGAGCGACCATCGTCCAAATAAATAAGGCCCTTTGCTTTGCCATCGTGGTCCAACGCAATTCGCAATCCAATTGGGTCTCGTTCCATACAAACTGTAGAACGACGTGTTCTATTTCTAAATGGAACTATTGTTCCTCCTCTCTGGAAGACTATATGTCTTCCTAATGGTGCGTTGACCTGAACGAATCCTCGTTGAGCTATGCTTCTTTTCTTCGAATCGGTCGAGAATAGATCAAACCACTGTTCCTGGTGAGAAACGTTACCTGGAGGAAGATATACTGTCCTAAATAAAGAGTCCTTCTCTAGTATGGGTGCAACTAATAAAGCATTGCCGATCATCCATTCTGTCTGCTCTTTCCAGGTTTCTTTATCATATGAAAATTCCCAAAACATTGGTCGCATTGGAGGACCACAAGTTTCAAAATCTGCTTCACAGTTCACACTACTGGATGCAGCAAATAGTGTATACCAGTAAGGCAACAATTCATAACGTCGAAGTATTGCTTTTCTAATGAGCGTAGTTGTTTGTGCATCAAATTCCCAAGGTTCTCTACGTCTTGTATCTTCGTGTGCATGTGCACGAAAGAATGGTTGGAATGCTGCAACCTCGTACCACCGAATGAGTAACTCTGGATCTGGATCGAAGAAGAAGCCACCAACATCAGCGCCTGATAGAATCATACCTGAAATCTAAAAAAATTGATGAATGATTACATTCCAAAGAATTCCACAAAAAGAATACCTGAAGTGAAAGAATCATAGGAATGCTATAACGCAAGTGTTCCCAATTAGCTTGATTATCACCTGTCCAAACTGCGCCATAACGATGACTTCCTGCAAAGAAAGAACGCGACAAAACAAATGGTCTATCGGAAAAATTTCGAGATTGAAGCAAACCATCATAAGTAGCTTTATGCATATAAAATCCATACATATTATGAACTTGACGATGTTCCCAACCATCCAAATGAATCACAGACTTTGGAATCGTATTCTCAGGGCCATCAAATACTGTCGGTTCATTCATATCAATCCAAGTATAAAGATTGTCTCCAAAATGAGGATAATACCGAAATTGAAACCTTGTTGACCACCAGTTTCTCACTTTTTTACTCACAAAGTCCAAATACGAACTAAGACCTGCCCAACACCAACCTGAATATTCTTCTTCTTCATTTTGTTTTCTAATGAAAAATTGGTTTGCCTTTGCTTCACGATAGACGAAATAATCATTATCCACTTTAATATGTGGGTCTACTATAGTAACAAGTTTTCTGCCATTATCTCCAATCCTTTTCAGCAAAGAAGAAGGATCCGGAAACTTTTCCATATCCCATGTAAAGTAGCGCTTGCCATTGGTATGCTCAATGTCCAACCATATAACATCACAAGGAATGTTGAATTGATCGAACCGCTGGTTGACAGCTAAAGTATCCATCTGATCTCGATAATTCCATCGACTTTGATGGTAACCAAGAGCAAATCTTTGTGTCATAGCTGGCCTGCCTGTAACAAGCAAATACTGATTGAAAACATCTTGCGGAGTTTTACCTCCTGGAAATAAAACGACATCCAATAAACCAGTTTCCGAAATAAAATGCGATGCTAAACTGGACTCTTGCGACCAATTGGAAGGAAATATGTCGACAAACGTTTCCGCAGCATTTAGCCATAAACAACCACTAGTCGATTTCTCCTCGAGGGTATATAAGACAGGAATCGATCCATACAAACCCAAAGGCTTTTGAGTTTCATATTCAAAAACATCTAAATTATAAAAACGGTATGGTTCTGAATAGACTGAACCATAAAGGCTGTCCTTGGTAAAAGACAATGAAAGGTCCGTTGCTCTTTCAGCAAGTCCATATAAATGTTGTCCAAAAGGAAACATAATGTCCATGGAAACTGCTTCAAGTCCTCGTTTCTTCTGATCCAAGTGACCATGTACAGTCTCTTCGAAAGCATTCTGACAATATAATTGAAGCAAAGAGTCTTCCTTAGTGTTAGTGCTCATGTTTTCCACAATAGAAATATTATCATTTGCTAAATGGGTTTCTTCCAAGGCGGCACAAAAGTGATTGGAATGGTTCTGTAATACTTCGAGCTTTGTCAACCGATGATGATTAACAACTATATCAGGATATAAACTTTGATTATTGCTAAACACCAACAATTCAAAAGGGACATATTTCAAAATCAGTTTCTTCCCTTCATTCCATAATAAAGTTGCCTCAACGTCGTGGTAAGGTGAAAGATCAAAGTGTCCAAGAGGGAAAGGCTCTTTCAGTGCATCCTTTGCATCAAAACGTAACAAAGGAGCTTGTTCTTCAGCAATAGTGATCCTAAAACTACCTCCTATCACAATATGAAATTAAAAGTCGTCAAGACTGAAAAATAAAAAAATTTACCTGTGAGAGGAAAGACTTGCAGGACAAGATCTGTTGAAACGTTCCCGACACGAGATTCCAAAATGGCATATAAGGAATCTCCAACAACTCCTTTAACTTTCACTTGTTGTGCTTTCACTGAGCCTTCTCTAACACGCGTCTCGGGGAAAAGTAGGTTTCCCTCAAGTGGAGTCTGATCTGTAACTCTATTTCTTCGACAAAAACTCAACTCTTCACATTTACAAAGATCTGCCCATTTAGCTCCACTACAACGACTCACAATATAAAGTAAAAAAAATATAATAATAATAATAGCAACTTTACTTGGTATAATACGCATCGATGAAAAGCACTTGTGTGTTCAAAATTTTCTTTTCAGACAAATTGGTAAACAATCTGTCCTGTTATTTATCCCTTCTTCTTCCATAACTTTCTTAGCTAAATGAACGCTAGTAAAGCCTTAGAACTTGGTCGTTGAAATTCATTTCTTCAATGATGCCAAATCTTTACGGTTCGATCCTTACTTCCACTTGCCACTTTGCTTCCATCCGGACTCCAATCCACCGAAAACACTTCATCTGCATGACCAGGAAGATTCAACCGGAGCTGACGCTTCGAGATATCCCATAGCTTGAGAGTACTATCTTTACTTCCACTCACTAATAACCTACTATCAGGCGACCAACAAATCTTAGTTTCATGAGTCAATCATTCTCCAAAAACAAGACAATTCATATGAATACCTGATATACGCAAGATACATGTCCACGCAATACACAAATGAAGGCTCCGGTCAATCCATTCCAAATTCTTATGGAACGATCAAAAGAAGCACTAGCAATGAACTGCTGATTTGGACTGAAACATACCATATTCACCAGTTGCTGATGCCCAACCATTCGAGCAATAGGTTTGTTTCCACTCTTTGGCATCCAAAGAAAAAGAGTAAAGTCATCACTTCCTGATACTAACCGCTCCTCACGTCCTAAAGAAATCCTTTTATAATTCTCTAGAGCTTTCTGCTGCAATCGATCACGATATGAAGGCTCGATACTACTAGGACTCTCAAATGAAAAAGAACCTACTCGAAGTGCATACTCTGTACTCAATGCCATAGTATTCACCCAGTGACCGTGCCCATCTAAACTGTACACCAAAGCTCCTGAAGAAACGTCCCAAACTTTGATCGAAGTGTCCTGTGACGCCGAATACAGAAAACCTTCACCACCCCACTTGACACAAGTAATTCCTTTTGTGTGAACTGTAAAAGTTTGTTCGCAACTACCAGTTCGACAATTCCATATCCGAATACTACAATCCTTTGAGCCACTAGCAAAGCGTTCCGCATTCGCATTGAAATGTAAAGGTTCCCAGCAAAGGCTTGTGATCCATTTGCTATGCAGCTTCAAAGCTTTACACACTGGTTTACCATTAGAAGGATTCCAAACAAAAACGAAACCACTTAAATCTCCCGTGGCTATTTTCTGACCATCTGGCGACCAAGACAAGCATAATACCCAATTGTTATGACCTTCACAAGTTTTGAAGGGAGTTTGCGTCGTTAGATCCCAAAGTCTCAAAGTCTTGTCACCAGAACAACTTGCAAAACCCGTTCCATCTGGAGAAAATGCTACTCCGAGAACTGACTCTTGATGTCCTATCAAAGAGCCTTGACACCTTGAAACCGGGCGCACTATATATTGAGACTGTGGATGGTAGTCTATCTTGATCGTCGTCTCTGTCGACACTTGTGGTCTTTGACTGAGGGTTGCAGCAATACTATCTGTAATCTCTTCGTTCTAAAAGGTTCCGTAAATAATTTATTACTGAAAATAAATAGACATACTTGAATATAGAAAGAGTAGGGAATGAATTCCTCGTTCGAGAGAAAGCTGTTTAAAATTCTGTCCAAGTGAGAAGCGTCTATGCCGAAAGAAACATCAAAACTTGGACCTGTTGCCGATCCATCTGGTGCAATGAATTGTACAATTCCTGTTTTCTCAGACAACGAGTCTGTACCAGAATCTTTCATAACGTCTAATCAAGTGACATTCACTACTAACTTTGCATTGCCAAAATGAATTTGTGGCCAAAGTAAAAAAACGATGATTGGCACAGGATATGTTTCTCCTTTTAGTTTTTTGCAAGTTGTCAAGTATAAGAAGCATTACCTTTTAAATACAACACAATTCCACTTTTACGAAAGAAGAGAATTTCTGAGAGGCCCTGTGATAAAAAATATGCCCTTACCTAGACATAGGTCTCTCACCTGGAGACCAGTTCGCGCTTGTGAGACGGGAACACAAAGCTTAGAAAGGTTTGGAAATCATAAGTCGCCTAAGGAGTCAGAAAGAATCCCCCTGAGCCAGCTTCGGTTCAATGTTTTGTACGAAGGCACAGTCACGAAACTGTTAAAGTATGGCTTTTTGGTAGACATTGGCGCACAAAAGAATGCAATTGTCCACATTTCTGAGGTAAAAGCAGGATATGTTGCAAATCTTCGTAACGATGTCAAATTGGGACAACGCGTTTTTGTCGTTTTGCTGGGAATTAAACCCATGGAAGGAAGGATTGAAGCCTCTGTAAAGGCAGCTCAGAAAATGTTAGCCGCAGGGATATACGATGTAGAAATATCTCGTTTGAAAGAGTGGGGCTCCATAGAAAGACTGCCATATAAAGAGGTTTGTGGCGGTATCGATAATTTTTATCAGGACGAGGATTTCACGGAGGTGTTTCTGAAGACAAGAAGATATACATAGCGTTCTATTTATACAGGAAGGAATAATATTGTCATATAAATGATCTAGTAACTTTTGATGATACTTGAGAGGTTTAGCCTCTTTTTAAAAGTTTCGAAATGAAAGATTATGATGGAATTGCAGACATTAAAATTCTAGACTGTCTGTTCAGAACGGGTTTTGTTCAAGCGCCTTACAGTTTGAAAACATCCTCTTTTAAGAAACTGCTGCGTCAGAATCTTAGAATGCAACACAAAGGCCATTGTATTGGCTCAAAACCTCTCTATACTCTGAAAGACTTTACGAGCGCTTCCGAAGAACCTTCTCATCTTGTGGTCCTTGTTCACGGCTTGCATGGTTCCTCTAAAGACTTTCTCTTCCTGGAGAAGAGTTTACTGCAATTAGATAAAACACAAAGTCTTGTTGTTTTTAGACCTTCTGTAAATGAAGGAAGAACTACAGACGGCATTTGCAAAGGTGGCTCTCGTCTTGCAGAGGCAGTGAGAGCTTTTTGTTCCAAGTATCCTTCCTTGAGGTCTATCAGTTTTGTTGGATTTTCTCTCGGTGAGTTTTTGTTCCAGCAACAGGAAGTTGTTCATTAAAATTTCACAGGAGGACTGTATGTTAGATATGCTCTTTTCCTGTTGATGGATAAGTGTTCACCCGAAAAGAGTTTAATCTGTGGTCTTAAGCCCTATAATATTCTTCTTGTGGCGTCACCTAATCTCGGAGTAAGCGGATTCGGCCCTTTCCGATATTTACCCAGAGTTCTCCAAGTATGTGAACTTATCTTTATTCTTTCATATTATTTACGTGATACAGATGGCAATAGTAACGTTCTTGGGGGAAACCATAAGAGAATTGTTTCTGTTTGATAGAAGTATGTATAATCGTGAAATGTTAGGCAATCTTTTGACCAATGAATTATAGAAAAGTTCGATGGTCGTGTCCCTTTATTGTGGGCTATGACAGATGATGCTTTCATATCAGCTATTGCGCAATTTCCACGTCGATTTTTATTTGCCAATATTCGATATGACGTTGAGGTGCCTTATGGAACAGCAGCATTGCAACCAGCTATACGGCATGTACTCAACTCATCAATACAAGCAGAGTCTAGTGTTTCAGTAAAGCGAACTCCCAACATTAGTATATGGAAGAAGTATTTAGAGTGTAGTTCAGGCTCCTCCTGGAGAAGTGTACCTTTCTCTTTTGGGAAGTATCTTTCAACTCAAAGAGTTATGAAGCTGGAGGAACTTATGGCTTCCCGTTTAAGAAGTATCGACTGGTATCTTTTTGAAGTTGACTTTGGGTCTTTTTTACCACCAGTACACGATAGTATCGTAGCAGTTTCGAGAAATTCTATGTTCGAAAGAGTGTTTAGGAAGGGAAAAGATGCTGTCGAAGTCATAAGCCATTTGATTGTTAAGGAAGAGACAGTTTCATAATTATTTGTATAGTAGTTCATTGTAGTATAATGGATTCCTTGGCTCTTTTTACTAAGATGATTAATGAGTATCCCATTGGAGGGAATGTTATGAGATGTCGATTAAAGTTGGACGGTCGTATTACTACCGCGAACTTTTGCAAAGGAGATCTTTCTATTATCGCTACACGTTATGTTTCCTCAAATAGTACTGCTTATCTGGAATTGTTTAAACCAACGTTGGAAGAAGAAGAGTCGGGTATCCTAGAGTATAGCCAGATATTTTCGAAACAAGTCGGGGAACCTGTTTCGAAGGTCATAACTTTTTCTCAAAGTTCGAGTCCTTCTGAAGGATTCTTTTTTGCAAGCACGAATGGTGGTTTGAGTTATTGTACCTTTGATGAATCTAGTTTTCGTGAAGTCAGTCACTGTGAGAACGCTCATGAGGGAACTATAGTTGCTCTGGATTACTGCTCAAAGGACAAATTGCTCTTTTCTGGTGGTTATGACGGTGCACTGAAAGTTTGGGATGTCCGTTGTTTTGGTAAAAAAAGCGAGCCTCTACGCTTTGTGCCTATCTCCTCAGATCGTTGTTGTTGTATAGCACATGACGGAACGAGTGACTTACATAAGGTTTTCGTGGGAACACAGAACGGTTATGTCTGTCTTTACGATACTAGAGTCAATCGAGATGATGCTATTGAGAAATTTTCGTTTGATGATTCTATTTCCAATATGTTGGCAGTTGCATCAAGTACTTTGATAGTGTCGACTTTTAGTCAGGTTTACAAAGTGAACTTTCTCTTGGCGCGTAATACTCTTCTGTATGAAGACAGTAATACATGTATTGTTGGTATCTCGGCCAACCCATTTGAGTGCAGTGAGTTTTTAATTGCCAATCGAACAAGACGCTTAATAGTTGTGAACTTTAAAAATGGTTTGGTCAAGAACAATGTGGTTTGTAAAGGAGAAAGTTATTGGTCCAAAGTAGGTTGGCACTCATCACTTCCTGTCTATTCTGCCATTAGTTACAAGTCACTGGAAGTTGGATTATTTCCACCCGATAGTGTTTAATATCTTTTTGAGTGACTTGCTGGAGGCTTTCTTTGGAAAAGAGATAAACGGTGAACTTTGGCTTTGATAAGCACCAAACGACGTTGCTTACTTGTCTGAAATATTCGTTTACTCACGATAGACAGTTTTCGAGCTTGTCAGCTGTAAAGTCTTCAATATACCCAGACTAACAGATGCTAAAAAGAATAGCAATATTAGAGGAGTAAAGAGTGGTTGCACGACTTTTATGGTTGCTTCGTCTACGAAAGTGGTAGTTGCTGTAATAAAGTTTTCAGAAGACCCTCTTTCAAAACTTGAGTGCAGGAAAGCGTCGACACTCAAAACAACGCCACTACATACAAGTACAATAACCAAGACGGAGCTTGTTACCAAAAGAACACTTTCAAAAGACTGTAACGTTGTAGCTCCAAAACGTGAAACTAGCCTGTCGTAAGGTCCTAACTTCTCATATTCATTTTGAGAAAAACGGGGTTTCTTTTCTACACCAAACTTTGCCAACGCTTCATCTACCAACTTCTCCGTTCCTTGCAGTCTTTCTGACTGTTGATGAGTCTCTTTGTTGACTTGGTTTCTATTTGAACCGAACCCAAGTTTTCCCGAAGTTTCGTTTTTCTTTTTCATATAATACATCTTTCTCACTTGAGAAGTACGTCTAACACAATGGCATAAAGGCTTCTTTCGGTTCCTGAAAAATGAGCTGCCATTCACAAAAAGTATCCGCATCGGGCACAAAAATTGAACACCACAAACCACTTTTATGTGATTTCTAAGCACAAACAAGCTAACCACAAATGAATTTACCCGACTAACACAAAAATAAAGTTAATAAGTTCCCTGTATATATTCATTCAATTTCTTTGCTTCATGTCGATGTTCCTCAACTAGTTCCTTGACGATATCTCCTATCGATACCATCCCCTTCACGTTCCCATCGTTGTCTATTACTGGAATATGACGAATTCTCTTTTGTGTCATTAGTTCCATACAGTCATTAAGAGATGCAGAAGGACTGACGCTAACAAGGTTATTTGCAGACGTCATTATATCCTTTACATAAGTTGTTTTAGATGAGCGACCAAGCAATACTATCTTTCGTAAATAATCTCTTTCTGTTACAATACCTACAAATAATTCAATAATTGAACCATTCCAATGGGATATCTTAATATACCTAGAGGTTTTCCAGTTATACCATCACCATCTACATCAATAACTACCAGTGAACCAACATTATTATCCACCATTTTTTTGATAGCATCATATACAAAATCTGTGGTCTAGTACTCAAGTAAATTTTTCTCAATTATTACTAATAAACCTATTACAATACCTTGATGCGATAAAATTTTTCACCTTTTACCTTTAAAATATCTCCTACTGTCTTTCCTGGTGCTGTCTCAACTGCCGACCTTATGTCCGATACTTGTCTCTTTGTAAACTTTGTTGTCATGCCTTTATGGACGGAGCTGCTATTCAATAATAGACCAAACTTGGCTACAAGTAAGCGAACGGGAACTTGCACTCCTACAGAAGGAGAAGACTGTTGAGGCAAAAGATTACAACCTTTCTTATATGACAATGAAACATCAGGTTCTTTCGAGAAGACTACACGGCAAGTCCGTTGAATTATTGGCGAATAAACTTCTTTAAAAATCATAGGTGACTGTACTGTACTTTGCAAAAGTGACAAAGGAAAGAGTGTCTTTACAGCATACATTTTGCAAGACAAATGGAAATTTTGGCACGAGATTTGGATCTCAAGTGGTGGAACTTCCAATAGCAGATCATCTTTAGAGGCTGTTCAGATGAAAATCTTCTCGCTACTTCGTAACGATTCATCTCATACCTACAATTACTAAAGTATTCGTAATTTGAAAACCTTTCTTCAGGAGACGGACAACTGATTGGTAACTTTATAAAAAAAACTAGCACGTCAGACTATATTACAGAACAAAACCAAGGATCCAATTGAGATAAACGCAGCAAACGAAATGAACAACATTCTATTTGAAGAGCTAAAATATAGAAGACATTATAGCGCGACAATTGTCTTTTACTTTCGCTGCAACGAGGCTAAGAAAACTTACTCCAACAACAATCTAACGACGAACTCCAGTTTCGTTGAAAAGTTTTCCAAACTGGTTTCTTGACTAGTCATATGATATTTGTAAAGGATTGATAAGACTCTGGGTAAAGATTGAGTCTTGCTTTCGATATAGCATAAGAAGCTAAAAATGTGCCTTGTTACATTTCATAATTTCTAGAGTAACGTTTGGAAAGCGATAGAGCTTTGTTGACAATATGGTCTTATTCTGATATGTGTAAGCGAGAATAAAATAATACGAAACGGTTTGCCAAACAATTATTCGTTCAGAATGTTCGTTTAGCGATTTCTCTCCCATTCAACTTCTCAAATAAGCATTCAACCCAATTCATTCAACCAGAAATCAGTGCTTCTTTCAGTGAAATAGAATATTTGTTCTTTATTCTTCCCCAAAAAAAATTTCTTCCTAGGAAACTTTCCATGAAAACTTTTCCTTCTAAACTGACCAATTTGAAATTTTAGGGAAATCTTCCAAGCAATGGAATACAAACTACAGGTTGCGTATAACAAGCACAGCCTTACTAATTGCTTCAAATATGGACCAAGTTTACCCCTATCGACTTTACATTCAGTGAAGAATCACGAACATTCTTTTCTTAAAATCATATCATGGCCTTTGAAATTTCAACCAAATAAACTTTTAGAATTTCTCAGCGATTCCTGTTTCTGAAAGATGCTAGAAGATATCAGCAGTTTAGAAGAATTCTATTTCAACAGGAAGAAATGAAATCAGCTTCTTGAGTAGGAACCTTCTCCACAACAGAGCGCCATATCCTTGCTGCAGCTAAGAAGTGCCTTCTCCACCGTTACTCAGTCAATGCCTTAACTGAATCAGTGACAGCAAATAAAATAAGGAACTACCTTCAATGGACATTGACAGTCGAACAGAATGGGCTATAAAACCTCAAGGACATCTTATCCAGAAAGTCACTAATTGTATTGTGAAAGAAGACATTGCTTGAGCTCTCCAATAATAGTTTCTGGGGTGGCCATGGCACCATAACCAATGTCTCCACAAGCCAGTTGCTTCGAAACTGTCGGAATGACTTTCACATTCCTGCTTTCAAGTAAACTCTATAAAGATCGAACAGTGGATAAGCTAAAAGGTTAGGAATTTGCTTACCAGCTGTTGATGTGTTAAAGGCTGTTCCCACATTACCGTATTCATAGCGGGAGCAACTAAAAGTGGTTTGTTCATACTGTCCCAGGCTCTAATAACTGAGGAAACTAGATTGTCGCAAAGGCCTACTGCAGCTTTTGCTAGTGTGTTAGCATCTATGGGCGCAATTAGAAAGGCATCTGCCCATTTCCGGAGCTCAATATGCAAAACGGGGTCTCCAAGCTTGTTCCAGTTTCTCCTACGGACAAGTTGAGACTAGAGACTCAAACACAAAAAGCTGAAAAGAACCATTCGTCAGCGTCAGTAAAAATTCTTATATGATTTCTCGGGAGGCGTTGCTCTTTTTCTAAAAAGTGCCAACTGTGTTCTGTTGTAAGGAGCCATACCTTCCAATTTGTTAGTCGAATACCCTTTACGTTGAAAGACATACTTCTGCCCCTTCTTCTACGATAAGGTTAATGACTTTTGGACAACGAATAGCGGCCACACTTCCTGTAGCGGCTACCAATATATGTTTGTCTCTCAAGGTCCACAAGTTATTTTCCATCCTAAAAACCGACTAGAAAAAGTTTGCAAGTCTTCTGTCGTTTCTTTGAACAAACAACAAGTTGCAACTTTATTCACCTTTTCTTCTGTTTTTTCGCTATTTTATTATTCTGCTTCTGTATGTACTTGTAGTGAATCTAAGCCATCTACAACGAATGGAATTTGCAACTATTTCTCTTCGTCTGCGATAAGACTTGTGTGTTGTCCAGTTTGATATTTGTTACGCATTATGAACAACTCCAAACAAGAAGTCAAAGAAGGAAGAAAAGCAGAACTTTACTTTGGAAAGAAACTTGAACGTGAGTTTGCATGGTTATTACGTAGCGCTACTTACATACCTATAGTTCCCGCCATAATGTATGGCTTTGGAGACGTATGTCAGCCTCGAAGAGACTCGGTTACTCTCCTTGAAACATATGTGATAGATTTCATTGTTGACCTTGTTGAGAAATGTAGTGAAGTTGCCCACGAACGAAAAAGAGAAAGACCTGATATCAATGACCTCAAATTTGTCATAAGGAAAGACAAGAAGAAGCTCAATCGTGTCCACTACTTGTTGCGTATGAAACGAATCATAGATCGATCCCGTTTTGCGGTAGACCGTCATATGTTACCACTTAAATAAACGAATCAGTTGGAACACTTTGAAGCTGTTGTTGTAAATAAAGAACGCAAGTTGGTTACAACTACTAGCGTGCGTTATGTAATATCACATTTATCGTTGTAAAACTTGATTTACTCTTCTACTATATCTATTCAATTTTGTGCTTGTGCAAGGTCAGCTTCCGTACTTCGCTCAAGTGACAAGGCAATCTCATGCACGTGGGTCTTCCACGGAATCAAACGATTGTACAAGCCTTCAACTTCATTCCTATCAAAACTTTTGTAAAGAATTGACGAAACCCAAAAAAAGAATTATATACCGATCCAATGTTTTTGGTTGCACATAAGAAATAGAAACTGTCTCGTCCATTTCATTGATAGTGCCTTGCAATAGATGTAAACTGAGTGCTTTCATCACAAGATACTCCACCTGAGCTCATTTCAATCTATGAAAGGCAATTAGGATATGAAAGTACCTGATCTTTGGTAACTTCACAGCTTGAACAAATATCATCAAAGCTGATAACTCTCTCAACAAGTTCTATTACAAAGTGAAAGGGGCATAAAAGAGTTGATGCAATGGTACTTACTCTTTGTTGCCAACTCCATCAAAGATCGAAGACGAATCTTTTGCTCTAAAAACTGCCAATTAGAAGAGAGAGCTGGCTCTTGGTTAATCTGGTCTCTAGCTCGGTTGCCAATCTATTATGCATCATCCATCATAAGACAAAATAATAAGACATATGGTCGTTACTAACTTGATTGAACTTCTCAATACTACCATACTTAAAAGCCTCCAGTAACTCCAAGAGCCATTGTAGCTTTTCACTTTTCAAAGACTGCATAATATCGTATTCGAGAATCTCACCAAAGTTGAATATTGTTTCTGCAACAATTGAAGCAACGCCCAAATCATATGCCCAATGCACACGCTCTTCTACAGTAAAACTATCCAGAGGAGCATATTGGAAAAAAAGCAGTGCACTCGAATAGTACTTCGTTGCCGGTCCTACAGCCTTGTAATATTGGGCACATACTCGATGATATGAGGAATGAACCACAGTGTCTAGGTCTCGAGTGGATTCCATCGCCACACCAACTTCTTCCAATATCTACGGATCAACCATTATTTTACTTGTGTCTTGAACACAACCAAAGACTAACCTGCTTGACACCGGATAAATTTCCTCCTTCCAACTTCAATCTAGCTGTCTCACTCTTTAAAAAAAGAGAAGCCTCTTCGTCTGCACTAATGAAGGCCTTTGAGTTCGTCGCGTAATCGACGAATTCCAAAGCCTTGTTGAGATCTTTGAACAGTCAATAAGCCCTTTGTGTCAAGATAAGTTCAGTATACCTCGATAGTTCTTTCTCGCGATTCCAACTAGTATGCGGACAAGTGCTAGAGGGTTTAAACTGGACTCAAACTCTCGTATAAAAGAGTCGTATAGTTCAACAAGATTGATTCGATTTACTTGACCACTATGTATGAGTTTTAAAAGTTCTTCAGTTAGTTGATGCCATTTCTTTCCAATATAAAGCTCTTTTAGGGTTTCTAACTGTGGTTCTGTCTTGACAAGTTGACTCAAATATCTTTCAACTGAGGACATGCTTTACAAATTGAAAAGGCAAAGAACAAAACTCTGTGACCAAATAATGATGAGAGAACGTTTTCCAAAGCATGAGTGAGTGGCTTAGCTTCCTAAAGTATTTCCAACTATTATTTTCTTCAATTTTTGTATTTTAGATAGGAAGATAGAAATATTTTACGAAAGCCTTTTTTCGAGATCTTCCTTCTGCAATTCGTCTCAATAAGAAATAAAACTTGATAACGTGGATGGAAACGTATTTTCCTGTTTTCAGTATTCTTAAAAGATACTCAAGTATGCTCAACAACTTTTATATTATCACTATAAAGTCTATTCAAAAGGAGAGTTGAGGGTAAAATAATATCATAAGATCTCGACAAGTTGAATCATCATCGATACTAACAGTTTTTTCATGTTGTGTAGCTTTTTAAGGAGGAAGTGATTGTATGGTTGAAATATTATTCTTTTCACTTTGTCACAGTAAACCCTGTAGAAATATACCAAGTCAAAGCACCTTGGTTTCAAACTTTCTGTATAGAAATAGCTTTTTTGGTGCTGGGCGGACTTTGGTTCGGTGGTCGTCTACACGAACAAAACTTGCTCTTGTGTTTTACACGAAAATGAACGTACAGCTTTCTACGGAAGAGTATTTTCAAGTTTTGCCAAAGGGAGGAGTAGCTTCAGCGAAAGGTTTTAAAACAGGTGGTGTGGTTGCTGGATTGAAAAGCTCAGGACAACTGGATCTGGCACTCGTACTTTCAACTGTAGAAGCTTCCGTGGCGGGAGTGTTTACCAAGTCGATTGTTAAGGCAGCTCCTGTTTTACTTTGTGAAAGATTCTTGAAGGATACAAAGGGAAAGGCTACTTGTATACTCATCAACTCTGGACAGGCGAATGCTGCAACAGGGGAAGAAGGTTTGCAAGATGCCTTGGATATGTCAGATATTGTTTCTTCTTGTCTTCCAGAAATACCACCCACTCAAGTTTTGGTAGCTTCTACAGGTGTGATAGGGAAAAGAGTCGATCTTGCTCGGATAAGTAAAGCCGTTCCCAGCTTAGTAACCAAGTTGGGACATTCAGACGAACATAATATGGAGGCAGCAAGAGCCATAATGACCACAGATCTTGTTCCAAAGTATATTTCGGTTCAGTGGGAAAGTAATGGTCGAGTTGCTACGTTGGGAGGTATGGCAAAGGGATCCGGTATGATTCATCCCGATATGGGAACGATGTTAAGTTTTTTGACAACGGACATAGCCATTGACTCATCTTTATTGCACGAAATATTACAGAGAGTTGTAAACAAGTCGTTTAATGCGATAACAGTCGATGGTGATACTTCAACAAATGATTCTGTGTTGATTATGGCAAATGGTTTGTCCAGAGTGCCTGTTGAAGAGAATAGTCCTGAATTGAAAATTTTCGAAAAGGCTCTGATGTGGTGTTGCGAGTACCTTGCCAAGGCCATCGCAAGAGACGGTGAGGGAGCAACCTGCCTTATTCAAGTTGAAGTCAGTGGTACAAGTACAGATGAAGATGCACAAAGAATTGCCCGTAAGGTATCATCTTCAACTCTTTGGAAAGCTGCAGTGTATGGAAGGGATCCTAACTGGGGCAGAATCTTAGCGGCTGCTGGTTCTGCAGGAGTGGATTTCGATGCTAAGCAAGTTTCTTTATGGTTGGGAGAATATCGTTTGGTAAAAAATGGTTTGCCTTTGAGTTTCGACAAGGCAACTGTGAGGTGAGTATTACCTTTCACTTTAACAAAATTGGAATACTCAGCAATTATTCCAACAGAAGTTATATGCAGGCAGCTGCGGAAGCAAAATATCTTTCAGGTGAAGATCAAGTGAATGTTTATTTAAAGGTTGGTGACGGGTTCGGATATGGTAAGGCCTGGGGTTGTGATTTGAGTTACGAATATGTTCGAATCAACGCAGAATATACGACATAGTCGAGATAACTCTCTACTACGAAGTTTGAAATGCAGCATGAAGCAGAACACTTTATTTTTTGATGAACGACGCAAATCCTTTAGGAAACTTTCTTCGACACTTGTTGTTCCCTTTCTTCACGAGTATCTTTGGTTTCTTCTTTAAACTCTATTTCCACAAAATTGAGTGGTCCTGAATTCTTCAAACCAACCAACTCTCTGGCGTCGCCTTCTTTCACCATTTTAACTCCTTCATCCACACCTGAGCTCCATTCATAACCCGCAGTCCTTACGAAGAAACAAGGACCCATATTGGGTCTCGAATAACCAGGTATCTTGTGTCCTAAGGAAGCCAATAATTCACCAACAGTTACGCGATCTTTTACTTCGAAATTATCTCTTTCGTCTATTTCACAACCCAGCATCTTCACGACCATTTCACTTCTTTTCTTTACCAGCTCTTTGTCTTCAGGGGTCCTTTCAATAACGTTATCCTGTACGGAAAACCTGAACTCTGAACTATGGAGTGAAACAACAATATACTTACTGTATTCGACCAAAACTCTTTCTTTCTGCGTATTTGCCTCAAGATCTGTGCTTGTGGGGAAAAATGGCTTGGAGCAGGAAACTCTCTTTTGGAAGTGTCTGGCTACATATGTTAGCTTCTTCCAACGGCAGCCAAGACTTTAACAAACCTGGGACTTCCTTGCAAGTTGCCTCAATGGCAAAACCCCTTTTAAAAGCAACGTTTAAACAAGAAAGTGTCAAATATCTACTAGCTAAATAACTCGAGTGGGAAGTGAAAAACATTTTTCACAAGCCTTCAAATCCTTCCCAACTAAAGCGAATTCAACAATGAATCCTATTTTACTCTATTAGACTCGACTGATATATTCAATTGTCTACATTTGATAATTGTCCCCAATCAAGTGATTGACTTCTTTTTGTAACCAGTTGAATAAACTCATAAACCTTGCCACATAAACAATTTCTATAATTAACTAATAATTTTTCATACCTTTCTACAAGCCTCTTGCGAAAAAGACAATGAACTGAAATAAATATCTTGTGAAGAAACGAAACCATTACAGTGGAGACCGATCAAGTTCTGCGAAAGGACCGATTGGGGGCCCTCATACCCGTATGAGATGACTGAAGTAGCATAGCCCTCCAATTCTTCAACCAAAGTAGGGTCCAACAGAACGCCGTCTTTGCCACGATAAGACACTGTACAGGAAGCCGCTAACCAGTGGCAAGGAATGCCTGCAGACAATAAAGAAAGCATACAGGCATTTATCACGGCAGCCATCAAGCTCCCGTCATTTTCAATGATCTGGATAACAATAGTAACACAGCTTCGAGGCTGTATTTCCGTGGCAATTGTGGCATCGAAAATTTCCTTTAGTTCTCGTTCTCGAAGCCTCAAATAGTCAGTTGTATAGCCTTGAAAAGGTCGAATAGAAACATCAACAAAAGTCCTGTCTGGGAGTTCGTTCCTGCCTCTGGCCTATTCCCAACGCGATTCTCACTAAAATACTGCAGTTAACTTGCCTTTCTTACTTCTAGTGGACCATATACTGCAGCAACGACTTGAGTCCTTCCTTGTTCTAATCTACAAGAACCATCTGCACGTTCCAAGTAACCCAACTCACAGCGAAAACCACGTATTTCGTAAGCTTTCCTACCGTCTCTTCTTCCAGAAGACAGAAACTCAGACATAATGGTTCACGAAAATGTGGGAGACTTTAATTTTTCTAAATAATTAACAGAAAGCTGGTTTTAAAGACAATAAATAAACCATAAATAATAGCCCGCAAAGACACTTTATTAGATACAAAAAAAGGTTAAAATAATATTATATTGGTAAAACCAATCAAAATGTATTACATTAGTCTAAACATTGTCATTTCTGGGTTCCATCCATGAGCCGAGTAGAGCAGAATCTAGTTCACCTTCGTCCAACTCTTGAAGGAATTGAAGACTATTCGTCTCATTGTTCTCCCTGCTTGTCTTCTCCTGTAGTACAACTTCAAAATCAACCTCAGGTGCTTCAGTCTTCGAAGCAGAAGCCTCTTCCTGATCGAAATTCGTGCTTATCGTATTGACCTTTGTTCTTTTATTCGAGACAGTTTCCTCTTCGCAAAACAATTTGCTGGAACGAGTGCCTTCTTCTGTGGAGTCCGACTTTATGCAATCAACGGCTTCAAAGCGTTTGACCTCTTGAAAGGAAATACGTCTGTTATTCACATAATATTTGCGTTTTTCAGCAACGGTAGCGTCTACACTGAAAACAGTTTGTGTCGGATTATGCCCTGTAGAATATCGTCTCTCACTTTGTTTGGTCAAGTCGCAGATAATTAAGCGTTCGTGATCATTCAGATATTCATTAGGACAAACCGTCTCAGCAAGACCCATCTTTTGAAGTACTGCTTGAGAGTATGCCTCGTACCATAGGTCTGAGCTTTCAAAAGAGTCTCCACTTTGCAAATTTGGCGGTAGTTGCAATATATCGTTGCCAAAGGCACTTGACTCTGTCACAAAGATTGCATATATGGCGTCCTATACTTGTTAAAGCTGACTCACTGCTCACATTATTACACTTACTTGGACAATAGCAAACCTACGAAACAAAAGTCTCGCATGAGCTTGGGTGAGTCGGATGAGAGATTCCAAGAACCGCACTGTTGTTCTTGCGGCATTTCTACTGGAAGCTTGTCTTTGCATGGTGTAATATTTTGAAACAATTCTCTGAGCATTACAAGTCAACTCGGGTTCAATCGCCTCCTTTACAAAGTATATATACATTTGTAGTTCCTCCACATTCCATAAAACTTTTGAATACTCAGTATGTAGTCCTGCAGTACTATCTGAGCAATGATCTCTGTAACCATTAAGAATAAATTCTGAAAGACTTTCGTCCCACTCAGGTTCATGCTTGTCGAGCAAAGTGACAGTAACATCAAAGCGACTTAAAAGAGGCGGAGCAATACCTACACTTAATGCAAGCTCCGTGGCTAAAAATATTTAATGTTCTATTCTTCTGAATGTTGAAGTCTCTTTACCTGGATCCGCAATCACAAGATCCAAATCTTCATTCGATCGCATTTTACCTACTTTGGGATTCACTGCTGCAAATATTGTGGTTCGTGTATCCAAAGTCATAACTAGGCCTGCTTTTGCTACGCTCAGAGTTTGCTGTTCCATAACTTCATGCATTGCTGCTCTGTCACGGTCTTTTATACCGTCAAACTCATCAATGCAGCACAGACCTCCGTCAGCAAGGACTAGTGCTCCCGACTCTAATGCCCACTCGCCACTGCTGGCCTCTCTGACGGCAGTAACTGTCAAACCAGCGTGCGTCGATCCAATGCCTGTAGTAGAAATGGAACGAGGACTTAAGGAAGCTGCTTCCTGAAGAAAGCAATATTTAGTCCTTGCAGTACTTTGCTTATATACCGTTCTACCTTTAGAAGTTGGGACTTGCCAGTTCCAGGATCCCCTATGAGTAGAACGTGTATCTCTCCACGTACCCGAGTTCCTTCTCTATTTGGCCTACAGACGCCTCCAATTAAGGCAGTAAGAAGAATGAGTTTTACAGTTTTTAAGCCAAATAGTCGTGGACAAAATGATTCTACTATAAAATCTCTGGCTTCTAAAGGCCTCCTTGTTTGGTAAGCTTCGTGCCAATATTTCAGAAAACGTTCCTTAATCTCGTCACTAATTTCCATATGTGACTTTTGTTCATTTATAACTTGCACATGTGTTGTATCCAATATAAGGTCCAGCTCACATCTCAAATCAATACTAGGGTTTCGGTGCCAAAGTCGCTTTAATACTCCTGTAATCTATCCCTCTAATTTTAGAGTTTACTAAATTAGAAAACTCGGTCTTACCAAAATGTCATCTCCCGGCTTGCAGATATCAACCAAGTCATCAGAAAGTGCGGATACAATGGAACGAGGAATGGATCCCAAGTCTAATGTTTGAACCCTTTCTTGAATTTTAATTTCTTGGTAGTCTGTAGATCTTGTATCCTCTAAAAACTGATATCTGTTTTAGAGTTAGTTCAAACAACCATTTTCAAAGGAATCGGTTGCTTACGAATTTGATCGACAAGGTTCTTCTAAGCTTGGCGATGGACAAAATGTGGGTAACTCGAATTTTCCTCCTCTCGTGATATCTGAATATACAATGAAACGATGCTTACATTTACTACATTGATATGTTTTTTGAAGCTCTCGCATCAAAACGCTTCCTGTGCGTATAACGGTTCCACGAAAGGAAATCAAGTGACCGACATCAGAAGAACGCAAAGAAGAAACATTTTTCTTATAAAGAAGAGGATCCTCAGGGAGATGATATGGTCGAACATGAATATGTTCCTTGAAGGTGTAGCCGTACAGCACAGCATCGTCTCCTACTTTTTGAAGCATCTCATCTTCATAGAGGCGTATGGCATCTTCGAAAACCGGAAGGTATATTTCTGGTTCCATAACAAGATTTGTGAACAACTCTTGGTCAAATTCTAGCAATTCAGTGACATCAAGCAAGATAGGGTAGTGCTTAACTAAATCGGAGTCTTGTAAAACTCGCAATATTTGATCACTATAACTAGCCTCGAGAAACCATTTAATACTGCTCATGAAACCGCTATAGTATTGTGGTTGTTGTATTTCAGAATTATTTGTTATCAACTTAAGAATATGATTTATACTAACCTTGCCATCTTTAGAACACGACTCGCTTTCAAACTTGTCAAAAGCAGAATGCCGCCAAAATGCGTGAAGGGGCGCTTGCGGTTCTAAATACAACTTGAAAGATTTCCAAAAGAACTTTCAGACATTTTTGGGAAACACTTAGTGGCTTCTTCGACATGACTAATAGTATTTAGTGTAAGAACGGTATCCTATTCTGAATTTTATGGTTTGCCTTTGTCAAAGTGGTGTTTGAGCATCGACTGAAACTAGAAAGCTTGATTTCAGATACAGTTGCAACTGAAGAGCCAAACCAACGTATTTTTATTTTGTAAATCGTTGTAGTTCTCAAGGGATGATAGTTATGCTTGAAGGAAAGACAAGAATAGAGTCTTTCTACTCTGACAGTTCTATTTCAAGCGTTCCATACAGTTCATCGTTTGCGACTTGCGTTGAATATTGTTAGTCTCTCATCCAAGGTTTTATTTCCTGTTTGTTTATAGGATTGAAATATAACTAAAAATTTTCAAAAAGATCGTCCATCTCTGAAGTCGTTTTTAAATTGTTGAGTTATTTGTACTCGTAAAGTTAACATTCTATCCCTTGATAATCCGATAATAGTTGAGTTGCTTCTTTTCTTTACCAACGTTATGTTTTGAATCATTTCCGACTTTTATTCGGTAACAATTTATAGAGTAGTAATGAGAACGTTGGATAGTCAATTAAAACAGGGGCACTAATAGAAGCTAGATTCCATCTTTATTTTGAAACAAATGCAATCCTGACGCAAACAAACATATTAAAATTTTCTAAAGCCATTTTGTTTTCGTTCAGATGGAAAATAGAGAAAATTGACGAATGGAATCCTTCTATGAAACAAAATTGTCATTATCTTTACTGTGTGCAATGGCTATCTTAGAATTAAAGAAATCTTTCGAACTTTACTAAATTGGTAAAGGGATACATTTCGAAAAGTGGTTTTGGGGAGGGGGGGGATCATATGATTTTATCAAAAAGCAGCCGATGGTTATTAAGGAGCTTCTGATTTTAAGGAATAATGACAAGTATACAATTACAAAGTAACTGCGCTGCTTTCTCGATAAAAAATTTTGATTTCATGACTTTTACGAACTAAAACATTCTTCAACAACCCATCATATAGTAAAATTGTAAAGTCGCACGACATTTGGAAGGAAAATATTCCGTTCATAAATGAGGCATTAGAAGACACTGTTTCAATAGCAACAGTGATAAAGAGCTCATAAACAATACAACTCTCTCACTTTTAGTTCCTTTCATCACCTTACATATACCATCGAATAGGAATTCCTCAGAGCTGTTTGTCGTAGCAGAAATCCAATTCCAGCCCCCACATTCGACTTTTCTTCCCTCACTGAGTTTGTCCATTGGAGAAAACTTTGTACTCGTCACCAGATACCTTTTGACTCTTCTTACCACTAAGGTATTGGTATATGGCAACAATATACTCACAAAAACCATGGCTTAAAGAGTATGAACCTAATGTGAGTCCAAATATTGATATAAAATACAACAACGTGTTGGAGATGTTTCAAGCATCCTTAAGGAGAAAGCCAAACTCACCTTGCATTGGTTACTTTGAAGATTCACTATCCTATGAACAAGTAGACCAAGAATCTTCTGCCTTGGCCTCAGCTTTTGTTGAGTTGGGACTGAAGCCTGGAGGCAGAGTTGGAATATACTTGCAGAACGTTCCTCAATGGATGATAACTCAGTTAGCTTCTTGGAAAGCAGGAGGTATAGCAGTTTGTTTGAACCCGATGCTTAAAGAACGCGAACTTACTTATCATATCAAAGACAGCGGTCTTACTATTCTTGTTTGTCTTGAAAGTCTTTATGAGGAGGTTGTTTCAAAGATCCGAAACCAAGTTCCTGTTCCTGTTGTAATCACCACAAATGAGTTATTATATCTTTCGAAAAGGATACCTGATATGCTTAAAGGAGTTGTTTCACGACGGTTTACTTCTTGTCACGACTATTCTCAATTGATAAGAGTTCATTCAGGTCAAAGTTTATCTATTCCTTCACTGAATCTGGATGATACTGCTATGCTTACCTATACATCTGGCACCACAGGAGTTCCAAAAGGAGCATGCAATACTCACAGAAATATTGTCTTTAACAGTAATCTTGTTCGTCATTGGTTTCATCTTAGTGATGAAGATATTATCATGGCTCCAGCACCCTTATTTCATATAACTGGTAGTATAACTGGAGCTGGAGCAGGTTATGCCTCTGGTTGTCCTGTCATACTTTTTTGTCGTTTCGATCCATCAGAATTCCTTCGTTTAATAGATCATTGGAAGGTTACATATTTGGTTGGTGCAGTGACTGTCTTTATTGCAAGTATGAATCATCCAGATATGAAAAAATATAATGTCAGTTCTGTAGTCAAGTTGAATAGTGGTGGAGCTCCTGTTTCTGCAGCCACCCAAAACCAAGTAGAGCTGGCATTCGGTAACAGACTATATATTGGCTACGGACTTACCGAATCCACAGCACCGTGCGTCCTGACTCCATTCGGAAAAAGAGGACCTGTTGACAAGAAATTTGGCTCGCTATCAATTGGTGTTCCAGCATGTAATGTTGAGTGTAGAATTATTTCAACAGAGAATGGAGAGGATGTGGATTTTGGAGTAGCCGGTGAACTTCTAGTTAAAGGCCCAATGGTCGTTCCAGGTTATTGGAGAAAGCCGGAAGAAACAGCAAAGACAATTGAAAACGGTTGGCTACACACCGGAGATGTTGCTATCATGGATCAGGATGGTTATGTCTACATAGTGGATCGGATAAAAGACATGATTATAGCTTCGGGATATAAAGTGTATCCTCGAGAAGTAGAAGATGTATTATACAGTCACCCTTCTGTACGTGAGGCTGCGGTTGTTGGTGTGCCCGACAAATATAGAGGAGAGACAGTAAAAGCTTACGTGGCTTTAAAGCAAGGTTCGGAAGTTACTCCGTCTGAATTGATAGATTTCTGTAAAAAGAAGCTTGCGGCGTACAAATATCCAAGACAAATCGAAATTATCGATGAAATACCGAAAAATGCAAGTGGAAAATTTTTACGTCGAGAACTTCGTGTCATCGAACATAAGAAACACTCGCTGGAAAATGGACAGCTGTCCAGAACAGAAATACCGAATAGACTTTAAAATTTTTCGTTGTATTTTCAAAAAATCAAGTAATGAATACGTATGGACTAATTCAGTGAGCTCAATAGCGTTTCTCAAAATTATTCAGTCATTTCGAATTCTGTCTTTTTGCGGTATAGTCGTTTATATTTCGATAAAGTCTACAAATAAATCTGCTCGTTGTTTATAAGATGGTCATAATACGTCAATATTTTCTTCTAAAAATGGTTGAAAATTGAGCCATTGTGTCTTTTTCCTCACAGAATTAAAGCTTTTTCAATGAAACTGAAAGCTCGCATCGAGAACATAAGACTTCAAAGCGCAATATTAGTTTTGATGCTACTGAAGAACTTAAGAGAAAACATTTGGTTCAAAGGATCCATCAAATGAAGGTTGTCAGTTCTCAAAAAGTTCTTTCCAATGGCTAAGCTAGGGCACAGAAACCTTCACCGTATCACAGTAAGATAAAAAGTGCACTTGTTCCTGTTTTATCTCAGCTCTTTGTTGGGTATTTTCTCTTCTTGTAAGTGTGAAGCATCATAGAAGCCTAAAATAACAACACAATAGTTGCAATATGAAATCTGAGGTATGAGCAAGCCATACGCGCTAGTTGATTTCGCCAGCGATTGAAATTGCCCGCGAAGGACAGGTTACATGAAGGTCCGGCAAATCGATGCCTTTGGAAAGAGTGGCGCTCAAAATTCCGAGTTGACGAGATTTAATTTGTACAAATGGCGTTCCAAGTCCTGTCAAATGCATTTACTTGCTGCACCAAAACTTGCGCTGCTGAAAAGAACCCCATTTCTCGCAAGAAGCCTCGTAAATATAAAAAATACACCTCGCTTATATTGATGCAGAACAGCAAACATTCGTCTATAGATACATATGAAATGAATACTCTCAGCAGAGCTCAGTTTTTGCAGCTTTTTTCACTTAACTTGTTGAGCATTCTGGGACTCGATAAAACTGCACTTTCAACAAAAACAACAGTAGTGGAAAAGAAGAGCCTCACAGAAACCATCTCAGAAGGCCTGTCGAAGATTCTGACCAGAAAGGAAGGCAATCAAGACGTGAGTTACAAGAAAGATGGAAACTCAAAGGCAAGGACTTGAATATATATATACATATATTTGTTTTTATGTAAAATTTTACTGAATACGTTTTGCTTCTGTATAGTCTGCAACTGGTATGAAACACGCAGAGCCTTTGTCGGAAGACGAGGAGGAAACTGCTGAAGCTTTGATTGAAAAGTTAAGGTCCCGGCAGCAGTCTGAACCTAAACGTTAAACGCTCGTTTCAGGTGTTTGTTCTGCCAAATAATTTGGTTTGTAGGGTTTGGGGTTCAAAGAGGAAATAAAATATTAGCCATTGTTTCGATTGATCTTCAATGATTTTATTCGTTGTTGCTCCGTATAGTAGCTTCGCAGGAACTCTATCGTGTCATCAGCATTTTAAAGTAAAGATTTATGCGAAAAACTCTTTGCAGTCATCAGCTTCAAGTAAAACTTTTCTCTGGAAACGTTGTCTTCTCTTGCGCCTACATCAGTTAATAAAGCCAATGAAACTTCGTACGAGAAATATGTATCCGTGCATACAACCTTTAATTGTCACCTGCAAAGAAGAGCAGCGGTTGTCGATGTCAGAAGAAGAGAGACTGGCGAAAAAGCGTGAAGAGGTGGAGAGACTGAGAGCTGCTGAGAAGTAAATTTTGTACTTGTTATTTTTGGGCTTGTTCATTCTTTTGTTAGATTTATACGCAAAGATGTAGGAAAGTTTGGTTGTCCGGTTTGTGAATATGTTTATGAACCAGACAAAGTAGGAAAATGCTGTTTTTGACTTTTCGTTCTCCTACAACGGTTGATTATAGGGAGATAGTTTGGCTGGTATACAACCTGGAACCTCTTTCGAGGATCTGCCCGAGACATTTCGTTGTCCTGTATGTAAATATTTTATCAATTTTCAACTTGCTTTTATTGTGGACAGGTTTGTCGTTCTTCGAAGGATACTTTTATTCCCAAACAAACTGTCATCGCTGGCTTTGCAACTAATCAATCTTATGGACTGGGTTCGAATGCGTTGACTCCTGCTCAGAAAAACGCTCTTATTTTTGGAGGTATTCTTTATGCTTTTTCATTTTTTTGGATATCCATAAAAGTGGCACCACATAGGTTTGTTTCTGTTATTTGTGTTACTTATGGCAGGTTATGGTCTTAGCTAAAGTACTTTCAAGCTTCAACAAGAATAAAAGAACTTGGGTGTTTAGGTGCTATCCAAATAGAAAAGATTTCTATTGAAGTACAAAAATTTGAGTAAGCCATTCATCATAAGATGTTTATTCCAACGATCCTAAAAGGTCCTTAATCTGCGTAATCCACATGTTGCCCTCCAAAGGCCTTCGGCAAATGCTGCTGCGAATAAGTGATCGTTTCCATTTCTATGGCACGACGAAGGACCAGTGGAGTTCCTACAAAACCTTGAAAGGAACGGCCATCCATAAGCTTTAGCGAATCACGTTTCACGTGTGAAAACAATATCTCTTCTATATGATGTCTAGTTAAGTCTGTTTCTATTGGTTTGTCACTCGCCATGGCAAAACCAATTGGAGAACCATAAGATCCAATAAAGCTTTGAATAGAATCAACACTTGCGTAAACTTTGCTCAAGGTTTTTACAATTCGAGGATGCAAAGGCTCCTCCGGAAGCGAAACTGAGGCAGCTTGCGTCACAAATATCCCACCTGGATTCAACAACGTCTTCACTTTTCGAAAAAACTCTTCTGTGAACAAAAAAAAGGATGGACCATCCTCAAGAGGGTCAGTCAAGTCACTTATAATAAGATCAAATTTGTGATGACAATTATCAATGAACTTAAGACCATCTTCAAAGAATACCTTTAGTTTGGGATCATGAAAAGCACCTTGATGGAGTTCTGGCAGAAATTCCTCACACGCTTCAACAACTTCCTTATCTATATCAACTAGTAGTACTGTTTGAACTGTATTCCACTTGAGGACTTCACGAACTGTACATCCATCACCTCCTCCTAAAACTAGAACACTTCGAGGATCACCGTGAAGAACAGCAGGAACGTGAACCAATGGTTCGTGATAAAAAAACTCATCCTCCACAGCAACCTAACCTATTTCAGACAGAATGCAACATTTATGGCCATATAAACTCACTTGAAGCTTTCCATCCAGAATTAAAGCCTTTCCATAAGCCCCTGTTCGAACGATGAGCATATCCTGGAAACGGGTTTTTTTGGTCAACAGGATCTCCGTAATACCGTGTTGGAATACAATAAAAGGATTAAGGTATTCCGTATGCCAAAGAGAAGATTTTAAAAGAGCTCCCTAAAACCTGATTTAGAAGTGTTTCGAAGCCTCAAGTAAGAACGGACCGTCATGAAGATTTTTGGACAGTTCTGATGAAACCACCGTTGGCCCCTCAAACACATGAGCAAAAGCAATTGCTACAGTTAAGGTTTCTATTGGTATTTTAAACACCAGTTTGGTATTTCAAAAGCATAGCGATACGTTTCTTTCTACAGTCATAATAAAGAATACTGTAAATTCTAAAAATCCCAATATTTTTCCAACGTGTCTAGAAAAACGAAAGAAGAAACATCCGATGTAAGAAGAATATTACTTTCAAAGAAAACAAAAATGAAACAAGCTAGCTTCTCCAAAAAAAAACTTTTACTTGAAGAGATGAATACAATTCAACCATGAAAGCCTCTCTCAACTTTTATTTGAAATGATTCAGAGTTCACAATGCGCAAATCCAACAACCGAAAGTCATATACTCTGTCTTTGTTGGGCTAGAACCTTTCAGGATTATGTTCAGGAAAGTTTCTTCCTGTCTTATATAGCATACATTACATGAAAATTGAACCTTTTCATGATTTACTGCATTTCTGAATCGTAAAATATTTGCTAGTCTAAAATTCAAAATGCACCAAAATTCACTGAATTAGATAGCCACAACAAGCATTTTGCTTCGCAATCGATGATGAAAGGAATTGCTATGGTGGCGTTCCTTGAAATCTCCAATAGGTTTTGCCGAACAACTAGTTTCCATTTGAGGAAAGAATTTGTTCAAGTAAGGAGATTTCGAGGTGTCTCTGGTATAAACAAGTCTCCTGTTCAAAGAAGTAACTTGACAATATGTGCACTTCCTAGTATAGCTATGGTAGGTTGAACTTCTTTCCAGTACCAGAACTTAAGTCTCCCAGTTACCTGTAATAGAGATTGCTGAATTCCAGGATAAAGTTCTTGGAATAATTTTTATATCACTGTCAATTTTTACTGTCTTATTACTGGCATATTTGGGGAGAAAAATAGGTTGAAAAAAGCTTTTACCACTCCTCCTCAGAAGGAATATTAAAACTTCTAAAACTCTGTCTTTCCAAAACTTCCCCTGTGATAAATACTTGAACAAGCTGCTAACTTTGGCACACATTTTCGTATCAACCTATCATTGTATCTTACTTGAAAAATCTTCCTACTGTACGGCAAAGGGGACAGGAAGAAGTTGCACTGCTTTGAAGCCATTTGTAGAGACTAAAATATTATGTTAAAAGGGTATAAATAAAATATGTGGCATAATACTTACCATGCAGCGTGAAATTTGTGCTTACAAGTTACACATTCCAATCGAGGAAGAGTACCATTACTAATATGCAAAATACTATAACAGATTGGGCATTCTTCTACTCCTTCAAACTGTCTGTCCAAATTGCGTCTCCAAAGATCGATTGCATCTCTTAGATTACCATCCTTCATAGCTAGAAGCGATGACATTGCTATATATTGTTAGTGTAAAACCCCTATACAATGTCTCATAAATATTATCATACCTAGAACTGTTTTACGCCATTTAGATTCCGTCATGCCAATAGCAGTCTTTGGTTCTACGGTAACCAAGCTGAGAGGAAACTCCTCAGGAAGCCTCAAGACGATCTCTATCCTCGTATCTGTGAAAGAATAGATGGCAGTCACTTCACGGGTGATAGTTACAGGCTTGAGCTGCAAGCTACCCACACTTCTCTGAGAGCCTTCGAAAGATACCTGCAAAAGATGAAATTCTTTTTCGATAATACTTGCTGAAATATACTTTCGTACGAAAGCATCTACTTTCGCTCTTCTATCGTTTGACAGCGAGTCATTATACCAACGTCTCGATAGTGCTGGTAGCTGTGCAAGACAAAACCCAAAAGTTTTAGCACAACTAGAAAACCAGGTATGCAAGTCCTAATGTCACCACAGTGTAAAAATGGAACATCAAAAAATTGATATGATACATACGTTATCAGATTCGAGCAACAACTCACTCACATCCAAATTATTTTCTTTACACGAAGCAGAAGCTGAGTCTGTCACTAATTTTTGCAGCTGTCTGGAACAATCATTCATTCTAAATACCGAATACTCCCCAATAAATGTTACGAAATAATTGAAAAATTGAAAGTGCTCTCTCAAATATTCCGAAAATATCCTGTTAAATTCGAGATAGCCTTGGCTTTTGTAGTTCAGAAATAAAACCCAAGTCAAAAAGTAACCGTAAAAACGAGGCACTTGACTCTCAACCAATTCATTAAAACAGGTTGAATCAAGTTCATCAAACCAGGTTACATTGAGTGGAAATGAAAGAATCTTCTCAATGTCTCCACTGAACCAAGTAATTGTCTCCTCTTCTGAATGGCATACATCTGCAATAAGATAACTGGGATCGCGTTCAACCAGTAATGTGTAGCCAGTTAAGCGTATTTCCTATATAATACAAACAAATGATAAGACATTCACCAATTCTATTCAAATATTCTTACCTGATTCAAACTGTGTAACAGACTATAACACTGCATTAAAACGGATATGTCCGTCAATTTCGACGGAGGATAATTTCTAGCCAGTTTGGCAATGCTAACTATTGCTGGATCCGATTGCAAAGTTGGCTTGTGAATAACAACATGAAGCAAAATGTGCAAAGCAAACAGTGATAATTTGTCTGAAAAATCAACACGGTAACGAGGAAGAAGTTCGGAAACTAAACTCTGACGAGCTTCTAATTCTAACAGAAGAGAACAAGCAGCACAAGACAACAAAAAATAATCTTTGTCTATAGTTTCGTATGCAAGCAGAAGATTATGCATTTCTTCAAGGGCTCCTTCAGCAATATCTTTCATGAAAACTACGAGCTCCTTGTCATGCCATTTCCAATTTTGCCGAATTGCAAACAAAAACAGACTGTCCATTACATGAAAAACATAACGAAGTTCTTCTCTATCCCAAGTAAAACTGTGTGAAATATTTTCGTCTTGAGAATGGTAACCTCTTCTCATTTCCATTCTCTTCAACCCACTAATTATATCAATAGCAAATTGTGCCTAACTCAAAGATTAGAACGGCCAAATAAAAACTCAAATAAGAAGTACCCATTTCATCTCAAGTGCTTTCGGGTTAGACAAAACGATTCTCTTACAAAGCAGAATAGCTCGCAAACGAGCTTTGCTACTTTGCCTATCCGAATGAACAAGCGTGCTGTTCTGTTCATCTGAGTTGTAAAGAAGAACAAGCTCGCTGAGTAATTTTTCCAAAGATGTCTGCAGCAGTTTTGAATGACTTTCATCAACATTTAAATTAGACATATGAAGGAGGACAAAGAAACAAAAGTCATCAAATAAAAATCTGTGATTTTCTGTTTCCAGTAAAATCATAATCAGAATTACTTGAGAGAAGCACATACACACTTACCAATCAGGTCATAACTGAGTTTTTTTCCTCCTTTGTCACAACTTGTAGATAATATTTCAAACGTCGAAGAAAGAATCTCTTGCAGACTGTGGTGCGGCTCTTCATCTTCAATACTACCTTTCGAGCGCTCACATGCCGACATAAAGATATGAACTACTGTGTCCTCCACTACATTATGAGAAACACTCTTTAAATACTGTGTCACTGAATGAAGCAAGTCTTCGGAAACTTCAGCCTCGTTTTCTACTAGTAATAAAACAAGACCCAAGAATTCACCGAGCCTTTTAACTCTAACAACTGAAAAGACTTTCAACAGTTGTGGAGTCAATAAAGTACGCAAAAATGTTGTTACGACATTTTTAAAAATGTTATTCTCACAAAGAACCCCTTCTAAGTCAACTAAAAACCTGGAAACCTGTTCTGAAATGTTGAAAACATCCTGAACACCACGAAACGAGCTACGATAAAGTTTTGCATAGATAATAGCATCATCTGAAGACGATAGAGTCTCAAATAGAGTCATCAACTTTGAACAAAGTTTAGAGTTAAAAGCAATCTTTGCATCTATCGACCAACGAGTCTCTAAATGGTTCCAAATATGCTCAAAAAAATCATCTTTCAACAGAGGAAGATAATTAAATACTATAGATACCCACATATCCACAAAGTCATGATGTTCCGATGCATTTTTTGCTGATATCAATAAACACTTTCGAAGAAGTTCAGGCTGAACCCCAAAGACTTCACTGTTTTTCAACATTGCATGCAATAATAAGCGTGGATTCGGCAAAGGTTGATTGTACTCCATCCAAACTGTTAGAAATGTGTCCATAAATTGCTTTTCTTCTTGTCCTACAAGTGACCTTCTCGTCAAGATATCGGCCAAAGTCGAAAGCACCTTGTCTTGAAACTGAGAATCTTGCAATAATTCTATGATAAAAGACGGTGAAAGCGTTCTCATCAGCTACCAACTATGTAAGTCAATGTAATTTGAACAGTCTTTGTGCTTACCGAAACAAAAAAGAGACTGAAAAAGTTCAAGGGACAATGAAATAGGAAATTTCCACAAATAAAATCAGTCACATTAGTTTCCGCTGATGCAACGTAATGCTCTAAACATGATAAAAGCATATGGCTGAGCTCCTTGTTCTCCAAGATGGCAACATTAGTTGTAAAGTTCTCAATTTGTTTCTCCACGAAATCATTATATAAATTGTCATTTAAAATGCAAAATAGTTTCAACATTCTAAGCTTCAATGTAATCTTTGCTGCAGAATTTCTTTCCATTATAAAAGACTGAAAATTGTCCAGGATTAAGGTCCTGGCTCCTGGGCAGTTGCGATACAGAAAAATACCAATCCTCTCCAGTTTTTCTACGAATAAAAAATTGTCATTTTCGTCATTCAAAATGAAGTCTTCAATACAACAATTCAGTGAATTCTTAAAATGCTCTCGTATGTATGAATTACAAGCAAGTTCACAGATTTGTTTAAGAAGCAAATCTGATAACAAAAGTTGCAAGGGGATTTTACAAAACAAGATCTGATGCCAAAAAGTTTTCAGACATCTTATCAACTCCTCGTCATCCATAGTCGAGTCTGACAACCCTTGCCATTTCATCACTCTGAAATGAACACAATCAAGATACAAGCTTATTAAAGACGAAAAAAGCTCCTCCTGTTGCCAAATGTTTTTAGAATACTTCGAATAATATTATTGAAAACTTACCGAAGCAGCGATATTGAGACATTCTCTGAGTCTCATCTCTATTCCTTTTAAGATAAGCTCCGCACCGTCTTCATCAACCATCTTAAACAAGTCTTCAAATAAGACAGAAAGAACTCCTTTACACATCAAAAGCGTTCTACTCGAGCTCAGTATTCTTTTATAAACCCAGTCCACGATACTATTGAGTTCCGTGAAATCCAAAATATGTTTCTTGAAATGAACCCGTAACAAGCAATGAACGACTAGGACAGATTTTCTTAGAACAGGCTCCGAAATTCCATTAAATACTGTCAATAAAACTGCATGAATGAATGAAGCGGAAGTAATATGTATTCCAAATTGTCCATTTGGCAGTTTTTCAACTAGTCGCAAACTAACAATGAGTAAATCAAACAACGTAGACTGCCAATCTGCATTTTTAGATTGTTCTATCAATCTTTGTAATAACCAAACATCCAATAATTTTCCTAATACATTTTCGAGAGGGAACTCATCCTGACTATCCTCTACTAGATCTTCCAAAGCGGAATACAAACAAGCTAGTGCAACTTCAACAACTCCAGTTGATGCATATTTGTCCACTGCCTTCTCTTCTTGCTCTGCGAAAATTTTGCAATACTGTTTGAAAAAGTTACCAATACTTTCTGCCACGCGGGAAATCAACTTTTTCCTCTTTGCATCAGTATTAAAGTGTGAAAGATAGATTTGTTTTGTCTTTTTGGCAACTTCTCTCTGTACGTCCACACGCAACGCTAAAAGAGCTGGAATTACCTTATCCAGGAAAGGAATGGTACCCTCTCGGAATCTTTCAAACATGATATCTATCACTTCAAGAGTGTTTATCCTGACTCGAGGTTCTTTTTCCCACAAAAGCAGACGTTCCACGACTCGGGAAAACGCCGTCACCAATTCTCGACTCTTCTTTGCATCCCTAACTTCAACATCGTCCACTGAAAGAATAATATTCTTCAACTCTACGAGTTTTTTCTGTCTCGTGTTAGCGTCTTTCTTCGATAAATAACGGATGCAATGTAATCCTTCGTCTACCCAGGGTGTCCGAACCTTTGCGCTGACGTCCGTGTCAGTTTCAGTTACACCCAATCTTGAAACATGTTCAGTTGCCTCTGCAAGACTTGTGAAGTTCGTTTTTAGTATAGTTTGCGGCAACAATGAAGCCGCACTGGAAGAAGATGACGGACGCTTGCCTTGTTTGCCTTTCATAACGCAATTTCCACCAATATTTATTGAAACATTTCTTCATTACAAAGTGTTTAAACTTTTCATAGCAATAAGATACTCCAAAACATGAGTATTTTCCGTAGTAATTTTAAGTAGTGTGTCTTTGTATCTCAAAATTCGTAAACGTGCATTTTTCAAAAGATTCAGAACTTCAGAAGCATTTTGCTTCAATGCTTCACGAAGATGAACATGAAGAAGGTTTCGAATCCAGAACAGATTATCCACCAAATGAACATCAGTGTCAAGGCGACTAATTAAAAACGCTAATAATCTACAAAAGTACTTGGATGGGATCTGAACAATAATATCGGGAATATCATCCACAGCGATTCCGCTAAGAAGCTAAACAAGTCTTACAGTGCATGTTCTTGTAACTTGAAAATACTTACTGTTTCTAACAAAGTTTGGTTATCAAGACGCAATCCAATAATGATGGCTGAAGAATAGGCCTTATTCTCATAAAGATATAAAGCGTTTTCGGGAGTTGCGTCCATCTGTAAATCTACAGGATCAAAAACAAAAGAATCTTCGGAGGAAAATAAGATTAATCCTTCTGTAGTAACAACTGCGAACATAGCTCCAGTCGGACTAAACTTCACTTCCCTAAAGAACTGTTAGCCAAGAAGGCCCTAAATAGTGCAAAACATACCGGGTTCTTATTCGAAATACTTTTTTTCTCTTGCTGGTCATCAAAGATTGTCCTGGAAGATATTCTTCATCCAAACGGCGCCTTCTAAAATACTCGTCATCTTCGCTATCCCAGTCTTCTATCAAACTCAAAGGATTTCCTTCCTCCGACAGATATCTTGAGTTTAATTTGTCTAGTGTACCATCAATGGAGCGATTTTCACAAATGGAAAACCTTTCGGTATGTTAATAAAACTATCAAAAAACAGCACTCGTATTCTTTCTACACCACCTTTTCAATAGACTTAACGAAGGAGTATAATAAACACAACAATATTTGGTATCACTTCCTGCAAGAAGGAACTTCCCGTCGGGAGAATAGCAAATGCAACTGAAAAAGTTTTCTGTTCCAGCTCTTGTTAAGCTTGTTGTACTTCTTCCATAAGAAGCATCTCTTCTACCCTCTATTGTTCCAATGACTTGAGCAGAATCCATATCCCAAAACCATATCTGTTGACTCTCTAAGTGTTCAATACTAATGAAATGGATGTAGCAACTTACCTGGCCATCAATACAAGAAACTGCAAGTTCCTTCCCATCAGGTCGAAATGCTACTGACACTGCATCTTTTGATAATTTTAAACTCTCCAAACTGTCTCCACTCCGTTTGCCAGTACCACCTCTGGAATAAATATCCCACAAATGCATCGTGGCATCCCAAGAAACAGACGCAAGAATGCCTTTCGTTGGTGAGAAGGCTAAGCTACTCACTGGTCCCTTATTGAATGAATAAGAACTTTGTATGCAGAATATCCATCATATACATTTACCTCATGCCCGGTAAGAACCTCAAGGACATCGCCTGTTCGGAGAGACCAAAGATAAACTTCAAAGTTGTCCTGAGAGCCAGCTGCCACCAAATCTCCCCAAATATCTACTGCGACACAAGAAAACTGTCTTCTGTCACTTCCTGCTACAAGCACACGGAAACATCGATACCGTTTCAAGTCAAAGGCTCGCACTGTTCCATCCAACGAAGAAGAAATAACAACGTCCTAAGACATTACTCAGTCTATGACAAAAACCGCTTTCAGTTTACGACTTACTGATTTGTTTCCAGCAAATGTAATTCCAGTAATAGCAGCTTCGTGATCATTAAAACTAACATTGCAAAAACCCGAAGATGTATGCCAAACTTTGACTTTCGCATCGTCACCGCCGGTAACAACCAAACGGCCATCTGGTGAGAAAGCCAAACAAGAAAGATCCAATGAATGTCCTTGTTGTTTCAAAACATGAGTTTCTGACTGCCATTCCCAAACGATGAGACTTCCTGATTCACTCGAGCCAAGAGCTAGCCACTCTCCAGATGGATTTATGGAAATGCAAGTCAGCGATGAAGAAGAGCAGGATAAAGATTGCAACATTTCAAGTTCAGAAAACTCTACCTTTTTCTTTTCGTATATTCCAGTTTCCATTTGAGACACTGATTCAGGTTCAGGAACTCCACTAAAAAGTGCAAATACTCCAGAGCTATATCCAACTGCAATCATTCCAGTGTCGCGCTGCGTGGTTGCACAAACAATTTTGCGGAGATTGACCTGCTTTAAGGAATGTTTCGAAAGTAGCTTAGGCTGTACAGTACCATTCCAATCTAATTGTTTAAATGAAGAGTCCTCTAAAGATAGTTGCAAAGTTATCGTGATCATGCGACGCAATAGAGAAACCTTACCTTTAGCATCGTATGATAGGAACCAGTTCAGTAACAAGCCATCTCTTCCAAATATCATCAGTCGCCTCGAATCTGCTGAGAACCGAACACTGACGATCTTCTCTTTAGATCCTGTTAAAGAAACGGGCAGAAATCCTTCCATTTGTGGGAACGAGAAAATTCTCACACTGAGATCCTTCGAACCTGCTGCTATGAACATTCCGTTTGGCGACCAGTCGATACAAGTAACTTCTTCTCTGAAACCTGTATACTTGCGTACCAACATAAACGCAGAGTATTCTGGGTATGGCCTTTGGGGAACCTGCCATATTTGCACTTCCTTGCCAACAGCAACAGCAAAATAACTACCATCCGGACTGAACGTTGCACAAGCTATGTTTGGCTTTTTCACAAAGCTATATTTGGAACCTTTTTTTCCGGCCTTTAAAGCACCACCTGATATGTTGAACCTATGTATAACCACACCTCTCGCAAGATTAAAAAGAAGAGTTTGACCAGTTTCGCCAATTGCTAACAACAAGTCTTCTTTTGGAGAGATGCAAAGACGAATTATGTTCACTCTTGCTTGCAAATCGAAGGTTCGGCATCTGCCGTTCACAAGGTCTACCTCGTTCACTCTGTTTCCTACTGGCGAGAAGATGGAGTTTCCATCCCGGCTGAAGATCACGTCTCCACCTTGGTAAGGACTTCCACAAAGGTTTCGAAAGTGAAAGTTAAAGCGTGACATACACAATGGTAACACAGGACACCTATAGAAACTATTCAAGGCGATACAATCCCGACGACATCAAAAATGGACGATGATCGCACAACATTTGTAATATTCCTACTATCGTCATTAGAATTTGTGAAGCATTCACTATTCAAAAATTACTGTGCCAAGGAATTATGCGTAGTAGTCAACAAGAGTAAAGGTTTCGTTAATTTGTAGACGAAATTATTTCATCGAGGAATATTTTGAGCTGCGTTTCTTCATTTGCGAGTCTTCCAAAGAAGACCTATTTGTTTGCATTATGTCGCAAGTGTCCCGTTGTTCTCCGTATTCACTGATAGAAGTTGACGACGCTCTCTCCCTAGCACTGTCGGAAGCCTCACATCGTGAGCTCATACAAGTACAGTCCAAGGAAGCATTCGGTTTTGTAGCAGCTGAAAATATCTATGCAAAAAGTCCTTTTCCACCGTTTAAAGCCTCTCTGAAAGTAAGTTACCGGTTTACTAGGTAAAGGCTTTTTCTCAGAACAAAGCAGGATGGCTACGCTGTTAGACATCCGCTTTCACCCGGAAAAAAACAACTAGTTGGTACTGTGATAACTGGAAGGTTTGTTTGATTCTATTTCATATTTTACTTTGATAAAATATTTGGTAGATCAAAGGAGCTGCCACAAGTCAATTCTGAGCAAGCCGCGTATATTACTACTGGAGCCCCATTACCACCTGGTGCAGACTCAGTTATACCGGTATATAATTTTTGCTATCTGAAAGTTTTTTCCTTGTGACGTTTTTCTAGGTAGAGTGGACAGCAGAATCTGGAGACCCGGGTTTTGTCATGATTTCCAGAGGAACGCATGTTTCAGGTCAGGAAGTTCGTCAGATAGGATCTGATATTCCTGAAGGAGAGCTTATTATTTCCGATGGTTCGCATATTGGAGTTACAGAGGTAAGACCACTTCTTTGGGTTCTTGATATTGATAAAGCTAGGGTACTAGTGTGCGTTGCTTATCAACTGTGGAGTGGAAAGGGTTCAAGTTTATAAGCGCCCAAAAGTTGCTGTTTTCTCTACAGGAAATGAACTTGTAGAAATAGGAAATTCGCTTTCATTCGGAGAGATATATGATGCCAATAGACCACTTGTAATAGCAGCTTTGAGAAAGATGGATATTGAAATAGTCGACTTGGGTATTGTAAGAGACGACGAAGTGCATGTAAGAGAGGCGTTTGAGAGAGCTCTAAAACTGGCGGATATAATCATAACTAGTGGAGGAGTTTCTATGGGAAGCCACGACTATGTAAAGAAGGTTTTAGAAAGACTTGGCAAGGTGCATTTTGGCCGAGTGAGAATGAAGCCTGGAAAGCCATTAACATTTGCTACGGTAGAAAGTGAAAATTCAAGCAAAAGATTCGTGGTTGGGTTACCTGGCAATCCAGTTAGTTGCTATGTTTGCTTTTATCTTTTGGTAGTCCCTTTGATAAGAAAGCTGTCTGGTTATTCGAAACCTCATTTGCCCATAATAGAAGCAGAATTGTTGGATCCTATTCGATTAGATCCTGAAAGACCAGAATACCATCGCAGCATTTTGCAAGTAAGGATTTCATCAAGGTCTTTGGACTTTGATTGATTTTTGTTTAGTGGAATTTTGAACGGCATATTTATCAAGCCAAAAGTACAGGTGATCAAAGCAGTAGCCGGTTGTTGAGTGCTACAAAGGCAAATGCGTTGCTCATTCTTCCAAGTGAAAATAAAACATTGGAAAGAGGTACGCTGGTTCCCGCCATATTGCTCGAATGTGACAAATAAAAATTTCGTCTCGTTTGGCCATGTTGTTGTCGTTTGCGGGAAGTATTCTTTGCTGGCATCGTTTTCATATTCACCAAAAACATTCTACTTGTTCAAATATTTATGAATGGAATAGATATAGGTTGACAAGAAGGAAATCTGCAAGAAAGGTTCAAACCCTTTTTTTTATGGTTGAGGTAAACGCTAGAAGAGCTAGTTTCGTTCTTGTCTGAGCTTTGTCCAAATAAGGGTTCCGAAAACTCTGTGGAAAGTTACCCTGATGCTTCTTTTCCGTTGTATGAATCAGACACGTCTGTTTCAGAAATAAGCTTGCCATCAGTTGATGGCTGTAAAACCGAGACTCAAGAGGAGAAAGCCAAGTCTGCAGAAACTTCGTCTTTTCAACCCGATTGGCTTCCTTCCTTTCTCAGCTGGCGAAAAAGAAATGAAAGGCCTCTCAGAGATACCTTCCGTTTCGGTTTGGAAGATTTTGTTTCAACTTTTCGGGCGTGTTCACCATATATAAGTGCTCATCAGAACTCTGTTTTTGTTATTCATATTCCTGGTCAGTTGCTAGAAGAGGCCTTGTTTGAAACTACTATTCAGGACATCGCTTTGCTGAATATTCTTGGTGTCAAAGTTGTTTTAGTAGCTGGTTCAAGACCACAGATTGATAGTCGCCTGGCGAAGGAAGGTATAAAGCCTCGTTATTCACACGGTTTTCGTGTCACAGATTCTGTTGCGTTGAAAGCTGTGAAGGACGCTGCTGGATTTGTTCGATATGAAATAGAAAGCAAACTATCAAGAGGCGTATTCAATACCCCTACATTGAACAAGGTTGGAGTTTTCTATCTTGAAGATAACGTGAATACTGAAAATCATAGTTTCATGTTGTTTCTGGTAACTTCTTTACTGCAATACCAAAAGGAGTTATAGATGGGGTCGATTTTGCGTATACTGGACAGGTTCGAAAAGTCGAAGCAAATAAGATTAGAACGCATTTGGATAGAGGCGATATCGTGATTCTGACGAATGTAGGATTCTCACCGTCCGGAGAACTTTTTAATTGTAGTGCTGAAGAAGTTGCGTCGACTTGTGCAGTGCAACTGAATGCTGAAAAATTAATATTCTTTACAGACGGTGAGGTTCTAGTCGATAGTAGATCGGGAAGCATTGTACATAACCTGCCTCTGAAATACGCGCAAAACTTTTTCGACTCAAGTTTGAATTCCTTTCCAGAAATGCTTCGAATCGAGTTTGAAAATGGTCTCAAAGCATGTAAAGGAGGCGTACGCCGTATACACCTTTTGAACAGATTTGTTGATGGTGTCTTATTAATGGAATTGTATACCAGAGATGGTGCAGGGATGATGATATCGAGAGATATTTATGAAGGGATTCGTAAAGCTGCATTACAAGATATAGGTGGAATACTACAAATTATAGAGCCTCTTGAGAATGCTGGTATTCTAGTTCGAAGAAGAAGGGAACAAATTGAAAAAGAAATCGATCACTTTGTTGTTGTCGAAAGAGATGGTATGGTTATTGCTTGTGCAGCACTTCATGTTATTCCCTCGGACTCCTCAACTGCAGAACTTGCTTGTTTAGCGGTGCATCCGGAATATCGTCGTAGTGGTAAAGGTGATGCTCTATTGGGTTACTTGGAGCGAGAGGCATATTCAAAAGGAGTAAGAAAACTGTTTATTTTAAGCACCCGAACGTTTCAGTGGTTTCTAGAACGAGGATTTAAAGCAGGCACTGTAGAGGAGTTACCAGAAGAGAGACGGAAGTCGTATAATCGTGAGAGAAACTCCAAAATCTTCATTAAATTCTTGGAAGGAAACCGTGCCGTTGATGAAGAGGAACTTCTTAAAAGATTGTAACAAATAGAATATATTAAAATACCGTGTTTTATATTTATTCAAGCTCAAACCAAAAATTATTTATTGTTGTCTGCGTTATTCTCGCTGTAAGTAGCGTTAACCATTCTCCAAAGTATCCGCAGTCTTGGAATGCAGCCTGAGACATAAATAATGTCATATGCCCACTTTTTTTGTATTGGTCCCATGGTGTAATGGTTAGAACAAGAATTGCAACCCACACGACAGACTCTGAATCTGTAGATCCGAGTTCAATTCTCGGTGGGACCTCTTTTTTGCATGAGTCATTGAGGCTTTCCTTCAAGAGATTAAACGAAATTTATTTCGAAAAGGTTTCATGTTATCGCTATTTTGTAAAGTAACTAGCTTTGAGAGGGTTGGTCATTTGTCGTTTCTGATATGACCGATCTTAATAAGAAACAGGAAGATTCTTACGAGAGATGATACCAGTGAAACTCAATAGCTGATTTTTGATATTTCTTTTCTTTATAACCTTTGAATTTATTCAGGAGTATTTTGAAGTTGGCTTCTGCCAAATTTTAAAAGTTTCTAGCGAAAATTCTGACATTTAATGCAGTTTTCCACGATTCTTACAACATTCCTCTTTTATCATACTTTCTTTCAAATTCTCAATCTTTGGCAGTTCTTTTACAGCCTGGAAGCTTTACGTACTACTAGACAGCTGAAATTTCAAAAGTGACTTCCATCTGAAGCTGACTCACGCATCATAATCTGTGAACACTGCGTATGACTCTCAAAGTACGTAAGGGCAGTGCTGAACTTCAAGGTCCAATGCAATGGCCTTGATTTTCAGTATGCAAAGCCAATTGAAATTGTTGGTTAATATATTTCTGGTTTCACTAATTTGCCAACCATGTTTGGAAATTGAGTGCTTCCTAACAGAGCACTTGCACTATTGACTCTCTTACAAAGAGCAGGATCGCAATTGAAGTGACACCTAAAGGTAAACTTTATTTCACGCTGTCTTTCTATTCTTATGCTTTACTACGTATCGTACCATTCGGAATATTATCGCCAGCTTTCGGATGGCGCTTAAGTTCCAAATCTCGCAGTTCTCGTCGAAGGAACTTTCCACTTAAAGTTTTTGGTATTTCTGGAAGGAACTCTATCTGCCTTGGATACTTATAGGCAGCGAGCTTCCTCTTGCAAAATTCTACTAGTTCTTTTTCTGAAACTTTCATTCCCTCCTTGAGAGCAACGAATGCCTTCACAGTCTCCCCTCGATAGGGGTCTGGAACTCCTATAACTGCAGCTTCCTTTACAGCACGATGCTCATACAACACATCTTCAACTTCCCGAGGATACACTTTAAAACCGGAAGCGATAATCATGTCTTTGATTCGGTCTACAATATACAAATAACCTCTGGAATCTATAATGGCTACATCCCCAGTATGTAACCAACCATTCTTTATCGCCTTTGCAGTTTCCTCTGGTTTGTTCCAGTATCCGGAGACTACTTGAGGTCCTTTAATCAACAGTTCTCCAGGAGTTCCTTCGGGAACATCCTTTCCTGTCTCTGCAGAAACGATTCGACAATCCACATTACAAGTTGGAACACCGATTGACAATGCGCCATAATTAGGATCTACTGGAGCATCCACTCCATGCGGTACTGCAGTGCAAGGAGCAGTAGACTCGGTAAGTCCATATGCAACATAAAGCTTGTTTCCAAATGCCCTTTCCACTTGCTTTTGAATAGCAGCAGAAACCGGAGCACCTCCACTGTACATTTTAGTAACTGATGATAAGTTATACTTTTGAATGTCTGGATGACTAAGAGCCGCAATAAACACGGTAATAGCACCCACAAGATAAGTTACCTTCCAATGATCTATTAAACGAAGGAATTCTGATGGATCGAAACGACAAAAAAGTATGACAGGACAACCAGAGGCATAACCCGCTGCTGGTCCAGTTATACTACCAGTTATATGAAATAAGGGTGCTGGAGCCATAACGATATCATTGTCTCCCAAATGTACCCAGTTTGTCACAGAAAGACCGTTAAAGACAATATTTCTGTGAGTATTGCATGCTCCTTTTGGAACTCCTGTGGTGCCAGATGTATAGGTAAGCATAGCAGTATCATCCAGATTCAGTGAAGGAATAGATAAACTTTGACCTGAATGAACTCTTATCAATTGAGAATAGTCGTGACAAGAAGTAAACCGTCGTGAAACAACTCCTTTAAGCATATCAGGTATCCTTTTCGAAAGATATAATAACTCATTTGTGGTGATTACAACAGGAACAGGAACTTGGTTTCGGATCTTTGAAACAACCTCCTCATAAAGACTTTCAAGACAAACAAGAATAGTAAGACCGCTGTCTTTGATATGATAAGTAAGTTCGCGTTCTTTAAGCATCGGGTTCAAACAAACTGCTATACCTCCTGCTTTCCAAGAAGCTAACTGAGTTATCATCCATTGAGGAACGTTCTGCAAGTATATTCCAACTCTGCCTCCAGGCTTCAGTCCCAACTCAACAAAAGCTGAGGCCAAGGCAGAAGATTCTTGGTCTACTTGTTCATAGGATAGTGAATCTTCAAAGTAGCCAATGCAAGGTGAGTTTGGCTTTCTCCTTAAGGATGCTTGAAACATCTCCAACACGTTGTTGTATTTTATATCAATATTTGGACTCACATTAGGTTCATACTCTTTAAGCCATGGTTTTTGTGAGTATATGGTAGACATCTGCACTCTAACTAGTAGCAGCAGCAGAAATCGTCAAGGAAGAAAATCCAATGCGCAGAAAATGCGAGATTCCATCTATTATCTACGAGAGGAAGAAAAGTTATTGCGCTTAGATTCTCGATTCAATGAGACTGTGCGCTAGAAGTATCTTTGCTTAAATAAATATTTCTGTTTGCACTGGAATGGAAAAGTATCTTCCAACTACAAATTAACAACTGTGTGGAACGGAATCGGATAATTTATAGGAACATTCATATTAGAGCTTAGTAAACTTCTTTATTTTCTAATTTGCGCGCAGGAATAATTCTGTTCCAAACATGTCAAGCTTTTGTCGAGACGTTGCCGAAATGAAGCATAGTATTCTCGTGAATGAATCGAGGCCCAATTCGGAGAAAATTCGTTTTCAGTGGAAGCAGTGTTTGTTGGATGTTATGGTCGTTTGGAACAGCGATGGCGTTGTTGACGAAGAACCTAATGGTTTACGGTGTGAAGAAGAAGCGAACCGTGAAGATGAAGATTCTTATTATGGATTTCACGAAATTGCTGCAGCAAATCCCAAATATGGTGCAAAATGCGGTGACGAAAAGCGCCTCAAGGACTTGGAAAGAAGCTTTAGGGACGTGCGATTTCACTTGCCGAGGAAGAACCGTGAAGTCGGTTCTCCCGACTCAAGTGCACAGTGGGAGGGCGTGAGTAATGAAGTTTTTCCCAATTTTGTAGTTAATGCAATACGAGGAGCACGTCATTTTGTGACCGAAATAGAATATGAGATAGATAATAAGAAATATACTTGGAACTCAAGGGCTCACAGGAAACAGTTGTATATGAGGAATGCTGGGTATTTCAAGGATTACAAGTTTCAGTGGAAGTACTGGTTACAGAAACTGAAGAAGATTTCTGTTTGGGTAGGTATTTTATTTACTATCGGCTCAGCAATTTTTGTTACCAGTACAGCTTTGGAATATTCAATGGCTATTTATCAAAGCTACGTATTGTTTCAAGTATTTATCGGCTGGCCTTTTTTTGGTGGTGCCATGTTTTACTTGGTTGGTGCTTATGCCAACTTTCTTGAAGTGATCAATGCCCCAGACGTTCACCCTGTAGAAGATGACATAGAATCACTGAGAAAGGCAGCAGAGAGATACAGGAGGCGGCATAAGTACCGTTGGTTTGGTTGGTACCCTTACAGAATTGATTATCTTGCTTCTCTCATTCAGCTGATTGGTGCTGGTTTATATTCTATCAACTGCTTTGTGGGAAATGGCAGCACAGCATTTACTTTGAGTTTTTGGGAAACAGAGTTTTTATACTGGCTGCCAGATACCTTAGGGTCTATTTGTTTTGTGGTTAGTGAATATATGTTTTATGTTGAGTATTCGCACGGCTGGTGGTGTTGGAATCCTAAAGACGTATCCTTTTGGGCAGTCTTTTTAAATGTTTGGGGTGCAGTTGGTTTCTTATTGGATGGCGGTTTTGGTTTTGGTTCCTACGCGTTTCCACCGGATTCTGTTTATGCATATATTGCGACGAATTTGACTTTATTGATTGGTTGTATATGTTTTTTGATTGGTTCATTTTTACTGATTGTTGAACAATCTGGACCGGACGCTACTCTTTTGCCTGGTTTAGTGAAGGACTAAGTTCAATTCATGCTGTCATTATATAAGAATTGAAATGATAGTGTGCAAATTCTGTACTCCATTTGAAATGTTACTTGATATTTTAATAGTGTTTATATTAAAATGCTAATGGAGCATCCAAAAATAGACACAACTTCACATTTACTGGCAACTTGTATTTTAGTCAACACGAATAGAAGAGTATATCTTTCGAGTGAACCAAAAGCAACAACGAAAACCAAGAAAGCCGGCAACCAATGTAAACGAAATAGATGCAATGACCATGTATCCTACATACACTAATACTGATAACAAATCGATTCCCTCGAACTCTGGTTGAGTCAAAAGATAAAATATGCTATATAGAAACACATATAACCCAGAAGAACCCGCACAAAAGAATGAGTAAAACCACCAACGGTAGTCTTCACTGCACAACTTTAGATAACAAAGAACTACACTGATCTCCATGGAAGTTATCATAAACACAATAAAAACTGCTGACAAAAAGCCAAACATGTAATAGATTTGATTCTGCCAAAGACTGCCCAATATAAATACCAGCTGAATAAAAACGGAGCCAAAAGGAAGAATTCCTCCAATCAAACAAGTGAAGACTGCCCCGCTGTACCAGGGTTGTGGAGGAATCTTTCTCGGAATCTGGTTAGTACGACAGGGAAAAGTATAACAGGTTCTCCTTAAGCCAATATATGCACCGGTTATTGCCAAAGGGATCGAGATACCAAACCAAAGGAACAATAAAAGAACTAGAGTTGAAAAAGGCACTGAAACATGGGACTGTGACAACCAAATAAGAAAATTCAAGATAAAAAATACTGAGAAAACACATCCTGGAAAAATGAGAGCAGTTCCTAACACCACTCTTTTAACAAAGATCCCTCCAAGTGATTTGTATAGCCTTGCAGAAGAATATCCTGCAACTGCGCTGGTCAAGACCCATAATGCCACCATACAGCTTAACAATGCACCACGATTAGCTGGTGACAGGAAACCAAACAATGCAAAAAGCAAAGTAATGATCGCGATTACAAGAACTTGTGCTCCATTCCCAACAAGAATACATAATACAGAGGAATACGGTGGAGGTCGAAACACATCCCCGTGTAACAACTGGTAACTTGTTATCAAATATATCATATAAAATCAAAAGTGACTTACTTTCCATCCTACTTCCTCCTGAAAGTCTTCATCGTCTGAAAGTTGATTATAACGCATAAAGTCTTTGTGAATTGTTCGAAACAATATCATAGCGACCATTCCAGAAAGAAACAAAGTGATCAGTAACGAATTGATAATAGAGAACCACTGAATCTGTTTCTGTTCTTCAGTGGCACTCAAAAGAGGATCCCATCTAGTTGCCCATCGAATTGGGCTTTCCTCAAACACAATATCATAAGTATAGTACATTCGTTTCCCAACTAAAGCCTCAAACGGTTCTGGGGATAAAGGACAAAAACCTGCACTTCCCGGGTTGTCCCTGTGCGTCATTGACACAGGCTCTACTTCAAACCCAACAACTCTATAAACGTCCTGAAGATCAGAGGAAACCATCGATGACGGCCTATGATACAAAATTTTAAGCCGTAGATGATTGTTCACGTAAATTTTCTTGTCCTCTCGAAACCCTATTTGATATCCAAACTGATAACTAAATCAAAGTTAAACGACAATCAATAAAACGCGCGCCAACTTACACATTCTCACCAGAAGGAGTCTGCTTCTTGACAACTAGAGGCATGTTATCCAAATTAAGTCTTGCCCTATACTCCCTCTTCACAAGACGTTTAAGACGAGCAATATCCCTTTGTTCAAGAAGTTTCTCACACAAGACTTTACAGTCTTCGTTCTTCAACATGCTTATCTCAAAGGCAGTACTCTTAGCACGTTCCCCTAAGAAAAGCTTACTTTCAAGTTGAAAATCACAACAAGGCAAAAAATCTTAAAATACTTGTCCAATATTTAGGGTTTTCTCCTTCTCCTCAGTAGGTTCACAGAAAGGCAAAAAGTAAAAGTCATAAGGAACGTTGCTTCTTGCTGAAGTGAGTTTATTAGCGAAAACTTGAAGTTCTGCGCCTTCAGGGTAGTCTGTTGGAGCAACTCCAGGCAAATAAAACCCATTTGAAAAGCCAAACACGACTATCAAAAACAACAACGAGCAAAGAACTTTCCTTGAGGCTCTTTTCATGTAAACTGCCAATTCAATTCGGATTTTAATGTCTTTAAGAAACATTGGAAAATATTAGCGACGCCAGAACAGTAGCGGCAGTTTCAACTCGGAGCGTATATCTATTGAGTTTCACGAAGTTGGCACCTAGATCGGAAACTGTTTGTTCCTCTTCAGGTGTGAGTCCACCTTCTGGACCTATCAACCCGAGAACTTTGGTAGGTTTCATTTGAGGAACTGAGGACAAAAAGGGAGCAGTTGTGGAGGCCACATAAACTTTATCCCAATGTTTCGTACTTTGTTGTTTCCACATGATATCGCGAAATGATTGTTCACTTTCGATTAACATCAGATTGTTGCGACAACATTGCTTACAAGCTGCTATGCAAACCTTACGCCACCTCTGCTGTTTTCCACGGTCAACAACAGAAGGTTCGTAGTTAGTTCGTTCATATCGAACAGGTATAAGTGAATCAACACCAACTTCTGTGAGCTTCTCAACAAGCCAATCTCCACGTTTCCCTTTAGGAACTCCAACACCAATAGTTAACTTCACGTGTTCTTCAGCTTCAACTGGGGTCCAAGACCGAATAAGAATCTTCGCAGACCGTTGATTATCTTTAGAAAATCCCAAAAAGACAGCTCTGCCGACATATCCTGAACCATCGAACACTTCCAAGGCTTCATTTTCTCTCACTCGACGAGCTTTCAAGTGCTGAGTTTCCTCTTCTTCTAAATAAAGAATGATTCCTGAATTAATGTTTCTAAAATGGTTACTAGTCGCTTTTTCTGGAGAGTCTCCTATAAATACTCGTGACAACGAAGCGACGATACAGTGACGGCACAAGGCAGACTTTGAAGGTTTCCTTGGCCACCGAGAAAAGAGATAGTTACGTTGGAAAATTTTATAGAAAGTTACTCCGGTAGGAATCCAAAGAAGCATGATATAAAAAAGGAGTTGCTACCGAAGTTGTGTATATATTTGCTTCACGTCTCTTCTTTACATTAAATGTGTTACAGGCGATAGAAAAATATTAAAATAGCAAAATAGTTGGACTAGTTGCTTATTTCATGTGAGAACAAACGAAGAGTCATCGCAAAAGAAACAGTTTTTATTTGTATACTTATTGTTAGAAAATGTCACAAAGAGAATCCAAAGGATGATCTTGAGCATTCACTCCTTTTTCTGTAAAGCCTTTAGTGAGTTGCGGTCGCCTTTTTCTGTTTCTAGAAACAAAAGTATACAAATGCTTTGAATGCGCGAGATTTATTAGACCTTCATTTTCAGTTTTCTTAAAGTTTCCGCGTAGTTGAAAGTGCTGTAGTTTTTCCCTGCAGAGTTGTATTGACGGGAGATTTTTTTTGAACCTTGTTACTCTTATTTTTCTCCTCTCTCTCGAATCGAGTGCTGAACTTGCTACTTTGAACTAAAAGTTATTCTCTTTTACCACTTTTGCTTTTTTTTTCAGGACAGCAACATTGAACTCCTGCGACTATCCTTTTTTTACCTGTCACTTCGTTGTTTATCGCGAATCGGACTTAAGTTATTGTCTTCACTTGATTATGTCAGAAAAGCCTGCTTTATTTTGTTTAAGGAACTTATGAGAAGGAATAGGACTACCTTTATCGAGAACTTTTGTGATTGTTGAAGCGAAGTAGGGCAAAGCAAACAGTGAGGGAGCTTTAAGTTGCTTGCCTATTACTTGGATACAAATAATCAACTGCTAGCTGTATTAATATGTTCATAGCTCACAATTGAATGGAAGCTTTCTTAAACAATATACAATAGCTTGGTCGATTATTTTTCAGCAAACTAATCGAGTCAGTTTTTAGAACACTCGTAGAAGATAAAATTCGAATCTCTCGTCTACTAAGAGTAGTATTCGACATCCTTTGTTGCTAGTTCTTTATGTTTTGAGTCGAATCTCTTTGTAAATTCTTTGTGCTCCTTTGGATAATGTGTCTACCGGTCTCCTTTCAAAATATCTAAGATTGAAGTGCCATTCTTCATACAACTCACCAGCAATAAAGGCAGTGCTTTTGAACTTTTATCCTCATTCTTCTCCTTTACGTTCTTCAAACGAAATCAACAAGACTTTTTGAGCCAACGTTCCTTAAGAATATCTCAACGTCAAATTGGATAAATCAACATTGACGTGTCTTCATGTTCGACTGGCATTTTGTCGGATATCACTTTTTTGCAGACGTCTGTTTGTTGTTGTTCATTCTTCGGGTCCTTTCGTGGATTCAACAGCTCTCTTGTGAAGTGACACATTTAAGTTCTTCGTGTCCTACGTTGGAAGTATGGATGGAGAGAGTCTCTTCTATGGTCCCCTCTTCCACCCTCAGGACTTTGGGTTTTCAAAGGAGCTCACTTGTTTGTGTGGACACTTGGAAACCTTCTATTACAGTGTCACTGTTATTATGGAGTGGAACTATATACGGTAGTAGCTTCATACTGCATCTTCCATCCTTATGGAGAAAAAGAGTTCAGCTATCGCACCCTTTTGTCCCTTTAGATCCCTGTTGGTATGAAAATTTGAGAAAACCAAAGTGGACGCCACCTTCCGCTTTCTTTGCAATAACCTGGATTTTCTTAAAAGCGCTTCAAAGCTATGCGTTCGCACTATTATGGGAAGCTTCTGGCAGGACGCCTTTTTCCAGTGTCATTCTGTATAAAGTCTGCTATTTGGTGCTGTCTGATTTATTCAACCAAGTTTTCTTTGTTCAACACGATATCTTTGGCGCATTTGTGATTCTTTTGTGTATGATTGGCGTGTTGATTGTTATTCTTATGGAAAGTTTTCGTCGAGTATATCTCGCTGGGTTACTGCTCTGCCCGTTGTTTTTATGGATGACGGTAGCCTTGATATTACAGTCTCATATATTAGTACTGAACAGAACTTCAACAAACTCCTCAAGTGAAAGCAGAAGTAAGACCAACTAATTTCAATGCTTTCAAACAATGAATAATTTGCTTTATTCAACAACTCCATGAGCTCAACTGGAAACGACTATTCTGTCAGCATGTCTGCACCAGACGTGCGATCATTATCTGTGTTCGACTGATTATCGTCCAAGGGCATGGCAATCAAACTTTCCCAATACTCCTCGAGTTCTTCTAAATCTGCAGAAACAAGGGACTCCATACTGACGGGTCGCGTAAGAATACTAGAAGAGTTAAAGTATTGACTGATAGCCATGTTGTTTGATGTCGATGGCTCTCCACGCACCACTTGTTCTGGGTCGACTGTGTGCAAAGCGAGAGCAGAAAATGGAACCATACAATACTTTGAGTTGGAATCTAATAATACAGTATCACTTTCTTCAGGACTCCAAAAGTCGTTTGGAGATGGAAGATTTGTATCCACTATTCTTAACCACATTCTTCCCTCAGGAGCACTTGGAATTTGCACTTCATAAGAATTGGAGGAAGAGTTAAAAGCAACATAAATGGATGCCCTTCCATCCTTTGGATTTTTTAAAGTGAATGCTAGAAAACGTGAGGTATTTGACCAGTCAGGATGGTCTATTCGATATCCATGCCATTGTACATCGCGCCAGCTCATAAATTGTCTTAACCGAAGCAGTCTATTTGCTTGACGCCATGCAAACGCCATTCGAACAAATCGAAGAAAATAATCGTGTCTCTGTTCCGCTTCTTCACCGAAAAGTAAATAATTCAATTCATTGTCGAAGCACCAAGTATTATTATTCCCAAGCTTTGTATGACCATACTCGTCGCCCATAGTTATCATGGGAACACCACGCGAAACCACCAAGGCAAGAATAAAATTCCGAAGTTGTCGTCTACAAAATATTGAGAATTCCTTAACCGAATATTGAGGATTACAAATACCGTCTCAAAGAATTCACATTCTCTGCATCTGTATCTCCTTCTACACCGCAGTTCCAAGAAATATTATCGTCAATACCATCAGCATTACCAGCTTCATTGGCCTCGTTATGTTTCGTGTCGTATGCAACCAAATCGTACAAACTAAAGCCGTCGTGACAAGCAATAAAATTGACGCTGTGACAAGGACCATAAGCTCGCTTCGAGTAGAGATCAAAATATCCTCCAATTGCCTTGGCAAACTCGCGAACCTTTTCAAACAAATGTTGGACGCTGCTTTCTGTGAAATACTATAGTTCTTTCACTTACCATACCAGGAGTGCCTTTAATGAAGTGACGCACAGTATCTCGAAACTTGCCATTCCATTCCAACCAACAATCTCCGAAACTATTGAAGACATCAGCCATAAACGGACAGAACAAATGCGACAAGCTTACGGAAAACTCCCAATCAAATAGTTGGGAGAATCGAGCATCGCACCAGCATCCCAGGCTTCAGCTATAAGCTTCACACTCTTTAAAACTGGATCCTTTACAATAGCTTCCACTACAGGAGGCCGTTTCAGAACAGTCCCATCCTGGTCACGACAAAGTATTCCAGCAGCATCAAAACCTATTGTTCATCAAAAGTTATTAGAAATTCTTTGTGCATATAAGAAGAAACACACGAAAGCCATCCACATGATATTCACTGACCCACCAACGCAGACTCTGAACAATGAGTTCCAAGACAATTGGATGATTACAGTTAAAGGTGTTTCCACAACCACTCAAGTTCGAATAGGGACCCTTCTCATCATGCATGTACCAAACATTAGCTGCATTCAGAAAATGGAATGGTGCAGAAGCATCCGCAGTATGATTGTATACTACGTCTAAGATGACTTCCATCCCTCTTCTGTGAATTTCTTTCACTAACATTTTCAGTTCTACACCAACTTTAAGAAAGTCTGTTGAATACTTGCACATGGGTCCAAAAAAACTTATTGGAGAATAACCCCAAAAGTTACAAAGACGTTCATTCGTGGTAGGTGAGTATTTCAGTTCGAGTTCATTAAATGGACAAAGTTCGAGCTCATTAAACTCCATGATAGGTAACAACTCGATGCAATTGACTCCAAGAAACTGCAAATAATCTAATCGGTCGATCATTCCCAGAAAAGTTCCACGCTTTGCATCCAATACATTGCTCGAGCTGTGCATAGTGAATCCTCTAACATGTACTTCATATATGAAAAGATCTTCGTATGAGAGTTGAGGGGGTTTGTCATTTTCCCAATCAAAATCGTCTACTTTTGGTTCCGAAATAAGTCCAAGACGAAAAGGAAACTTGACATCTTTCAAGGTCTTTAAACCTGGAAACTTGGAAGTAAAACTTGTTTCTCTATATTCACTTACAACCTGGCATAGTTAAATATCTCTCAACAAAGGAAATATATAAATATCACATTTTCACTACCTTAACCTCTTCCAATTCTCCTTCGTATACTTTCCACATATTTTTTGCACCTGAAACAACCCATTTGGCATAAGGATCCAGAATAATTCGTGGTACACCTTCTATCTTCAATCCATACAACGACCTTTCGGGTACATTGTATACTGTGCAGTGCCAAACATCTCCAGTCACATTAAAGTCTTCATCTAAAACTATCTCTGCAGCAATATCCTGAAGTAAACCTTGTGTACCACACTCCAAAGGGGGAAAGAGACATAGACGGACTCCTCGAGAACGACAAAACACGGCGAAGTTAAAAGCATTACTAGCAACACGTGAGACTCCAAATGGCTGAGGATTTCCTCTGCCCAGCTTTAGATTGGAGAAACCTGGAAACTTTCACAAGAAGTGAGTTTCCTATTCTTGATTTGCAAAAATACGTACTTCCTTAGCAATCCAGATACCAGGAGATGCGTCAACTGGAGGAACAGTCTTCCTCAAAAGACCGAAAGACTGTACTCTGTGTAGCTCAACAGCTTTTGAGGACTCCGCTCTTGACATACCCAACTTTTGACAGCTCCACTAAAATTAAAAAGTTTGTATCATCGACCGAAAAATGAATGGATTCCGACGACATTTTTAATCGATGGCTATCCAAAAGTTGAGTGTATTGTCGCATCTATTGAATATTCTAACATGGCTTGAGCAATCTATTAATGACATCTTTGATCGAAGGCAATGTACTAATAAGAGAAACTAAAAACTAGAGTAAAAATTCTTGTCAATGCATAGCTCAAAGGGTTTGTAGAGAAAAATATTTCCTCCCCAATAGCTTGATAAAGTTGAAAGGTAAAACTTTCAGTGCAAAAAGTAAGATATTCCATAAGGATACTGAGTTGTTTTTAGAATGAAGGAAGAAATATAGCTCACGTCAATCTTGAAAATCAAGATCCTAGTCCGTTCGGAACACGACTCAAAAAAATTACTGAAAGCATGGACAGCTTCTCGTGCTAGAATTGGGTTTCGACTATATTCAAAGCTCAATTATAATCAAGAAAACATTGCTTATTATTGAGACGCACATTGAAAACTCTTCTATCTAAAATGTTCATATTGAATGGATCGTTGAAGTTCGGCAGGTTGAAGAATAGAATAAAGCAGGGAAGCGTGATAAAGAAAATATTTACCAGTCAAATGTTTTCCATAAACAAATAAAGCCTATTCGTGCAATTTGTAAAACTTTAATTTTCAACAATACATCTCAGACTCTTATTCCATTTCGTATGCTGCCAACATCATCATTCTTTACGCCAATTCTTTTAGTTGTGTGGTAATAATCGTTATGTTACGCAAGTCGTTTTCGTTCTTTTCTGTTTATCTACAGTATTCTAGTTGTAAGAGTCCACTGCAAAAGAAAGTAGAAAGAACGTTGTGGAGATCTTTTTTGTCAACCTATCAACGAAGACTCTTTGCTGTAGCACCACCAGTTGATGTTCTTAGACTCTCCTCACAAAATCGAAAGCCTTGCTCCTTAGGCTTGTGGAATCTCAAGTCAACATACTCAACACATGGTGAAGGGAAGGAGGGAAACGTGCCATATTCAGGAGATGGCAAAGAAGAACCTCAGTCTTCGTCGGACGCTTCTTATAAAGGCACAGACAAAGAAAGTTCAAATAATGGTTTTTCCAAAGCTGGGTCAGGCAAGTCTGAAACATGGAAAATGAAAGTACGTTTATTACAGTACTGTTCTTCTACAGATAGAGGTCAAAACGCCAGTCACAAACAAAGACTAGCTATCGAGGAGTTGGCTTCTTCGCTTGAAACGTTAAATCCTACTCCAAACCCAGTAGAGGCAACCCAAATGGACGGTTGGTGGTATTTAAGTTATGTTTCAGAAAAATTTTATGCCACAAACGCACTTCTTGCTGCTGCTTCTATCACTCCTTTGGTTTCTGTGGGTCAAGTCCGACAGCAAATTTCAATTGCTAGTGGTGAACTCACCAATGAGGTTGACTTGATTCTGTTTCCGAATATTACTGGAACTTTAGTCACCAAAGCAAGGATCAATCCTTTAGATGGTGAACGCTTGCAAGTCTCTAATGAAACCACTACAATAAGAGGGAAATCTATTGGCGAACAGTTTGATCTTGGTAGTCTAAAACTGGACATTCCCGTTGATGAACTGATACGGAGACTCAAAGGCACTAGTCCGGAGTCGTTCCTGGACACATATTATGTAAGTGACATTTTTAAAAGATGGCTAAATTTTCCTAAGTTTGTTTAGTTGGACGAAGACTTGAGAATAAGTCGTACACAAGGGGGTCGCTTATTTGTATTCACACGATTTGCAGAAGATTAATTGCGAGTGAGCCTTTGTGTGTGTTTCATGGTGCACAGTATTGGATCCTTTTAGATGTAATTTCAAATAAAGGAACATGTGAATAAGATAAGAACTCATTGGTTTAAGAAATTATCAAAGTCATAGAAAATTAATCGCTTGACAGTCAAAGCATACCATACTGAATGAAATCACTTTCAATGACCACTTTTTTTTGCCAGACTTGGGCTTCACTTGAAATAATTGTTTCCGAAAACTATATCTTAGCATTTCATTTCAATAGTAAATTCAATGTTATCGTTTCCTAAAAGTCTTTGGTTGATAGGAAAATCTGCTCTAAAATCATGGCAACAACTGTTGTCTCGAAGCAATGATTTCTACGCTTGCAATCTCAATGTTCGTGGAAGTCATTTGCAACGCGGGAGATAAAATACTGACTGCAAAAGGTAAAACAATGAAAGGGTTCTGCTTAAGTAGAGCATGTTATTCCCGCAGTCAGTAGAAAGTGCCATTCTACAATGATTGGACAAGAAGGCTCTCAGGGTAACTGTGTGACTGGAGACAACTCTGTCTCTATAGTTTGGTTTCGAGGACACGATTTGAGAGTAGAAGACAATCACGCACTGTCTGCTGCAGTTGAAAGAGGTTGTGGTATATTGCCCTTGTTTATTTGGGACGAAGAATTGCTTAGAGACGCTGGTTATGGAAATTGGTGGAAGTGGTGGCTCTTTACCTCTCTCAGGTGCCTTCATAAACAAATTTTGAAGCTTGGAAATCGACTTGTTTTTCTTGAAGGAAATATACAAGACACTCTGGTTTCTCTGGTACAGAAAGTGGGAGCAGATGCAATATTCTGGAATAGAGACTTTGACCCATCTTCCATGTCTTTAGATAGGAAAGTAATAGAGAAAATGAAAATGTTGCAACTGAAGATATCAATACACGAAGGCAATGCATGGAGCAGGCAATGGGAGAGAATAGACAACCAGCAGACAAAATGCCTTCCTGAAACATTTTCAGGTTTCATGAAACTTTGGGTATCGTCCTTACGCTTGAAACCAATTGATAAACCAAAGACTATTCTGAAGCCAATCATTCCTCATATGAATGGTATGAAGATATTTCATTTGGACGATAGTGAAAGAGAAAATGAAATTTCAACAACAACGGAAGCGGCAAAATGGAGTCCAGGCTGTGTAGCAGCAAAGTATGCTTTGAAGAAACTTCAAATTCATCATATCATCAACTACAGTGAAAACTATTTTAGAAAGGATATGCCTATATGGTCACAGTTCAGTCCTTATGTTCGATTTGGCGAGATTACTAGTCATCAAGTTTATCATGAGTTGAACGAGATATCTGAAAGTACCCTGAACATCAACAACTCTTCTTTGAGGGAATATCCTTTTCTTCGAAACTTGTGTTTACGAGACTTTTTTCGATACTTATTTATTCATCATCCAGAATTATCGAGATCTTCGTTTATGGAATATTTCTCCCGCTTTCCTTCCAAGTTTGATAAATACTTATATGACTCATTTGTCCAAGGCCAAACTGGTTATCCAATTATAGATGCTGCTGTTCGTGCTCTTCGCTTTCGAGGTTGGATTCATACGTGCCTTCGTTCTTTGCTTGTTAAATTTTTTGTATTTTCTTTGATGCTTCCGTCGGAGATATTATCTCATTGGTTCTATTCTAGTTTCATTGATGCAGAATTTTACACGAATACAGTTTTCATAGAAAATACGCTCGAGTCATCCGTACGAAGTTCCCTCAATAATATAACCTATCATTCAGCAGCAAGTAGAAGAATAGATCCACTTGGTAAATTTATCAAGCGTTGGGTCTCGGAATTGTCCAAGATGGACTCTAGATATATTCATTCGCCATGGAAAGCTTCTAAAGACTATCTGAACGCTTGCAGTGTGAAGCTCGGAATTTCTTATCCATATCCCATTATATATCCCCGTTTGGCAAGAAAGAGAGCTAGAGATGCAATAGAATTCTTTCAGGAATTGTATTCTTTACAAAAAATTGGAAGAATGTTGGAAGATAGAAATTTCGGTTTCTCTAGAAGAAGAAAACGAAGCTACAAATATCTTTCAAATCCTATCGAATCGGAATCCTCCAAATGTAGGAGAACATGCCGTAACCTTTCCAGTAGCAAGAAGAAGACGCAGCAATTTGATAGAAACACGTTGCAGTTAAACAAACAACATAATAACAACACTTGTAATGCAGTGATAGAAGGGACACCTATTCTGAAAGTCTCTTGCTACAGACAACACTTACATATCAGCTCACCTTCAGCTACGAATGCTTGTACCGTTTGCAACCATGCAACTAGTCCGTCGGAGAGAAGTCCATGGCTGAGTGTCTTTGATAATTGGAATATGGAGGGAATGACTTCTCCTGAAATACTTTCGCCTAGTTTTGAATTCATATCCTCTTTATTCTATTCTGGAGACGTCAAGAAAAATAGCAATTTATTCAATACAGAAGATTACGAATCCCCGCACATATTGTGGAGTCCTAAAAGTCGGATGATTCCCAAAAGTCCCATAAGGAAATACAAAGAGTATTCATTGCTATCTATAGACATTAGCCTACCGAAACAACATCCAGTATATTCATATGACTTTAATGATGTTCAAGAAAGTGTTCCTATGGACTCTTCGTTAGCCCAACCAAGCAACGTGAGCCCAAATGAGTCGATTGTTTTAGAAAACCAGAACGACATTTCCCCGAGTGAGTCTTCTAAAGAACAACATTCATTCCAAGAGATGAATAGAGAAGAAAAACGACAAATACTAGAAAATATTTCACAAGATTCAGCTTCAGTCTTTTGTACATTGGCCCGCTTCATTTTACTCAACTATAACTTGACCGAATGTTCATCTCGGGAGTGCTCCAAGGATTTTGAAAGATTACGAAATATAAAGAATGTTTACGATAGTTGGAAACCAGCAGAAGCAAAATCGTTGAAGCTTCACCAAATGAAGCATTTCTTTGGTAACTTTTTGAAGTTGGATGTTAGTGATGAACGAGACCGTCATTATCACGGTGGCATTAGGGGTCCATATGTATATGGTATCAAAAGAAAGCTAACGCGATAAGCTCGAGTAGAAACAAATACACGTAGCAAAGTAAACTTTTCATTTTTTGATAGAGTAGAACGCAAAGAACAATGCAAATTAGTATCTGAACGTCAAAAATTAGCTTCCAAAAAATACAGCTTTCTCCAGGTAACATAACCTTCTGTAGTCTTCATATACTCACGCTGTAATAACTCATCGGAATTTCACACCCTATTGATAAAATTTAGTATACAAGATGAAAATTACGATACGATTCTCACCAAGTCATCGTTTGTTTTCCCTTCAAATACAGCACATTTTCCTTGTGACTCTAAGACTTGAAGACTCCTCAACAACAACTCAGGGTCTATCCCGTGAAACTCGAATTCCGCTGTATCCTCTGAAAAGCGTATCTCATAAAAAGTAAGAATTGATTTTCTTTTTCCTGAACGCTCCACCCAGTCGTAAATAATCTCAGCCCACTCGTAGGGTCTTCTCCAGTATATTAAACAAACGTTTGCCTCCTTGTTAAGCCACTCTCCATAGCCCATGGAAACAAGTCTGGAAAATACTTCTTCAACTGCAGCTAATGAGAGTTTCCTACTATTCAAAGAAGGAGAATATATCAGTGTTGAACGTCAAAAGTTGACACTAATTGCATACTCTATGGCAGTGTTAGCAAACAACGAAGAGTTTGCCGAATCAGTCACTGAGAGCTTGAAAATTTTATAGTGCTTGCAATAGCTAAGAACCAGGTCGCACCAAAGCTTCAGCTGTTTCTCTCTGGTAGCTTTTACTGGCTGCAAAGTAAAGGAAGGAGGATAGGAATAGAATGGGGGATATCGAAATACCGTCATTCAAATGATGCTGATTTATTTGAGCTTCCAAATATTCCAGTGCATTTTAGAGTTCCTGTTTGTTCAACTGAAGATGGCAAATGATTGTTAGAGTTTAAAAACGAATAAGGATGAGGTTTTTCCTGAATGAACAGGAGCAAAAGCAAAAAGTTCGAATCATACTTAATTTTTCTTTCCAAATTTTCCATTTTTTAACAACTTGGAATGGTTTGTCTATTTTACTAAAATAAGGAGTGAATAATGGCAAGAAAGATATTCTATCGACAACTTGTTCTTCGAAGATGTTTCAAATCGAATTTATTCTAGACGCGGGCTTTTGTTGGAACCGACGAATAAAATCCAATCAATCCATTCAATTTGGGTTGTTTAGATGAGAACTCGCTCAGGTCGTGAAGTTTTTCAGGGCTCACCAACTACACAAAAGTATTTGGTCAGCTCAGTATGTGAAAAGAATAGTTCCAGCTTTTCAGCTATGAAAGACGTACCAAGCAGTAGGAGAGGAATTCCAGATGAAAGTATGCAAAATAAGAGAAAACGGAAACCTGCTGGGAAGTCAACGAGTACAGAAGCAAGAGAAGTTGAGCTCTCTTTTTGTCAGTTCGAAAAAGAACATCTTTCGGATGTGACCGATGAAAACAACAGTTTGGATGATAGGAATTCATTTGCAGACGATCAATTTTCCAATATTTCGGAAAGTTCCACCGAAGAAAGTGGCTCTTGCTTTTTGTACAATTATAAAAAACAAGCAAATAGTCCCACACGAACCATGGAGTTCCTAACATATCAGCAAACAATTGTAAAGGATATGTTCGAGTCTTGTGGCGCAGTAGGCTTGAAGAACTTGGGGAATACCTGCTTTATTAACTCAGTCTTACAAGCTCTCAGTAATACTGAACGTTTCCGTAGATTTGTACTTGATGAAGTAGAAGACGACTTGTTGTCGTTTATTGAAATGAATCCTGTTGGAGCTTCGCAAGCATCGATGGAAGCAAACAATAACAAAAAATCAGAGCTGAAGGTTCTTATTTTGAAAGAGCTCCGAGATTTGTTGAAGTCCTTATGGTGCTCTCAAAATGATTTATTGGTTAATATATTTGAAGAAGGAAATCAAGTTACAAATGGGATCCAACATGAAACGAAAGCAGATAAGACAAATGATATTTCTCAAGTTCAGGATTGCATACCGAGACAGTCTTTGAAGCGGAAGAGAGCTAAAACCCATTTTGTTTCTCCTGACGGCTTTTTGAATGCTGTTTGGTTAGCCATTCCTCCTTTTCGATCTCTGCAACAAGCTGATACACAAGAATTTTTGCATTTGATGCTTAATCGAGTTCATTTTGAAACCACACACCTTTATTCCGAAGCTAGCAATAAGAAATGGAAGAAAGTTAGAGATAATACGAAGTCGAGTATTAGAACTATATTTGGTGGTTGCATAGAAACTGTTATAGAGTGCATTTATTGTGGTGAAGTTGCCAGGAAAGAGCAAGACTTTCTAGATTTATCACTTAATATTCCAAAAGAATTTGTTCATTTTTCTGGTCGTCGTTCGGCTCGATTAGCAAATTTTAATACTCACGATATTGATAGTACTACTGAGAAATCGGGGTCTTCAGCAAAGACAAATTTATCTTCGTGTTCATTATATCGGTGCCTTGACCTTTTCACAGAGAGAGAATTCTTGGCACATGGCAACAAATATTTGTGCCCGAAATGCAATGACTATGTCAATGCATGGCGAAGATGCAAACTTGTCAAATTACCTGAAGTCCTTTGTATACACCTATTGAGAGTTTATCCCTCTCAGCATCGGAATAGATCCCCTATGAAAGTTGATACACATGTCGACTTTCCCCTTAGTGATTTACATCTGGATAATTACATAGTTGATGATTTGTCTTTATCCAACCCAAAAAACGATCAAAATCACTCAATATATGACCTTTGTGCGGTAATCCAACATCATGGTTCTGGTTGGCAATCTGGCCACTATACAGCGTTTTGTAAACACGTTGATCGCAGGTGGTATCATTTTAATGATACTAAAAGTAGAACATGTCGATGAAACAACTGTTCGCCAAAGTGAGGCATACATCTTATTATATAGTAGAAGTTCTGTCGAAAGGTTGAAACGTACTTCAAAAGAGAGTAGTCCAATGTGACATTTTTGGGAATCAACTTTTGTACCTTTCTATCGAATAAAGTTCTTCATGAAACTTCAGCCCATCTCAGTATTCAACTGTTTCCTCTTCGATGCCGCTTCTCTCAATTTCTTCAGAGTTCGCTGCTCGTATTCTAGACTTGCATGTTCATCTCCTTGTGCTGCCTTTCGACGAATATGTAGCAACTCTTGATCATGAAAAATCTTTGGCAAGGTGGTCTCATGTGAGAATGATTCATCATTCGAAACATTTTGTTCCGTCTTCTCCTGGCTCATACTCATTTGATGAACTTTCAAGCCATTCTTCAAAAACAACCCTTCTTTCTGTGCAAGAGCTCTGTACAAACAATACTTAGAAGAAAAAGTAATCAAAGCTATCTTTTTGGCAACTGAGACAACTACGTCAACTGCATCTATGTGTGAAAGCAACTCCCGAAATCTTTCTTCAGTCCAAATATGTTCTGCTTCAGACAGCCAAGACACTTTGATGCAGTTTTCTAATAACATATCTCTTCTTTGCTGAATATGAACCAACTGTTCCTCAGCACTGCGCATCCTTTTCCTCTCATCTTGTTTCCACTCTTCACGAAGCCTCTCTATTTCGTCACGACATCTTCTCTTCAATTCTTCTGACTGTTTAGAAGTTGTCTCTGTGTTTTGACGAACTTTCTCGTTTTGTCGACGAAGTGCTGCTTCCTTTTCCCTTTTCTCAAGTTGCTCTTTCATCAACTTTCTCTTAGCATCCATTTGTGAGTGCCTTTTTGCATTTCTCGACGCTGCCCTCTTTCTTGCAATATATTGTGCACGCTTCTCTGGGTCTAACAATGTTTCATAGGCAACAAATATTTTCATAAACATTGTTTGTGCAGCCTCTCTGTTATCAGGATTCTTATCCGGATGCCATTTAAGAGCCAGCCTTCTATAAGCCTTCGTAACATCTCGATTCGTTATTTTCTCGTCTTCCTCTGGAAGCTCTAATTCCAATAAGTCAAAAGGGTCTTCCGTAACTTTTGACATGAAAGAATAGTTTTTGAAAAGAAAGAGGTGCGAAATAAGTTGATCGATGGAAATGCCAATTGTTCCGCGAAAAAGTTTTCAATGGGCTTGAGAAAGATATTATCGTTCCATGGTCGCCCTTTTTTACACTAACTTGAAGAAAGTTATGTTCCTTAGCTGAAAGCACCAACTGTAGCTTTTTCACTGTAACTACATTCCGGATCATGTTGCCCAGACAGGTTATGAAAAGAGTCTTTACAATCATAGGGCCAAACCAGGACCTTGAAGTGTTCATCAAAACTCTTGTCAACTTGTTTTTTTAGACACGAGGTTATGCACACATTCCTTAGTCGTAGGTCTTCTTGCTGAGCTGTCTTCTCTTAAACGTACGGCTTTGTTCCAACTACGTGGTATCAACTTGATCTTTTAGTCCTGTACTAGCCTCAGTCGTCACATAGTGTTTATAAGGTTAGTTTCATGAATATTTTTTATATGCGTTGAAATACATTGAAAATTGGCATCTCGAAAAGAAAATCTCTTTTGTTATGATAATGTCGAAGAAAGCTTTTACACGAACAACAACAACAGGGGATTCTTTAGAAAACTTGTTCAAACTTTCTCTCTTTCAAAGAGTAAACAATTTTCAATGAGGATACTTTAGCTCCGTTTTTTCAAATGGAACAGAGCATAACAATTCCAAAATGCAGTCCAAGTTGAATTGCAACAACTTCTTCTACAGTCAACAATTAATAAAACTCCACCATTGATAAAATATTTTCAAGTCTCTAGTTCGTGTATATCATAGTGAGCGAAATGTTAGGAATGTGAAGTCTCTTAGGCACAAAAGTAGTGATGCAATAAGTGTGCCTCATGTGCAATGAACGAGATCTGAAGTCCATCTCACAATTTACTAAAACATGATAGAACCACAACAAAGCATGCAAATATAAAATTCACGTCAAGAAGATTCTCTCTTATATGAAACTCAGTCATTAGTCATCGGGATATCATGCAATCAATTCTTATTCTGACTTCAACGGGATAAGATCCAAATGTTGCCAAACCTACAATGCATTAAATCGCTCCAAGTTTCTTTGACTTTTTGAACATTCTCATGGAATATATCCATAGTTTCACGTTCAAACACTGCATTCAATTCTTCCAAGGTTTTGTCTTTGGTTTCTGGCATGAAGAACAACAGATAGATCCAACCCAAGATGGTTATGCCTCCATAGAAACCAACAAAAGTCCCTGTGTTAGTCATTGCTGCAGTCATATGTGAAAAGGCATAAGTAGTTATAAAGTTTCCAGTAAAATTGGTGACATCTGATAACAACATTCCATGACTTCTCAAGTAAGTTGGATAAATCTCTGATGCAACTACCCAAGGGGTAGGACCCAGACAAGAGCCCCAAAAGAGATAGTATATGACAACACCCCAAATATAAATTCCTTGTCTTGTATGAATATCAGTTGCAAGGAATGAGAAGCCAACAATAAAAAGTCCAATGATAACTCCAGCAATCAGAGATAACAAAAGAGGCCTTCGACCTAAACGATCCATTAGATAAATGGCAGGAATGGTGGATAAGAAACCAGTGCCACCACCAATCATGCTAGTATATACTGCATTTTGTGCACTCAATCCTGTTTCTTCCATTAAAGTTCCCATATAATAACTGATAGAATTGATGCCAGAGAATTGTTGAATAATCATAATAACTATTCCATATACAGCTGCTCTGCGACAGCGCGGAATTCGAATAAAATCAAACCATATGAAACGATCCTTTTCCGCTTCTCGTTCTTCCAACACGCAAACTTCCATATAGAAAAACTCTTCCTTTTCTTCAAATATTTGAAAACCTCGAACACGTTTCCAAACTGCATAGGAGTCCACCTTTCTACCTTTTCTCATCAGCAGCCTTGGACTTTCTGGAAGGAATAACATAGCAATCAAAAAAATAGTTGAAAAAAGTAATGAAGATCCTAGCATCCAACGCCAATTGCCGGAAACATCCACAAAGATGGCTGCATCAATGTATCCAAACAAAAGCCCCAACATGATCATTACTTGATAAAGAGAGACCAAGCCACCTCTCCACCTCTTTGTACTACACTCTGCAATATATGGCGGTACGGTTCCTGCCTCCAGACCAACACCTGCTCCTAGAATCATACGTCCAGGCAACATCATGCCAAATGACTGTGCGTCAGCCTCTAAAATTCCTCCTGCTGTATATAAGAGACAAGCAGCAATGATGGTCCATTTTCGGCCAATCAGCTCATTCACAGGATAGACCCTATGTATCAAGTAAGTCTATAGTTGAGGAATTCGTTTGTCACATACAGAAGAGCTCCAAACACTCCGCCAAGTGGCATAAATCCAGTCACCATAGACTCCTGATTTGTATCGATGTGCAAGTCATGAGGCATATATATACCAGCGCCGCTTATTAGTGACTGGTCAATGCCATATAAAATACCACCCATGCTGGCAAAAGAAGCAAGGATCCAGATAAATGTCTTGGGGTTACCGAATATAGTAGAAGAAAGTATTCTCACTCTATTATCAGCCGAATACTGTTGCTCAAGCTTTTGAAGTTCTGCATCCATCTCTGCTTCGGTATGCCCTGTGACCGCTTGCCTGGCATTTTTATCGTCTTCAGTTGCTTGAAATTCTCTATTTTCACTTCTTGTGATTTCCGCGTTTTCAAATGACTCTATTTTTGAAGAATCACGACTCATGTTGAAACAACTGCTTCAAGAAGTTGTTCAGCATTTCAATGCGATGCTCATGCTTTAAGCGTATCTATCCATGGGACATCGAAATGAATTCTTGCACCAGAATGAGTTCTTGCTCTGTCCGATGGTCAAAGAGCTCTGTTCCATGCGGAGCTGAAGGCGCGTCAATGTCGTCTGGTCTTCAGTTCACTCCATTTCTTCCGAGGTTTTCTACATAATAGAAATTCAGTGTTCTAGAATTGTCGTAGTTAACCGCTGAATTCTTTAGAAAATACTCAATTTATTGGCATAGAGCTTTTTTTCTTAAAAGAAGAGTGCACACTTTTTCAATTATTGTTGGACAACCTCTGTATACAACCAATGACAAATAAATACAACTTTTTAGCAACAGTAACCTTTAAGAATATATATATATATATATATATATATATATATGTGTGTGTGTGTGTGTTTGTAGAGAGGTTACTACAAGATAACTCATTATCCAGTATCTTTTTGAAGTAGCAGCCATAATCTTATAACTCGCTTTAAACAAAGTTTGATACGATTTATCCAATAAGAAAGCATATCCTGAATTCATGCAGAGGACAGTTGTGACAATTCTAATATTCCAAGGGCCTCAACTTTAGCTTCAAAAGCAATCGGAGAATATTTGATGAACCTCTGCATGGTTCGTTCACAGATTACACTGTGCAATTATTCTGGTAAGTGTTTATCGATGCATGATTTGGTAACTATTTCTAACATCCTATTCGTATTCCTTTCAAAAGAGCCCAAACTTTGAAAATAATGATTTGAGATTCTATATTGAGACAAGGGTATTGGAAATAACAAAAAAGAAAAAGATACACCCAAACTTTCATATGACATAATGTACATATCCAAAAATTTTGTTTTACTTATGAGTCATACAAATGCATCATATCTTCGAAAGTTTCTCTTCGGCGAATGTACTTCCATTGTTTTCCATCCACCAAAATCTCTGCAGGCTTTAATCTCATGTTGTAGTTTGATGCCATCGCATAACAATATGCTCCAGTATCCATTATGGCTATTCCACTTCCTTCCTCTGGTCTTGGAAGCATTCTGTCCTTTCCTAAAAAGTCAGCAGATTCACAAATAGGGCCAACCACATCAAACTTCGACAACTCGTTTGAATTCGGAGTAATCAATCCTATCCAATGAAACGCATCATAAAGACTTGGACGAATAACTTCCGCCATAGAACCATCAACAACAATAAATTCTTTGTTACCATTACTCTTCACACCAATCACTCTACTTATCAACATTCCAGTGTTTCCTAATCAGCCAGTTGGAAAAGTGAATACAATCATCTCCATTCAAAAACAACACTAACCTACAATAGAGCGACCTGGTTCAATTATCAATGTCAATTGGGCCTCTTTCACTTTTTCGCGAATGCTACCAACGAGTTCTTCTGGAGTCGGTATGGAATGTCCCTGTCGTTCGTAGTCGATTCCAAGTCCTCCACCAATATTCAAATATTGCAAACCATGGAAACCTGCATTCCGAATGATGGAAACAAAGTCCAGCATGATAGTTGCTGCATCCTTGAATATCTTCACTTGACGAATCGTCGACCCCAAGTGACAATGTACCCCAACCAAATCAAGATAACTTTGTTCTTGCTTGATGCGATTCAGAAACCATTCAAGATGAGTATTACGTATACCAAATTTGGAATTAGCTAGACCAGTTGATATATAAGGATGTACCTGAGGATCAATATCGGGATTGATGCGAATTAAAATACGCGCCCGCTTTCCAACTTGTTTACTAGACAGTATTATATGCTCTAAATCAAACTCAGAATCTACGTTGATCAAACACTCCTTCGTCACAGCTACGGAAATCTCACTGATAGTCTTTCCGTTTCCGTTGAGAACAGTCTTGTGCAAGTCAAAACCTGCCTTCTCTGCGAGCATCAGTTCGCCTCCAGACACCAACACAGCACCCGAACCTCGACTTGCAAGGATCCGAAGCAAACTCAAATTGTTATTAGCTTTTATGGCATAACCGATGATGGCATCCATTCCTTTAGTTGCGTTCAAGTATGACTCGAAGTTACTCACTAACTGTGATTTACTATAGAGAAAGAAAGGAGAGGTTCCTACATTTTCTAAAATATCCGCGACTTTTAACTCTTCACACCATAAAAAGCCGTGTTTATCATATCCAATATAGGACTTGTGAGTTCCAGCTTCCGAAAGTTGAACGGCCATGCTCGCCTTCAACCAGGAGCCAAGTTTCTGGTTCCTTCGAACTGGCAGTGTTGCTTGATGAACTCTTGTTTTAGAAACCGAGAAATACCCAACTTTTGAATCTTTCTGGAAGTGAGTATGGCTGGAAACGTGACCTTGTCTATGGAAATGACAAGGCGGTACAAAGACAAACATCCCCCCTCTTCCAATAAAAATGCAATCAAGTCGATTGTGTCTTAAAGCTCTATGACGTTGGCTAGTCATGAAGTGCACCAAACGCCACCCTACTATTTATATAGTGAAGGAAAAGGAATTGAAATTGACAAGTGGTCAATAGAAGTTACTGAAGGCCCCATCTTGAGTAGTAATGAAGTAGAAAGCTGGCAGTCACGACTTTCACTGAAACTTCCAACTATGGTATTTGGCCGAAACACTCTTTCCTTTCTTTGGAACGGAGAATGCAAGTTTTATTTTTCTGCTTTTGATGGTTTGCAAACAGTTAGTCACGAGAGTCCTTCATTGCGTGTTAAACCGGCAGTTTTTTGGGAGGACAAACAATCAACATTGGACAGTCCACACGCTAACTACGACTGGACGTACAGTACAAACTACGGTGGAACTTGGCTTATGCAAGGGGAGGAAACGGCGTTATCTGCGTCCCAGTCGCTTCTTGATTGGTCCCTGTTGAGAAGAGAAGACATCCCTCTCTTGTTCTTCAAAGAGTTGCCCTTATACGAAGACGAGCTAGACGACCAAGGAGTGTCTTCGTTGTCAGTTCGTTTGGTAGGTTTTACAACTTTTCACTATATTGTTTTGAATTGGTTGTTCAGAGAGTAATGTCCTCATTTTTCTATGTGTTATGTCGCTTTTGGTTAAGAGTTGATAATGTCCATTTTCGGCTTTGTGATACTCGCATTTATCATTGCTGGAAAACAAATGTCGTGATTGGGGAGTATTCAGAACAAGAAGCTACCTTTGAACATGTTGCAGAGGTATGAAAATGTTGCTTTAGTTTGGCATTTCCTAATTATGATGATTCTCATCAAAACAGATGGGTGTGGATAGTAGATGGTTCACCAATTCGGACTTTATGCAAAAAGTATTGCCTGTTACCAGAAAGTCTGCCAATCGTTATTATCTGACCTAAAGTACAAAAAGCCCGAAATATTTATTGAATTTCCATAACTTTCGAAATGGCAAAATAAAATGCTTATAAACTAACATCAAGGCAGATGAAATCTGCTCCATCATAAAAAGCACAAACAAAACTCATTGAAGTTTCTCAACTAACTTCGCATAACGAATATGAGCCATCAAATTCCTTGCAGCCTTACTATGACGATATACTTCTCCATTAAATGCTCGACTGGCATCTCGACCGTTCCAAAACTCTAATATCTTTCTACCACCAGGATGACTGGGCAGAAAATCTGTCACATTGTATACAAGTCCATCAATAATGATAAGATACAAACCCTTCTCCACCTGGGTTTCAACGTCTTCCCATGTCATCTCTGGGAGACTTTCGATTGGCTTGCCCCAATCCAATTGCTTCATTTGTCTTTCGAGATTCTGCTGTTCAACTTGCAATCTTGCTTTCTTGACTTCGTTCTTCGAAAAACGAACCAAGCGCTTCACCAAGCCAAACCAGCTCAAGAAACGTAAAGTCCACTTGGTTGGATCAAAATGATACCACATCACACCATTGCGATAGTCATGAGGAAACTCATGGTGATAGTTATGATAGCCTTCACCAAATGAAAACAGTGCAGTAACAATGGAGTCATAAGAAGAATGTTCGGTTGAATAGGTTTGTGAACCGAATGTATGCGCCATTGAATTAATAAAAAATGTGGCCTGATGAACAAAAAACATTCTTCCAAAACAAGCATATACTAGGGCTCCCCAAGCATCTCCCCAGCCAAGATAGGCAACCACTGTAGGTAAAACAAATCCAAACGTTAGCGCTATAGGGAGATAGTACTTGTGCTGAAACCTTAGCAGCCTATTTGAATTTAAATCTGAAATATCGACACGTCCGGCCCTTCTCACATCCTGTTTTAGCACCATCCAACCTAGATGAGCATACCAAAAACCTTTATGAACTGCATAGGGATCCTAGACTACGATTCAGTCCTCTTGAAGTGAAGAAGTGCTAAAGGTAAACAGTACCTTGTCGGAATCCACGTAACGGTGGTGGGCTCTGTGATTCCTAGCCCACCATCTTGCAGACCCTTCAAATGCCGCTGCACCCCATAAAGCAAGAACCACCTCAACCGGCCAAGTTGCTCTATATGAACGATGGGCCCAAAGGCGGTGGTAGCCACCAGTAATCCCGAGACCGGTTAAATAATATTGAACAGCAAAAAGAACAGCAGTTTGCCAACGCAACTTAACAAACGGAATACCAAGACACAAACAAATAAGCGGAGTAAAAATAATGGCAGTGGACAACCAGTTGATTCTCTTGTGCCAAGGAAGCAGCTTTAACTCCTGGTCCGTCATATATTTTGACTTTTTGACTTTTTCAAAAACGACCCCTCTATCCTTATCATATTCAAGGTCCTCACTTGCCTTTTGTGGTTCTGGAAGTATGTCAGGAAGCACAGTGCCCGACTTCAAAGAAGTCTCACTTTGAACTTGCATTGAGCTCATTGCTCAACAATCCAATTATCCACCAGTAAATAATCTTTGGCCGAGAAAAGGAAACCGTGTTCAAAATGTTGGAAAAATCTCCAATGGGCATTTTTCTCGTGTCAATTTCCACGAGCGCCTTTCTTAGTCTTTGTAATTGCAGAAGACATTGCCTCATTCTCAACAACTAAGGAGAAATCTTTGCACAGTTAAGTGTTTGTAAATATTTATAACTTAGGTAACTCAACATTGCTATATTGGGTTTGATGCAATGCTTCTTAAGTGCTCAATAAATGCTCCTAATATTGCACGATAATAGGAAGACCCATTTTAACTGGACACTTTGCTACTATTTCACTTACTCTTCTCAACAGTAAAAACTAACATAGTCCCAATGCTACTTTGGTTGAAGTGTGTTTCCCACTTTTTTGTAGCGGTTTGAGAAATGCATGTGGATTGTATTGCAACTTTGAATTGTCATCGAGTTGGAGCGCTTAAATAATATTGCTGGTGTTGTATTGCAGTTAAAGATGGCAAATTCGAAATACGCCTATGTAAAAAGCTTTGAAGTTGAAGAAAGGATTCTTCCCCAAGTTTGGATCGTAGTGCGACTTGACGGTAGATGTTTTTCAAAGCAGGTTTTAGTTTTTCGTCGTTCTATTTGAGTTACTAAATAGCAGCAGGTTTGCCGAAGAGCATAAACTACAAAAGCCCAATGACGAACGCTGTCTTCGTTTGATGGAACACAGTGCAAGGAAGGTATGTGTTGAGCAAAGAATTGCAGCTTTTCGTGGTTCATTTGGATAGGTATTGGAGTCATTTGACGACTGTTTCCTTGCCTACGGCCAAAGCGATGAATTCAGTTTTGTACTCCGAAAGCAAACCAACGTATTCAACCGACGAAAGAGGTATGCAAGTTTTAAGTATTGTGATACACGGCGAAATTCCGACGCTTAGCAGCAAGATATTATCCTGTATCGTTTCCTTGTTCAGTTCTGCTTTCGTTTTTTATTGGAAAACATTTTTCGAAGATATGGAAATGAAATATCCGGTAAGCCTCGTGAATTTTTCACTGTTCTTAGACTGACTTTGACAAGCCGTCCTTCGACGGCCGGGTAATCATTTATCCTTCCGAACAAACTTTAAGGGATTATCTAAGTTGGAGACAAGTGGACTGTCACGTGAATAACCAATACAATACATGTTTTTGGTTGCTTGTACAGAATGGTGCAACTCCGAAGGAAGCTTATGAAACTTTAAAGGTGAGTTTCACCTGTTGGTCGTTTTGTGTTGATCACAAATAGTTAGTTTCTACTAGGGGACATACTCGGACTTCAAAAATGAGCTTCTTTTTCAAAAGTTTGGTATCAATTATTCCCATATAGAAGCTCGTTTTCGAAAGGGCTCAACTCTGTTTAAAAAACCTAGACAAGTCGCGATGAAAGGTTCGAAAACCGTTTCTGAAATCTTTCTCACGCATGAAGATATCATAAGAGATGAATTTTGGAGCAAAAATAAGGATTTGCTGGAAGACCGATGATTCTCAAGAGGAAAGATTTGGCGGGCTGTTCAAATTGATCTTCTTTCGTAGCGAGAATTGATTGACGTTTTCAAACGTTCGTTTTTATTCCTTTGTAGGTTACCAAAAAGTTATCCAAATATGGACCGAGAACAGCAACAATTGCTCTTGAAGCGACTTTCCGACCTTAAAACACCTCAGAAAACAGTGAAACGAATTCTTGATGCCCTTGAAAGCAAAGATAGAATCATAGACTCTTTGACGACGCGGGCTCAAGTAGCCGACGAATTGCAAAGCCAGTGTGACAGCTTGAAAGCGACAGTGGAAGCGAAAATAAGAGAAAACGAGTTACTTGCATGGCAGTTGCAGCAGAAACAAGAACAATTGGCACATTTGGAAAGATTGGTAGAGTTTCTTGAACAACAAACAAGTTGTCGCACCAAACAGTTATCTGTACAACAACGACAACAGAATGCCATTCAACAACATATGGAAGCAAAGCAGAAGCAGCAAAATGAGGATTGGATCAGTTGTGTAGCTGAACTCAAGTACGAGCTCGCAGCCGCTAAAGCCGAATGTATCTCGGTAGAATTGAGGAACAGTGAACTTGAAGAACAAATTCATTTGTTATCTGAAGATAAGGCTCATGTTATGCAATATTATGAAGAAAGGTTGAAACAAATGAATGAAGATCTAAAGCAAGAACAAAACAGAAGTAAAAGTCAACTGGTTGAGTTTCAAAAACGACTTGAAGAACTGGAAAATTGCAAGAGTCTGGAAAACACTATTGGAAGTCTTTCAAAAGATGTAGACAAGTCCACGATTCGCCAGTCACCCAGACGAAATATGCCACAGTCATCTAACCATTCTCTAGCAATATGCAATTCAAGTCGTGAAAAGAATTTGCAACTGGAAAGCACGTGTTCATCTTTGCAACCTGTAGAGTCGTCGGAAGATACTGAAACAGTTTTAAGAGAGATAGAGCATTCCAAGACGAAGAGAAAGAGTAAGAAAGCATTAAAATGTGGTCAAATATCATCGCCCTTGAGTGCAGAAGTTTCATCTTATCTTGTGGAGGAGACAGAACAGCATAGAGTGGAGATGATGGATGCTCATTTAGATGGTTTCAAAGAGAACCAAGGAAACGTACACAATATATCGCAGACGGTTGAAGACGCTCCTGTTTTACCAACGAAGAAATATAAGGAAGATCATAAGAAAAGAAGGGTTAATCGAAAAGTGAAAGGTACCCATCCCAAGTCATATGAGGCAGCAGAGTCTGACTCAGATAAAGTTCAAACCAAACGAAAGAAAAAGATGGCATCAGAGAAAGACAAAAAGTCAGCAGCTTCGACCAAAGATGCTTCATTCGGACTTTATTCAGTAAGAAATGATATTTCATCTGGCGACTCTTGGCAAGGTCCCTCTTATCCCAACTCTGCATTGTCTTCATTACAAATTCCTCAACTGGCGTTTTCGATGACAAAAGATGGAAAAGTTGTGTTTGATGCCTTTAAGCCTTGATAATATTATTCAATCCACAATGAGTATCATTTATTTCTTGAAAAAGTTCACTTCATGGGTTTGTTGCAAGATATTTAAGTTGCCTTTTTATCTTTAGCCAGACGTTTCAAATGGCGGCCTGTTGCTGTGCCAGTACTTTCTACCATGGAATGAAATAGAGTATAAGGGTCTTCCAGCAATCTTGCAGGAGTATCAAATTCGACAATCTGTCCCTTATCAAATACTATAACTCTATCAAATGTAATAATATCTTCCAGGCGATGTGCAATAGAGAGGACAGTCAATTCTGCAAACTCATCTCGAAGCATGGATTGAATCATTGCATCGGTTTGAAAATCCACTGCTGCAGTAGCTTCATCCATTAACAATATTTTGGAACGTCTCAATAAGGCTCTCGCGACACAAATCAGCTGCCTTTGTCCGGCAGAAAAGTTACTTCCGTCTTCTGAAACTTCAGTATCTAAACCCAACGGTAAATTTGCAATGGTTTCTTTCATATGTACTCGTCGAAGTGCTTCCCACAAGTCAGCGTCCGAAAAATATCCAAAAGGATCCATATTACTACGAATAGTTCCTTTGAATAAAACAGGTTCTTGTGCAATAACTGCAAGTCGACTCCTTAAATCATACAACCCAATGGTTGCAATATCTATTCCATCGATCATGATTCGACCTCCATTTGGCTCTACTAGACGCAATAAGACTGAGAAGAACGAAGATTTGCCTGCCCCTGTCCGACCAACAATGCCAACCTAACAAACTGTAAGCTTTCATTGGATAAAGTTATTGGATTACCTTTTCCCTTGGTCGGATGCGACAGCTGATACCTTTAAGGACTGGAGGGTCGTTCTCCGAATATCGGACCACCAAATTGTCAACCACAATAGCTCCTTCACTAGGCCAATACGGAGGCGGTCGAGAAGAATGAATAACTGGCAAAGCTTCGGAAGGAATATCGACAAACTGTAACTGCCTCTGCACTGCAATCATTTGTCCTTCTAGAGCTGCAAATTGTCGAACATTCCAAGTGAGAATTCCTAAGCAAATATCACTTTGAACAAATACATCAGAGATACTTGTGTTCTTACCTGTAATAGACAGTGCATAAGAAAGAGACAAACCAACCAGCGCAGGACTAATTTTGGCAGCATCTGCTACAGCAAAAACTGCAGAGAGAAATAATACCGAAGTCCCTAAAAAGTTCAACCGAACTTCTAACCATTTTTCTGCAACTCCCGTACAAAACAATGCACGAAAACGTCTATCTATACGACTCGATAATTCCTTACGAAATCGTTCCTGAGCATCATAAGCTCTGACCGTTGCTGCACCATCCAAAGATTCCGTGAAATGAGAATACACAAATGAGCGAGCAACTGCTTCCAATCTCGTCAGTTCTCGAAAAGTATGTCGATAATAATTTTGAATAGGATAATACAATAGTAATAAGACAATCAGAGAAATCACTATAGGCGGTGTACTGAATGCTATTAAAAGAAATATAAAGGCAAGTTGAAAGACCGACTTGGCAAATTCTGCCAATGAAAATGGCAGCATTGTATCGACAACTTCTTGGTCCTTGGAAAATCGATTCACTATTCTACCCACTGGAGTTGTATCAAAGAATCTTTGTGGTGCTCGAATAATAGATGAAAATAATTTCGCATGTAGCTCCCGCGCGGATCGAAGACCTCCCAAAGCAACTCCAACATTTCTCCCCAATACAACGACAGCATTGATGAAAGCAATCAGAATGTATATCGACATATAAAACTTCATTCCAGGATCGGGCTGAATTCTCCCACTAAACCAAATGCCCATCCACCAGTCTGTAGCCATCATCGACAATACATCAAAGCCAAAACCAAAGACTAGAGCACACAATACCAACTTGCCTCCATAAGCCAACAAATATGTCAAATAAACCGTTGAAGGAATACTACCAGAATGTCTTTCTTCTTCTTGAAACAAGTTGGAAGGTTTTGCCTCTTCCTCAGTTTCGATTTCATCCTTTTCTTCCAAGTTGACAATTTCTCCATTTTCATGATTCCATTGTTGCGCATCTTCCACAAGACTGTCTTCACGTCCACCACTAAAATAACTTTCGAGTGCCTCAGAAGCGGAATCCGCATCACTTATGTCATCGGATATTAAAAATTTAGCCAACTCCAACTGAGAATCTGCGAATTCTTCTGGAGTGCCTCTCCATATAACATCTCCTGAGTCTAGCAAAAGCACATAGTCCACTCCAGGTATAAAATTAATCTTAAAGAAAATATGAGTCACAACAGCGATAAATAGCGATACCAACCTGATTCATTGCAATAATGCGGACTTTGTTTTTCAAAAAGGAAACGATGCATTCGTCCCAAATATTCGTTGCGACATGTGCGTCTACTGCACTAAGAATATCATCCAAAACATAAATATCTGCATCGGCATAAACAGCGCGTGCTATAGAAACTCTCTGTTTTTGACCTCCACTTAGCCCTGCACCTTTAATACCCAACATGGTTTGGTCTCCTGCTGCTAATTCCTTTAGGTCCGGTAGTAGAGCTGATACCCTAAGAGCTTCTCTATAACGAGAAGGTTCATATTCACGTCCAAATAAAACATTCTCTCTTATAGTGCCATGTTGAATAAAAGGATTTTGTGCTGCATAAGCAATTCGGCCACATACTAAAGCATTTCCTTGCAACTGTGCCAGTTCCCCAAGTATGGACATGAGCACAGATGTCTTTCCGGATCCTACCGAACCAATAACAGCAACCAATGAACCATTTTCTACTCGCATGGTGATATCTCGAATGGCTATCAGGTCATTCTTATCTTCTGCAACACCATAACTTGCTTTCTTTCGAGGAGAACGAGTCAAAGGTTCAGCTTTCAACAACATTGGAGTCTCCTCTTCTTTCTTGAGACTTGTAGCAACTTGGGAATCTGAAACATTTCGAAACGTTGTATCATACCATGAAAAACTGCAATGCTCAAACACAACTCCAGAAGAGAATTTCTCTATCCAATCTCGATTCTCTTCCGTTATTTGATACGTAAGACCGTCCCGTCCTTTTAACTCTGGTTGGGACATAAATTCTTCAATTCGACGAACTGCAACAGTAGCTTGCATCCAATCACCGATGGCACTAGGCAAGTAGTTCAATGGCACTCGACAATTGTTGAATAGAGCCAAAGCTGCAAAAGCTCTACCCACATCCAATACAGGTGACAATAGTGCATAAACAATGAAACAAGTCACCGATGCCAAAACAGGATTGACAGTAAACATAAACGCATTGACAAAATTCAACGACATATAATTTCTGGCATGCCTCAACTCTTCATCTCGAACCAAATTCATTTTCTTTCGAAAGTCTTTTTCCCAAGCATTGATTTTGATGATTTTGATAGCCTGCAATATTTCGGTAACTAACCGAACCCGTTCGTCCGTATTATGTAATAACTGATGCCGCATATCCCCTAGTTTCTTTACTACAAAGGAATTGATCGGAATCATAGTGAGAATGACTGCGAATCCAGCGGCAGTTGCCAACCATCCAACTTCAAATACTAAAAATCCTATGGAAACCAATACTTTCAAAGGCGCATCCCAAAGATCAAAGAAATGGGCGTAAAAGGCAACTTTTTCTGCATCTGAAGAAACCAAAGTCATGATATGACCTGAAGTCATTCTCATTCGGGATTCATTACTCAGTCGCAATCCTTTTTGATAAATCATACCTCCCAGTCCACCTGTTACACACATGTAGAGCTTTTGAACGATAAAATTTCCTTGTTGTGCTGCCAAACAACTTATCATCGTAATAAGAAATATAAGAAACGCATATAGAAAGCCCAATACTTGAGTTTCGGACGACCCTGTTCGTTGAACTAGAGCAACATAAGAAACAATCTTCTGCAACAATACTGGACCAGCAAACACAGACAAGTCCTCCACAAGTTTTAATAGCGCTGCAGACCAAAACTGTGGCCAAAATGAAAAGTATAAAGCTCCAAGTAAAGCATTTGATTTATCCATGCCTCGTTGTTTCCATTTTGATGATAACAACTGCAACACATTTTCGTTTTGTAATGGTTTGGATAGCGTGTATAAATCCTGTGGATTGAGTTGTCTTCGATATCCAATAAGAAACAAAGGATTGAGCCACGAGAAACTTAATAGTGACATGACACTTGCTGTTTCTTCTGGATTGGCGTTTGGCAGAGCAGCTTGGAATCCTCGACGAGGAGCAAAGAGACTAATGAATAGGAGTGTAAAACAAAGTACACAAGATACAGCACTGAAAATGTAATCGACAACTAAGACGGGAGAAATCGATGCAATAATACGCCAGGTACTCGAGTAGGAAACAGTAGAAACTAGTTTGATGGTTTCCACTGCAGCGTTGATCAAATAGAATAGTGGAAGAAGGAGCGGAACTCCACCTAGAGAACCTTTCCCACTAAACAAAGCATCAACACGGATCAACTTGTGGCAAAGAGTCCAAGCCAAGAATTGAATTGCGACAGAAAGTGTCAATAGCCAAGGTGGATATATACCCTTTGGGTGCTCTCCATAAGAGAACAACACGAATAAAACAGCCATAGCTGCTAAAGTGGAAACGATCCACTGTTGAATTCTACAAGTGATGGGTAGAAAACCTTTGGCTTCTTCCTTGTCCCAAACATTGTCTTCCACCCAGTACAATCGTAAAGTACCAAATATGAGCAAAAAAACTCCAGGTATCATAAGAGAACTAAGTAAAAAGCAAGTCTTAAAACCGATCTGCCGTTTGTAAGGTTTTACTTACCACTCCGATACACAGGGTGAAATCAAACGGGAGAGTATAAATGCTTCCTTCAGATAATTGTCAAAAGCAACAACAAACTTCAAAGGTTACCATACATACCCAGTTTCCGTCACATATTCTTTGCTCGACTTTATTTATAGTCCAATCCCATAAGGTTGCCATGTTGAGTCCAACAGCCTTCAAGACTATACAACCAAAAGACGTGGAATGCTGAGAAGTTGGGGAAGCTTTTAGAGAAGGAGATTTCACCAAAATACTTTGAATAATGATTGACAAAGGTAGCATTGAAAATTTGTATATGACTTTCTATGCATTTTGTGAGCTAGAACTATTGTCTCAATAGTAATACCATTCTTCTCCTTGGTTGATATAAATGAAGAAATGGGTTGCATCTAAGAATGAATGAAAGAACAAGATTCGACGACTTGTTTATTGGATAGCACATTTTGCTAAACGAATCATTGTTGCCCAAATCAAGTTGAGTTTCTGATCCTTTTTTTATAAAAATATTCAAAAACCCACGATACATCATCCAAGTTTCTCACTACCTCAATATATAATATATATCCAAGGTCTCCAAAGATTCTCTTTTGCTTTCCAGTCGATACATTGTTACTCTTCCTAGTTGAATTTATTTTGGAGTTGTTCCTTCAACTTGTTATTCTTCAAATCTGGAGTATGTTGTAAAAATGGAACCATAAATATATTACCCATTTCACTGTGCCATAATTCTGTACTCAAACCTAATAATAATATATCCCACAACTCCAAAATATCTTCATCCTTCTCTAACATAATTTCATCAAAAAGACTAGAGTATACTTCAGTAGCTTCCACCAATATTTCAAAAGCATAACAAAGCCTGATGAACAAGAACAAAAAATCATGATAAGCAACACTCGATAATATTATCTACTTCATAAATACCTTGATATCGATTGAACATTCATCTTGGCTTGAAATGTTTGTATTAAGCCAGAAACCATTTGAATGGCATACTTCCTTTCCACACATTCATTATCACAAGTTAGCAATACAGAATGATCCACTCGATAATAGTAAGGTAAAAGCCTAAGAAAGAACTGACCAATCGTTATAGAAGCGTGCACATCTTCACGTGAAGACAATAGCAATGGATTTTCTTTATAAATAGATTGCATCCAAGATTTCATTGAGTCCTTCCAAGTATTACATTCAACAGCACAAGTCAAAAGACCACATGCTAAACGTTCCAGCTCCGAAGATGACAAATATACCCATTTTTGTAACAAAATCAAACGCCACAATTGTTCGCTACTCTCCCAATCACAAATAAACTGTGCAATCTGATAAGGGATCTCTACTAGTACAAGTTCCTTTTCTATAGTGCTCAGACACTTTGTTGCAGATTCATATACACATAAGAAAGCTTCTCGTCCCAATTCCAAGGATACTTCACCTATTGTGATTACTTCTCTTAAATATAAATAAATCATAGCGTTCCAATCAAATTGAATATCATTATTATGAAATGTACACGGAATTTGTAACTTGGCGAAGCAAGTTCTAGAATATAAACAATATAACAAGACTCTGGTAGAATAACAATTGGTTTGGGATATCCATCTATTCCAATATTCGTTTCGTGACGATCGTTCCTTCCTTGGTAATAGTAGAAATGTATACAAAAAGTTCACAAATTTTCTACGAACGGAAAATGGCAACAGCCAACGTTTTTCATCAATGTTCCGTAGCCATTCAAATACACTATTTTCAATGGACATTCTAAACTCAAGTTCTTTCTCCTCACCATGCAAACCCCATTCAACCATTTGATTATAATTACGATAATACTGGAGCAATCCTTTTTCCGCTATTTCCAATAAATTTGAAATCATATCCAATTTGAAAAATGTTTTATAGGGAATCCATTTTTCGACAACTGGCAACGGAACCAAAACATAATAGACATAGTGCAATGGATCCAATAATGCACTGGCTCCTCCTTCCATGAGTTGACTGGTCCATTCTCGCAATGCTTCTGCAGATACTTGAGAAGGAATCCAAGGATGGTCAATCCCAGACTCTTCTTCCACAACTATTTGTAAGCTCTGTTGAAGCCACTGAATCAATACACATGGAGAAGTAACTTCCGACTCAAAACTAGCAATCGGATACAACTCCTTCACCAGAGATAGGTACTTTGTTAAGTCACCTTCTCTCAACACAGCTGAGTTGCAAATCTGATAAAAGGTATGTTGGGGTGACCATATAGCCAACTTCCAGAAAGCAATCACTGCACGATAACTAAATCGTTTTTCTTCTGAAAACTGGTTGATTTGTAACTGCAAGACATTACTCAACCAACGTTTCGTTTTCATGACCCAATCGACAGGTTCTATTGAAAACTTTGTATTCCAACTAACTTTCCCGTTGGATTTGGAGATTCTCACAAGTAACTGCTTCAAAATCAACCTAAAGTCTTCACGTTCCAATACATCCAACAGTTGAAAAACTCTCTGAACAGTATCCATATCACAACGGCCCTCATTCCACAAACGAAATATATACATTGGACATAATACTATAAGTCTCTGTCGGTAACATTCTTTGCGTTCCCAACTATTTGAACGCCATTCAGGAGAAAATGCGTCGTCAACCACTCGACGCCAATCCAGTTGACTTGGATCTTCATCGGCTATAGACAAGAGGGTAATGAAAGTTGCTGTTCTTAAAAGTCTTCCCAAAATCCTGTCATCCTTTAATATACTTTCCAATATCAACCAGCAGTCTTCGATAGAAATAAAAGTTTTGTTCGCATACACCCATATTCTTTGAGTCAGAAGGACGTCTTCCACAGTAATGGGTGTATTAGCTACAACTGCCACAATATGTAATATTCTTCTAACCCAACTGGGTGATAAACAACGATATGGATGCGTTTCCATCAGAACACTCGACATTCTCTTCTTCCATGAAAAGAAAAATGTTATGATTTGGATGTATTGAGAAATTGCGCCATGGACGACTTTGACGTTGACACAGACTTGTGTATTAACGAAATGTATAACTTTTATTCCAACTTGGAAGAAGTCGCGGATGACGTCTCATTAGATGAGGAAGTATTAGAAGAAGAAGATGAAGACCAAGATAATCTAGTCTCCAACTCAGAGACTTTGAAGGGTTTTGAGAGATATAGTCTGCGTATGTTGTCAAAGACGGATAGAGACTATTTCCTTGCAAGATTCTTTCCAGAAGACTTGCCTACGGTGCAGTCGTCGGTAAGTATTACTCTTTGAAAGTTGACGAGGCTCACGGGATGCTTAGTTGCTTAGAATTTACCGACAAGGTGAGGACACGGTAGAAGCGCGTCGAGAAGAACTTGCTGCGGAGCGAAAATTTTTGAAAGAACAACAAACTTTTCTAGCTTGTCGTCGAGCTAGGAGACAAGCTTCCGAAGGAGTTGTAAAGCTGCCGCCAAGGTCTCGAAAGAGGTGGTGCATCGAGTGTGGTTCCAAGCAAAATTCTGGTGCTCAAGCTAACGAAGACAATAATGTGAAAAAGTTTTCGGGAAGTTTAGAAGGAGAATCGTCTGCTACGTATGCTTTATTTATTCTGGATGATGAGAGAAATGAAGCAGACTTTGTAACTCTGGACAAATACTGCCGTTATCACTTTAGATCTTTGCTCCCGGCGGAACGTACAAATGAGCTGGATGTGGAAGAAGCCGAACGTAAGATACAAAGACAAAATAGAGCAGAGCAAAAGGAGTGGGAACGGCTGCCGACCAAAGATAATCTTTCCATAACGAAAGGTGAAGCTGTCCCTCTTGCTTCAGAATCTGGAAGCTTATTGAGTTATTCTTCAAAAGCAAGTTTTGTGGATACACCGCAATCTTCTTCTTTGCAGAATGACGGTGTTATCCGTAAAAGTTTGAAAAGAACCAAAACCTCAGAAGAAAATGAAGATCTTGATTATGAAGTGACATTTGAGGATGACGATGTTTCGCTTGGGGAAGAGGTAGAAGAAGTTCAAGAACATGAAGAAGAGAGAGGATTATCAGAGGATGAATCAGAAGTTGGGCAGAAAGAATTCTTGAAAGATCGTTCTTCAGGTGTCTCTACCAAAAGTTCTCCGTATCGCAAAAGATCTCGTTTAGAAGAAGCTGCATCCGTTGGAAGTGCTTCTCCTAGTGCCCTTTCATCCTCGGACTCTGATAATGAAGATATGCCGAATTTGTCACATTCTGGCAAAGAAATCAAACGATTATTGAAAAAAGAGAAAGTCGTGACAGACTCAGGTATGAAATGTTATTTATTGTAGATTCCAATGACAGAATGGAATTGCCTGATAGAGTCGAGTACGAAGAAACGTCGAGTTTTGAACAACAATTCATCCAATGAGAAAAGTCCAGAGTTGGAAACAATTGTTCGCGATATCCTTTGGGACTCGTGTTTGAAAAAGACTCCGCTTTCATTGAGAGAGTTTACTTCTTTAGTGACCCAAAAATGGCCCAACCTCCAGAAGAGTCGTAAAGCATTAGATCCTCAGCTATTAGAATTGATCAAAAGCTATACGGAACAACAGACAGATGATTCTGAAAGTCCGAACAAACATATCTTTATGTAAAGGAAGAAGCTTTTGCGATGGATCAATAAAAGGTTTGGAATTCCCACGTCCTGGATGGCATTCTTACAGTCGTCGACGCCAATCAACAGTTTTCATCATAGTCAAGTGCCTTGCAAAAGTTTAGAAAATAGTTGTGGTTCATTATATGCTGTATTCTTTAAGAGATATACTAGCAAGAAGTTGTCGTTACCTCTATCCATTTTCTATGGTCAGCGAAAGCTCGCCTTGAAACAAAGCAATACTTTGCAAAGTGCAAAAGAAATCAAGTCTTCAACCCGGATGCACATAAAAGGTGGTGCAGAGGAAGAAGAACAAATTGCCGCAGAAGATCAAGCGGAAGCTAAACAATATGAACAGTTGAAGAAAACTCCAATAGACAGGGCCATCAGTCCCACTTTGGCAAAGAAACTTGAAACTTTGCCTCCTAGATTCCGAAACTATTGCAGCGTGTTACCTGAAGACGTCAATCTCATTCCTTTAGGAACAAGAGCAACAAAGATAGTCTGCACCGTGGGTCCCTCCACTTGTCAACCAGCTCAGTTGATGCAACTGATTGCGGAGGGTGCAGATGTTCTTAGATTGAATATGTCGCACGGAGACTTTGCTTGGCATCAATTAGTCATAGAAAATATTCGGGAAATAGTGACCAATAGCCCTTTTGTTGTGTCGGTTATGGTCGACATTGGAAGTTTAGACTCTGTTCGGATAGGAGAATTTACTATTGAGCCGAAACTGGAGAAGAATCAACGCTTTGTTTTGACTATTCGACATGAACCCTCATATCCTCCTTTTACTAGTGAAGTGAGTTATGATGGTTTTGTCAATGTTGTCAATGTTGGAGACCTGATTCAAATAGAGAATGGAACTGTGCAAATGTTGGTAGAAGAAGTTACTCACACGGATGTTATTTGCAAGGTCATTGAGAGTGGAACTTTGAAAAGTAGAGCTCCTATTTCAATCCGAGGGAAATCGTATGCTCTTCATTCACCTAGTGATCCCGAAGCCTGTTCACCATACATGGCAGGCTGTGACCCAGATGCAGATATTGAGTTTGCTATTCGTCAGCGAGTGGAGTATATTGCTCTTTCATTTGTAGAGTCCGCAGAACAAGTCAATCGGTTAAAGAATCTCATCAAAGAAAGGAATGCCAATATTGGAGTGGTTGCTAAAATTGAAAGTAAAGCAGGATTGGAACATTTGGAGGAGATTGTTCAATCTTCCGATGCAGTGATGGTTGCAAGAGGAGATTTGGGTACTGCTATTCCTTATGAAATGGTTCCTGTTTGGCAACAAAGGATTGTTTCTCTATGTCGACGTTATAAGAAACCTTGCATTATATCCACACACTTTTTAGAGTCCATGGTACAGTATCCTACACCAACCAGAGCGGAAGTTACGGATATTGCGGAAGCCGTGAAACAAAAGACGGACGCTCTTATGTTAACCACAGAAACTGCCAGTGGAAAGCATCCATTTAAAGCAATTCAGATCATGCATTCGGTTGCCGTTCGGATGGAACAAAAGTTGAAACAAGATACTCTCGACCCTTTTTTGCATTCATGGAGTCCCAACCAAGTTTCAAGAGTCAATGGAATGGTGCCGATTGCCACCATAGCAGAGAACATCTCGTCATCGGCTACTGTTTTGGCTAATCAAAGAAATGCAAAGGCTATCCTTGTATTTACTCAAAAGGGATTCATGGCCTCCTTAGTTTCCAATTGTCGACCTAATGCTCCTATATATGCATTTACCCCAACACCAACTAGTCGTAATCGGTTGAGTCTTCTGTACGGCGTAAGAGGTTTCCGTATTGTATTTTCTGATGACCCTGAAATAACTGTACAACGTGCTATTCAGACACTTTTCCTTCGAGGTTGTTTGCAATCAGGAGATTTGGTGGTAGTGGTTGCGGATATTCTCGGTGGTGCTCCAGTCATTAGTGAAGAGCAAATAGAATCTGTATTTCATTCTCTTGGAGATTCCAAAGAGCAACTTCCCGTATCTTTTGTCCGAAGAGGCCTTCGTCAATTGGGACTCAAGATCAGCGATGCCATTGAGGCAGAATGGAGTATGCGAGATGTTGACTTGGAAGATAGTAGCCGAGAAAAGATTGCTATTGCAGAAGAAGAGAATACAACGCATCGAAGGAATCCCGAGTTAGCCAATCATTCTGAAGGAGAAGGCTTTACTTTGCAACGCTTCAAAACAATTGTTGCCAACTCTAGTGAAATTATTCATTCTATTCAATTGAGAATAGTTTAGTTACATAGCTCTTGTACTTTCTAAGTTATCTTTGGCGAAAGTAAGGAAGCCGTCAACCAGATATAGGAGAAAGAACAATATCCATGGGTTGGTCTTCTTCATCTACTGGGACGTTCTCCACCATCGACGCCGATAATGCAACTCCAACAAATAAGGGAGGCTGAATCCCTCTTTGTTGGGCCACTTGTTTGCATTGCGATATAAATCGATCATAATAACCCTATTCATTCCATCACGATTATTTTCTTTATAAAAGCTGCCCACAAAATAACGTGACTACCTTTCCACGTCCCAATCGATGTCCCATTACATCAAAAGCAAGGCCAGGAACTATTACCAAATCTAGACAATCTCGTTCCAAACAAAGAACGGGCTGTGTCACTGGAGGCTCCCGAATACCCCACCGATTGGGTTCCCAAGAAAATATTTGTTCTAAACTATGTGCTTGATAAAACCATAGAGTATGGTCTTCTTGTATTCTGGGAAGAAAACAGCGCTTGTTGGATTCCAATATGAGTCTGATTATTTCACGAGTATCTACCTGTTGTTTGAATTGAAAATCCTCTATCACTGTACGCAATTCGTACTCACTTCCTTTGTAAAACTGACGTAACAAGCAACAGAACTGGCCTGTTGAAACGGTGTCCAAGTTGCCAATCGTTCTGTGATCTTTTTACCTTCAACAATAAATATATTTGAGAGAAAATTGTCTTTTAAAAGCTTACTTTCCACTAGGACAACTTCTTCCTTGAGTTGTTTTAGTTTTTCCCGTGTTCTCCTTCTCAACTCTCTTTTCAACACCACCAGTGAACTTTGCATCGATTGTGCTGAGTTGAAGAATTGGCCTACTCGGCGTCGTCCAGTGACACACTGTGGATTGGGTTTGCTATCGATTGAGTAAACTTGTTGTTGACTAGTATTATTCAAAAGCAGAGGCTATGGTAAGAAATAGATGAACTCACCGAATCCCAACTTTATAATATTTGTAGGGTCGAGTGAGAACCAAAACAGTAAAAAAGTCTGCACGTGTGATCATCGAAAAATATTATTCCAAGTTGACTTTGGATTTCCAGACCAACAAAAGAATATGCGATGAAGTGGCACTTATTCCTTCTAAAAGACTTCGTAACAAGATTGCAGGTTTCGTAACGGTACGTCATCAACCTTGTCCACTGTTGAAAACTTTGAACGGGTTCGTGTAGCATTTGATGAAGCGAATCCAGAAAGGACCTGTTCGGGGAATTTCTCTTAAATTACAAGAAGAAGAGAGAGAAAGACGAATGGACTTTGTTCCCGAAATATCCGCCATAGACGTGGGTGAAGTGAAGATTGACCCGGTGACTAAGAATATGTTGGAGTCTTTGGGATATAAGAATCTTCCCAATGTGATAGTCGAGACTGGAGTAGAGCCCAAGAAATTTGCACCGAGAGCATTTTAGTGGAAAATAAAAGTGCACACAAGATGAATATATACGTCCGACCTTTTTACCAATTTATTTATAGATCGTGTTGTTATGAGCCTTGTATGACTATCTTTTGTTGGAAAGTGGATTACTCGCGACAAACTTGTCTCACATTGTGAAAAAAAACATTTGAAGACTTGAGAACAATGATCGACTCTTTTATGGATGATAGCCATTAATAACAAATGAAAAGACTTTCGTTGCTTTTGAAAGAGTGGAAGAATATCATAATATATGGAGACGGTAAAACCAGTCAATATATTCGGACAGGAGCTGAGAAACAAGCTTGCGTACTTGCCAATCGACTGGAGCAGTCGTTGCAAAGAAAACAAGAGACAAAAGTTGAGCAATATTTCCAAAGAGTTTATCCCCATCAGCTTTGGAAACGTTGGTTCACAAAGGCTATTGCCAAATTGTTCCTCAAGACGATTGCCAAGTTGAAACCGCAGTCTCGTATGTTGTTAAGTGACTATTTCTTACGTATTTCCAAGCACATAGGATGTTTTGAAAGTCCTATAGAGAAACTCGACAACACTAACAACTCTCACTTTTCTTTAGAAGATCCATTCGTCTTAGTAGGTGCAGCCAGTTCTACGGCGCCATTTCTTGTTGCCATGAGATATCGTTATAAAAGCTGCAAAACTATTCAAGTGTTGCACCCGCGTTGTAATACAGACTTGTTTGATGCAGTAGTTTCACCCAAGCATGATAGTGTTTATCAAAAGTTTAACAAGGACAACTGGATACCAACCACATTATCTTTACACGAGCTTACTCCAGAATACTTGAAACAAATAAGAGAAACAACCATTCGTCAATATCCTGTGCTTGCTTCGGTTATCAAAGTTGTTATCTTGATTGGTGGTCCTAGAAACCACTGGCAACTCATTTACTGCAATCCGTACAAGTCTATTGCTCGATTCATGCATTATTTATCGCAAGCAGTTGATAGATTTTCTCAGCAAAATTATATATTTCTTGTAACTGTGAGTGGAAGCTTCTTTTATTTTCATACAAGGTGAGGATGTCAATTTCATTGGCTTAGGTATCGAATAGAACGCCATCGAAAGTCTCTCGGCTGCTTTATCAACAATTACAAAAGTATGATGAATGTACACGTGTATCACAAAAAAGAGGTTCTCACGCTACTTTAGGAATTTTCTCAAGGATAACATTTGGTTTTATGATCCTAAGCAGCCAAACTCTCAAAATCCATATCATCAATATTTAAGTGTAGCAGACTATATTTTGGTTACCAGTGAGTCGGTGAATATGATAAGTGAAGCATTGAGTTGTCAACGTCCCGTGTATGTCTATGATTTATTTGGTACAGAGTCTACTCGTTTCTCTGGTAGAAGGTTGCGTCTATTTTTGAACAACTTGGTTCAGCGTGGTTGGATTGCTCGTTTTGAAGGAACTCTGCACGTTCATTCTTTGCATCACTCATCTTTTGATGAAAAGAACAAGTGTCATGATTGCATCGAAGAAGAAATTTTCACGACATTGTTGTCTTTGCTTGAAGAAATTCCTGGTGATTCAAAATGTCCAGTCGTTTTAGCAAAGTGAAACCGGAAGAATGTATTCTTCTCGTGTGTGATATTCAAGAAAGATTCCGCTCAGTTATCTATCAGTATACGAGTGTGATTAATGCTGCCAAGATATTGTTGGAAGCCGCAGAACTGTTCAAAATACCTGTAATAGCTACTGAACAATATCCCCGTGCTTTGGGACACACAGGTAATTGCCTTTTGAGGAAGAGAAAGACTAAAATGGAAACTCGTTGTTTTTAGTGGAAGAGTTGGACTCACAAAAGATGAAAGTTTATGAAAAGACAGTATTTAGTATGATGGTCCCAGAAGTAGAAAAATGCCTCTTGGAACACTCGTTAAGAAGAACTGCAGTGATTGTGGGAATAGAAACGCACGTCTGTGTGTTGCAGACCACTTTAGATTTGCTTGAGAAGGGTTATTCTGTCCACATCGTAACAGATGGAGTTTCCTCTCAGCGAGCGATGGATAGAAGTACAGCATTTCGTCGCCTTGAACAGGCAGGAGCGTGGCTTACTACTTATGGTACGTATTTATTGCAGTGTTACTAGGTCAACTTATTTGCCTCCCATTGTTCCTTTTAGAGTCGTTACTATTTCAGTTATTGAGGTCAAAGGACCATCCATCCTTTAAGCAAGTGTCAGAGCTTTGCAAAAGACCGAGACCTGATCCTGGTCTTAATACTCTATAGATGGAGGTCTGTATCAAATAAAAGTTGGTTTGTTGATTGTGAGGAACGAATGACAAAACGGTTAAGATCCATTTCATTTCGTTGGCCAATCGATATATATATTATATTGAAAAGTCATTTGTTTCCATAGCAAGAAAGGAGAAAGAGCGAGAGATATGACAAACTAAGTGTTTAGCTTTGATATGTCTTCGAGTTCTCCTCCAGCTACTGGTCGTATATACAGACAAGTGGATGAACAGCAAGTTATTCTTCGTTTGCCACCTGCACTAGCATCCCGTGTACAACTGCAACTCGACGATAAACTTGCCAGTGGTCAGCAAGTACTTGAACTTCCTTACCAAATAGAATTTATAGACAACCGTCACGCACTTTTTCGATATGATGGCAAAACATATGCTGCAGTATTGTTAGACCTTCCTTGTGTAGTGGAAAGCTCGACACTTGGTGAAACAAAGAAACTTTACAAGAATCTTGACGTTCATCAAGTATTACAAGTGGAGTCAACACCCATAGAAGAAGCAGTTGAAAAAACTGAAACTGACTTTTGTTTGGAAGACGGTATTACTCATGTAACAAAAGGCGCCAAGACAAGGTTTCGCAAGGATCTCCCAGAGTATAGTGCAGAAAGAGTGTCTTATGTGGAAGGATTGATGAAAAATGTCTTTGAATTGAAGTATAATTTGGTCAAAGGAGAATCAGCAAAGAAGACAGACGCGTTGATGGAATTTTTGGAAGAGGAAGAGTGGGAAGACGCTACCAAGGAACCGACGACGGGTTCTTTGGAACAAGAGGAAAGCCAATCTTTTCAACATAGTCCTGAAGGGAAGGTAAATACGGAAGATAGTCCAATGAAAATGACACAAACTGAAGACGTGCCAGTCAACAGCGTGTTTGAACAGGAGTTGTCTGCTAAAGCTTTTGAAAATGTTGAAGCAGCAAAAGTGTCTTCGGTTAATGTATCGGAGGAGAGAATCAAGTCAGAACCTTTGTTAGAAGCACCACAAGATAATATGAACAGTCCAACTCCACCCCAACTAGAACAACAAAAAGTATTGGAAGCACAACGAAAGGCCGAACGCTTCAAACTCGAAAAGTCTATGGAGGCGCAACAATCGAAGATAAGACAAATGGAGGAAAAGATAAGGGACGTTTCTAATCGTGCTTTGAAACAACGTATGCAACAACATTTAGATGACATGAATCAAGAACTTGCTCGACTTCGAGAGGCACTTGAGAAACATGACAAAGAATCCCATATGTAGAAGTGTTTCTCAACTTGAAATGTCCCAATGGCTATAGAAGTTTGGAAATGATTTCAGTGCATTTGGTTTAATCGCCAGAAGAAAATACCATCATTTTAGCAGTCATCCTTCGATGTGTTTATTTTCATACTGCTTTTTGATTTGTATGAAATTGAATAAAATTTAATTGAAGAATACTCAGTCCGATACAATTCCATGAAATGTGCATTAGATCGATCTATCACGGCCATCGTGAATAACCAAAATAACAAATAGACGATCGAAATTTGTTGAATGGCCGACCAACACACCGCATGTGACTGACGGAGTATACTATGGTTACTCTGCAACAAGTAGAACCACAGTCCGAAGTCTCAAAAAGAAGATTAGCAAGAGATTCTATTAGAAAAGTAGCAGGAGGGTTGTTTTATAAGACTAACTTTTGTTTCTGTCTTGATGGGACAGCAGTGTGCCTGGTTTCAGGTGATACCTTTACGGTATATCGCACTTGTCCTTCTCAACAAGGCAACGTCCAAAATACTCATTGGCAAAAAAGTTTTATTTCTAAACCACACGATAAGAGAATTACGAAAGTTGCCAGTCATCCGGTTGATGGTGCCGTCGTTATGTCAGCCAGTGAGGATGGGACTTTGAGAATATGGGATGTGGAAGAAGGAAGTTTGCAAAAAACTATAGATATTGGACTACCCATAGAACACTGTTTATATGATACAAAGTTTACAGACACTGTGTATTGTCTTTGTCGCAAGCTGGGTGCTGTAGAAAGAGATTCCTTGTTGGACGGACAACAGTCAGAGAAGAAGACAATAAGGAATTTTGCTCGTGGACACAACTTGTATAGAGTAATATCAGTGAAAATAAGTAATGGTAAAGTGTCCAATCTCTTTCAAGTGAAGCGCCCTCGATGCTTTTGTTTGGCTTCCTCTTCGGAACTTGTTCTTTTGGTCGGAACTGATTATGGACTGACCTGTTATTTTTTGGATAAGAAAGAGAACGGAGTGCTTCACATGAGGCACTCAAAGCCTATTCGTGCAATGGCATATCATGAGGAGACGGATACATTAGCGGTTGGAGAAGAGACTGGAATGATTCGCATATTTCGTTGCTTTGTGTCAACATTATCTAAACAAAATGATATGCATCCAATTCATTTTTTAAATGCCTTAACGCATTCAAAGTTTCATTGGCATTCACGAACAGTCTTATCTTTAACCTTTTCTGTCAATGGTGTGCGTCTCTTTTCAGGCGGTACAGAAGGTGTTTTAGTATCTTGGAAAGTCAATACAGGAGAGCACACATTTCTTCCTAGACTAGGTGGAAGCATTCGATATCTTATGGTAGATTCGTATAGAAATGTAATCGGAGTCTCAAGCCAAGACAACAGCTTTAAATTATTGGATGCTTCTAATGGTGACCTTGTTTGCGAAATACGTGGAGCATGGTCTTGGACAGCTTTTCATCCTCAAAGGAAAGACAAAGAAGCAATGGAATCAAGAGATTCCTGGATGGATTTTGTAAAGTGCATTTGGACAGCCAATAGCACACCGAAACTATTACTACCAGGTAGAACTGGTCGATTGCAAATATTTGATATTTCACAAGATCTACATTTAATGGAAGTCGATTTGTTCTACTTCAATTATCAACCAACTTGTGCGGAAGACGCCAAGTGGATTCCCTTTATTTCTCATTTATGTGTGACCAAAGACATGTCTAGTATTATTACTTTGGAACGGCGCCATGTTCCTGAAGATGAGTCTTTTCCACCGGAGTTTAGCGCACAAGTTGTTCAGTTTTATGAGTTACAGTCTTCGCATTACGTATTGAAAAGCAGAATGTTTATTCAATCCAAAGATTCTTTTGTCTTGGATATGTTTTGTCATCCTAGTGCTGCTATGCTTTGTACATTACATAAGAATGGGACTGTTAGAATATGGGCTCTTAAGAGTACACAAGAACAGCAGCAGCTGAAATGGTATTGTATCCATACATGGAAAGGTTGTCAAACAGCAACCACCATCCGAGGAGCTTTCTCTAGTGATGGCAGTCTTTTGATAATTGCATATGATAACTTGATTTCTTTTTGGAAATTGGAAGAAAATGCAAGTCATATTTCATTGTTGAGTGAAAAGAGCTTCGATGTTGGTCATATTGCTTCGTTACATTGTTTGGGTGGTAACTGCGGTATCTTGATTGTCACTACGGCTAATAGCTTTCTCGTTGTTGACTTGATTCAGATGGAAATGTTATGGTCACAACATGTTTCAGAGCCTATGGTTGCTTGTGATGATGTCTCACCTCGTTTTGCAGTCGTCTATAAGAATAATATTGATTCCAATTGGATGCCTCAAATGCAATGTGAAAACTCCTCAACTCGAAAGAGATATCACCATAATAAGATCTGCATCTATGAACCTTTTTCAGTTGATCCTCTGCACGTTTTAGATGCAAAGGGAATATCTATCAAAGCGGCTTTTTTTTCGCTCATTCATTTCAATTTAAATATTCCTGATCTTATTTTGATTGATAGTGAACTACAAATGTACGGATGTTATTTGAACTCTTCACAACAAGCCCAACCCGAAGAATTACTCAAGGATGAACATAAGGCATATCATAGCGAAGAATCTGCTTACTTTCATATTCTTGGAGAGAAGTTGTATCATAGGGAATCGACTCGTCTTCCAGATACTTTACCTTTGGATAATAGTAACCCAAGTATTGGCCATCCCAACAAAGTATTGGAGTTGCAAGATGTTCCTAGTCACGTGTTGCCTGCACCACATGAATTGCTGAATAGTTTGTTTCATTTTCATACTCTTCGTATTCATTCCACAGAAGAGTCTTCCAGTGACTTGTCAACAGATATCACTATGGTGGAACGGAAACCTGAATGGAACTTGATGACAAATGCATTTCAATTAGATGAAAAGAATCATCGACATTATGGACAACGTCTTTGGAAAAAGTTGTTTCAATTAAGAAGACCGACATAACGTACATATTGAGAATAGTATAAAACAACCTTTTAAGTGTGCTTTATTCAGAAACCAAGGTAACAGCTTGATGTCAGACACAACTGCTAACAGTTTCCACCTTTGTATCCCTTCCACCACAACTCTTGAGGAATTTTCTTCCAGTCTTCTTTTGGCATACCGACTAGACAAGAAAGTTTTTCAACACTGTAACCAGCTAAGTGACCTGCTTGAGAACTTGGGAACGTCCTACTTGTTTCATAAAACCCATTCAAACTGTTTCTCTTGTCATTGGATGGTGAAGTTCCACTATTCCACTTTCAACCAACTCCAAGATGTAACTCTAGAAAAGGACAACTTGACCATAATAATAGAAAGTGACCTTTGTTGGTCTTGTTTTTACTCTCGGAGAAAAGTTCCACAACAAGCTTCACTTTCCATAGCTCCATCACGTATTTACTCGGTGGTTGATTTGTTTCACTTGATGTTTCACATATCCAACTGTGTCTTATGTATCGGTTGCAATCCATCCATATACCCTTCCAGTTGGTTCTATCAACAAGAAAACAAACCAATATGTCTCACTTCTCAAGATGGAAGAGGAACAACGTTAGGCATGGTCGATTCTTCTCATGTGTCACAACAATGCTTTTCTCTCTATGCAGTTGACTGTCATGTGTTACTTGTCAACAAATTGGGAGTTCTTCGTTGTCCTGCCTGTCGCAAACTCAAAATAACACTGTATAGAAGACTTCAAAGACAAGAAAAAGAAAACCAAAACCCCAATCTTTCACAGAATGGTGGTACCTAACTCGTGTTATTCTTTGAAAAGAGAATGATTTTAGAAAGTGAGAATAGATTCTTGGCTTGTCGTTTTCAAATATAAATATTTCATAACAACCCAAAGTGAAAGGAATCATAGGAATTGATGATGATGGCTTTGCCTCGCGACTCAGCCTGTCCCGTTGTTGGTTTCTTATATTCTGCAAATGGTTATTGTAAAGAAATAAGAAGCAGAAAATATGGAAGTTGGTACTCCTGTTGTCCACTTCATGGGACTAGAACAAAAGCTGTCCATCCCAAGAGGAGTTATTACTGCTCTCTTGACTTGGATATCTTTCAAGAAAAAGAAAGAGAAGGCATCCTCTACTCCTTCCCTGTTTCCAACTATTCAGCTCGTTGTAGATTTGTTATTTATGCCAAAGAAATTCCTATCGAAATTCATTCTCCACCAGTCGGCTTGAAGAGTGAAGAATATCTCAAGATCAACCCACTTGGAAAAGTACCAGCTTTATGGCTCGCGGACAACAATATAACACTTGTGGAAAGTGAAGTTATCAACGAATATCTCATTGACAAATATATGCACGTTTCACCTTCCTTTATACCCAAAACAGCAGAGAAGAGAGCACTTGCTCGCCTTGCTAGTAGACTATACGACCTGTACATAGGTCCCTATCAATATGGTCTTTATCGTGATGTGTCAACCATGGAAGAACGAAAAAGTTGTTTCGAATCCGGTCGTAGAGGATTGGAAATACTGGAAAGAGTCATTCAGGCAACTCCTTTTGTTGCTGGAGAACGCATATCGTTGGGAGATGTTGCTTTGTTTCCGAGTCTTCTATTTTGGGTATATTTGGCACCACGATATTATAATTGGTATCCATTGGAAGATTTACCCAAGTTGAGTGGTTGGTTCCATTTTATGAAGACAGAATCAGCTGCAGCGGAAAGAGTCTACAAAGAGGTTATGGAAGGCTTAGAAACGTGGGAAAAGAATGGTCGTTTTGAAAGAATGGGGTTGAAACAAAGAATGACTTGATCTTTTATTTTTCAATAATCTTTTGACCATTTGAACTATTGTAATTCTCTCTTTGCAAGCTCTCTATAGTATTCTAAGCATTCGGGATTTTGAATGGCACCTTTGTTGGGGACATCTAAACCTTCAATTACCCGTTTCACAGCAATTTCAACCTAAACAAAAATTTCCATGTTCATCTCGTCCAATATTTATTATGTATCTTCACTTACTTTTTTATTATTAACGGTGTACGGAATCTCAGGAACACTCAACACTTTTGCAGGGACATGACGAGGCGATAATTTCTCTCTCAAAGCTTGACGAATCCTTTGAATCAAGTCTTCCGAAAGAATTGTGTTCTCCTTCAGTTTAACAAACATGATAATCCTTTCATCTCCGTGCCAATGCTATCCAAACACAAGAAATGGGTCAAGAATATCCCTGTCTTATTTCCCTATTTACCTGTCCAACAACCACACAATCTTCCAATTCAGCAAAGGAAGAAACCACATGATATATTTCGGCACTGCCAATCCGAACACCTCCAGGGTTCATAGTGGCATCTGAGCGCCCCTTAATATTCAGTGAATATCGTTCCGTCATAGTAGCAAAGTCTCCATGTCTCCAAATGCCAGGATACTTATCAAAATAGGTCTCTGTATACTTTTTAAACTCGTTGTCATTCCAAAGATAGAGTGGCATGGAAGGAACCGGGGTACAGCATACCAACTCTCCTTCCTGTCCTATGACACTTTGTCCCTGATCATTGAATATCTATATACAGTCTCCCATGTGAGAACTCACATAACTTCATTTTGCCTCTCTACTTACTCGAATATCCATCCCTAAACCTCTACATTGTAACTCGGGTGCAAATATTCTCTTTAAAATGCAACCATTTCCAAAACAACCATTGATTTCAGTTCCACCACTTATAGATAAATAACGTGCTCTAGGAGAGATCTGATTGTAAACATAAGCAAAGTTCAAAGGTGATGAGGGTGAACCAGTAACAAGAATAGCATCTAAATAATAAAATGGAATACATTCACTTGGCCAATAAGTGGTCCGTTGATATTCCAACCACAACAATTCATCCTGTTCCAATAAATCCTCCAACTCCCTCGGAAAACTACCCACTTGAAAAGTATGTGGACTACAAGATTCCAAGAAATGTCTCCATTTGGCCTTTTGATGACTTGTGAGTTGGGTATTGGATTGTATCATCGAATCCATCTTTTTCAATCTTCTTTTCATAGTATCTCTAAATGGGTTTACTCCCGCTTCTTCAACAGCTTGTAAAAATCTTGCTGATGTTCCAAAATAAGTCACCTGTTCTTCATCTAATATACGGAAGAGTAAATATGGCTCTTGTGGAGGTAACGGACTTCCATCATAAATAACCAAACAGATATTGGATGCCAAAGCAGCCAACTGCCAATTCCACATCATCCATCCACAAGTTGTAAAATAAAGAAGTCTCTGTTTGGGTTTGAAATCACAGTGTAGTTGATGTTCCTTCATTTGATTGAGCAACACTCCCGTTCCTTGTACCAAACACTTGGGAAGTCCCGTAGTTCCTATATCGACAAATCAAAAATAAAAAGTACTAGCATGTTTCCCAAGCTTACCAGAAGAAAACATAATATAACAAGGGTGATCGAAGCTTACTTGTTCAAAATGGATAACTTTTTCACTATCTGATGATTCTAATTTACCAAACTCGTCAAATGAATGACAAGGAATTCCCCAATTTGCACTCTTCCATGATGCTTCATTCTCTCTATGAATATAAGGAATGATTATAAGCAACTTCAATGTTTTCAATTCTTTCACAATTTCCTTGAGTTTCTCAATCGAGTTGAAAACCTTTCCTTTGAAAAAGTAACCATCAGATGCTACAAGTACTTTGGGTTTTATTTGACCGAAGCGTTCCACCACAGCTTGTACTCCAAAATCCGGACTACAGGAAGCCCAAGTAGCTCCCATTGCGATGGTTCCCAAGGCAGCTACTGCTGTTTCTAGCATATTTGGAACATAACCAACAATCATATCTCCTTTGGTTATGCCATTGGATAAAAGTCCTTTCCAAAAGTAGAATACTTTATCATATAGTTGTGAGAAAGTCCATTCTACTCTTGGATAGTTGGGATCTTCTGAACGAAATATCAGGGCAGTTTCTGAACCACGGAATCGAAGTAAGTTTTCAGCAAGGTTGCATTTTGCGCCCACAAACCAACGAACTCTTGGCATAGCACTGTTTTCCCTTGGTAGCCTAATGTGCTCCATTCTCTTTGAAGCTTTCACGTCCATAAAGTCCCAAACCGCTGACCAAAAGTCGTCCAAGTGCTCGATAGACCATTGGTGAAGTTCTTCATAGATAGCTTCCCATTTTTCATACTGTTCTTGTTTCCATCCTCCTCTCTCCTCCGTTCCTTGAAAAGTATCGGAAATAGTCTTTCCTAGTCTCAAGCCATATTTCCTGTCGATCCATTGGACAAAACGATACAACTGGGACTCCTTTATACGTGACTCACTTGGAGTCCAGAAAGGTACTAAACCACTCAATAAGCCTTGGACATCTTTTACACTGGTTTTCTCATTTCTTTCCATATGCTCTTCTTGGAAGAATGTTTTCTTGAGAGAAGAAGATTAAGAAAATAAGAATGGGATATTCGATGATTTCTCCAACGACGAAGATCATTTCTCTCCTTTTGAACAAATAAATGGCAAAACCCAGAAAGATGACACAACCATATCTAACGTTGTTATTTATATTGAGTGGATATTTTGGACTTTTCTAACTCTACTAGTTGTGGAAATATCAACTTTTGCCATCGAAACCGTGGAGAAAAGTTACCTATCATATGATGGTTAAGAACACCACCATTTCATTCATCGATATTCTCTTACCTGATGTATCCGTATCCTGGTGTTGTTGTTGAAAGAGCTTTGCCAGTTTTCGTTTCGTACGCATTCTTTTATTTCCAAAAAAGGTGTTGACTTGTTCCACGGTAATACCAGCTTCATGAGCCAATTCTCTTTTCACCTTTTCGGATGGATAAGGATGATGCATATTCGCATGGAACCAATCATTCAATACTTTTCTCGCATATTTGGTCATCACAGCTGATGAAGATGGCTTCTTATTTCCGTGACCTACTTTGAGTGGTGAATGACTAGATACGGAATGGACATCTTCCACTTTCAACGAGTAACAATCTTGAATGTTGTTCAACTCATTTGCATTTCCTACTCGTGCTTTATAGAATACCCATTCCCATAAACCATGCAAAACATCAAAAAAGTATTTTTGACTAGGACTCGTATCTAAATAGACCCTTTGTCCTATTTCTAGCCACAGTTGTTGTTTCCAACAATACAACTGTTCTTGTATCACCGCATGGTTCGTATTCCATCCAATTTGCTTCCACGCTTCTAACAAAGCTTTTAAAAAGGAATAGACAAACGACTCATGTTGTTGTATATCTTTTAAAAAGTTCTAAAAAGAGAATATGGTTACCATAGTTTCATTGGAGAATACAATTACCTCATGAAAATCTGTGGGTTGTAACTTGTTGCCATACAAATAAAAATATTTTGGAAAAGTCATTTATACAAACACAAGACCTTCACCTTGCCTATCTCCAAAACACGCTTTTCCTTGTCATTTTTTACTTATCATCTGTCATCTTCATGAGGGTGCGAAACGAAGATCATTCGATTCGAGTTTTTTCCATAAATGAAATAAACAGAGGGGAATATTGCTTGTAGTTTTCAATACTTTTTCAAACCATCCAATATGCTGCTGTATACTGTTCATAGAAACCTGCAACCATCCATGAGAACCAATAGAAATGTTCACTTGGATCGCTTCCAATTGCTGCTCCTCCTTCATTCTCCATAAATATAATTCTATTAAAAAAGGTGGATGTACAACCACTTCAAAACGAAAGTCACTCGATTCCATACCACCTTCCTTGAAGCAACATGTCACCAGCCTAGTATAAGAAGAATCCTTATTCATAGGCTTCTGACTCGATGTATATAATCTCCCATCTGCGTAACAATCACAAAATAAACTTTGAAACAACTGATTGAATACCAATTGTTGTCTCAAAATACCCAAAATAGTGATCAGTTTGTCTATTCGAAGGAATGGAACACAATCAACTTGGACACATCTCCTTCTCAATGAAAAGCGAACAGGCAGCGAATAGCTTAGAATCATCCTTCTTCCATCAACATATTCTAAACTATTCTCTATGATGCCACTATCTCGATGAACTCTTGTCCAAGTTTCCGAACTAGAATGGAGATTCTCTCCACAACACCACATTGGGTATCCACAATCCTCCAAAAGAGCTTCTTCTAATAGAATACAAGGCATATGAGAATGGGAAATGTCAAACCACTCCTTTCCATAAGAATATCGAGAATGGCGATGAGTCCATTCTTCTTCATAACAAAGATACAAAAGTCGAGCAGTCGTTAATGTCATCTTGATAGGAAGTTGGAGAGAAATGAGAAAAGACAACTCTGCTGATATACCCACTCCAACCCATTTCTGTAAATCAACTGGAAACTTATCTTCCTGTTCCAACTCCATTTCATTCGGAACTTGCATAGGAAAGAATACTTCCTTTTCTTCCAATTCCTCTCGTATAGAAATGACTCCAGACATACAACTAGGACATTCTTTACAAATATCCATCCAATCCTCTTCGCGACAGTAACCTTGTAAAATAAGTTGTCTGTGACAACAACAACTATAAAAGAGGTCCATAACACCTTCTAAATCTGGTAATATCCATCCATGTCCATCTTGTATGGGAAGTGATTTGGAATGTTCATAACCACAAACATTTCTAAATAACAATCGAAGATGATGTAACAATTTGACAATATCCAACTTGTTCATATGTTGGTCTATTCTGTCCAACTTCCAAACTGTTCTTAGCTTTTCTTCAAACAGAGAAAAACGCTCCGATATTAACCAGGACTCAATAGTCTCACAAAGTTTATCATCTGTAAACTCTTCACCATCTTGACTAAAGAACCGAAAGGAGACACTTTCTATACCCTTTTCTGGATTTATAGAAATATCAATCAACAGGCTTGTAGTACTTATAGTTACTACGTCTACAGAAGACTCACTTTCTGTTGCTTCCGTTCTAGTAACGAAAAAGTCACACTCTGAACAAAAAGAACAAAGTTCAAAACGTGCTAAAAGCCTCTCGTGCTTACTGCTGCTTATTTCATGGACTCTATAAACTATACTGTTCTCCTGTAGTTGTCTAGTCAAGGAATGCAACTGTTTCTTACTTGCACGTAAACTATGCCGGACTCTAGAAAGTCTTTCCAACTTGGTCATATCATTGGAAGAATCCGACTTGTACTTGAGCAAACGATCAAGTGTTCTTGATATTCTTCTCAACCCTTGCGTAATGTCTTGAGCAGTACGTAAATGATTCAAAGGATGAAGTATTTGCTGTAGTTCCAAACTACTCTTATTATATATTCGGTTCTCCATCATTTCACGAACTTTTGTTATCGCTTCTCTTAAAGTCTCTCCTTGGTCCTCGGTGTTGTGCTTTGTACAAGGTGCGACTGTAGAGTCCATTTCATCGATTTTCGATTACCAACAATACGTGGATATTCCCCGGTACGAGAAGAGAAGAATATACATATTTATGTGGTCTTTTGTTACTCTTATAAAACGCAACTTTAACAGTATATTTATACATACGCCATTTCCTTTGTACTAAACTTACTTCACAATATCCATTCCTTAATATTTATCTATTGGCCTTTGCCTCTATTTCTTTTTCCACTTGCGCAAGTCTTTCTTTCAATCGTTCCAACTCCTGAAGTGACTCTTCAGTCTTGGCATTGGCTCTAAGGCACTTCAACTGTGACTCCAACTCTATTTGCTTTCAACCCTAAGTTGAGACTATCATATCCCATCTACTTGTTTGGAAAACTTACTGTCAATTGTAGTTCAACCAGAGCATCGGGTATCACTTGTTCTTCTTCCGTGACTCGAGAAGAGGACAACTGAGTTTGTGAAGCATTTTCAGCAATATTTTCCTTTCCTTTCGCTTCCCGAGCAGAGCGCTTGTACTGAATGACACCTGCAACTACTCCAAACAACAACGATAAGATGCCATATTTCCATGCTGCCTTTCTCAAAGCCAAAGGATCTTGACCATCTGCCAACCCCGCCGCATCAAAAGTATTCACCCGGGTATTTGCTTTTTCGTTGCTAGCAATGGATTGTCCTTTATTTTCTTGTTTCGAAACGTTACTAGTACAGTTTCGAATGACTAGTCGTTGCCATCCTCCTCGTCCTCGCATGGATTTCCTCCTCCCATCTCTATTGTTTCTTTCTTCTCCCTTTCACAAAACTTGGAGAATTGGTGGAAACTTCGATTGCCTGTTGGAAATGACGAGTAACCAATTGCGTCACTTATCTAAAGTGTTTCAGACTTTTACAGAGAAACAAGTAAGTCTTGATCACCTTCTCATCCCAATTGTTTTCATGGTCGCATAGTTTTCTTCCAGTGTTTCCAAGTTTCAGCTACCCGATCTACCCTACGATTACGGTGAGTTGGAACCATATATTAGTGCAGAAATCATGCGACTTCACCATCAAAAACACCACCAAACTTATGTGAACAATCTTAACGCTGCGTTGGAAAAGATCCATAAAGCAGAAGAAGCCGGTAACGTAGGAGATATGATTGCACTACAAAAGATGCTCAAATTCAATGGAGGTGGTAAGCTCGCCGTTGATTTCTCGTTTTTCTTATTGCTTACCATATACACACACCTATAGGTCATGTCAACCACTCCATTCTGTGGCATAATTTGGCACCAGTGAATAAAGGTGGAGGTACTCGTCCAGACGGTGCATTCTTAAAAGCGGTAGAAAAGGAGTTTGGCTCCTTGGACGCTCTTATTTCTAGTCTTTCTACTACTGCCATCGGAGTCGAAGGATCTGGTTGGGGGTTAGTTGAGAACATTTTTTGCTTTATCTCATTGGGCTGAAGATGAAAACTTTATTGTTGCATAGTTGGTTGGGATTAGATCCAAACTCGAAGAAACTGAAATTGGAACAATGTCAGAACCAGGATCCACTGTCAACTAAGAACTTGATACCGCTATTGGGAGTGGATGTATGGGAACATTCGTACTATCTTCAATATAAGAATGATAGAGCGACCTATGTAAAGAATGTATGGAATGTTGTCAATTGGAAAGATGTTGCAAGTAGATATGAAAAAGCAATAGCCTAAAATTGGTTTGACTTGTTCTTTTGAACAAATATCGTCCGTATAAAATGTTGAAAGAGTGCTCTTTTTTGTGTGATCATGCCTGCCAAAATTATTTAATTACCGAAATGCCAACACAGAATAGCAATGTTTAGTCAAAGAGGCTTAAGACTAGAAAGGAAATACAAATACGCTTTATTCGCGGGAACACAAAGAGTTTATATTATTCCCACCTCGCTAATGTGTTATAAATCAGTTTGAAAGTTAACGCTAATACATGACGAAACTATGACTACTCAAACAGACACTAAATAATTTCTAGTCATGATTCTTATGAAGTGCTGCGTTTGCCAATATCAACTACATAAAATAACTTAAAAGTTAAAAAAACAACGAAAATGAAGCAGGCTGTCGTCTGCCGAGAAAATGAAAGCACAATGTGTAGGCAAAATAAATACATAGCTGAAACGAGGACTTAAAATTTATCATCAATTTGACAAATTTTTTAAACGCATTATACCTGAATTATTAGAAAGTTTCCGTTATAGAAAAAATTAATCGATTCAAATCTTAAATTTTTTGTGTTCTATTCAAGAAACCAAAAAATTCAAAATGTACAACTCATCTCCAAATTATTAATTTTATTTATTTGGAATTTATTGTTTTCGAATATTAATTTTCTTTAAATAACTATTATTGGTTCAAGTGATGTTGTATGAGTAATTAATGATAAGAATTTTTGTTAAAAAGCGAATATTTACATGCAATATTCAATTTGTTTGGAATAAATAAATTGGCTTGGTTGAGGTTCGTCGTGACTTTGACTGACCAGGGTGGCTTTAAAAATCGTCGAATAACTTTTAAATTAATGGTTGCATATTCTACAACAAAAAAGTCTCGATAAATATTCTATGCATCGTAAGCATGTGTCACTTTATAATAGTTTAACTTTATTTAAGTAAATCCCAAAATTTCCAATATGTACGCGATCTGATCTACTATTGTGAAACCCGTCCAATATTCTGTAAGCAAACCAATGAGTAGGAAAGACATAGCCAATCTTCCATTGAGAGTTTCTGCAAAAGGCGTGAATCCAAATTTGCGATTGGCTTCTCTTTCTTGCTGCAGTCTTTCTTCTCGCCATACCTCTGCAAGTTCATCCAATTTCCTTGCTTGCTCTCTTAGTTCCTCGGGTGTGAACGAAAAGTCAATAGGTTGGTTTTGTTCTAAGTTGGTTTCCAAGTGCTCTGCTGCTTCACCGTTCCTTTCGTTTTCTGTTTCTCTGACCTGCTTAGGTGGTTGCACAAAATCAGATCCAGTTTCCATACTGAATCTAGGCATCGGTTTATGAACCCGGTCCGAACGAACACTCGATCTTGGACACATCACTTTCTTTCTTGAAAAGAGAGAGCAGTTTTGCAGTCTACAATTATTTTGTTTATACAAAGGTTGTAACGAAACTATGTAACCCATCACCAAGATTGTCGTGGCTACCATGCTTTCCCCAATGTAGCAATGAATTTATTGTAAAATGGAAGGTAGTTTTAGCGAAAAGGACTGCATTTCTGCAAAAATGCGAGTCCGAAAGCTATACGCGTGGTTGTATACAAGGCAAAGGTGTTGTATTGCCAACCTTATCTTTTTCGATGACGTCAACAGATATGGGTCACTTGATACCTTCGTCGCTAGTAGAATATTACTATCGTGTTGTATATAAGAATCCGATGAGATAACTTTCAAGCATACTCCAAGCAAGGGACGAGTGACCAACTCCGTCAAAGTCCTCTGTAGCGTCCTTTCCTGCTCCACAAGTTATATTCTGGTGAACCAAAAGGTGTTTTGTCTTACCAGAGACTTTCAATATAGCATCTTCACCACCTGGATGATCATCCAGAAATGGAGTGACAGCGTAGACCTTACCTTTTACTACAATCCACGCGTCGCTGCGTGAACAGTGTTTTCTTACCTAGAGATTACGTTGGGTCTTGTTCATTGTTGATTCTTCAGTCGGAAGAGGAGCATGATACCTCTTCAAGAGAATAATAAGGCAGACTCATGCGATGGAAAGGATATAGGATTACACACAACGTCCCTGTTTTTTACACCCAAGTGAAAACGAAAATTGGTCATGATTTTATCTCATTGCGTCAACAGAAATTGGCTCGAGGGAAAGAAATAGAATATATAATAACTTACACATGTTACGATATTCCCTTGTTTCTTTATCGTAGCAAGGTTATATATCAACTTTACTTTCAAACCATGTAGCCTGAATAAACTCTTGTTGATGATTATATTCTCTGGAAACTAAAAAGTACTGAGATGGAGTTGCCAACCATCCTGTTTGTAAACAAAAGCGATCATCTTCTCCATAGAAACAACGAACATGGGCATTCGCAGGCAAATACCAATCAAATAATATTCTATCAACTGTCCAAGGCACTGCGCAGTCGGTATCTTGTTGCATTTCCATCCCCAAGTCCTTTGACCAAGTTATCTTGTTTCCCTTTTGAAACTGTAAAAGGTCAGAAGGATCCAACCTTTGATCATCATCGAATGCCTCAATATTTCCTCCACAACCGATCAAAGATTGTCCACCATTGTATTCCGAGTTCCATTCTTCCTTCACCAGATGAATTCTTTTCGTTTCAAAAGATACAGTGACACCTAAACGAGTCCATCTCTCACTCTCGGTGGAATGAGAGAATGCCATATGGGTCAATATATCCAAACGACTACCATCTCCTTGTAAACTTGTAGGTCCATAAGAGAAACTGCCACCAGGAAAAGGTACAAAAGCAACACTTTTGTAGGGAATCTGATATTCGGAAATATCCACGGCAACGGAGTCTTCTTCACACCCAACTTTGGGCAATATGAGAGTCTCTTTGATGCGCAATAGATCACCATCCAACACTGCTGAAGTCATGTGTTCCAATCCATTGACGATCACGCCCCAGTCGATAAAAGCATCGGGTACCCACTTTTCTGGGACATGGACAACTTTTCCACTATCTATTTCGTAAGTCGCACTGTAACCTATCCATTCACCTTGAATCTTTGGAGTTTCCGTCGATAACAATTGCTGCTTATCTTTCAAAGGAAAGGTGGACACGTTGTGAGCATCGGGAACTATCAAGCAAGTGGGTGGAAGGGAAGGAAATGCGAAACGTAGAGTCGAACTTTTGTGACCTAATCTCATTCTCTGCTTTGCATTGGTGGAACTGGCGTTGATTTTGATATCGCAGCGTTGAAAACAGCAAATGGTCATAGGAACAAAGCCTATGCATCTCGTAGTTGGAGATGTCATCCAATCTCTCCTTTTGCCAACGTTTGATTCTGTGTGTGCTCATGCGGTAAGTGGTGTTCAGAATTTCTTCTATTGTATGGACCAACTAGTAAAAAGGTTATATATCATTAGACACGCAGACCCAGAATATGACGGTGATACACTTACAGAACATGGACAGTTGGAAGCACAAGCACTGGCGAAACGACTTGCCGATGATCCGCAGTTTGCTTTGACCAAAATCTATTCGTCGCCCATGGGAAGAGCAAAAGCAACGGTTTGTTGTGTTGGGTTGTTTTATTTCTGGTTGTAAGTTGTTTTCAAGGCTGAATATACATCAAAGCTGTTGCAGATACCCATAGAAATAGAGGTAAGACGGTTCACAAGAGTGAATACTTGATCGCCATACTTTGATAGGATTGGACCAAGGAACTTACTCACTGGAGAAGAATTTCGGGACATAATAGCGGTAGACCTGGTGAAGGAGGTTTTGCTATGTGGGACATGGCTGGAGAAGTTGTCCGTGGTTTTGTACCGAGAGTCAACGATGAAAGTCAGTGGGAGTTGGTTCCCGATATGATGTCCGTAAAGAAAGAATACGAAGAGTTGATACAACAGTCAGATCGATTTTTGGCCCAGTTAGGGTTTGAGAGAAACGGAGGTCGATATCGTATTTCGAAAAAGCAAGATAGACAACAACAAGTGGCAGTATTCTGTCACGGCGGATTGGGATTAACTTGGTTATCTCATCTTTTGTATTTACCTTTATCATTGTTCTGGTGTGGTTTCTGGTAAGTATCGCGTTTTGTGTGTATATATATATATATACGTATTTATATGTGTGTAGGTTAGCGCCCAGTAGTGTGACCACAGTGTTATTTGAAGAACGTACCAAAGACTATGCAGTGCCACGTTGTATAGGGTAAAGTGTACAAGTTATCCATATGCAATGCTTACAAACAACTCGCTCTCCTTATAAATAGTTTAGGAGATATCTCCCATTTATATGCAAGTGGGTTACGAATTCCCAATTCATCCTATGAAAAGGCTAATTCGTTCTATCCTTTTCCAAGACCTTCAGGAATAAAGTCCAATTTTTTCTAACCATTTCTCAAACAACCCAAAAAATACAAAATTCTCGTTTTCCATTGTGAAAAACCAAAATTGCATCGACACCTAAAAAGATCCTTATCCATGAGTATTGGCATCTTGTTGACGACCACCACCACAAGGCGTCGGCTCATCTACTACCCATTCACGAGCAGCATCTCCCAACCGATCAGACCATTCTTTCGCAAACAAGGTAACAGAATCAGCAGCACGTTCAATATCATCACATATCTCTTTGACAGCTTGTCTGCCATTGGCTACTGTTTTCCGGAAACGTTCCACTGAAAGGTTCTCCAACGCCGATATCATCCCACTGGGTTCTTTCCAACGACAACTCCACTCTTGTCGTAACACTGTCCAATTGGGATTTTCATGGTGAACACGATATGTACACGTCTCATCTACCCTATTCAAACAATAAGTTGAACGACTAGAAAAAGGCAAACCTACTCCACCCAATTGCGCAAACTAAGAGAACTCAAACGCAGAACCATGGTTTTCTCTTGGGGATCGATAACAGAATCTTCTACAGCATATGCTGGTTCAGAACCAATAAGCCAGTGTAACCAGGAAGGAACTGGGTTGGTGCCTTGAAACAGCCTTCTGGAAAGGAGACGACCTCTGTTGTCCACCGTTCGCCTCATTGTTTCCACTCGCTGCACTTGAGGACACCAACGATTGGGATACTTTCGAAGGGATGCTTCGGTTACTACTTCCCATGGATGTTCATAGATATATTCTTCAACTTCCTTTTTGACCATCGCCAAATAGAGGAGAATCTGTGTCAATCCAACGGAAGATGAATACCGGCCGATGAGTCAAAATTTCTTTTCTATCTACACCAAACAAGAGGGTGCGAGAAGAATCCATTCCCTAATTCATTGAGGCGCAAAAAAAATGAAAAGTTGGCGCAAAAAGATTCAACACTTGTTGTCGTAACTCATTTGTTTCCCGTCTTTTTATGACAATAACAAACAAAAAATATATTCAAAAATACTTGGTTCTCTTTCTCGTGTCGCCATGGATTATTATTTACACAACATATGCGGTCCAATCTTTCAAATATGCAAAAGAAACAAGAAAAGAACAACTCATGCAGAAATGGTTTGCCAAGTATTATCACAATAACATGACAACTCCCAACCAGCTGGCAGATGAAGGAGAAGGAGGAAAATACAAGATATTGGATATCACACAGATGGAGTTTTATGGTCAGAAAAATGGCAAGTATAAACCAGACCAGATTATTTTACAACGATATTTTCGCATTCCTCCCATTTCCAACCATATACAACAAGAGACCGTCGAATGGCGAAAAACAAGTCAAACGAGACAATATTATTACCGAACACAAGGTACCTTTGTCGAGTTGGGAGCACTCGATGGACTCTTGTATAGTAATACCTTGGCATTTGAAAAATTTCTCAACTGGACAGGAGTACTGATAGAACCTGTACCGTCTAACTACAGAAAACTTCGATTGAACCGTCCCAAGGTCAAAACCATTCACAGCGCAGTATGTGACCATATCGGCAAAGTAGAATTCGTCGGTAACGGTGCAACTGCCGGGTCTACCCAAACTATGTCTCACAAACATCGCAAAAAATTTCAAAACAAATGGGATACACTTCATCAACATCAATACATAGTACCCTGTGAGCCACTTGGCAATATCCTTCAACGACTGGGTATAGAATATATAGACTTTCTTTCCATCGATGTCGAAGGAGCTGAATGGACAGTGCTTAAAAGCATTTCCTTTTCCAAAATTAGCATCGCGGTGATTCTCGTTGAGCTCGATGGAACCAATCCAACCAAGGATGAACAATGCAGGCAACTCTTACGACAATATGACTATCAATACGATTTTCGAATAGCTGCAAATGAATATTGGTATCATCCCAAATCTCTGCGGCATAGTGTGCTCCAAGGCGTTCATTCCAATGAAGCTTTTTTCAATAGTTTTCTGACATAAAAATACATCTATACGATTTTTGTGCAGGGATAGCAACAGTTCTATCGATATTCATCTAAAAATGGAGGCCAATTCTATCACAAACAGTTCTCTCTCCCTAATAAACATAACTATGCATAAGATTTCAACCCCATCCTAATGCTGTGATAGTACCCCCAAATATGGCAAATGACAACTATGATACTCCTTCCATATGGGAGCCATTTATAAAACCGTTCTCCATATCCTCCGAATAGGAATCTGACTTCCGTGGAGGACTCGACGAATGTCTCCAAAAGTGCTCATGAGAGTTTGACTTCCTCTTGTGTGACTGAGATCGCTTCTTCGCCAGATTAGAAGCAATTTCTTTATCCTCTTCTACTAACACGTCTAACAAGTCAATAATTTGTTCGATATCGGGACGTTCTTCAGCATGAAATGCCAAACACTGTGCAACCACTGCAGTATACTCCTTTCCGGCACGAAGCGTTAACAACTCAAAATCAGGTTTCAACCCAGATTCTGCAACTCCAATGAAAAGTTCATATCTATTTTTACCCTTAAAAGGTACTTCTCTTGTTCCCAATTCCCAAAAAATGACTCCTAAACTATAAATATCTGAGGCTGGTGTTGACTTTTCATTGCGAAGGACTTCTGGAGCGGTATACTGCAAAGTACCCACGACATTGGTATCTATACGCATGGCACCCATTAAAATACTCAAACCAAAGTCCGAAATTTTCACATTCCAACCAGAGTCTACCAATAAATTGCCGCTCTTCAAGTCTCGATGTACTATGGGTGGCACTCTACTATGAAGATAAGCCAGACCATGAGCTGCTCCTATGGCAAATTTCATTCGAAGACCGGTACTAATGCGAATGCGGTTGTTATGTATCACTCGTCTCAAATCTCCCTTGTCACAATATTCAGTAACCAGAGATAGAGCTCCATCTTGGCGATAAACTACTCCCATAAAAAGTACAATGTTGGGATGTCTTAGCATCAAACTGATCTTCACTTCTTTCTCAAATATACTCAAAGAATCTTCGTCCATTTGCACACGGTCCAAAGTCTTTACTGCAACTAGTGTTCCATGCCATAATGCAAGCTGTACAACACCAAACGAACCTGCTCCAATTTGGTTTCCGAACTCCACTTCATGTTCCGAGATTTTCCAATTTTCCTCCATACCCCTTGCTTCCATCTGTTCTTTGAGTTCCAATGCTGAACGATGTGCTTGTCTTCGAACTACAAAACGTGGTTAGATACGTGTCATTCACTCTAATAATTACATACTATCCTTCACCGTTGCTATCCTTATCATTGTTGCCAAGCGCAAAGTTGCCATGACGACAGTAAATACTTGTGCCAATTGTACTTTCCACTGGTGTTCTATTTTCAACGTATACAAAGAATCAACGCTATAAAGACCCTGGAACACTTTCAACTCAATCAAACGTCAAGTGTAAACACTACTTACAAGCTCTACAAAGGTAGGAACTGTCAACAGAACCACTGTAATGAAATCAGCAACGTTGAATTTATCTTCAAAATAGCTGAAAAAGCCCCAAGCCCACATCCGAACTGCAGTTTCCACCAAAAAGAAAAACCACATGGCAACGTTGAGTCCCAACTGAATCCAAGTTTCGATGAAATAAACCAAACGAGAAGTGAACGAGTGAGACCTAATTTGGTTAAGACGCCATTTGTGCCATCCCACTATTACTTACCAAGCGAGTTTGTACATTGTAATATATTTTACCAAAAATACCAACAAATTGAACCCAATAAGAGCGGCGTCAAAATAATAAATATAAGGAGAATCCACCTTTTCTTTGACTTTTTCCCTGAACAGTTCAACAGACCTGAAAACCCCAGTTGAGTTATTATCACTGTCTTTTTTAGGTCAACTCACGAAGGTATTTCTCCTTCGGTTACCGAAGGGTGTTCTACAGCAAGGAGTTCGTCTCTCTTTCTTGACTTATTTCCTTGTTTTCGGTGCCAAAGCCTTCTTTCAAGCAATTTTCTGAAAACGAACTGGTGAGCAACAAGAGAGTCGTCCTCCCCTGCGTCCATCCATGGCTCTCCGTCCATACCCCATTCCACGTCTATGTGGTCTGACGAAAGGTTGGAGGACGAACTCTCTGCCACTGTGAGTGGTGGTGTATGTTCAAAAGAAGACTCATCTCCTTCCCCAAAACAACCAGCGCCGTCAATTGCGCTTATAATTTCGTTTCGTTTGAAAGTTTTCGAAGGAACTTGGTTGTTATTCATTTAACAAGCTGCTTTCAACGCCATTTTCAACTCTCCCACAAACCACTTGAATCCGATTTCCCCTTCATTCTTTTTGTCCATTCAAAGGCGGAGAAACAATCTTCTGCGCAGAAATACAATCTCTAAGAAGAAGAATAGGAGGAATCTATGATAACATTAGTAAGTGTTCTGGTGAAGTTTGTGCATAATAGAAAGAATAGAAGAGAAATTATCGTCCTTTGAATCGAGATTGTCGATACTCTTTGAGAGCAATCATAAACCAAATATCTATCTACTGTATGAACAACATGTGTGTCCATAACTCAATAATTATCATTGGTTGTGGGATGTCCATTTGTCACACACACTCACTCACTCATAAGTGATCACTCATTGTTGGTGGTGGTTGGCCTTTGTTGTCATGCAAAGCTCGAAGTTTATCACTTCCTCACTTGCTAAACCAACGTTAGCAGCTGTCATTGAAGAAGAAGACTCACTTATTCCAAGGTCTCCTTTTTCTGACTCTGTCTCAAGAACTAGCTCTAACAAGGTAGAATGGAGATGACTTTGAAAACGAGCGATGCACTACTTACATGGATAGGATGAGTCCATTATTTTTGCAACAAGTCAAGAGAATAGAAAGAGTTGGTTGGAAGAAACGTCTCAAAGGGTATGAAGGTCGAGTTGTGCTGTTCGTTCCCAACTGAATGTTTCTTCCTAGCATAAGGAAATTAACATTCACTTATTGCTGAATATAGTGCGACAGTTGTCCCAGTTACAACATAGTGTACAAGCAAGTAGAGGTATGGAAAGTTGTGATACTTTGAAAGTGGTACGACAAAGAGTATCGTTATGTTACAGGAAAACGAATGCGGCGTGATATATTGCAACGTTATCTTGGGTTGATAACCTTGTGGAATATGCAAGAGAAACAACTGATAGGGGTTATACAGGTATGTTATGAAATACAAAGGTATGGGACACAAGTTGTTGAATGGGATAGTTGTTTCGAAAAGTCTTTTTATGGAACAGCATTGTATTGGAGGGATGGGTCGTGTATGCGCTATTTATGGTTTTGAAAAGTTACTTGCATACAACACCATTTGCTAAACCAACGCTTGGGTCGGTAAGCATTATGTCGTTGTGAGATATTGTATATGTATGAAGTTCGATAGGTCATCATTACTATTTTCTGTTGGTCGATAATGCATTGGATGTTGAGTCATCGTACGAATTGGCTGTGTCCTTGGGAAAGTATTATTGTAGAATTAGGGAGAAAGCATTGTTTTCACCCAATGTCAAGTAAGGAATGAACTTTTTCCGTTTTCTGGTGTATATATGGTTTCTTTTCATGCGATATGGGCCCATAACCAATTGTGTTTGAAATAAATGATGAAATTGTGCTTTTGACTGGAAGATTACTCACAGATAGTAATATATCAAGAAAGAAAGACACTTGTCCATGGGAAGATTGTCTTTGGTCAATGCATGATCCAATATAGTCTATCCATATCTCGCAAACACATTTTGTATTCTTGTGATATGATACTATTCCATGTAGAGATTACAATTATTGGGCTATTCTCATAACAGTGCTGTCCTCCATGATATCCACATAGGATAGGACTCTATGCCATTCTATAAAATGTTTCATTTTCCCCCTTTTGGCCTCGAAGCGTGGTCGTCGTCGAAATCGATTGTTATTGATCCTTGTGAAAAGTGATCATGGAAGGTGAGTATTGTGTAGAGTATAGAAACTTCAACTCAACTGGCTTAGGGAGAGGAGGTGGTTTTCCATCTGGATTTAGTCGTGGACGAGGAGGCAGAGGAAGAGGTAGAGGCAGAGGTAGAGGACGTAGAGGTGGAGAGGAGGAAAAGGAGTGGGTTCCAGTAACAAAACTAGGAAGACTAGTGAAAGAAGGAAAGATCAAAAGTTTGGAAGAAATATTCCTCTTCTCCATACCCATCAAAGAATACCAAATAGTTGATCTATTTTGTGGTTCCATGTTAAAGGACGAAGTACTCAAGATTAAGCCAGTTCAAAAGCAAACGAGAGCAGGTCAACGAACTCGTTTTAAGGCGTTTGTCGTGGTTGGAGACTTTAATGGTCACGTAGGTTTGGGTGTGAAGACAGCAAAGGAAGTAGCCACGGCTATCAGAGGTGCTATCATAGCAGCCAAATTATCGATAGTTCCCATTCGAAGAGGCTATTGGGGAAACAGAATAGGCAATCCCCATACAGTACCCTCTAAAGTTACAGGAAGCTGTGGTTCTGTCAGAGTTCGATTGGTACCTGCTCCAAGAGGAACAGGAATCGTTGCAGCAAAAGTATCCAAAAAGTTGTTGCAAATGGCAGGGTTGGAAGATGTGTTTACTCAATCTTGTGGACACACTCGAACACTTGGAAACTTTGCTATGGCCACGTTTGAAGCTATCACTAAAACATATGCTGTGCTTACTCCCGAGTTATGGAAAGAAACGAGGTACCAAAGGACACCATTTGAAGAGCACGCAGACTTTCTGTCCAAATCTCTTCATACAATGGCATAATAAATGTTTTGCCCTGGATATTTGGAATGAGGTTATAGTTATCCCCGATATTCATCCCCACAGTCTCCTATAACTCGATACAAGTCATTAGCTTTGTTCGTAACTGACCGTATCTTTTGGTAATCTTCCTTATCTAATTGCCACTGAAATACATTCAGGTTGTCATTGAGATGATCACTCAAACCTAGACGAGCTCCGACAAGAATACCAGCAACAGCTCGTTGTTCCAACACAAATCGCATTGCAACTTGAGAAACATTAACGCCATATTTTTCGCCAATTTCTTTCAACACAAACAAAAGTTCCTGAAAGAGACCCCAACCACCCCATACTCTTATCATTTGATAATACTTGGCAAGCGATGCCGTATCCAACGCTCTACGTGAAGGTTCAGGAAGGCCAACATATTTCTCTGATATAAAACCTCCACACAAGGTACCATACGCAAGAACTCCGATTCCGTGGTGGTGACAGTAGTCTACCATTTCTACTAAAGGACGTTGGTCGAGAACAGAAAATTGGACCTGATTGCTACAAATTCGTATTCCTTGACCGACTATGGTTTGCAAGTGCTCCGTGTCAAAGTTGGTAAGACCAAGACAACGAATCTTGCCTTGATCAACTAACTCTTGCAAATGACCTAGAGCATCCAAATATCTTTTATCTGAATAGTCCCACCAATGAAACTGAAGTAAATCAAGTCTATCACACTGCATCCGTTTCAAAGAACGGTCCACAGCATCTTCCACGACTCTCTTCGACATAAGACCTGGTCTCGGAACCCATTTGGTAAGGAACTGAAAGTGACTATCGGAAAACCCCTTTCCCACTTCTTTTCTAAACTCTCCAACATATATTTCAGCATCTCCATAGTGGTCTGCTAGGTCAAAAGTTGTTACTCCGTAGTCGGTGTAACATTTCATTGCTGTTACAACGGAAGAAGTGGAAGGAATATAACCATGGGCACCAGAAAGTTGCCACATTCCCGTAACCAGTTTACTGATGGTCAAATCCTCTCCAAGTTTGCTGTATTGCATAACTACTCAAGTGAAAAGAGGAACACTGTTTCCATCAATCACGAACAATGTTGGGGTTCATAATCGATCACCCATTCGAATCATTTTCGGGACAAAGGAAATAAAAGGGTTTTCTTGTCTGTTATATAATAAGTATTTATTCCACACTGTTCCACTCTTGGGGCCTAGAGAGAAACTCAAATGAGACTAGATGTAGGAAAAGGGTTCTGAAAACCCACCACTCGCGTAGTTTATGAAGTGTTTTTACTTGGTCAGGTAAAAAAGTCTCAACAACTTCTCCTCTCACACGACCTTGTGGAGACTCATAAGGTTCCACTATGACAATACTGCCTCGTCGAATATAGATATAGTTTCTGAAAAAAAGTGAGTAACAGAATACAACTAGAAGATGGAATTAACAAACCAACCTTAAACGTTTTGGAAGAAGATACTTGTCTTCCTTCCTATCAGGTTCACGTGTTTCAACTTGATACACATTATTTCCTAGGGCGTGCACTACACGCCCTATAAACTGCCCCGACTCCAACTGCAAATCTGGTGGTCTTGTCAACTGAATCAATAAAAGGGATAATAAGGCACTTACTGACTAGAGCAGAGGACTGGTTGTTTCCTCCTTGCTTCATAGAAAACATAAGTTACCAGTTTTCTCAACACAGTCGATATTGTGATGACCAGGTTTCACTTCGTAAACAAGTAGAACAATATGTTTTCGGGTGACAATCGGAGAGTTGAAAGGCGAGTTGTCAGCAGTCAGTGTGACTAAGTTAGATGAACTCAAGTCCTGCTAAAGAAAGGAAAAAGTAAGGAAACGACTTGCCCAAGAAGCACTGTGCACCTAGACCCAACTTGATACAGACAGTTTACTACCAAAAATAACCTTTCCCAAGGAACCCAACTAGTACTAGTCAACCAAACGCGTTCCCAGCCTGACACCAGTCCCACCACCACCCGTTGTTAGAAGCATTTAAGTGATTTACGAAAGAAGTTGACAAGCACTTTTAATAACTTGGTTTATTCACAAAATGAAAGGCTAAAAAAGATACAACAGAGCATAACCAAGTTTGACAACTCAAAAAAGCCATGTTTTCCAGTTCGCTTGTCCGTGTGGGTCGCCACAGGGACATTCCCTTGGGTAGGGAATCAAGTCAACTGGGTCAGCGTACAAGTCAATTCCATTCATCGGTTGAGATTATGGCAATGCACATATGCATGTCCCCTGTCTATGTGGACAGGCCAATCGGCCATTCCTATAAATAGGGACATTCTTCTCTCCTCTCAAAAATATTTGTTTCTGTTTCACGATGAAGTTTTCTTTGGTATTTGTGGCTGTCTTGCTTTGTCTTTCTCTTGTACGCACTCAAGCAAAGTGTACTTATATTGAAGAATACTGTGGAACTTCAGCTTCTGGAGTCGTCGTTCACTGGAAGTGGGTGAATGAGGCAGAGGGACTCATTGAGTGGACCTTTAACAACACTGGAAGCAGCGATGCTAGTGTGATCCTAAACAGAGGTGCCACATATAACGGTGCACCACTGGTTCCTCCTTATGTGTTTGCCGCAGCATACTTCCCAGCTTATTTATATGATGGTCTGGCTCAGTACTTTTATGGCAAACCAGTTCCTCTTAGAAACTATCAAGCTGACTATGATCTTCCTATTGGTATGCTTAAAGTAGATGATGATTTTTGGACAGTCTTTGTATTCACTTTGGCTCCTGGCCAAGTATTCAAAATGGAAGAAGGAGGTTATATCTATGAAGGAAGCAATATCTTTCCATATTGTCAAAACGTGGATGACATTTCTTATGAAGGCTCTGAGGTCTTTACTGTGGAATATGATGCTGCCACTCAATGCACCGAGTTTGACTCTACTCAACCATGCCCACCAAAGAAGTTCGATGTAGGTAGTGCCTGGTACTCTATCAAAAAGGGTTTGGTGAATAGTACCAACTTTTGGCCAAGCGCTGGTGATAAGTTCTATCTTAATGTTTGTGCGGAAGAAATGCCATACAGGAAAGCAGAAAGAGCCAATATTGCCAGTGTTGATCGTCAACAACTTCTAGTCATTAATCAACAAGTTAGAAGTGCTGTCCGTCGTGCTCAAGTATCCAGTGATAAGCGAGTCAAGAGAGTTCTTTAAAGGTCTCTTTGGTAGACAGAGATTGTTTTGGTAGTGATGGAGAATGATTGATTGCTAGCTTTTGTTTTTCTATTTAAAAGAACTTTTGTTTTCACTACTGTTCCCTTGCGTGTGAATTTGTTTTATATCCAAAAGATTGGAATGTACACCACACAATAGAAGAAACAGAGAGCACTCCCAACAAAGTTTGGCCAAACAGCGACAAACTATTAACAAGTACTAGAAGCGAAAATATTTATGAGTTATCTTCATTTGTGTAGTTTTTCTGATTTGCGAGTCCAGAATGGAATAAGGCACTGGTCCATGGACTAGTATTCGAATGATGATTGGTCGATATTGCTGGTTGATTGCCTGCAGTACGATTCGGTGAGTCCCCGCCTTCCTCTACTTGAGATGGACGATTGCTCATCTTATTTCTCGCAAATTCAATACGTATTCCTCCCTTTTCACTCGAAGGTAAAGGTACATTCTGACATTGTTGCATAGCTTGTGTAGAATAGACCGAGTCAGTGAATTCTACAAATGCCACTGGTGCACGCTCATCCTTGATATTCAATCGGACCCGACGAAAACCAGTGCATCGACTAAAGAGGTTTTCCAACTCTGCCTGAGTAACGGAAGGTGATAGGTTTCCTACAAATAAAGTAGAACAAGCATTTTGATTGAAAGAGGGATTAGACGTCAAAGGCAATGATACGTTGGAAAACTAAAAGATGACTGTTTAGCAGTGTTAACAACGTGAGAGTTATACTACTTGTTACCATTGGATATTGTAAACCGGGGGTATTATTTGAAGCAAGATTCCAAGAACCTGGTTGTGTAAATAAAGGTAACTGAGCTACAACTCCACCCGTTCCAGTTCCTATGAAGAAAGTCAGTAAACCATTCATACTATCCTCCAAAATAACAAAGAAATATCAACAAAGAAAGCAAATTCGCATCTGCACCCAAAACACAAAGACTTCACGACTCACCTAAACTGTAGTCACTTCCACGATACCTTTTCTCCACACGTCGACCTTCATCTATAACAAAGTTTCAACGACCGTTGTTCGGGAATAGAAGAAACGCTTATACTTACTTCTCCTATTATCCTCAAAAGACGAGGAATGAGCCCAGTCTCTTTTCACTCTGGTGTTGCTTTTTGCAAATTCTATTTTGAGTTTACTACCCAAAGCTGGATCAAAAACTATGCCGTCAAAGTCCTTCATTGCTTCTTCGGCCTCTTCTCTCGTTCGAAACACCGCAAATACTACGGGTTCTTTGCGTCGAGAAGAATTTTTTATGATGCAACCATCATATAAAGGATAACGGAAGCGAAACAAGTTGTGAACCTCTCGTTCAAGAACGTCTGCAGGAAACCCGGTTATGAACAGAGTTCTCACTGTGTCTTCGCTTTCTTGTTTTGTGCTTTGAGAAGTGTTCTCCTCTGTTGGTTTATATTCCTCAGTATCTGCCATATGCAATATTTGGTGTATCAAGTAGCTATGCAAAAACGACAAAGGATATGTCTCTTTCCTACCACAGAATATCCTCTTCAACAAAATGAAAAATTCTAGTTACTTCATCATGCCTTGGCGTTATCAACAAAAGTATCCTTATGATTATGTGGATATTTATTCTTTTGTTTTTGACAACAAAAAACTACTGTATAAAAGCATACATCTTTTTCCATGAAATTCTTATTTGGCCAAAGACATCGTTTTTTGGGTTGACATAAGGTGGATATCTAGACTTGGAAAGTTTTGTGATACCAGCTTGTCATCTTATGAAAGTGGAAAACGATGTTGTACAAGAAGACAAGGAATCTTCCAACCCTGTAGTGGATAATTATCTAAGCGCTAAAAAAAGGGAACGGTACGTAGGGTTTCAACAGTTACACATACTACTACAACTTGTTTTTAGTTGTTATGAAGCAAGAGACCGATATTTTCTGTGCCTAGATAATGTGGAGAGAAGAAATGGAAGACAAGCCTCTTATGATGGAGTCGACTGTATAGAGGAATATAGACAATATACCAACCACTGTTTGTCCTCTTGGGTCCGATACTTTAACCAACAGCGAAAAATAGCTCAATCCAAACCCAGAGATTTCGTTCCCAAACAGAACAAGTAGTTGTATATCTTTTTAGAATAAACAAGTGTAATGTTTCTCTAAAAGAGGCGATGTTCACCTTTCCCAACAAAGTCAGAGAGACCGCCAACTTTCTTCTGGTTTGTGAGAAAAAACAATTTCTCTCGTGGAAAATGGTTGACATGGTTCCTGTCGTAGACAATAGCAATGAAAGAGTAGTCTTAGTGGAATACAGAGAATCACTACAAATCATCAAGTTATCTAGACCAGCTTCCAAAAATGCGTTTAATGACAAAATGTACGAACAGTGTATCCAGGCGTTGGAACAGGCAGCTTCCAATCCTGCTGTTCTGGCCGTAGTCTTCACAGGTAAACTGAGACTTTTATTAGATTTGTGTTCGTGCTTAATATGATGAAAGGTGAAGGAGACTTTTTCTCGAGTGGTGCCGATGTGAAACAGCGCAATGACAAGCACTTGTTTCAAATGGAAACTACCGTAGTTGGTAGATTTATGAAACTGCTAGCTGGGTTTCCAAAGTTGGTGATTGCTGCAGTGAATGGACCTGCAGTTGGAATTGGAGTTACTTTACTTCTTCAAGCTGATATAGTTTACTGTACCAGGAAATCTTGGTTTTGGACACCGTTCTCATTCCTAGGTTTGGCACCTGAATATGCTAGCAGTGTTATGTTGCCAGATATTGTAGGCATATATAAAGCCAATGAAATGTTAATATTAGGAAAGCGAGTGAGTGCTGAAGAGGCACTGCAATTTCACTTGGTTGCACAAATATTTGATAGTCGTTCTAATGAGGAGTTTCTTGAAGCTATTTGTAAAAGTGTATTGGAAAGTATAGCACAAATTGCTGTACCAGAAAAGGTATGAGAGAGAGCTTGATTTCTTTGGAATTCTATCTCATGATTTGACAAAGGGCATTCCCTTGTTTAAACAACTGATCAAGTCACCAAGACTTGCATCCATTGAGAATGCTATGAAACGAGAATTTGCAGCCATACGTGAGCGTGCCTTTCGTGGTGAGCCTCAACAAGCCTTTCAACGTCGAGAGCAACGTGGCAAACAAGCCAAAGAGAGACCAGCAGTTTTGCAACAGGCTCGATTATAATAGAATTGCAAGAACGTTTGTGTTTGTGTGTGTTTGTTTGTGTGATAAAAGTGTCCATAAAAATATATGACTATAAAAATTTCGACATATATTTGGTTCTACTGGAAGAATATTGTGAGCTATTACAATAGAAATACTGGAAAATAACCTACCAAAAAGACTACCAAAAGAACATAAAAGGCAGTTACCAACACTCTAGATCGATTACCTACACACGCACACACACCCTACTATCGTGCTGAAATCAAACCTCTTGAAGCATGTCCCTGAAACACACAGTATTACGTTCACACCTGAGTTAAAAACGAGGTGTCTATCCAATAACCCTACGAAGTATTGCAGAGTTTAACCCATTCGAAAGACCACAGAGGATCACGAGTGGCACTGCTAAAAGGTGGGCTTCGAAGAGCTACCTCCGCAAACTGAGTGTACCAGGAAATGGTTACTTACCATCATCATCAACACCTATCAAAGACAGAGCTTTCGCTCCGGTTACTGAACTGTCCAAGGCTTCAATACAAGCCAAGCCTTTCGTAGAAGAGTCCGCAGCAGCCGTTGCCAACGACGACTTTCCTGCTTCTCTTACGACGCAGTTATTTTTGCTTAGAGTCACTGAAACACTGGGGCACCTCTTTGCTATGTGACGGCAAGCCATTCGTTGATGGGTCAAGTCCCGAACGGCAGCTAGCGTTAGATCTCTGTTCCCTTTCAAGTTTCTACCCAAGTTTGGCTTCGAACTCAAGTGCTTAGAGTGTGAACTACAGCAACGAATAAGAGAGAATGGTTAGTTTATGAAAATACTTACAAAGTTTGTCTTATCAAACTCTTTGCATTTCTAACAACTCCAAAGCAACGACCCCAACCAGGTGCCATTTCGTTTTGGACTAGGGAAATAAGAATGGAAAATAAAATGTGGAGTCTTATTCAACTTGGGATTCTTGGATACACAAGTTGCATAAATAACATAGAGCTTGGGTTTTCAAAATGGAGATGATGCTATGAAATGCAAGTTATCTGGGTACATTTGAACAAGTGAAGAGCAACACATGGATAGAGTTTACACAGTTTCTAGAGCTGCCGATAGATCGTCCAATAGGCTGTGCGCTTCAATTTCTCAGTGCAAAGTGATTGGTGGGATGAACGCCGGTGGAACAAAAAGGGAATAGAAAGCATTGGATCGATTTTCATTGGAGAACCACGTAACGTGTGTGGTTATTGGGAAAATTCGTTACAAAGACAGCACTGGAACACAAGTGGAGTTACTACACCTTTTATAACCTTCTTGTAAAGGTAAAATATACTCTAGTTTGCAAAAAGTATAGATCACTCTCCAAAGATACAACACAGATAGATTTGTAACAGAAGACACCTAGATCAGTGGTGTGAAAGAGATCGAGGGGTATCGTTGTAAGGGGATCCTAGTGAGGCTACTTGAAGTCACAGGTAATTGCAACCGTGTATTATTAGAAGGAGATGGACTAAAATCATAAAAAGCTAGACAAACTGGAACCGTTTTTGTTGTTGTATTGGAAACAAAATTATATACAAACGACTACAAAAACACGACACTACAATGTCCACGGGAGATCCTGGTAACAAGGACCGTTGTAATGAAACCATCAAGTTCTTGGCAAAGCAGGGAAAGAAGGGGGCTTCAAGGAAAGAAACTCTCCGTAGCCAACTTACAAAGAATGGTAGGGAAAAGGAAAGTATTCAAAACTCTTCAACCACGGAGGATCAGACTTTAATCACAACAAAAGAGGAGCAGTTCGTCACAGTAGGAGATGTAGAGGATTCTTGTCGCACAAGTTCCTCACAGTTGAATGTTCAAGATAGTCAGAAGGTTTTGTCCAAGATCTCGAACCCTCAGTTGATGGTAGAAGAGCAAACGGATGAAAGTCATGATGGGGGAAACGGGAAGTCCATGGAAAGCTCAGAAAGTGCCCCTTCAGAATCCTATTCTGTTACTTCGGATGCGGTTGATTCTTCTAGCACAATGTCATATAGAAATACTTTTATGGGTTCAGCCAAGAGAACTATCGAAGACTTTGAAGATGGGGAGCATGTGACTATTTGGAATAGAACGGAAAGAAGAAAAATTGCTGGAAATGCTGCTCCTTTAGCCAAGAATTTGAGGAGATATTTTCAGAAGCATCCAGACTGTGAGGTTTACTTTGGTCAGGATTTGGAAGAATTTATTTCCGATGAAACTACTGTTCAAGTAGCGACCAGTGGAGTCGCTACAAGTGGTGGTCATGTATCTATATGGAATCGTATAGAGAAAAGAAAGATTGCTGGAAACGCTGCTCCGTTATTGAAGAATTTAGAAGCCTATTTGAAAAAACATCCCGAATGTGAAGTGTACAACGGACAAGACAAGGAAATTTTAGAAAGAAAGAAACGAAACAAGAGAAGAAATCTTCACCACAGGCGGAAGACAGTTACGATAAAAACCAAGAATAAGAACGAGTCCCTATTAGAGACTGTCCAAGACGGCAGCCTGGAGTCATCAAAAGGCACAGGAGCTTTAAGCAAAGAGGAAAATTTGGGTTTTATGTCGGCAGTAGTAGATGAAAGTCATTATTTGTCGTCTCACCTTGCTGATCCTAACTCAGATATCACTGGATTATTTGGTCTTGTTGATGAAGAGCTTTCCAGTGTAGACTATATGAGTCGACTTTCGTTTTTGGAAGAACCTCCTTCCTTAGATTCAATAATAGATTCTAGTTATCCGGTAGAAGACTTGTTGTTTTGGAATAGTAGCTCTAGTTGGTCTGAACCAGTTGAAACAGAACGTGAAGATGTAATTGAATGGAGAGATACAAGTCTTAGCATTTTAGATGAAGAAGTGGATGTAACCATCGATATATCTTCAGGCTCAGGTTTCTCTCCTACTTTGTGTCTTTCTTCAGGTTAACTTCAAGTTCCAAAGTGAGAGCACATCAAGAAGGATTTTTATTCTATATTATCACGAAGCCGTAGTGACAATAAAAGTTTTTTGGCCATTTCTTATTTGTGAGTTGCCATTCAGAGTTCGAGTCTGGCCAAGGTTTCGCAAGTGTGTTGAAGAGCAATGGAGGTATGAGTGGTTCTTCCAATAACTTGAACATCCTCAGAAACCCCTCTTCTGGTATTCACAACGCATACTTGGTCAAACTATCTCCAGAACTAGTTGAACAGTTGAAGCAAGAAGCGAGAACAGTGGAAGACTTGGAGGGTAGTACCTCAAACAGTTCTAACCTACGAGGACCGCAGCTTGTTATTACAGAACAGGGAAAATATTTTGCTTTAAGATTAGATGAGAATAAGCTGATAAAGCTGAAATATATTCCCGAAAGTAACAGTGATATAGAGTTTTATGAAACTGCTCCTGGAGACGATGATAGCAACAGCCTCATCTTGAGTGGAAGAGTGAAAGGAAAACTATTTGAAGAAAAGCAGTTATCGAATAAAATCTCGGAACATATGAAGAAGAGAGTTTTGCAAGCGGAGAAGGAAGCTCATGCACACGATATAAAGGTCATACAACCTCTAGAAAATAAGAAAAAGAACGGTTGGTCTATATTGCATTGGAATAGAAATGTATTTATTTGTTTTGAATATTTAGGAGTATTGAAGCAAAGCTTGATAGGGAACAAGAGACGTGCTTCTTTACCACCTGTTTTGAAGAGAACTTCAAGCGAAAGTCAGTTGAAGGATTCTAATCATCAGTCCGATAGAGTAGTTTCCAAACAGAGCATTTCAGAACACTTGCAGGACGTTGTCACAAGGAAGAACAATTCTTTGCCAATACATGCACGCAATGTTTCATCTCTTTCTCATTCATATGTCTCCACAGGTTATAGAGACTCTAGAAGTAATAATAGAGCACAAGTTAGTACGACTAGTTTTCAAGATAGGCAAATTCATGCTCGTAGGTTGGAATCCAGCAAGGACTTGACAAATCATCATGCTCCGTCAGTAGATACCAAGAAGAAGACGATGACTCTGCGGACATTTCTTATGTACATGTTGCTTTTGGGTCCGTTGTCAAGAGAAGAATTGGAACGAGAACGCCAAGATCGCTTTATTCGTTTCGAGTCAGACGCATCACTTTCTATGGATATTGTATTGGAAGAAATCGCAGTTTTACGGGATGGTAAATGGAGATTAAAGGAAGACAAAATAGCATCGCTAGTTGTTCATGAATTTCCATTGTACTCGGGAGAAGAAAGTAAAAGTGCCGAAAAGATATTGCAACGTTGGAAGGATCAACATAAGTTATGTAGTGAAGAAGAGATTAATGCGGCGTTGGAAGCCTTTCAACGAGAGTCAGAGTGTAATTCTGGAAATGAGATGAAAGAAGGTTTTACCGGGAAGGATCAGAAAGACACTTTTGAGTATAGTCCAGATGAGATATTGAATCAGTATATTGAGAAATATCGTTTATATCATAGTTTGGTATCGTGCAAATAGTTGGTTTTTATAACAGTTTTGAGTTGAATGGTCCTCCTAGGTATCTCGCTTAAGTGAACTGAGTAAGTCGTTTGAGGACTTGAGAAATCGGTTTTTGAACTCTTCCTCTGCAGAAGAGAGACAAAAGTTACGAGAACGTATCAAAATACTAAAAGACAAACATGGCTCGAAATGGGATGTTGGCTTCCTTTTGGTAAAAAGTTTAGAAAGCCAATTGATACATATGAAAAATAAATTATGGAGTTGAGCTCTTTTACAATTTGTCTCCATAGTTTTGTGTAGTGTTGGAAGTATGAATAGAGAACGGAAAGTTGGCAAAAAAATAATTATTGAAGAACCAGAAGGGGAATCAAGTGCACAAAGTTATTCAGAGGGAAACAGGGTAGAAACAGTCTCTGTGAACCCCCGTTTTTCGACTCTTTGGCAGCAACAGGAAGATGGGGAGAGTAACCTTTTCGCCTCTTCTTCGTTAGTTGCAATAGGCAACCTGCAAAGTGCTATGGATAGTGGTAATCTTAGAGGCACAACGTCAGCCTTTGAGAGAATGAATAAGCTCTTTGATAAGAGCAGTAAACCAGATATAAAGATATTTAGCTCCTCTTCCTCAAGGAAAATTGACTGCAATGGGAACGTTGTTGAACAAGTTACTATGACGAGCAGATACAAGGAAGCTTCCAAAGTTATGGGATACAGAAGGAATAGTGGCGTTTCCGAGGAAGAAGAAGTTTTTGTTTATAGACAGTTGGGTAGACGCGGTCGTGAAACTAGGAAAGTTGGAGATGGCAGTGAATATAAGACATATGACAACTACTTGAACTGTACTCCTGAAGATGATGAGACTTTTGAAACTGAGTGGCATAGTCAGTATTGTGACACAGAAACCAATTATTCTATTCCTATACGGTTCTTAGATGAAATGGAATAAATAGGCAGGAAAACATATCAGTGAATGAAAAAAATTTTATATTGGCGTCGGAAATGAAACCAAAAGGATGTGGTTGGAACATGTTTGGAAAGTTGCTTTGTTGTCAGGAAGTTTTGCTAGTTTACTTGCTGTTTTAATAACCCTTGGTATAGAAAGCTTTGGAGGTTTGGTTTGTGTGTTGTTTCGATATTGTTTTCAGACTTACTTGTCCTAGTATGGCGGTATTATTGGCAGTTTACCAGGGACCATCGTTCCTGCCTCAATAGGTATATGGAATGAATGCAAGGGAAATGCCGACCGCTTTAGAATATCAATGTTTTCCTCTCCTATTGGACTTGCTACCAATTCTCTCTTTCTTCTCAGTTGGAGAGTTTTGCCGCCATTATTACCAGAGATCTGGTCTCTCAAACAACGTTTGAGCGCCATGATTGCCGTCTCCTTTCTCTGTTGGTTTTTGATTGCTACTGTAGTTTTGTATTTTACTCAGTCGCTTCATTCATTATTTGAAGTGGAATTAGTAGGTGGTTTAGCAGCGCTTTTAAAATTGGTACTTGGTATAGCAGCCACCTGGAACCCCCCACCTACACCTTCCTCTTCTTCGTTAGAAAGTGTCTCAAAACGTGTTTTGTTACTTCGAGGTTTCTTTGCCTTTCTCGCAGTATTCGTTGCGGTACTGTTGTCTCATGTGAACGATTTCGTTGCTGGAGTTGCTGCAGTCTTTCCGGCCGTATTTTCAACGACCATGATAGCCGTTTGGATATCAGCGGGAGAAGCTGTACAAGGTGGAGCAGTTGGCCCTATGATGATGGGAACCTGTTGTGGTTCAGCATACACTATTCTGTGCGGGTTGTTGATCCCCAAGTGGGGGTTAACTAGGGGTGTCGTTTCGGCCTGGTTGTTAGCCGTGGTTTTTGTGAGTATCCCAGCGTTCTTTTGGGTACGTTGGCGCCTTGAGAAGAGAGAAGGAGCCTATCAAAGGACAGAAGAAGATAAATGGGAAGAAAAGGAACTAGAAGAATGGCAGAGTTATTCCGATGCATAGTATGAGTATTATAGTTGTTGATACTCCAACTGTGTCGGACAAAAAACGTATTAAGAGTTGCCAGTTCAACAAGGAAAGTCAGTAAAGAAGCAACAGTTCTGCTTTATGAAACAAGTTTTACTACATAGATTAGTCCTTTTAAGCACAGTGCTATTCACGCATCTGGCGATGTGCAGTTTCAATAGGAATCCGACCGAGACCGTTATCTTTCATTCCTCTCAGTTTGTTTCGAGTGGACATATACGCCCAAGTTGTAGAACCCCATAAACCGGAAAGTCCTCCCATGAATACACTACTTGTCCTTGTTGTTCTTGTAGCTTCAACAGGTCAGTTAACGGTCGTCACATAAGTGTCAACTACACCACCTACCTGACGTCAAACCAACAATACACCCAATAGAAGTGAGCAAAACGATTCTGCCGTATTCAGAGAGGTCGAAACTTCTCCATACTTTACCGGGAGAAGGGTTCCGGTCAATAACTGGATAACGAGGAACCGGTTTCTCCCACTCAGTCAAACGTCCCATCAATTCCTAATTTCAAGTATCTTCGTTTGTTCGTCGAGTGAACACTTCTTCCCTTTTGATGGATCATCATATATTACCTGAAATGATAGAAACTATGGGAAACTTAACCATTGATGAAAACGCTCCTGAATACACGAGAAAAAGATTGGAAACATGGTTTCGAGTGAAAGCAAATAGAAACAAGCAACAAGTACCGAGTTCAGACGTCCCCATCCGAGTGACTCTTCCTGACGGCCAAGTAAAGATGGCTGTCAAGGAGAAAACGACGCCAATGGATATCACCAAGTAAGTAAACGTTTGTGTCTAACTATTCTTCGAAGCTAATCTAGCAATCTTGCAAGGGAGCTGTTTCCTGATTTGGTTAAAAGCGCCATTGTAGCGGTAGTAAACGATAAACTGTGGGATCTCAGTAGACCTCTAGAAGAAGACTGTAACTTGAAAATATGTGACTTTGAAACACCAGAAGGAAAATCAGTATTATGGCACAGTACTGCACATATGGTGGGTGAAGCTATGGAATATGTGTTCAAAGGAGAGCTTTGTATTGGTCCTCCCATCGAAAACGGATTTTATTATGATATGCATACAGAACATCCGGTTAGAGAAGCAGATTTAAGGGAGTTGGAAAGAAGAGCTTATCAAATTGCCAAGTCTAAACGAACGTTTGAGAGAATGGAACTAGAAAAGGAAGAGGCAAAAGAAATGTTCGGTTATAATCCTTTTAAGCTAGAAATAATAGAGAAACTTGGAGATAATGAGACAATCACGGCGTATCGTGATGGTCCCTTTATAGATCTGTGCAGAGGCCCACATGTTCCTGTTAGCACTATGGTGAAAGCCTTATCTCTTACCAAGACAGGTCAGGCATATTGGCTTGGAGATGCCAACAATCCATCTCTTCAAAGAGTATATGGCATATCGTTTCCAGATAATAAGATGTTGAAAGAGTATATGTCTCTTTTAGAAGAAGCAGAGAGACGTGACCATCGTTTAATAGGCAAAAAGCAAGAGCTATGGACTTTCCATCCTTGGAGTCCAGGATGTTGTTTCTTTTATCCACATGGAGCTCGTATATATAACAAATTGGTAGAGTTTATCAGAAAGGAATATTGGAAGAGAGGCTATGAGGAAGTCATTACTCCTAATCTTTTTGATTTTCAGTTATGGGAGACATCAGGTCATGCACAGGCTTTCAAGGAAGACATGTTTTTGTTATCAGTAGAAAACCGTGAATTTGGTTTGAAGCCTATGAATTGCCCTGGCCATTGTTTACTTTTTGGTAGTCGTCAGAGATCGTATCGTGAGTTGCCTCTTAGATATGCAGATTTTGGTGTGCTGCATAGAAATGAACTTTCTGGTGCTCTATCTGGACTTACAAGAGTTCGTCGATTCCAACAAGTGAGGAAAATGCAAGTCAACTTTATGAAGTCGTGAATAACAGTTGAATAGGATGATGCGCACATCTTTTGTATGCCTTCACAAGTGGAAACTGAAGTGATGAACATGTTGGAGTTTTTAAAACACGTATATGAGCTCTTTGGATTTACCTTTGAGTTGGTACTTTCCACTAGACCCGAAAAGTTTATTGGTGATATTGAATTGTGGAATAAAGCGGAAGAGAAGTTGAAAAGAGCTTTGGAGAATTTCACGGTACTTGTATCTTCCAGACTGATATCTTTGAGACTCTAAGATTGAGTTTGTAGGGGAAAAGCTGCAATGAGAAAGGTGGCTGGACACTGAATCCTGGAGATGGTGCTTTTTATGGTCCAAAGATAGACGTGAAAATCCACGATTCTTTACAAAGGAGACATCAAAGTGCCACTATCCAGCTTGACTTTCAGCTTCCTATTCGTTTTGATTTAGTGTATCACGCACCTTCGAAGAATAGTCAACAAGATTCTCGAAATGAACAAGGAGATAATGAAGAGACTGAATTGCACCGTCCTGTAATTATTCATCGAGCGATATTAGGTTCGGTAGAGAGGTTCTTGGGAATTTATACGGAACATTGTGCTGGCAAATGGCCATTTTGGTTGAGTCCACGTCAAGTGATCGTCATTCCTGTTAGTGAAAAATACATCGAATACGGACAACATGTGAAGAATATGATTCATGAACAAGGCTTTTTTGTCGATATGGATACTTCGGATAGAAAGTTGGCGAAGAAAATAAGAGAAGGACAGTTGGCACAGTACAATTATCTACTTGTAGTGGGAGAAAAGGAAGCAGCAGATCGTACCGTAAATGTACGAACACGTAGCAATCAAGTGATTGGAGAAAAGAGTCTTGAAGATATTTTAGAAGAATTTCATCGATTACAAAAAAATTATGAATGACAGTGATAGTTAAAATATAGTCTTACAATATGTAAAATCGAAGGATATTGTGAAATATGCTGATACGATGGTTCAACTTTTTATAGCCAATTGATTCTATTTACAAACAACACAACTGCTGTACATTCCATATTTGCATAAACTAAGCATTAAAAAAACGTTTGAAAGATATTATCCAGTTCTCTGCGATGTTTACGTTCATAATGTTTCCATTTCTTGTGGTTGACCTTGGAAAAGTCAGCTTCTCTTTGAGCTATCAATACCAAATAATTTGTTAGCAAAAACAATTCTCTGTCATTCGTACTATAAACCATTCGTTATCTTATACGAGGTCTTCAATCTATACTCACTCTTTGGTTGTATAAGGCGATACCTTTAAACCATTTTCTGGGTTCAAAACAAACTAGGAAACCACTTTACAAAACAACTTGTGGAAGAGCTAGTGACTTACATTTCTGCTCAAATCATCCACATGTATAGAATTCTGAGGAGAAAAATGATCAGGAAATTTCCTCCAAACAACTTGTAATGGCTTCACCGAATGCTTCTTCAACTTTCAACAATGGTCAATTTCGGAACATAAAACAAACAGCGTCTCAATACCTGTCGCTTCTTTCGTACAGTTACAGAAGCCATGGCCAGCCTATCCAATACAAAGGATATTGCATAGTGAGGACACAAAAGAAGACCCATTTCAGTTATCTTGGCCTCCAACCACCGCCAACTCGTCTGTGACCATATACAAATATCATAAAAGGGATAAACGGTGCTCAGCATTTCATGGACACCGGGACGAATTGCATCTTGAATAGTTGTAGAGTATGAGTTATGCATCAAAGTGTTGTCAAGATCCAACACGAGAAGTCTGAGACACCAAGTGAGTAACCGACAAAACAATGTGTCTGCCTATACCTTTTCTGAGGACGAAGTTCATTCATCAAAGTTATTTGTAATTGTTTTATGTTACGTTCCAAAGTTTCCATGCACTTTTCAAAGTGGACAATTTCGGTTCGGTGAGACTCTCCTTCAACGTCATCTACAATTTCAGGAAAGGGAGCATGGTTGTATATCTGTTGAAGTTGCTCTTCTGGAGTGCCCATCAATATTAAGTTATATTCATTTTTGTTACAAACTTCTTGTAGTGTTACAGTATCTGCAAGTAAATAGGGGCGCAGTGTCAGCCCGAGGATTTTCTGACGGTCTGGCAACACGTTGGTACGTTTTAACAACTCTTGCTTCAACTCCCATAGAGTTGCAGTTGCTTACAATGTTGAGAATATGTGCCATTGAAACTATATATACTAACCTGAAATTTGTATCGAAAAACTTTCTTTTCCCCAACGGACACGAAATACACAACTCCTTTTCATCTCATCATCACCGCTTTCACACATTTCTGAATTTGGCGATTTGTCGATCACAACTTTCTCAAAAGCTAATTTGGCTTTCCATTTTTTTCTTTGCAAAGGAAAACAAAAACACTTTTATATCGAATCCCAAAGACACAAAACTCAACCATGCATACTATAAACACAAACGAACACCTATTAATAAGTCTAGAGAGAATAATACGACACAGAAGGTTATCCTAAACCTAATCTTGTCTACCAAGAAAGAACACATATTAACTAAAAAGAGATATAACAAGAGATATCAGAAAAAACACAAAGATAGCCAACACAGTTAGGTTCATTGCTTATTGTCCCAGAATCTGGAAACGGGACTAGTCCAGAACGTGTTACTAAAAGACGACGAGACTTCACCAACACTGCCATTATTAGAACCCAAACTTGCTCTCTCCAATGGAGAACGGCGTTGAAAAAGGGCAGAATCTTGACTGGATCCTTGTAAATATGAAAATGAGGCTAAATTTGAGAAAGATGATAACCCAGAAGTGCTATCATTTGTGCCAGTCTCGAATGATGATAACGAAGAAGACGAAAATTGTCGAAGGCTTTCATTCTTTCTGTCACAAGGAACATGCTCAGACGGTTCTAAACGCCAAACACTTGGAAATCCTCCTAAAAGAGGTGAACTATTTTCAAGACTAAAACGAGGACTTGCCAACTCAACGGATGGACTCCAGTTGTTCTTTTTCACAGGAGTTACAGACTGCGGAGAGAGACTCTTAGCACCATTCGGGTGCGACAGACTCAACGAACTTTCCGAATTCTCCAAAGACAATGCATCGACTTCCTGATTCAAGTCAGCTAAAGAAGATTGAACATCGATATCTAATAAATCCGTTGTTTCGTAACCCCTAAAAAGGCTGATTGACTTTGAAGAGTTGTCAAGCGATATGTCTGTTGGAAATGTTGAAGAAGAGTTTTTCAAATCAGAATGTCTTAACGGGTCCGTGTTTTCATAAGAATATGGGGACTGCTGCATATCCAATTGACGCACTCTGGTCGAGATGCTCTGAAAGCTGTTAAACAGCGACGACTGGTCTACACCAGAATAACTTTTGGTTGAGGAAAAATCTTTTCCAGACGTGTCATTTCGACCTTCATTTAAGTAATATAGGCCCAATTCTAATCTAGAGTTTTTTTGTAGTTTCTCCAAGTCGACAGCATCTTGACATCGTGTGTTCAATTGCTGCGAATTGTTTTCAATAACTTCTGACTTTGAGTTGTAATATATACTTTCGTCTTTCTGAAAACCAAGTTCATTAAGCTCTGCTTTTGATGGATGATTGTATTTGCAGCTTTTGCCGTAAGGGCATCTTCCAAACTGTAAGAAATCAAAACAATCTCGTCGGCTTAAAGCTTTGATAAGACGTTCGTCACGAGGAGGGTGATTAAATTTGCAGCGAGATCCGTAGTTGCACTTGCCCGTCTTTAAATAGTACATGCAATCAGGACTATTCAAACGGACCGGGTAAGTTATATACTCTGCTCTTTCATCGGATGCACTACCCATCGTGCCTACTTTTGAGGAAGAATTCAGTGTTCGCTGCGAACTACTCACATTCTCTCCACTAGAATATGTCAAAGAAGAGTATCTACGGTTTTCATCTTCAGCTCCAGAAACCGATAAAACAGAGGACCAACTAGAACTTGTCGAAGTATGAGCAGGGACAAATTCATTATATGCTATTCCCCAGTTATATGATTCTTTGCATAAATCTCTGGCAGTATTGCAATTAAGTGAACCAAGGCCGTCACTGTTCGTCTGGCTTTCTCTCATTAATATATCACAAACGCTGTCTTCTGCATCCCTTGCTACGGAAGAACTCTTTTCAACAAGGTTCCTTATTGCCATATCATTATTTAAATCGCAGCAGGAACCAACATCAGGACTGTGGAATTCTTCAAAACCTTTCTTTCTCATACTTTCTTTTTCTTTTTTCATACGACGACGTTCCTTTTCTCGAATACGTCTCTCTTGCTCCTTCCGAACTCTTTCTTCTTTCCTAACTGACAATGACTGATAAGTCTTTAATCTATCAACGCAAGCAGTCACTTCTAGAGCTTTAGGCTCGAGTTTTGCAGCAACCTGGTAGTCATTCAAAGCTGCCTCATAATGACCTAACAATTCCAAAGCTTGACCTCTGCGAAAATAAGACTTGGAATGCGTAGGCATATACTCCAAAGCTTTAGTGCAATCTTCAACGGCAAGATTATACTTTTGCTATGATAAAAGCAATTAAACTCTTTCTTCTTAAATTTCTATGCGAGAGACCATACCAACGCTAATAGACATTGTGACCGGTTACTCAAGAGAATCGTTCTTGATACATAATCGTTTGGATCCGCTAATTCTAGAGCTTGGGTATATGCCTCAGTAGCATGATGATATCTTCCACTGCGGAAAAAGTTATTTCCTTGTTCTTTCAAAGAAATATCCTACAGATAAGATTAGTCAATAATTTTTTCAACTGCTGCAACATACAACCTTTGCTTTTTCTTGCTCCTGTAAAGGAACTCGAGAACTCGCTATTGATCCATTCTTCTGAGTCTTTTCGAAACTGCCAAAGTCTTTCTCAAGATTCTCCAATCTCAACATGAAAGTCGTTCTACCTCAACAACTGGTAAGCAAGAGAGTGATACTGAAAATATAAACGACAACGGGACTTCACTATATGCTTTTTTAGAAATCACTTCTTCACCAAACCAAGGTCAACTACTTGGCTTGCGGATGACAACCACAAACTTGATACTTTTCAGCAAAGCAGACCTTGTCCTGATGTGTTACTAGAGGCGACAACACTCCTTAGATATCATTCAAAAAAAAGAAGGCTAAAGAGAAGACCTAAAAACCAAAGAAAAATTTCTAACGTCAAATGAGAAGAGGTGCCTAAAAAACAGTGGTGCTAATCACTCCCACCACCCAACAGCAGGATCAAATAACGGGATCCTCATTGGCGATTCGATCCCTCATTCCAACGCTAATTGGGAAAAGGTTCGACTGATGGCCAACTGATAGATAATATTGCGCTTACCCAAATTTGTGATTGCATCGATTCGATTACAAATTCCAGAAATTGGGCCAAATGGCCAGAAATGTTCGCGAAAGAAGGTTGGAGGACTTGAGGAAAGAGTCACGTAGACAACTTGGATGAGAAGCTGTTGTCATTCGTAACAAGTTGGCTCCTTCAGTGGCTTAGAAGAATATCACAGGCTATTATACTTTATTTTCGTGAACTGGATAGACTGAGAATAGACTTGCTGTAATGTTTGATTATATTCTAGCAGTTGACAAAATTTTTCAATAAACCTCCTATTTAGAGAAAAACTTTGGTTGTTTCTTTATCTTATATCCTTTCAAGTCTTTGAAACGTGTTATGACACGTCTTATCAGCCTGTTTTTCCAATTTTTCGAGAGGCGCCAACTACTTCTCTACTAGAACATCAGAGGGATGTGAACAGAAGTGTTTATGAATATGGACACGAGAATATATGGACGGAGGGGGGAAGTGGCTTAAGCTTCGAAAGTTCGAGGGGACGCTGTGAAAACTTGTGTTATTTCTTCTATTGTACTTGCTCTAACAGTTCTGTCTCAGGCTCAGTACCAGAAAACTAAGGATTGTCGTCTTGTCTCTCGGTACGGTCAAAAGCCTAAGTATCGACCTGGCTTCTTGTTGTGAAGTATATTACCATAATCCTTTATAACACTTCTTAATAAAGCCAAGATTCCTGATAGTGTATTTTCTATCTTCCACAGTTGTCAGGGCTTAAAACCATCTGTTTCCTTAGATATTTCATCAAAGGAACAATTTGGTTTTTTGGGAATATGGCAACTTCTTACTTCTCAAGCAACGGGGGTGCAGAGGGAAACTATGAGAATTCAGGGAGCAACATACTTTATGTGGTAGTAGCTACTGGTACCAATATTCTTGCCCAGTATGCTGCAGAAAAAGGTAATTATGAAGCCATTGCCTCTCGTATCCTGGCCAAAGTTCCACAACACGACGTGAAGAGCTTTTATGAAAACGACAACCTCAGCTTTAACTTTATGGTATCTGAAGGTATAACATATCTTTGCATCGCGAGGTAGTCGTGGATTGTTGTTTCTATCACAATATCTAAAATAGTATCTTAGACGACTTTACCCTCGAAGACTCGTGTTTGGATTTTTAGACGACATTAAGAAGCGTTTTGTTTCTCAGTATGGTGAAACAGCTAAAACAGCTGGTCCCCTTCACATGCAGCATGAGTTTCGACCAATTTTAAAGCAGCAGTTGGAATACTTTAGTAACGAGGCCGAGGCAGACAAACTGTCCAAAGTCCAACAACAAGTAGAAGAAGTTACTTCTGTCATGAGGTCGAATATTGACGAAGCACTGAATCGCGGAGAACGCTTAGATGTTCTTGTAGATAAGGCAGAAGATTTACGGGGAGGCGCCAGTCAGTTTCAAAAGTCATCAACACAACTGAAGAAGAACTTCTGTAAGCGCAATATGAAGGTGATTATTTGCATATCCATTATTGTTGTGCTCATTGCACTTGCTATTATTCTTGGAGTGGTTCTTACCCATCGTAACTCCTAGTTTGTATATGATTGTTGCTTAAATAAGATTCTCCATGGCTGAGAGTTTCTACTACTAAACAGTTGTAAGTCAATTAAAGTGAACTTTGCCACAACAATCCATATTTTTAGCTGAATATTTCAATATGTTTTGGTTCAGTTGCTGTTCACGAAGAAAAAAATAACTAGAAAAAGAATATACTTGGTTAGAGATTGCCGGTCTGTAAGCAATTGAATATTTACCTATCAAATGCAGGACCACTCAGCAAATGTCTAGTGCTATGGTTCATAAACCTTAAAATACTCATCAAAAAATATTTTGACTTTGGATCTTCACAACGCACGTTCCACCAAGCATCTCCATATTTGATATCGATAGCTCGGTCCTTGCATATACGAAGAACACATTGACCACTTTGGGAATGTTGGCATTGTGCATTGCTTTCTAATCCATCCATGACAGCATGATAAGTCTTCACAATCTTCGTTTCCATTGAATGCTCTGAACTCTTTGGTGAAAAGGTCATTTCTCCGTCATAATTGATGGGAAAATAAAATATTCCTGAACTTTGCAGCAAACCGAAAAGTGTGTCGATCATAATAGAACAATCATAGAGGTCTAGAAAGGCTGCAGCTATCACTACATCAAAATATCCCCGAAAATGAGCCTTTTGTGAAAATTGTACAATATCTCCCAGATAGAACTTTAAAGTAATGTTTTGAACCTTTGAAGAAAGCTGCAACTCAAGGCAGTTTCTCTCTGAAAATCCTCCTTGCTCGTCCCTAAGAAAATGTACTGAATTCCTTGGATCTACGCTTAAGAGTTCCGGTGTTTCCATATTATGAAGCTTCTCAGCCGACAAAATTTCCTTTACAGGCATATGATGCAATATGCTGTAGAAAGGAAACCTTTTTTTTATCTCACTGATGAGCCACTCTATTCCAAAGAGCCAATTTTCGGCATTCGAATCAATCAATATATACTCTATAGAAGAAAACTTGAGTAGGACCTGTCCCTCTAGGAGCTATAGCAGTTTATTTCTAGAATATTCATCTTTTCACTTTACTGACTTACGTTCAAAAACATAGAACCTATACCTGCTCCTACATCTAACAAACGTATGGTGTTCCCTGGCAGAGAATTGACTAAAGTATACAGGTGGTCCCAAGTAGCCTTGTGAAAGGCTTTCTTATCTATAGGAGCCTTGGCTTGCAAATATCTTGGATAGCAAAACTGGAAACTTTGTAAAGTTTGTAGCTGAAACCATGGCTCCACTTCCTTTTGAGACATTGTCCGACACAATCCTTTTGAGATTACTTTCAACCCTCCAAAGTGATAACAAGAAAATTCTGAGGGATACCACTCTATTTAAATGCATCTTGTACTAACACATATTCTTCGGCATAAAAAGAAAAGAAACTTTCCTCATTCATCTTCCTTCTTAAAGAGCAACTTGTTCTACAAGTATAAACCACAATCGTTCCAAAGTCCACATGATCCTTTACATATCGGACCTTTGCACTGTACTTCTTCATATCAGTAGAGTCCAATGCTTGATGCAAATAATAAAGCAGTTGAGGCATCACTTGAAATTCATAAACTCTCGGCTGTCCACAGCATGCACAAGGTGGAACATCACTCTCGTACAAAATACGACCTTCCTCTCGAAACCAAAGTGGTTCTAAACGTTCCTCTCTAGGAGCATATCGCACAACTTGCCTGGGTTCCTCACAAACTCTCGACTGAAAGTACTCGAATATTTTATCACGTGTCGAATCCTTTTCAGTCTCTTCCAAGTCTTCATCGTCCTTCCATGTCATATCATTGTATAAAGTAGGGTTATTCAAAGAGGGAGCTTCTTCACATTCTTCTTCCGAAATATCGAGAAGAAATGGAGGAAAATAATAGTACAAAACATTATCCTCGCCAGAAACAGCATCTCCGACACAACTATCTTTATGTGCCCATCGCCAGTCTATCGCTTGACACTCTCTAGAACAGTAATATCGTCTACGGCATTTCCCACAGACACTGGTTGCAGCTAAGCAACAGACAACGCAAGTGTTTATTTCTGCTTCACAAAACTCCTTTTGCGAACCAAGTTGAAGGTTTGACTCAAACTGGTCACAATAAAACGGATTTTCTGCTGGTAACTGACTTCGGAAAACTTTGCAAAAATCGTTCTTTTTCAAGCAGTCTGGATTGACACAGAAAAATACATACAGCATTCTATGAAAAGCTTCTTCATGTCCTACTATCTCTCTATCCAATGGTGCATAGATTTGAAGAAGAAACTCCAGTCTTTGACTACAAGTACCGCAAACTAGTGCACTTGTGTTTGGCAGATTTCTTGCTTCCAACCAAGCTGGTCTACTGCCAACTTTACAGGGAAAAGCAAACCTACTGGAAACTCTGGGGTCCTCGTTGAAAGCCTTTAATAGACCCAAAAGAGAAGTGGCGTTCTCATTAGAGCTTATCGAGTCACTTGAATACTCCAAAGAATGGGACATATCTATTCAGTTTGTGCTTTGAGTCTGCTATTCTTAATGTCTTGAGATACAATATTCTATTTGAACCAACGACTTGATCCATCAACCATAAAACGCCATGTAAGACTATCCATTATCAATCGAACAAAGGAAGAAAAAGATTATTATAAAGTAACATATTGTGATAAGAAAAATATATATTTTTCAGATAAAAGACTGATCAAAACTCTCAAGATACCTCATTCATTTCGAAAAGAATTGGAAGAAACTTCAAGTCACAACAGACATTCCCCTACTTAGACTTTGGTAGATACGGTCATCAGTTTTTGACCGTACTCAACTGGATCTCCATCTTGCACCAAAATTTTATCTACCACTCCTTCTACTTCTGCAAAATAAACGTGTTCCAACCCAAGTTGTTCAATGACACATACTGGCTGCTTCAACTTGATATGATCACCAACTTCGACCAGTGGCTTCTTTTTGGATCTACCACGGCGAAACCTTCCAACACGTTTAGAAACGATAGCTACTTCGGATATGTTTGTTTCTGGAGTAGGTTGTTGTTTGTTCAAATCTTCAGTTTGTGTTGCTATCGAAGAAGCCTGAGGAATTGAGGCTTGTTCCTCAGTTTCTGTAGAGGTCTCCGACTTCTCTTCGGGTATTGTTTGAGTGACAGAAGGATTCGTCTTGGAACCCTCTGGGCCTGGAATATAAATGTTATAAGTTTGCGAATTGGGTAGACTGTTCATAGGAAGTGAGAAACTGGAGGCAGATCCTTGAGGGTTGGTTTTCCTTCTAAGTTCTATGACAGATTCACCTTGTCTGTAGTACAGGTGAGGAAGGTCGGACTCTTTAAACTGCTTTAATATTTGTTCTATTTCTTCTAAAGTAAGATCTGGACCTTCGATTTGAATTTCTGGTTCTATAGTTGGTCGCTATAGCATAAGGAAGATCGAATAAGACGCAGTCAACCGGAGACAAGAACAAACTTACGTCTTCCTTTCTTGCAGACATTCTAGTAGAGAACAATCTCGTTTTTTGTCTTAAGTGACAAGTTTTCAAACCGTTGAAACGACTAACATCTTTCTTATTACCAGGAGTAGTATGTCGTGGAGTAAAGAACTGAGTGTTTACGAAACAAGTTGCAAAAGAATTCATTTCAATAAAGTTGGTAAACGTCGAATAGTTCCAATTGAAATGTTTTTTTAAAACTATCTCTATGTGTAGTTGAAATATTACAGTTTATCTCACAAATTATTTTGTATCTATTAGTCTCTGATACGAAAAATAGAACAACTGTGACTTGATGACTGAGAAACTTTATTCTTCACTAAAAAGAATTCTTGACCAACATATACAACCAACGGTTTCAACGTTCCGGTGGACCATAAAGAAAGCGGTAACCCATTTTATAGATAACTAAACCGGTTGCAACTAGAACAATGCAGTCTGTTGCAAAACGCAACCTTGAGAAAGTTAGCAACCGTACGTGCAACAGCAAATAAAATGTGTTGACTTGAGGTGTATAGCAACCAAACAACATACCTGTCGTTAAATATGATTTCTTCTTCTGCCTTTTCCAAAGGTTTCCATTTCAAGAGCTGGGCGATTAAGAAAAAAAGGTAGCAAACGAAAACACGTACCGGTTTATCGAAAGGAAACTCTGAGTTTTTTGAAGTTTGATCACAAAAGTACTTTCGCTGTAAAGGTTGTTTCATGACCCAAAGCCTTGAGAGTCTTGAGTGCAACATTTGGCTTTCTCTAAGGACAAACCAATTTTCTCCAAATTTTTCATCCTTTTAGAACTAGGCATTTTGTAATAACATGAAAATATATATGTATATATATATATATATATATATATATGGAGAGAGAGAAAAAGTGATTGAAATAAAATATTCTGTTATTTCAGGAAGAGATACTCTCCATCTCGTTTTCTTATAGAAACACACAGTCTCCCTTCCTAATCCTCTGTTGCATCGTATAATGATATCATCCCTGTTGTTATCCACAAAAGTCTCACGTGCTACTGGGCTCCAGACCTTTCTATTACCAGTTGTTTGGAACACTAGTGGCAAACTTTTCGTTTTTAGAAAGTTCAGTACTCTTTCTTTTCGTGTCTCAGTGAATGGGAAAACTTGTCAGCACTTTGGAAGAAACCGAAAGAGACAACTCTTGTTACACTGCTGCTTATCGTCCGAGGCTGTTGTCAATCTGAACTTAAGTGAAGTTCCTTCCTCTTCGAATATCCCTCCAGCCATATTGGAGAAAACCAGAGAAAGACTCCACCTCAGACCAAAGTAAGTAGACTTGCCTTATTCGAGTTGACTGCCAACGACTTGCTCTAGTCATCCGCTTCATATTTTGAAGAAAATGATAGAAAACAGTATCGAAGATATGCATCCAAGGGAATTTTCTTTCTTTGATGACTTACCTCAACTTGTTTCCACTAAAGACTGTTTTGATGATCTTTTAGTAGACTGGGACCATCCAAGCAGAAGATATACCGACACATACTATTGGGATGAGCACCACGTGCTGCGTACTCATATGACAGCCCATGATACAACTTTATTAAGAGCTGGAAAGACAGCGTTTGTATTGACGGGTGACGTATATCGTCGCGACAGTATCGACAAGTCTCATTATCCAGTATTTCATCAAGTAGATGCCGTTAGGATATTTGATGCAAGTGCCAGTCAAAGTGAAGATAAAATTATTGCTGACTTGAAGAACACTCTCGAATCTCTGGCAAAGAACATATTTCAAAGAGAGGTCACGATTCGTTGGGTGGATGGTGAGTTTCCGTTTACTTATCCCTCATTTGAGATGGAAGTATTTTGGAATGGAAATTGGCTTGAGCTCTTAGGTTGTGGTCTCTTGAAAAGAGGAGTTTTGGATGCTGGACAGGTTGACAAGGATTCCAAAGGTTGGGCTTTTGGTTTGGGTTTGGAGCGATTGGCTATGGTCCTTTTTGAAATTCCAGACATTCGATTGTTTTGGTCAAAAGATGAGCGCTTCCTTCAACAGTTTCGAGACGGGACAATCACGAAATTCAAACCTTATTCCAAATATCCGTCGTGTTATAAGGACGTTACCTTTTGGCTTAGCGATAAATTTCACGAAAACGCTTTTTATGAATTGGTTCGCTCCATTGCTGGTGATACAGTGGAGGAAGTTACTTTATTGGACGAGTTTCATCGCAACAACAAAACATCGCATTGTTATCGAATCGTATATCGTTCAATGGATCGTTCCTTAACAAATGATGAGGTTGATGAAATACAAGATAAGATACGTGAAGAAGTGGCACGTCGATTGGAAGTTATTTTGAGATAAAAAATTTTAGTTTATTACTTACCCTGTTGTTTTCATAAACACTTTCTTCCCAAAATTCAATCAACTTGTGGGGTTACCCTTTGTATGACATGTTGCATTCTCAATGGATTACTTAAAAAGTGCATTGCAACATCATAATGGAACTCTTTAGAACTGTAAAGATCCCATATAAGATTGGACAGTTGCATAAAGGATAGATGACCACAATGACCTTCTGATTTGTCCGCTTTGGGAATGTATCTTTCGATGACTTGATCAAGTCTGCGGTATTCTTGGAGAGGATTATAACTATCTGGAACAGCACGAGGTGGGAAAGGAAACTCCCTGTGATCTTGAGGCATTGCACGAATAATATGCCAATAATCATGAAGAATCCAACATTTTGAGTTTTCAAAACAATCTCTTCTTTCATCGGGTTCATAAGAAAGTCCAACATGAAGACAGCTGGTGTTCTTTAACAATTTCCAAGGTTTCTTATGGGCGTAATGGACGATGCAAATGGTGTCATATATGGAATTCCATACTTGAGAGCTATCCACGTATACAAACTTGAGAGCATTACATCCCGGATGTAACCAAGTCATGCCAACATGAAATCCTGACCAGATTTGATAGATATCTCGAGCATAATAATCATTCAAGAAATCTTGTTCTGCAAAGCCATTTACTGGTCTATGATTAGCAAGTTTCTTACACATGTCTTCGAATATAGGGAAACAGGGACGAATAGCCAATACACCAGCATTGAAGTAGTCCTTATAGAAACATCGTTTGTCCAAATCCCAATCAGGAGCAGCAGCAAAACCTATAGGAGAAAAGCTCAGTGCACGAAAAATGTGAGAAACTGGCCTCGTAACAATAGCATCAGCATCAATATATAAGATACCGACATATTCTTCCATAGTCCACAACCAGAGTTTCTGATAGCATTCCATAAAATGTTCGCTTACCAAATCTTCTTCAGAACAACCCAATACTGGGAGACGGTGGACATGTTTTATGAGCCAGCCTGCTTGTTTCAAGTAACGCACTTCCGATGCTTCTACTCTATCAGTAACTAGACAAACACAATCAAAGTCAAAATTGGCAGAGAGTTCTTCCTTGGCTGCACCCTGAAAGCTTTTCAACAAAGTTAGAGCACCAGGAACATAAAAAGTAGCGGTTACCAAGGTGGCAATAGCAACCTTGGCTCTACATTTGCGATAGTTCCATGCGCGCAGTTGGCACAGAGTATCTACAGTTATACACTTTGAACCAAGTTCTTCTTTCCGGGGAGAATAGGAAGCCCTTATTGCCGAAGCAACCTTTGCCGCCTTCATCTTTCTCCAATGCACCACGATGAAAATGGCGATCAATAGAAATTGGTCATTTCACGAAGTCGATCGACATTTCGAATTGGGCTTGGAAGGTTCGATTCGATTGGACGGAATTCTGATCGCTTTGGTGGTATGGAGAAACTCAAGTTTTTCAAGTCTCTATATTCTTGGAACTGAGAAAGTTGCTTGAATACTCTTGAATTGATGTCAGTTGTTCTCGAGTTTCTATTCTAAAAATCGCACTTTTGTAGACCGTAAATTCCTTTATGAAATGACGGTGCCATACTAGGAGATAAAAAAATATTTCATACTTGAAATTTCTATGTATTTTTTATAGGAACAACATTTATACAAGCCTAAGATTTTCAATTATCAGGATATATATTGAGTCATCATATAACTACTACTTATCATCTTTGACATTACTCTAAAACGTGCTTGCTTCGTCTCATTTCGAATTGGGCGCCAATCGATCAATCCACTACAATCTCCCCTCTCCAACGTGTCTTTCCTTTGTGATGGGACACGACTGGATACAAGCCCTCTCTTTGAATACTTATTTATTTGTTTGGCATTCTTATGGCAAGCGTAAAGAACAACGTTTCAACAGGAAGAACTTATCACCTGACAGAAGATGAAAGACAAGAAATAAAAGAAGCGTTTGAATTATTTGACATTGATAGCACAGGTGATAGCGCAACTTTATTTCAAATATTAACTGTATATAACCTTTTCATGGTTGCAGGAGCTATAGACACGAAAGAGTTTAAAATAGCTTTAAGAGCTCTCGGTTTCGAAATTGAAAAGGAGGAAGCATCTAGAATTATATCTAAACTGGATAAGGATGGTTCAGGAATGATTCTTTACGAAGATTTTGAAAGAGCAGTGTCCCAGAAAATGGTAACTCAACAATATATGCCTACTTTACTAATCATAATATTTTGAGATAGGCTGAAAGAGACCCGGAACAAGAGATTCTGAAAGCTTTCAAGTTGTTTGACATGGACGATTCGGGGGGCATTTCTCTAGAAGACTTGAGGAGGGTTGCTGATGAATTGGGAGAGAATATATCGAACGAAGAACTTCAAGAAATGATAGACGAAGCAGATAGAACAGGCAGAAGGGAGATTAATTATGAAGATTTCAGTAGAATTCTCAAACGTTCACATTTCTTTTGAGTCATATAAACTTATCTACCTGTAAATGTTCTTTTCGTTTCTTTTGCATAGGGAAGCTGCCTATTTTCAAATCCTTTTGCATTGCAACACTATCTCTCCTCTAGAGCTCAACGCCTAACTTTCCAATCTCTGACAAAGTATGAAATAATATCATTGTGCTGGAAAAGTTGGAAAGTCTTCTCATATTCATCAACTTGCTCTTTTAACAACTACAGCTTTTTTCAATGGGGTCACAAATACTGCTTTCTTACGAATAATAAAGTCTGTCTCATGTAGACAACTATTTCAATTAAAACAAACGCAAGTCACCACAAATATTTTCAAAGGACACTGAAGTTATTTCAAGTAAAGAACAATAAAACATCTTCACAAAGTTCTGTAACAGCGTTAGGGGTGCTAGTTTCAAAACATTGTAAAACGTAGAAAAGTTTCTAAAATCTCCGGTTCCATTCTTCATTTTTGTCAATTGCTGACACGTTTCCAAAAAAGGCAACATTAGATTATCAAAGATTCCAAGGCCGGCTGCATTTTTTCTTGTAATATTCTTCTTTGGTTTTTGTTTTTATTGCCATCCAAGGAATGGCAGCGCTTCTAAGTTCGTGTGGGCTTCGACTTGGCAGAGCAGCCCTTCGAGTCACTCCAAGAAGTAGCACGCGGTCACCTTCTCCTTCAAGAACCTGTGCAGTCTCACGTACACCTTTTCCTCGTTCGTCCTCTTTAGATGAAGGTCTTTTGTTCAATAACAACTGCCATGAGGTTAGCTCCGAAAAATCAGTAATATCCACTTCGAAGAGCAGTAGCTTTTCTAGCGGCCACGTATTCACACGTTCGCATAGTTTTGAAGATGGACTCCAGTTGAAACAGGAATCTGTCTTGCAAAGAAGTGACAAGGCTTCCTCATTGGAACGTATAAAGTCAAACTGTACAGAAGTTAAGAGTGAAGAAAGATTTACAAGTTCTGCAGCGCAACTTCCTCCAAGGAAATTGTCTTATGACGAAACCTTGCGTTCAAACTTGAACACCGAAATACAAAACGACTGGAAACAGGAATTAGCTTCTTTAGTTGCAAAAGGAGAGATGATTCCAGATACTTATGTTTTCTCTTTAGTGCGTGAAAAGCTAGTATCTCCTCAGGTTCTAGAAAAGAACGGCTGGCTACTTGACGGTTTTCCAAGAACAGTTGCTCAGGCGGACGCTATGCTGTCGGAAGCGTCTAAGAATGTAAACGCACTAAAACCAACGGCAATGATTGTTTTGGAAGTCTCTGATGAAGAACTCTTAGATAGGATGATCTTCCGTCGCATCGATCCAGTTACAGGAAGAATTTACAATTTGAAGACAAGACCTCCTAAAGAAGTTGATATTTTGAATCGTCTTATTACACGAGAGGATGACCGAGAAGAGGTTGTAAGACGTAGAATTGCTCTTTATAAGAGAACAGCCGCACAAATTGAAAATATTTTTGTCTCGTTTGATATTCCAGTAATACATATAGATGGGAGTGCCGTGAGGAATTGTGAAGGTGTTTTCTGTGAGATTCAAACAGTTCTAGAAAGTCTGCTTTCGACTCCATTATCGAGAGAATCTCTGCGTCTTGTATTATCAGGACCCCCTGGCTGTGGTAAAGGTACCCAGGCAGAACTGCTTTCAAAAGCTTATGATCTGTTTCATTTGAGTACAGGAAACATCTTGCGTGAAATGCTAAATGGAAAGGCCGTTCATGAATCGCAATCGACGGATTTGCGTTCCGTTGGTATTGTTTTTGGACGTGAAGAGACACAGCTTTCTCGAATTTTGCCTGCCAGGAAGGAATCTTGTCAGCGCGATACCTCTTTTGTTGTTTCAACCTTACCGGCAGCTTCCGCTTCTAAAATGATGTCTTCCAGAGTTGGTTAGTTTTATATGTATAAAATTTTTATGATTCGAATCCTCCTCGAATTGCGAACCATATTTGTTTGAGATATTCCTATTAACTTTTTTTTCTGTTTGACGAAAGTTTTTTTGACTTGCAAAGATTTTCATTTCGTGAGCAGTTGTCCATCATGACGGCATCAAAAAACAAAACACAATGATTCCAAAATCATTGTTATGACAAGTTAACCTTGCCTTTTGATTAGAGCATTTTAATCATATCTCATTCTTTATCTGCATTGCTCATAAAACAAGTGATAATGAGGAAGTAATCATTCAAGTTGTTTCTCTTGCATTTTTGGATATAAATTGCTATTGAACGCTATAAGAGTGGTAAATAAATAATACTTCCGAATAAAAACAAGAACAGAGTAAGTTGTATTTCAGTCATAGTTCAACATCGAAATGAAATGTCCCGTTAGGTCTTCTCTCATATGAAGAAATTTCCATCGTTACTTGTAAACTAGTTCAACATTATTTATATTTCCAGTTTCTATTCCTCTAATATCTTTGAAGCTTCTTCATACATGCAGTCAATGCATGCAACTCTGCCAACGCACAGAATTGATGATGAAAATGGTATTGGGAATTTGATGTCGGAACATTATCGCGGTCGTTTTGTGCGTCACTTTAACACCACTTGTGGCTCATATCGTACGGATTTCGTTTTTGAGCGTTTTGAAGACAGAATTCTACTTATCATTTCACAGCTTCAAGGTTTGGGTTCCATTGTGAGTATATATTAGTGTTCTCTTTTCATTTTGTGAAAAGTTGTGTTAGTTTTCGGTAACATCTTCTGCCAACGCACCAGAGAGCCACAACACTATATTCGATGTTGTTCCTTTACTTGGAAAAAGGGACGACGAAAAGATGATTGTTTTTGCTAGAACTATTGGAGAGCTTGTCCATTCCTTGGGACACCGAAGACCATTAGTGTTGTGTTTGTCTTTGAAAGGAATGGAGAAGGAAGTTTTAGACTCCATACTTGGTGCACTAAAAGATGACGTTATACCTCAGTCTGTTCATTAAGCATCAACCTTCTCAGAAAATTGTTACAACTATGTCTCGTTCAAGAACTTGGATAAATTTTGGCCAAAATCCGTTATACTGAATAGAAAACCATCCATTCCGAAAAAGCCTTCTTTTATTAAAGTATAAAATTTATTTGCAGCTTTATGTTGAAAAGTTACACTTCCAGTGCATATCTCTACCAAAGTTTCATTTGCTCCTTTTGGTCTTCCGACATGTTTCTCGTTTCTTTCCAATATTTGCCACCAAAGTGCCATTCATTGTTATCATCTTGATAAAACCAAGCTGGAACATACGTTGTGCCAGTTTTTTGACGTTGGTTTTCTGTTGGATGCAATGTCAGTATTCGTGAATGTTCATAACAACCAGTTCTTACCTCTCTCTCTCTGAATGTTTTCTACTCTAACCTTTTCTAAATTTGCCAAGCTCAAATTATTTCCTTCCAAAGCACGTCTATCTGGTCGAAAACGTGAATCGGTAGGTGGAATAATGGACTCTGCATTATCAGGAACTTCTAAAAGTTCGTAAGTAAAGTTGGTAAAGTTATATTTGTCTCGTTTAACTGCTGGTTTATGTTCTCCAGCATACCAAAGTGACTTTGCATCCACACGTTCGCCTGAAGATTTATCCAACCGGAAGCCTACCAATCCCCGATTCCATTCTCCACTTAGTTCCATCACTCGATAACCATCAGCATCAACTATATCACCATTTACAGCATATCTTCCTCTTCCAAACCAACCACATTTGGTGAACGTCAAACTAGTCACCGAGCCGCGAGGACTAGAGCGCAAAATTAATTCTCCATAGTGATCGATAAAGGAGCCTCCCACGAAGAGGTTCTGTGCTGCTGAGACGGGAAGTGTCCATTCATACCGTTCGTCAAAGCTTGTTAGATAGACATATCTTGAACCAGTATTCCGGATTTCCACTGAATTACCCAAAAAGTAAGCGTTACAAGAGAAAACTTCTTGTGCCACCCAACCAGGGCCTTCAGTATATGAAACCGAAACTGGAGGATGGTGAGAGACCTGTTCGCAAAGCACTCTTGTCGTTCCATCTCTACTTGTCCATTCAAATGTTTCACCCAAAACTGGGTTAAAAGGCTTATAGACTCTCTCCGTATGTGCAAAAGCAGAAACTGTAAAGGCTGCAACCAAGGCGTCACGTTCCACGGGTTCTTCACAAGTGGCCGCCTACATTCGGTTACAAAGCGTTTCTCCCTCAGAAATGAAACACATACCATATCAAGCAACTGATGAAATTGAAGTGTCTCGCACATTCTCTGCAAAGCTGTTGTTGGTTCGAATAACCAAACTGGCAGACTAAGACGCATATTTATGACGTCTGCACCTACAAGGGTGCTAAGTTGATTCCACAAGTCTCTTTTCTTGCAACATATAAGACACATATCATAAACTGTTTGTATTCTATCTTACTGTTTTTTCGTCAACTTCCACGTGAGTCACGCCCTCTTCATCTTCCAACTTCTTTTCTTCAAGTTCGTCTAAACCCAACGCTTTTGTATAAAGTTGCTTTGCACCATCAGTTATCGTGGAAATTGCATGAATACCCCACGCTGTCCAACTATTACTCCTTGTCTGTCGAGTCTCACAGGTTTGGGTGTTGCCAGTACTATCCGTTTCTGACGTCTCCATTGCCAAAGATCAGTTAAATCCGAAGCCCAACTTGTGTGAACATTCGTTCTCTCGTTGGTTTACCATCCCGTGTAGATAAATAGTAATCGGAAGCATCTGTTTTTTAGAAAATTTCTAATCCATCCATGAAAATATATAAATAAATAAATATATGTTATATAGAAATATTTGATACACAAGAGAGCTAATGGGTAACACAACAACGTTGATGGGCATTCTTCCACTTGCCAGATTATAGTCCTAAATGCCTTGTACTTTTGTAAAGCCATGTTGTTTCGTTCTGAAACCGAATGCTACTGTTTTGGTAAAGAAAAGTGAGTTGCTTCGAAACTCTGCTATTAGTAGATATCGCCCTTCTAAGCATAGTTTTTGTTTACGATCTCCTTTGCTTTGTCGTCATCAACCATCAGTTAGCTCCGACGTTTGCACTCGTATTCTTCCTGTCGTTCAAACTCCCAACGAAAACGTCCACTTGGACTTGGTTATACTCACTAACGGACCTGGAGAACTTAACACTTGGGTTAGGCCAGTCGTAGGGAAACTAAGAAGCCTCGAGAAAGGATCAGTTCCTCCTTGGGCCCACTTGAGAATATCGATAGTGCTTTGCCCTTGTGTACATGCAAGTGGTAGTGAGTATGAAATTGCAGTAGATATGTCAGGAGTCGATAGAGTGCTTCCAACAAAACTATGGTTGCCGTTTCTATTATTTGGGTATACTGGACAAGCGAATTGGAATTGGCACTCCAGAGGTGTTGTATTGTACCTTGGTGGAGATCAATTTTTCGCTGGTTGTATAGCTCACAGGTTGGGTTTCAAAAGTATTGCATACGTGGAATGGAGAGCTCGTTGGCCTGGATGGATCGATTATTATTTATTTGCTAGGAAGCACACCTCAAGTTACGAGAATTCGGATGTTATAGGAGACCTTAGCGTGGATTCTTCGGCCTCTATGTTAGAAAGACTAGATAATAAGGAAGTTGAACGAAAGTTTGGTCCCAATCCACGTTTGATTGCGCTACTTCCTGGTTCCAAAGAGATGAAGTTAGCTTCTCTGGTGCCTCTTTTCTTTGGAATCTGTGATGTCATTTATCGTTCACAACCAAACTATCGCTTTGTACTATTTCTTGCTCCAGGGGTAACTGTAGAGTCTATTTGTCGTTATGCCAATTCGGATACCAATCGGATGGTTTCCTTGTTCGGAGAAAAGAGCAGTGAATATGATCATGATAATCATTGTTTTGTTACTGCAAATGGCACAATAATTGATATTTGGGATAGAATGCCTGCATATCATGTGTTGAATCGTTGTAAGCTTGCACTCTCTTCTGTTGGTGCAAATACAGCCGAGTTGGCTGGAATAGGACTTCCGACATTTGTAATTGTTCCTACACAACAGTTAGATGCCATGAGAGCTTGGGATGGTATATTAGGTATATTGTGTAACATTCCCTTTATTGGACGTCTTGTGGCTCTGTTTGTGAATTGGTTAGTTGTATTTTTGTATCGAAAAGGGAAGTTTGGATATTTAGCCTTACCTAATAAGTGGGTGAATAGAATGGTCATGCCGGAGTTTGTCGGTAAATTGACTTGCAAAGATATTGGTATTCGAGTATTGGCTTGTATCACTACTCCAAATATACTGTATCGAATGCATCGTGAACTCATTCAAGTATGTCAACCCTTTGGTGCAGTTACCAAACTGGCCACTGCTGTTTGGAATATTCTATTGATCTCTTCAACAAATGCCTAATAAAATCAAAAGACATTTCTTGTAGTAGGCTTAAAAAATTAGTCGAGGCTCGGATTTGTAGGGAAAGCGTGTGTTTTGCTGATTCATACGATGTCCGTCAATATTCTGAATAAAGTAGCCAAGTATGCCGTTGCGTTGGGAATCGCTGGTGCCGCTTTGCAATCGTCAGTTTTTGTTGTTCCCGGCGGTCACCGTGCTGTTGTGTTTAATCGTTTTACAGGAGTTGAAGAACACGTTCGTGGTGAAGGGATGCACTTGAAAGTGCCTTGGGTTCAAAGGCCTGTTTTATTTGATATTCGAACAAGACCAAGATCAATCAATTCGGTAACGGGAACCAAGGACTTGCAAATGGTAAATCTTGTGCTCCGTGTACTTTCAAAGCCTAACAGGGATTTGTTGCCACGAATCTATTCCAGATTGGGACAGGTATAGTGCATATCAAATTATATGTTACTTAATTACTTAAAGTCGCCAAGGATTGGGATGAAAGAGTACTTCCCTCCATTGGAAACGAAGTACTCAAGGCGGTCGTCGCACAATACAACGCAGAACAACTGCTTACCCAAAGAGAAATGGTATCTCGCCAAATACGAGAAACTCTGACAGAAAGAGCTCGACAATTTGATATTGAACTGGACGATGTATCCATGACACATTTAACTTTTGGAAAGGAATTTGCTACCGCTATTGAACAGAAACAAGTTGCACAGCAAGATGCAGAACGTTCCAAATACGTTGTTATGGTTGCAGAACAGGAGAAACAAGCTGCAGTTACTAGGGCAGAAGGAGAGTCAGAGGCTGCAGCGTTAATCTCGACAGCACTTGCAACTGCTGGAGATGGTCTAGTACAACTTAGAAGAATCGAAGCTGCGAAGGAAATTGCGCAGACTCTGTCGCATGCTAAGAATGTTGCTTACTTGCCGAAAGGCGGCAATATCTTGCTTAATGTTCCCAACAACTAATGCAGTTTTAGAAAAACTTCTTTTAGAGCTAGTTGGATAGATTGGTTGCCCTATTAGCTTTTAGCCAGTTATTTTGGATAAAAGGCATTTATCATTTCGTTTGCTGTCATTCAACAAACCTGATAACCGAATTGAGCTCAATTGTCGATGACTACAAATATCTTTGTTCTTGCTAGAAACTGCCTCTGAAGGAGTATATTGAAGTCTTGTGAAGTGGCATCCTATATTTCTGTTGTTCTTTTAAAGTCATTGAGTGAATATCACTTTCAATGAGAGTAAAAAATTAAAGCCTGAAAAATGCGTCTGCAGTCTCTTCACTCGTTAGGCTTGCCATTCCTGCTCTTTGCTATTCTTCTGGAAGTTATAGCTTGGAGACTGAGTCGTATAGATCCTCATATAGAGTTGTTCTTCCTGAATGACACTAGTTTGTGGTATACTAGACTTCCTGAGACAATTCAACGCTGGCAAATAATAGCTGCTGGAGTGATTGCTAGTGCTTTGATATTCCTATTCGGTGAATATATGCTGTTGAAGTTCGAGAAAATGGAGCAAAGGAGAAACGAAGCTGGAACACTTATCACGGGTTTTTGGAATTCCGCAATATGGCGTGCTTTAGCACATTTTTTTGGAACCTTTACCGCCTTTCTGTTGGCAGCTTTCTTTGCTGAATGTGGTAAATTATCAGTAGGCATGCTTAGACCTGACTTTTATTATCGTTGTATGGGTAGTTCACTTCCCTCCACTTTCCATAGTGAAGTTTTTACTTCGAATAGTCAGTGCAGTCAATCGGATGTTGAGTTCATATTGAATGGGCGCAAATCTTTTCCGAGTGAACATGCTTGTGCAGGAGCAAGTTTCGGGTGGTATTTGACTTTGTATATATTGTGGAACTCTTGGTGTATTATGGAATCAAGACCTTTTGTGTCGGAGCTGTTGAGAATGTCTTCCATAGTTCCTTTCACTTTTGCTCTGTGGGTCGGGGTTAGTAATTTTTGTTCATCTTCATTGCTTTTTGGTCAAATATTCATTTTGCTAGGTCACAAGAATAACTGATCATCGGCAACACCATTCAAGTGTCGTAGCAGGATGGTTGTTAGGACTGCTGTTTGCGACGCTTTTGTTTGTTACCACAAGCTTGCGATTGCATCGAACGACAAATAAGGGGAATAAGGAATATAATGTGTTGGTCCCTTTTTCTCAAGAAACTGTGCAATAACTTACAAACAGAGATGCGTTCCTAACAATAAAACGTTGAATTTCATTCTTTTCCATTTTTGATGCTTTTGTGAAGGAGAATGGGACATGTGGTGGTTGAGTGATGATATGATGTTCTGATCCTTATGACGGCTTAAAAGAAAGCCTTGTGGTATGGAGGAGTTTGAAGATGAAGAAGCCAAAAGAGAGAGTCGAATACTTAGTTCTTCCAATTCACGTGGTTCGTGTTATTGCGGAGGAACGGACAGTGATTCGAAAGAAACACGTCAGCAAGGGTCCAAAACTTTGTCTTCCGAAACTTTAAAAAACTTATGTAGAGCGCTGAATGACCCTAGCGTTTCAGTTGAAGTGAAGAAAAGGTTGGTGTCTCTCTAATAGTTTCAAACTGCTAAGATTGTTGTTAGAATTGGTGTGCTATTGCGGCAACTTCAACAAAGGTATTTGGAAAGAAATCACAACTCAGTAGACGAACAGATGATATCTTCGAGTTACGTAAAAGGTAAGAACTTTTCATGTCTTCTCTTAGAAGACCAAACCTTTCTTGAGGAACAGAGAGTTTTCAGGCAGCAGTGGCAAGTGGCGTTGTGTCACATTTTGAGTCGGAAAGACAAAGGAGTATAATAAACACTTCTCAGCCTCCAAAAATAATGAAGGCTGAAGCGGAGTCACTGGAAACGGTATGGAACGTTCTTTGTTTGTAGAAAGTACTTTGAACAGAAGTTTGGTAGTTTCCAAGAATTCAAAGTAAAGAATTGGGACCAGCCCCTTTAACAAGGCCAGATGTTTCGAAAAGAGTCCGTACTGAGACTACAAAGTCACCAGAAGAGATCAAACCTTTCCCAAAAACGTATTCAGCTCATCTAAATAGTTTTGGTGGAAACGATACTACAGATTCCTCGATTCGTAGAGTCACCGAGACGAAGAGTAACAGCTTCACGAATACAACTTTTGTTGACACACGAACAGAGAATCAAGTATTTGAGAAGAATCTTTTATCAATGCAAGATACAGACTTTAGATTTCTATCGGGAACAGAATGTGTTCCTTTGAATGAGAACTCAGCGGGAAGAGAGTCTAATTATATTGCACCAACATATCAGAGTTTTAAGGAAATTCAAACAGGCTCTCTTCGCGGAAGGACAAGTGCAGAAGAATTGTCGAGTCAACAGCACGTTTCTTCAATTTATTCAGATAAGAGTGGCAAATGGCCGCACAAACGAGAAGGACTTTTTATGAAGCAAGAAAATATCAATAATAACGTGAAGATTTTACCAGGTCATGAAAATAATAAGAATTTGAACGTTGCTTGCAACAATCACTTGGTTACCAATTCTGGAAAGGGCTTTGGTAGTTCTTCATCTATTAGGCAAGATTACGCTCCTTATCAGAGTTCTTCATCTTCGCAGGATAAAAAGCGTCTTCGTTTGCTTTCAGCACCACAGAAGGATCTGCAGGCTGTTCTTCATCCCAATTATCGCACGCCTTTTGTATCGTTAGAAGATGCTTGTCAAAGGTTAATGCCATATCATTTATGGTATATTGTTGAAGATGGACTTGAGAAGGAACGGAAGCAAGAATGGGAGGCATCCTACGATAAAGTTTACAAGAAATTGAAGCAAAATTTGAGCCATCAAGAAGATCGATATAACGACATTAGTAAGCTTGTAGATTCGGAGCAAAAGGTGGACGTTAAACGAACAACACCGCAAGTGATCGAAACTTCAGTGCTTGATGATATTTTAGCATCGAATTTTTTGCTTAAAGAAACCTGAAAGACAACGGAGCAATACGTTTTCACATTACGATAACTTTCAAGTTCTGTCACTAAATGACTCGAATGGACGACAACTTTATTGACCCAATGGAAACGAGTGAGCTTGGCTGGTTTTGCCAATATTTTCAATTTTCCATGATCCATCCTCGAAAAGTCGAAGAGTAATCTGATAGTGCCAATAAGATATGGATGAATATGCGAAAGCCAATTACTTACATCATGATAGAATAGGAGACTCGTACGATTGCCGACACTCACAAATGTGATATTATTTTTCTTCAACAAGCTGTACATGATTCTCTCATTATCTTCATCCAATGCACTTGTGCTTTCATCTAAGAAAACAAATTTTGGTTTACTTGCCAGAAGACGAGCAAATGCAAGTCGTTGTTGCTCTCCAAGACTAAGAATATTACTCAGATCCATGTAAACATTGATACCCCCAAGACGCTCTATTAAATGACGTAAATTAACCTCTTCTAACAATCTTGAAACATCTTGATAGGAAAAAGTATCGAAATTCTCCGTTTTTGGATATAGTATATTCTCCAAAACCGATCCAAGAACAATGTATGGTTTTTGAGGCACTAAAAAGGTGCTTTCAGGAGAAGGAATACCAATTTTTCCCTCTCCATCGTTCCACAGTCCAGCCAACGTCCGCAACAAAGAAGACTTACCAACTCCACTTTCTCCACAAATCAGATAATTCTTGCCTGGAACCACTTGAAAAGATAAATTGCGAACAAGAGTCCTAGAGGTTTGGGGTACGCGGATAGTCAGATTGTCCACTTGTAAGCTCGAAGTTGATAAGCTATGAATAGAAATTGAAAAAGATTTCGACAATTTTGAACCTCCTGCAGGAACAATACTACCCGAAGACTCGTTTTCTTCAATGACGCTCAGGAAATTTTCTATTCGATTGACAACAGCTGAGAATGCACTGAGGCTAAAAAATTCATTCACGATGAGCGACAAATCATTTAACACTTAACTAGCATTAGACTTGATCAGAAAACATACAATGACATACCATGATTGAAGCTAAAATAAGTTTGACTGATGGTGCCAAGTTCAATTTTTCCTTGAAAATAGATTGGCGCAGCAACCATACTTGGAAGGAGGTTGATCAAGTAACGATATCCTGTAGTAAAGAAACCTAGATTTCGCTGGTATCGTAACAAATGTATCATATTCATCACAGTTGCTTCAAAAAGCTCAAAAAGGGTCTTCAACTCTCGTTTTTCGCCTCGATAAAATGCAATGGTTTCCGCATTTTCGCGAACTCTTACGAGGGCAAACCTGAGATCTGCTTCTTTCGATAGTTGTTTTGAGTTGAGCAAACTTAAATTTTTACCAAAGTAAAGTGTCACTGTGGTTCCAAAAGTGGAGTAAGCTAGAAGCGTCCAATAAAGAGGTGGATATATACGAAACAATATAAAACTAAAGACAGCCAAGTCAAAGAATGCCACAAAAATGACACACATCAGGTTGACTGCACGATCAGTAAATGAACGAATATCTTCGGCGATACGTTGATCCGGGTTATCCACATCTCCATGAAATATAAGTTTGTAGAACTTTTTGTTACTAAAATACTTTTCGAGGACAAAATTGGTGAGGAACTGACGCCACGCGAGGCTCATACGTGCCTTTGTCCAGTCAAATAGAACAACCACAGGAGGTCCAACAATAACAGCTAGTAAATAAACGCCCATGAATTTTCTAAATCTTTGATAATCCTTTGCGCTTAGAGCATTCCAAAAGAAACGCTGTATGAAAGATAATAAAACCGCATACAATGTTGTTGCTAATGCCAAAGAAGTTGTCACAAAAGTCCAAATCCAAGCCTTTCTCTTCTCCTTCCCTGACCAAAAGAGAGTGACAAGATAGAATAGTTTTCGGAAAAATGAACTAGAAACTTTCACAGACGATTCTGTGTTGGCTCCTTTGAAAACCGTTTCCACGCTTTGAAGGGTGTCATCTTGTGAGTTGGAGATCACAAACAAGACTTTTGATATTCGTCTCTTGTGACGGCAGTAACGGTTCCAGAAACAAGGTTGTGCCAAAACTTTGAAGGGATTATTCTGACAAAGTTTGCCTGTTTTGCTTTTATAGAGAAAGTCTTTGATTTGAAACGAACCACTACAAAAAGTTACCCAACTCATGGCTGCCAATAATAATATCTGGAAATGGCGCCAAACGGTGCATTCCGATCTTCATTTAGACATTGCTATGGAAGAAAGTGTGTCTCAAGTGACATTGGTTTTAAGCGTTTTGTAAAAACTAAAATATGTCCCTTCAGCAATAATATCAGCTATACTCTAAAGCTAAGGAGTCAATTTCCTTAAAGTCTTTTGATTCTAAGATGAAATCCGATGTTAGTCCCGATGTAAAGATAGAATTGTCTCATATTTAACTGTGACTGATAACAAATTGGACTGTACTGTCCTAAGCCTAACAAGTGTTATTGATATCCATATTCAGCCATTTAATCATTCATCAAAAAGCTTTTTGCCCATTCAAATATAGTGAATTATAGTCCTAGACTTGTTCGAAGCCCTCATAGTATATCTCAGATCTCTGTCTAATAGCTTCCTAGTAAAGGTTTCACATTTTCAAAAGTCACAAAAGAACTAAACGTCTCTTCATTTTAGTACGATTCTATTTCGAAGACTCTTTGCATGACAGGCGATTCCTCAATCGGTTATTCAGCGGTATCAAGAATATCCCAAATGACTCATCATTGCTGGAAACTAGTCATACAGCTCTAACGCTAGTCAATTCTTGAAGTGAAAACCAAAAATTGGATACAGTTGATAAAAAATGAAAATGAATGGTTAGGGTTTGCAGGTCGAGTGCAAAAGGGACGCATCTCACAAGTCGTTGAAGAGTTGCCGCGCAAGCTAATTGAATCATGCAACCCTGTTTTGGGGATTCTCATTGGCATTATGTTGTCTCAAGACTCCATAGCGTTATCCACGCTTACGAGTAGTTTGGAAGCCTATTGTTGGGCTCTTGTGTACATTTTATCCACAATACTGTTTTTTGGAATATTGTGGAGAATAACTGGATCGTTCTTCCTTTCGAAATTGGGTATTGCAAGAGAGGTAAAGGGACAACAGTTGCCGCCAACTTATAAAGAAGGTCTTCCTCTGGTTGGAAATCTTATTGCTTTTGCAAAAGGACCTTTGAATGTAGTTCAAAGAGGTTACCAGTCTTGTGGAGATATATTTACTTTCAAGGTAGTTGTGCACGACATTGACAACAAGCCACTCATTTTTTCCAGGTGTTCCACAAACATATAACTTTTCTAGTCGGCCCAAAAGCCCACGAAATCTTCTTTCAAGGTACAGATGATGAACTGGACCAGAATGAAGTTTATGCATTTTCAGTACCCATTTTTGGAAAAGGAGTTGTCTACGATGCTCCTCTTGAGAAGCGCTTGCAGCAGTTGCGAATCATGTCTGCTGCCCTTAGACCTGCTCGCATGTATGGCTACGTTGACCAAATGGTGCTCGAAGCTGTACAGTTTTTCCGAAAGTGGGGAGACCAAGGGCAGGTTGATATTTTGGAGAGTTTGAGTGATCTCATTATCCTCACGGCAAGTCGCTGTCTAATGGGGCGAGAAGTTCGGGAGCAGCTGTTTGAAAAAGTATCTAAGCTTTACCACGATTTAGATCAAGGAATGCAGCCTATTAGTGTATTTGCACCATATTTGCCGATTTCTGCACATCGGAAGCGCGACAAGGCTCGGGAAGAAATGGTACAGCTTTTCCGTACGGTTATCCAGAATCGGAGAAGGCGAAATGTTAAAGAAGATGATATGCTGCAGACTTTTATGGACGCGAGTTACCGAGATGGCTCTCGTCCTTCAGAATACGAAGTGGCAGGATTGTTGATAGCACTACTCTTTGCAGGTCAACACACTTCGTCTATTACTGGAAGCTGGACGGGTATGCTATTGTTAAGAAACAAGGACGTTTTTGAACGTGTTAAAAAAGAACAAGATACCATTATAGAAGAACATGGAGATGAGCTGAATTACGATGTGCTCAGCAAAATGAACCTTTTGCATTTGTGTATCAAGGAAACGCTAAGAATGTATCCACCATTAATTTTGTTGATGAGAAAAGTTTTGAAGCCAAAGTTTTATAAGGAATATGTGATTCCCGAGAACGATATTGTAATGGTTTCACCTGCAGCCTCTGGTCGTCTTGAAAATGTCTTTAAGAATCCAAACGCATGGGATCCCGATCGCTTTGGTCCAAATAGAGAAGAAGACAAGAAGGCTCCCTTTTCATTTATTGGTTTTGGCGGGGGTCGCCATGGTTGTATGGGTGAGCAGTTTGCCTATCTCCAAATCAAGACTATATGGACTGTCCTTGTTCGTTCGTTTGATTTGGAACCTATAGGAGATTTGTCTCAACCGGATTATGTAAGCAACTCGTCCTTCTTCCGATATCATTCTAGTTAATTTTATTTTTTTAGAATGCAATGGTTGTTGGTCCAAGGCCTCCTTGCCTGTTGAAGTATAGAAAGAAAAAGGACTCTTTCTTAGACCGAGTTTCTTTGTATGCTTAAGAAGATGGAGAACGCTCGTTCTATAAATATCAGTATTTTCAGCTTGTTTGAGCAAATGTTGCAAATGGAAGGGGTCACTATTCTAGTGACTTTTATAAATGACGACCATTTTCTAGAACAAAATAACCTAGAGAAATAGATCACCATGGAAACTAGAATACATAACAAACTTCATACAATATCAGAAGGACAACTACCCATATTGGACTTCCAATGAAGGGTTCCATTCATAGGTATAGTCATTTCTTCTGAAATAAGAATACAGTCCACGTCAACTTGCCTTGTTGACCAGCATCGACCCATCTTTGCAAGCCTGCCTTCATCTTTTCTTGGAAGGCAACTGAACACAAGCCCTCCTCAGCCAGTTGTTTACCTTGTCTTTCCAATTCCATTTTGACACGACCATATGTATCTACAAGTGCTTGCGGGCAGTCAATTTCCTCCAACAACTCAAAACCACATCTCTTTGCATACTCTCGATAGCGTTCTCTGGAGCCCATATCCACTAAATGTGCTCTTTCTAAGATAGGAACAAGTTCTTCATGTGAAATTTCCTTCTGCAAAGGATCAGTTAAAAGGAAAAAGCCGCCTTTTTTCAAAACACGATGAGCTTCTTGAAATACTTTCAGTTTATCAGGCGAGTGAATCAACGCTTCTTCACACCAGGCAAAATTGTACGAATTAGACTCGCAAGGCAAATCTGTGAAAGAACCTAAATGTACTTTCAACAAACCTGATAATCCTGCTGCTTCAGTGATTTCCACATTTCTTCTATTTTGCCACTCGCTGATATTAACACAGTCAATATGCACTCCATATGTCGAACATAGGAATCTAGCAGAACCTCCGTAACCTGCACCTAGATCAACTCCAACGGCTCCCTGTTGAAGGGCACCTTTATTATAAAGTAGTCTGGATAACCAATGAACAGCTTTTGTACTAGTCTCCCGAATATTTTGTTCTTCCAATGGTTTATCATAGAACGCCAAGTGTAGATCTTCTCCTCCCCATATGCGAAAATAGAATTCATCAGTATCTGTGTTGTCATAGTATTTTTGAACACTATCGTTGTCCAGAGCAACACTTTCTTTCACCGCATAGTTGCTGTTTCCAGGCATGCTTGAAACCACCAACAAAAATGTGCAAAAAAGAAAATAAAAAAGTAATTGGTCACGTCCGGGAATCTTTTAAGAGACTTCTAGTTGTTGAATAACCGATCGTAGCCAACATTCCCTGCAATTTCATTGGTTAGAATTTCCCACCATCATGTCCAAACGAGTGGAATCTAAACGCGTGTTCCGTTCAATTTCCATAAAGCATTTTTCAACAGAATCGTTTCTCAACATTGCTTTCTGAAGACTTTCAAAAGTTTTCGAATGGCGACGAATGCACTCCATTGCTTGATAAATAACTCGTTTTACAAACTGGTCAAAGTCTTGTACTTCATCAGGCTTCATAAGAAGCTTTATCTGGTCTATGTCCCTTGAACCTCCTTCTGCCAGTCCAAAAACAAGAACTTCTGCAGCAATTCCTGCCAGCCATATCAACACAACGTAGGAACGGTTGTATTTTAAAAGTTTCAAAACGTCTTCTTGGTTGAACAATACGCCTGAAGAAGCTCGTCCTTGTTTCAATGCTGTCCAGACATCAATAGAGTAACTTTGAATCTTTACACCCAACAGGTACGCAGTAAGAAAATGACCGGCCTCATGCACGGCTACTCTCTGCTTATTTTGAAAAATTCCGGAGCAAAAGTTTGTTACAGTACCGTTCAAACTAATATTGTCCAGGCCCCAGATTCCAAGAACAATTCCAATAACTAACCAAGTTAGAGTAGAATCTACACCGACAATCGGTTGTCCAATTAAAATAAACGTCATAGAGGCTATAACAGTCGAAAGAACACTCTCGTTCTTTCTACTGGGCAGTAAAAATCTCCAACTTCGGTCTACCTGAATTCCCAGTTTCTCAAAGTCTGTCAGTGAAACCCTTGTAACGTTCACGAGTTTCCCCTTTCCAAAGCAACTAGACGAGGAAGGTTGCTCACTACTGGCGGATTCCTTTGCACTTGCTGCACTAGAGCAGCTGACACAAAAACGACGACTGTATATAAAACAAACATTATTTCTACAGTTTTTTCCAAAATACGAAATTTTCTGGCAAGTCTTCCGGAAGCGTCCTGAAGGTATCAAGTTCACAAACATTGAGACAAAAGACAAGTTGCTCGAATTCCATTGAAAATCCATACGGCTCATTCACCACCAACAATTTGTTACAAAAATATCGTCAATATTGAAATTTTAGTTTTTTTTATGTTGGCCTATTCTGATAATATAAATGTATAGCCAAAATGTTTTTATTCACGGCATTCAACTTTTGGATTGATGGTTTCGAATCCATTCAATGCTCTTTCGAGAAGCAAAGAATCCTAAGCTGCGAAGTTCCTCCTTGTCTCCTTTTTCTATCTCTTTCAACAACTGAAACAAATCTGCAATTTCAATAACAGGGTGTTGAGGCAACGACTTGTCACTCTCTCTCAATCTTTTCCATGCGAGTTCTAAATCATCCTTATCTAGAAAGACTGGAACGTTCGACTCATCACCTTTGCGAAGCATTAGACCTCTCGCGACGAATACTGGAATTCCATCAAAGGCAGGCTTCTTCTTTTCTCTCTTCAATAGTTCTCGAGCCTTCTGCACTTGTTCACTGTCTGGATGAAGCAAAAAAGTCATCATGAGCTCTCTGCCTTCTTCGTCTTTAAGACCAGAACTGGTGGGGGGATTCGAAACCATTTCGTATGCCTTGTCCAGACCTATTACGTGAATCTGGATATCTTCCGTCCCATTTGCTTGCTTTACTTTGGTCATCATTCTTCCAGCGTCTTCGGGCGAAAAGAAAATATAGCCTTTTTGTACTTTATCGTTACCGTCTTCAACTAAATAAGGTTGTCCGTCAGAGTTTGTTACGGCAAAAACGGGAACTTGAGAAAGCTTTGACTTCAAATTCTTCTTCACCTTTAGGCCAGCAGCCAAAACAGGTTGAGTTTGAAAAGAAGACATTTGCGTACCCAGATGGTTTGGACTACTGATTTGACCGCTTAGAAGTTGGACGAAGCTCAGAACACTCATAGCAATCACTTTCAGAGTCAACTTGGAGTTATCCTTTGTCACTCGACGATTGTCTACAGAAGCCTTGCAGTTTACACAAGAAATAAGATTCCATCGTACAGAACAAGGTGATCGTGTAAGATAAGAGGCATTTGAGGAATTACATATTTTGCTTCGTCTTTGTTTCAACCCTGACACAAAAGGAAGTGTTACGAAACCAATGCTGCCCATTTCAACCCCCCAATGTCAATATATATTTTCAGCAGATAGATGGGATGAATGGATGGATGGATGGGTCGGTTATATGTATGTATATACTTATCTTAGTATCTTCAAAGTAGAAAATAGGACACTGTAGACATATCGATTCGTTTTTAGCAAACTCCAAAAACCAAGGTATAACGACACGAATATTTAAGCTCTTAAAGTTCAACGAGGATCTTTTGTTGCTTACTCAACTTGAACAATCTTTGAAAACTTTATTTTTCGATTTTCGTATTATTTACGAATCTTCGTCTTCCTCTTCCAAGTTTATGGCACTACCAAACTTTCCATAAAGAATTTTCTTCAGCTCTTCCATCTCAGCTTTTATCTTCTCTAACTTATCTTCGGTGTCGTGTAACTTACTTTCTAAAGTTTCCTTTTCACTATTTAGAAAAACCATGGCCTGGGCTTGCTTCACTAAGATATAACACTACAGTAGAAATAAGCTCCTAACTCCTTCTCTATAAAACAACTTCCTTACTTCACCAATCCTCCGATGTACTTCGGAATCTTCATCTAACAATTCAAGTTCCAATTGTGCATCTTCAAGTTTCTCTTTTTCCTGTCTTAATTTCTTCCTCAAGAAACTTCAAAAACTACTAGAAAAGCATAACCAAACTAACCTTTCTTTCTTCTACAATATCCACTTTTTGAGTAACTAGACGAGAGAAAAGATTTATTCTTTGCTGGTCTTCAGCAGTTACTTCGTAGTTACTGAAAGCAGTTGTCATATCGTTTACTTGTGAATCAAATTTTTACAGAATTTCACAAAATGCTGTTTAAAGCATTTTACAATCTCTTGTATCAACTTCTCTATTCCTTTGGAAAGTATCTGAACTACTCCTTTCTGTTAACTGGTTAAGCCATTGAATAATAGCATGTGCGGTACTAAAACGAGAGCAGCTACGATCAGCAAGTCAAGAACAACAATACCCAGTCCAAAGAATAATAAGAAAATCAACGCCATTGCACTTGCTACGATTACTTTAATGGTTGGTGAAACAACGCCTAACAAACCAGTTTCAGTATGACCAGGGTATACTAAGAAGAGAGCTACGACTAATAAAGTCTCAAGAAAAAGAGATAAAATACCCAAAGGATGAAAAAGCAAAAGGAAAAGGCAAAAGAAGGTCACACATATGACATAATTATACAAGTATGACTGGAGATTGGTGGCTACTCTGGTGGACCAAGAGTCCATGGGCGGAATTGAGAAACTCCTAATATCAAGAAAATCTTTCCAGGGCTTAGCTGAACCCCAAATAAGTGTCAAACGATCTCGAACTCCCAGTTCTTGATTGGGTTCAAAAGGCGTTGTAAAAAGTTGAAAGTTTTCCGAGCTATCTCTCCAAGCCCCTGTCTCTTGAAGGAACTCTGTGTGACGTAACGTATTTGGCTTTGAAAAACCAGACTCTCTGCTTCCCTTTGGACCTTCTTCTCTAATTTCTTCGAAAGGAGTCCCTTCAGAAACACCCGGTACACTTGCTTTGTAATTCTCTGAAATAGGGCCCGTCAAGTTTATAGCTATGTCGTTTTCTCTTCCACTTGTGGCTTCGGAATAACTGCTGATTCCCTCCGGCAATTTTGTAGCTCCATAGTTCTCTAAAGTAAAGTCTTCTCCATTCTGTGACATAGTTTAGCGAGCCAGTACGAAATGTCCCAATGGAAATGGGCGTTGAGCGATGTTGACTAAATGAATAATTTGCAGATGTCTTAATGAACCAAGACAAACATATTCTTCTTGGAAGTCTTTCTGTAAGAATAGGGTCATACGCAAGTGGCGTTTTTCACAGTGTTGGTCTTGACTCCTCATACCAACGTATCTCAACGGAAATTGTACTTGAGCTGGCTGAACAAAGTGATGGTTTGGAAAGAGCTCAATTATCAGCTTCTCGTCAGCAACTGGAACAAGGTTCTTTGCCTTCTCGTTCCAGTAGGACTATTGCCTATTTCTTGAAATTTTTTTTCCGACACTTGTATTTTCTTTCAAACCATCCCGAGGGAGATGACTGCACGCCGGATTCTGCTTGTGGTATACTGGGTTGTAAGTCTTGTGGCGAGTTTGAAACCGTAAAAATGGAAACTAGGTTTAGACTACATAAAGTATTCGAAGAGTTGAAAGAGTCAGTAGAGGGAGAAACCGTTAGAGTTTCGAAAACAACAGTGAATGATGACTGTTTTGTTTTTTCTTTACCAGATGATTTGTATTGCAGAATACTGGATTACTTGTCTGTACAGGAGGTTCGTTATTTTGCAAGAACTTGCAGGAGAGCAAAGGATATTTGTGACTCATATATATCTGGCCTCAAGCTTACCTTACTACCACATCAACGAAGAGCTTTGAAGTTTATGTTGAAGAGAGAGAGAAAGGTATGAAAGGTTATCGCTAAAACCTGATATCTCATTTTACACTTAAAAGGAAACAAGTTTTTATCGAAATCCTTGTTTGTATTGTTTCCGTTTTCCAGAGAATTTCAAATTCTGGGACTCTTTTTATGTAAATTCTGTTGCAGGGACAATTTCATTGCAACCTCCCGGAAGTGAAGTGTTTGAAGATTTTCGAGGTGGTCTCTATTGTGATGAACCAGGTTTAGGAAAGACTATTACCATATTGGCGCTTATCTTGAAAACTTTTAGACAATATGCTGATGGACCCGCTGAGGAAGCCATTTTTGAAAAGTCTTTGTGCTCTGAAAATTCTATTCAAGCCACCAAGTGTTATATTCCAAACGAGGCACTTAATCCAGGACGTTCTGTGCCATCATCAAATTTATCGCCTTTGATTTGTAAGCCGCAGATTTTCAAGAATCACTCAAGCGACGATTCGAGTTCTCCGTCCCCTTCGAAGAAGAGAAGAATTCAGCGACCGGTTCGTTACTATGATATTGACAAAGTCAAGACATCCAGCCCTCCTGCATCAGAAGGCCCTTTGGTTTATATTTCTAGAGCAACCCTAATTGTAGTTCCTTCTACGCTACTGTTACATTGGGAAGAACAATTGACATTACATAGTCGGGAGAAGATTCGTATTTTGGTTCACGTTGGCGATCATCACTTTAGGATTTGTGATGGTCGTTCCTTTAGAAGTTTTCCTCTTCAATTAGTGCTTCACTATTGTGACGTGGTGCTCACTACTTTTAGTCAAGTCCAACGTGAATATCAACGAGCAAAATCCAATGACGCCTCATTATTAAGTATTCATTGGTTTCGAGTGATTCTAGATGAAGGCCATCGTGTCGGTGCAAGTTTGAGCTTGAACTATACAAAAATGATTTGCTGTGCTTTACGTACAGACCGTCGCTGGATCATGACTGGGACACCAACACCGAATACTTCAGTGAGTGACATTGCACATCTTGCTCCCTTGTACGAGTTTCTTCGAGACGAAGCATTCGGAGTGGGAAAGAATGTTTGGCTACATTGCATTCAAAGACCGTTTGAGGCAAAAGAGGTAATTCTCCATGTTGCTATTCGACATTTCTTTCTGAATATCCATTTAGTTTGAGGGTCTGGATCGTTTAAAATTTTTATTAAGAAGAACGATGTTTCGCACGTTGAAGTCGGAAGTTGAATTCATACCTCCTTCTTACATCAGTTACAAGCTTTTGGATTTCTCTCCTGTTACTGCATTGAGTTATAATGAACTGGTCTCAGTCATTCAAAGAAATCTTCTCTTAGCAGATTTTAACGATCCTGATCATACGCAATCTCTTCTCCACCCCAAAAATAGACATGCTGCCCGACAAGCCATCGATAATGTGAGAAAGTCTTGTTGTATTGCGGGTCATATTAAGTTGTCCGTGTTGCAAGAGGACCTTAATGAAACGCTTGGCAAGCTGCAACTGGAACTTCAGAATTCATTATCTAGTGCAGATGCAGATATAATTCAGAGCCATATTTTAAGAATTCAGAAAGTTTTGTTAGAAGGTGGCTTGTGTGAGTTGTGTTCAGAATGGATTCGTCTTCCAATAGTCACACCATGTTGTCATATTTTATGTACCGATTGTGCTTCAACAAGCAGAAAATGTTGTCCACTGGAGAACTGTCAAAGGAAATACCAATTAGATAAGAAGGATGTTCCCGAAGATCTTATCGAATTGCAGCCTGGGTTTATGCAGGAAAATTGGTATCCGATTTGGGAAGAAGTAGATAGTGCCAAAGTGGACTACTTACTATCAGCTTTAAAACAATTGAATGAGGAACCGTGAGGCACTTTTTACATTGTTTGTTGTTTATTGACTTGAATTTTTTTAAGAATTTTAGACAATGGCACATGGACCAGGAAGAAACGGAAAGTAATCGTCTTTTCGCAGTTCTTGGAACATATTTTTTTAATTTCGAATATTTTGGATAGACACGGTAAGTAGAAGAGGGTTTTTGTATTACTCCAGTTGAAGACATGGCTGTAGGATATCGATATTGCCGTGTTCTGGGAGCGTTGTCATATCAAGCGAAGATGAATGCTCTTCATCGTTTTCGACATGATTCTTCCTTTCAGGTTTTAATTTTGGTAAGCAAACTTGTTTGAATAAATACACGGCATTGAAATTTTTCTTAGGATTCAACTGGTGCATTAGGGCATGACTTGAGTTTTGTTTCGCATATATATATTATGGAACCAGTTTGGAACCAATCGTTAGCTTCGCAGGTATGATAAAAGCATCTTCTCTGTAAATATCTTTCTATAATGGGTAGGTTATAAGTCGTGCTCATAGAATGGGAGCCAAAGAGCCTATTTATGTTGACATCTTAGCTATGAAGGGCACAGTAGAAGAGACGATGGTCACCAAGTCCTTTGATTTGAAAGAAGATATCACTTCTCGTGCGGAGACCAGTAAAGAAAAAGAAGCTATTGAGAGAAAGAAACGAAGCTTTATTCTCAATTCTTTGCATATGGTCCGTGGAGTAGTTGAGAATCAAAAAGTTCTTGGAAGGCGCACAAGTCTTGAATTGAAAACGAAGTCGTTAAGTTTCCATTTGCCGAATCTCAACAAAACATGAAGTATTGTAGAAAATTAAGGTCACTCTACATATCTTTATAAGTTATTTATTTTGTCTTTTGAGGGAGCTGGTTCTTAGTTTATAAGCTACTCCTCAGAACTGATTTGTTCTAATGTCATGGAGCATTTTTGAATCCGATAGCCAATCTTGTTTCTCTTCTTACCTGAGTTTATTACGCTATGAAGTTTGTCAAAGATCGTCGCTTGACTCTTTCTAAATAGAAATTTCTTATTGAGCAGGCTTTCTCTATTCATTGCAACTTCTTTTAGAAACGGTACATAAGACTCAACATTGTGCTACGATGATTTTCATCATAGTTTGCTTTGACATATTCATGAAGTGATTCACCATTCACTTTTGTTATATTTCTTTACTATGGAAGTAGAATGGATTATGATCTTCTAGTTGCTTATAAGCAATAGGAGTGACCATCAATTCAAAGAAAGATGATTAAAGTTTTCCATTGGTAAAATGATTGGAAGATTCCCTTGTGCTTTTCTCGTGTCCTGTAGTTGTTCCGTTTTATGTTTGAACAGAAAACGTTATTTGGAGAAAGTTATTCGTTTGTCAAAGAGGAAAATTTGCTGTTCGAAACGACAGACTTCGCCGTTGATGAGATTGGTAAGAAGAGTCAGATTCCAGCAAAGGTATCCTTGCCAACTTATGATAGGAGTTTGATGAACAAGAAGTAAAAAAAATCTGTCAGCTAGCTCAAGTGAAAGTTACTCAAGCAGAGTTGAAGCAACTAGCAGCTGATTTTAACAGCATCGTGGGACTTATTGAGAAGGTAAAGAATGTTAACGGCTTTTACCTCTTTGAAAATAACTGTTGTAGATGAACAAATTGGACCTTAATGGAATAGAAGCTGCAGAGTATATTATAAATGCTCATAACGCACTTAGAGAGGATATTCCAGCAAACTTCCAAGAAAGGTCAGTAAGTGTATTTGAGTAATCAAAACTCTTAGTAACGCTAGCCGACTACAGAGAAACTCTATTTAACAGTGCTCCTGCGTTTACAGACAATTTCTATGAAGTTCCGAAAATTCTGGAAGACTCACAGCTCTCCGAAAGCTAATTCTTTTCGGTTCGCTGCTTTGGAGAAGCTGCTATAAAGAGAGGAGACGGCCCAGGAAGTAGTGGATTGAAATAAGGTCTATAGTTTCTGTCATCTTGATAAAGAAGTTTTCCTTCAATATCGAAGGTGGTTCTCACACTTTCTTCCCTTTCCTTTGCTATTCGAATTTCTTTCGCGTTCTTCTCTTCGACTTTCCTTTTTAGCTCCTCGTCTAACTGGTTGTAGGAAGTGAGATCAAAGTAATCTATATTCTCATCGAATACTTTCAGGCGTTCTGTTGGATTTCGTTCCAATTCCAGCAACCTTTCCTTTTTCGATAAAATTTCGTAGTCGATTTCGTCAAGTTCATCGCTGTCTGATGAGTCTTCTGTATACTCTGAAAATTCTCCATACCCTTCACTTCTAGTTGCCGCAAAAAGGCGATTTCTTCTGGAACGTGAACAGTTAACTACGGCCTCTTTAAATGTCTCGCTCCACAAAGTTTTACCAAAATTCTCCGAATCTTTTACAGGTGACCAACCACAAAAATTGCAGCTACTCGTATGTTCCATAATCACTTTTCCACAGCAAATACAGTTTCGAATGAAGGGTACGTTGGAGTTCTCACTCTTCTCTGTGGAAGGAGAAAGTTTGCTTGACCCAGAATACAATTTTGACTTTTTGCGCCCTTTTGTTCTTTGAACTTTCTTATCGCTTTTGAGAATATTCTTATCATTATTTGAAGGCACAATTCTTTCGAGCTCCTCCTCGTCTGGTTTGGACCTTTGTTTTCCAAACAGTTCTTGGAGAAAAGTGTCAGTTTGTTCACTTGTTCCCAGCAAACCACTGAGATATTCTTCAAGAACAGATTCATCTTCACACTGTAAGAGGTAGTCTACCAGCTCATCGACTTGTTTCAAGCCGAACTTGGCTAGTTGCTCAATCAACCATTCTCGTTGCTTCATCCAATCATTCGATGACATTGTTTGGTGGTTTATTCTATGAATAAAAAATCAGTGTGGATCGAAGCATAAAGGACGTATTTGACTTAACGTTCAGCTGTCTTATGGTAATAACTGAATGTTTAGACATTGGATATTCTAACCTCATCTGTAACCATATTATGAAATTCTATGTCGAGTAAAGGAAGGATTGCCATGATCCCTAGAAACAAACTTGATGAAGAATGAAAGTGACTTGTCATCTTATGTTGTTGCAAATACTAAAACTGCTATTTTCCTCTACATTGCTTGAATAGAAGAAGAAACAGATGAACCTGGATTACAACGAAGTATGTACATCAGTGGAGAAACCCACTTTGCTCTAGTGAAAATATTAATAATATTATTATTACAGTATTTAGGAGACAAGTTACCTATTTATTTACAGTTGTTCAAACTGTTTTCACTTGTGCATTTTGAGAGAATTGATTCGCGCCACTGATGATTTCGGCGTTCGTGTTCCATTACTGTTCTTTCCGGAAACGTCCAATATGGAACAAGAGGCACTTTGAACCGAATCGTATAAAATCATCGTTTTTAACAAGAAACGTAGCCTTTCGAGAGCGCGCAATTCGCGCTCTTTATTTAAGCGCACAGTTAGACGAAGAACTGTCCGAGAGTATCAACTCCGATATTGTAACACAGGAGACCAGAGCATACAACTCTTCTCAATATACAATCAGGGCGCCCGAGTGGTTTATCAAACTTCGTAACGAAAGAAAAAAAGACTATGAGTTGAAGCCTGGTGAAATAGCCGTTCGTTTCATCAATACACCAACAGGAGAAGACATAGTTGTAGCAGCAAAACCTAGCGAGAATCTTATGGACGTTGCTGATTCTGTTGGACTTAAGATCCCAAGATATTGTGAAACTGGGGTGTGTGGAACATGTACTGCAGAGTTGGAAGATTTATCTTCAGTGGATGGAAGAGTGGCGATTAGACCTTGCTGTACAGACGTTCATCTTCCGACTGGTTGTGACGAAATGGTTGTTGATGTATTCCACTGCCGGAACTTTTCTTCAGTGGTTGATTACACGGAGGAAGTTTTACAGAGTGATCGAAAGTTAACAAGGGATTGTACTACTTGCTTAGGTCAAGGCATCGTCTCTTGTTTTCCTTGTGGTGGCAGCGGTTTGTTATCGGACAGTGATGCTGAAGAGTTGTGTTGCTATTGTATGGGTCGAAAAATAACTCTGTGTCCAGACTGTCAGGGGAAAGGACTGACCAAAGTTCAGTGGTAGCGCTATTTTATACGACAGGAACTGTTCATAGATAAATACAAATTATTATCAGTTGAAAGGACGGAATTTGACCATTTTTCTTAGAGGAAACAGTGAAAGTACTACAGAACGAATGAATTTTAATACTCTGTAAAGATGTTCAAGTTACTTAAATCGTCAAGAAGAATAAACCACTATGAGGAAAATGAATTCTTCAAAGTCGTCGAAGTCACCATTCGATTAGATTCATAGGAAGCCATCATTTCAGAGTTGTTTTCGATTTCGGAGCTTACTGTTTTGCCATATCTCATAATACGATACAGTTTGCTAATCAGACACAAATCATCATAATGAGCAGGTAAAGAAGAGTATTCTTCTATATCGTTGATATCCAACGCACATCGCTTCAAAAGTATAAATGCATATTGTTTCAGTAACATCTGGTACTTATCTGAAGATGAGCCGCTCTTTATCCTACATAAAATGACTTTTCTAAAAGTTGGGTTGCACTCTGATTGGCTGATATCTTCAGTCACTCCACACCACTTTGCAAATCTAGCAGCATAGCGCTTTCGAAGTTGTTCATATCTTTCGTCTTCACCTCGAAGACCACGACCACTGTACTCAGCCACAAATAGCAAAGCAATAATGGCACCTAAAAACATTAATGCCGCATACAACCACTGAATACGCCTCAAGCCAGACATATTCTCATTTCCATCACCAAAGGAAAGCCATATAGTAGGAAAGACAGTAGTTCCTACCACTGCTCCCATTTTTCCCAGAGCTGAAGATACACCATAGAGAGTTGCTCGAATTCTAGTAGGAAAGACTTCTGCAGGTAACAAGTAAATAGGAGAATATATGAAGTAATTGAAAAAGCTAACAAATGTCGTCCAAATAATATATGCCACCGGCTTTTTTGCCAACATGTAGAAGAAGCCAGCCGTTATTAGTTGTCCAACAGCTTGTGAAGTCCATCCAAAGCATTCTGTTTTGCGCCTTCCTAATCTGTCCACTACAAACGCAGCAAGTGCAGGAGCCCAAATAAACACAGCTCCTTCTGCAAGAGAGATCCAAATGGACTTGAAAAGAGATGCGCCAATAACAACCTCAAGTATGAGATTTCCAAAATATCCTCGAGTATAAGCTATCCAGTCAAATAACCACCACGAAATGCAAGTTCCTACAAGCCGAATCGAGAAATGCTTAAAGATGACGAAGAAATCCAATACGTCGTATTTCCCCTTTCGCCTACTCATATCTTGCTGAAACAGTAACGAATCACTCATTCGAAGTCGATATGCAAGTACAACGAATGCTGGCACCATTGCCACACCAAAAGTTACTCGAACTACCACCTGCCACTTGCAACCAGAGACAGCTCCAAGATATGCATCTCTACAAGCAGCAGCAACAATGATCAGCTGAATGATGAAAGGCAAATAGTTCCCAATAGTCTCCATGAAGATTACCAACAATGACACTCTTCGTCCTCTGTTCTTCACATTAACTTCGTCACTATCTTCTGTAATGTTTGGAACATTACAAGTATACTCTCCTCCCATACCAAGTCCAGCAACACCAAGACCAATAATTTGCATCCAAATCATTCCTTCATGAGTTTTTCCATTGGCTGCAGTACCAATTATGTTCCCTAATATGACTAGACAAGAACACATTACGAGACCCTTCTTTCTCCCAAAAAAGTCAGCAATGAAACCAAATATGATCAAACCAAACATAACTCCATAGACCAGTGCTGTATTGTATGCTGCTTGTAAAGTAGCGCTATGTGCAAAACTCGAGAACATATCGGCGTACAAGGTGAAAGGAACAATGTTTACATCGTACATGTAACCATTAATAAGAAAACCCATTGCAGTTCCCAAAGCATTAAACCGCAAATATGCCTTTTTGTCTTTTTCTTCTTGGTTCTCTTCCTTTCTGGGTGCCTTAGTTGAGCCAAGCTCCTCTTCTAGTCTCGAAGATATTGGTTCAAGGTCGGCTTGAATTGCTTCTTCCTGCTGAAATTCAGATCCCTTATTTATATAGGACATTTTAAAATTATGGTAAATTGCTTGATTGCTCTTTTTCAACAATCAACGATGATTATGAAAGTAGATTTATTTCTGTCCTTTATATAAGATCTTTGACCTTTCCGTTTGCCCAAGGGAGATCCATGTGGACATTCCATTCGTGGAGTGATAATTTGTATTGAAGACTTGTGTCGTGTTGACAAAATTGATCGCCTTGCTATTCTTGCAACAGTCTTGCTATGGCATTAGTTAGTAATTCCCCAAAAGTTGAAAGCCTTCAAGGTTTGAGAACTATTTGCTTGTTATACGGGGGGACATCAGGTCCTTCTGTCTTGTATCGATGGTGCCACTTTATTCAAAGGGTATTCCTAGAAAATGAAAGCTTTTCCTTGAGTAGAAGTCTTTTGAAGCTGTAAAAACTTTCTTTGAAAAAGAAGTTTGCTACAAAAGAGGATAAAGGAGATTTATAGTGCATTCTTCTCCATCCCAAAGAATTTTTGAAATTTTCGAATGCCATGGAAGCAACAAAGAACCTTGACAGATGTTTTGCGTCACGCGAAGGTCAGGTCCCTTAGTTTTCGTTGCGCTAATGGCTCTCCCTCGAAGGTTGTGTCTTGTCCGTCTTGTAGTCGACCTATTTCCGCTTCCCATATAAACGATCACTTGGATAGGTGTTTACAAGTTAACGTGGAGACTTCAACAAAGAACGCGCTTGAAGTATATTCGGAAGAAGTTGAAGCGTCTATCCAAAGGTGCCAGTGTAAGGAAAATTTTTCTGGTGGAGACGGAAGCCTTAAAACATCGAGTGTTCCAAAAGATCCGGAGGTGGACAGAGAAGATAGTGAGTCACCCAATAACGAGAAATTGTCAGTTCAAATGACAGTTTTCAAACATATTTTATCATACTCCCTCTTCAATTACTCTGAGCTGTTGACAGAAGACGAGAAACAAGTCGCCCAGCAAGTTTACACTTTGCCACTGCGTTTGCAAAACTTATTTCGAAATATCTTAAGTAGGAAGAGCAAAAGCTGGCATTCTATCAGGGAGTTTTCCAATCTCCGCTACAATGATTCTTATTATTCTGAGGATGACTTCTATTTATTGCAGAATCTTGCTCTCATCCAACCCTTCCACTTTCAGTTCTTTTGTCATTTAGCAGAAACATTGGATATCTTGAGTTTACTGAATGTAAAAGAACTAAAACAAGCTTTTCGATTAATGTTTTTTCGTAACGTAGATTATAAGGGTAAAGAAAAACTTGTATCAGATCTTTGTAAATATCTCTCGCAGGAAGCAGTTATTTATGGTATACAACGGAAGTTGAATGGACACAGCCCTCGAAAGGATTGTTGGAGCTACATTTTGTCGCAGCTTGGATACGTTTTCCGAGTGCCAGACGAGATAGCAATACTCTTTGATAACCTATGCCGATTGTGCTGTATTCAGAGTTTCCCTGAAACTCCTTTGATTCTTTTAGCTGCAATGGATAAGCTGAAATTTCCACGGTATGCAAACAATATTTAGTGTTTAGAGAAGCTTTAAAATTATTTAGTTATATCTGTTCCTGCACACGTCCCATATTTTTATCAAGAGATGCTTTTCTTGAATTCACTCAAGCAGAGAGGGAAGAAGAAATCTTCACTGCAGCACTTGATAGTGGATTAGAAGACACCGTTGTGGAGATTTCTTCCAAGGCACATATCATGCTTGAAAATTATCGTCAAGCATTTATAGACAAGGAATCGGTTAAGGGAGAATTGTCGCTACCTTCGTTGGAACAAGTCGTCCATCCTGTGTTTAAAGTATTCAGTGGTTTATGGATTTTTTGTAATATTTGCTGGCATTCTATTGTCTTTTTGGAACGACGAAAGGATTTTGAGACAAGTATTAGACGTTTGTTCCTGTTACTTGAATTCAAGGAGATGTGTTCTCATCGTCGAGGTAGATACTGGAACAGGCTTTCACTTGACATATTGCATTCTGGGGGTTGCGTTCTAGACGCGCTTAAAGCATGTAAGCAAGCACTGGAGGATGAACATCTTAATGATGGAGAACGTGTAACTATTGCAAGGAGAGCTGCTCGCTTGATACGCATTGCTAGACGAAAGGGCGAATTGGAAAATTCTTCCATTCTTATTCGAGAATTAAGGAAATTGTTAAGTTACTCTTTCTTGAATAATCATATCCGACATTGGCATTCCTTACCGGAGGATGTCATTGTGGGAAGACCTGTAAGTTGGTCAAAATACAGAAGGAATCAATTCTTTGGATACAATGATCAGCTTTTGAGCGTAGAAGAACTTTGCTTGGAACACTATGCTCTTCAAGGATGGAATGGCATTCACTGTGAAGGTAGTCTTATGAATACTCTATTTGGAATATTCTTTTGGAATATTTTATTCATGGACATTTCGGATGTCTTTCAAAATGAGTATCAGAGGGCTCCGCTTGATTTGGGTAAGAAAATAACTTTTGTTTTGTTTCTTAGTGCTTAACCTGATACAAAAAAGGTACAGAAGCTTTCTACAATTCGCGTTCAAGTGCAGTTGAGCAAAGACTTTTGGAAATTCGCCATTACGACAAGAAAGATATATTTCGCGAAGTGCTTACTGTTTTTCAGGAACATGGCTTTGAAGGTAAGCAATTTCAAGTAGGTATCACACTGCTGTTGATGTGAAACTTTAAGAATGCGTTGGAGTGAATTGGTTGATCCTTGGCTCCATGGAAACTCTTGCTTTGGTTGCTAGCTTGATTCCTTCACCAGTATTGGCTGGTTGTTTTGAAAAATTATCTAAGAACTATAAATATTGGTCAGGTGGTCAACCCGATTTATTTCTTTGGAGAGAACTTCCAGAGGAACAAGTGAAGTTTGTAGAGGTAAAAGGGCCTTCGGATAAGTTATCCGAACGGCAACACTTTTGGATATGTTTATTATTGAGTTTTGGAGCAAACGCCTCTGTTGCAAAAGTGAGACCAGAGCATTAGAAGGAAGTCATCATTAGAGTCGTCTCTCATAACATTTAAGATAACGTCATTCGTTGTATTTTTATAACCTCCGAAATTGTCTCAGGTCAACTGTAAATAATTCTGTTTCACTCTTGTCGTACTCTTTTTTTTTCGATATCATCACTAATCGACTATGAACGAATCATTGGCCAGTGTATTCTTCAAGAGTTAGTTCAATTGCCAAATATCCAATTCTTTCATTGATCTCGTATGATAGTATAATGGCAACTATGAATCGATTCAAGAACTTTGGTGTGTGATTGGAAGAGCGACTTTCTGTCAAAATTGGCGATACACTCAAACATACTCGTACTTTCATTTTTATTGATGTGAAGGCAGAAAATGAGGAGAAGCTACTCTTTCAAAATTATGCATGACCCGCGCAAACCTTGTTGGAGTAGACGACTTTTCCGAGGTCTTTGGTTTCGAGGTAAGAAACAGTTTTTACAAAAAAATCTCTTCTCACGCAACGAATGTAGAGCGAAGAAAGCGCCGTGTTGAACGAGATTACGGCACTCTACCCTCTCCAGCACCTTTGAATTCATATACAATTTATGGTGGAGCAACAGAAGCTTTCCTTCTGTCGGCTTTTCTCAGCTTCCTTGTATTAAGACTAACAGATGTAAAGGTAGGATCTCGTTTTTGAGGTAATTTTTGGTAACTGCTGGGCTTTTAGGACTTGTTCGGTCTGTAGTCTTCGTCTCAACTGAAAATAAAACTTGAATGTGGTTATTTGTTTTTAATTGGAAAGTGTTTTGGTACACATGGAAAAGAGTCAACAAATAAATTCAGACAGCTCTGAGAAACTTGACCAAAAAGACTCTAAAGAGAGAGTAACACAACATGTAGAGCAACAAACAGAAGAACAAAGTCGCAAGTCCAATTATCTCGTTTTAGACTGGTCGGAAGAAAGCTTGGAGCCTGTTTCTGCTGATTCTTACGTATTTTCGACTGAACAAGCCCTAGCAGCACTTACAATTTCCAACGAGAAGCCTAACATAAAATTGGACTCTAAAAAAGATGAGCGGCAAGAACGGTGCAGAACTTGCCTCCCAGGATCGAAGAATGTTCTGACTGCACCCTCTGTGAGAATTTCAGAAGACAGTGGTAAGATAGATGACAAATCTAACAAAGTTGAGGAGCACCACACGGCCCCCTTGGAAGATTTGAACTTAGCAACTACAACAGTAACGGCGATTGAAGGAAGAGGAAAGAAAACGTCTGCACCGAAGCAAACAACGCAAACTGTTGAGAGAGGTGCTTGGAAGGAAGAATGGTTGTCGAAGGGCATCAAAGCTTTTGAAATTTCTTGTAGAAGTTCAGATGCAAAACTTTGTGAAGTGAAAGACATTCTTCGTCTGCCTGGATTACTGTTCGTTGATATTGACAAGGACACCTTTATTGCTGCGTATCGGTCAGTAGAAAAGGGTTAGTAGTGAAACCTCAATTGCTGCCTTCATACACTAAATTATCACAGCACAACGTAGTATTACACGTCTGTCGACAACCTTGGCTTTGACAATTACTCCTATCATGGAAGCAAGTGAGAAGTCACAGAAAATATTTTTGGGTAAGAGAAATGTTCAATAGTTTGCTAGTTTTTGAATGACCTTTGTGTTTTAGAGAAATGCCCTCCTTCCAATCGACCACCGAAAACAACTGTTGTAGCGGAAAGACTGATCTTTCGGTCACTTGGCCTTTCCACGGCAGCAGCAAGTGGTAAAACTGTTGAACGCTAACGTAGAGAGTTTTCTGTAGACCATTTGAATATAACCGATATTCCCCATTTGCTGAGCAGATGAAGAGTTCCGCGAGGCGATTTTCCTATCGAAAGGAAACGACCATTATGAACAAGTCAAGTCATTTGTAACCTTTCAAAGGTGCTTGACCATTTAGCTCGGTTTCTAAAAGACAGTCAAAGTAGCCTATCATTCTTCGACGTATGTTTTCTCCTTTTGGTATATCAAAAAGCTTCGAAATGTTGTTTTCAGTTGAGATAATGCGATGAGCTCTTAAAAATTCGTACAAGATGACCTGGAACTGAGTGTGACTGACATGACACATGAGGTCTCGTTCAAACTCAAGCGGATCTTCAACTCTCCATTTGCTGTTTTTACCAGAATGTTTCATAAGAAGAGAAGTTTGGCTAACAAATATTACGGCATCTATGGAAATTTCGTAAGCAAAATGCCGAAAGAACTGTTCTAAAAGTTGTGTCAACGTATACTCGGATGAAATACTCTTTCCGTCCTTCCGATAAGTATATTCTAAAATCCAATCAACCTGTTTTCTTTTCGACATTTCTTCAGGAACAGAAATAACGGGTAACACTTTTTTGACTCTTTGAAGGAACCATAGACACATAAGAACCCAACAATAAGAACTTGGGTAGTGTTGAGGAGCGCCTGCTATTCGCCTTGCGGATACCCATTCTTTCACTAGCCATACAAAGTCTTTGACCAGTTCATCCATATCAAGATATTGTCTAATCAGTTTAGAATTGACTAAGCCTAAACTGGAATCCCATGAGATCTCAAGAAATGTTAGCAAGACTGCTATTATACTAAGAATATACTTACATCGCCTTTCAAACCAGAAGTGTGATCGACAAATTTGACGATAGGAACTTTGGCATTGCCGATGAGAAATACTGAAAACATTTCTGTGCTCCTAAGTACGCCTGCCAAGACACGGAGATATTTCACGGGTTTGGATTTTTTATCCTTCATAGTATTTTTTGGAAGAACAACAAAATCAACATCTGAAGCTGGCTTCCACAAACCTGTCACTGCCGAACCAAAAATTTCTAAACTGCAATCTGGATATTGCTTTTGTATCACTTTCTGAAGTCGTCGTTTCAGCAGTGCAATAGAATTGAAGTCGTCTTTAGTTGGTTGTCTTTTAGCAATTAAACTTCTCAAACTGGAGTCTAAAGAACAGTCATCATGCTCATTTCGTGCAAAGTAGAAATCATTTTCAACGTTTTTTACAAAGTCGGCAAAAATTTGGAATACAGCTTTTGCAAATACTTCTCTCTTTCCTGTCTTCAAATTCTTACAATCATATGCTTCAAAATTGTAACCTGATAACAGCAACGAGCAATGCCAAAGAGAATTTCCACCTGAAGCTCTGGTTCTGAAAAACTTGGGTAGGTCTAACAGTTGGTCTTGTTCTCTCCGATATTTTAATATCAAATCGAGCAGTTCTTTCGAATTTCTTTCATTCCTCGAGATTTCTAGTATGTCGTCCCGAATAAAGCTCAAAATAGAAGTGAAAAAAGTATAGTATTCCACTCTACCAAGAAAATTGTGAGACTTTTTCAAGGCCTGTCGTATTTCTGAAAACTTATTCTCAATAGCTTCGAACACATCAACTGGAATAGAAAACACTTCGTGAGAGTGTTTCTCTAACAGAGTGCCTAAATTTTTGAAAGAAAACAATTCAGGTCTCCAAGCTACGCATTGCAAATACACGGTAAGAGGGGTTGACTGAGGTGCAATCTGCCTCTCTTGCGAGTAGGTGTCTTGTCCACAAGTTGAGAGACGGTTTGGATCAAATGAACGATAATAGCGACGGATCCATAAACTACAGTTCCAACAGGCAAACGTGGTAGGACCTCGAAGAAGAGTCATCTGCTTGCGAAGTCTGAGACTCAACTTGAACATGTCCAAAAATTTATAAATTCCGAAGAGATCGATTTCTTTATATTCTTGCTTCATTCTACTATTTGCATTATACTCATACTAATATCTATGTACACTCCATATATCTTTCAAAACTGTCTCACTTGGCGAGAGTCCGTTGAGATACTGTACACCTGTCCGCTCTACTTACTGTTAACTTCCATGCTACGTTTCCAAAAATTAAAGTCATTGTAATCATCTTCATGCAAGACTTCTTCCTTTTCTTTTCGTCCATGAAGGAATGAAATATCTACAAATATTTCATTTACAAATTGTTGCAGGTTTCGATAACTGCCAACGGTTTCATAAACATAATTACATATCTGAAGCTCCCCTTTCCAATTAATAAGAAAGATACGGTTGCTACGTATACCAACAGCTCGATAACTGATAAGATCAGTGTACCTGTTACCAAAGCCAGCATAAAAAGCATTGTACGAATCTGCAAACAATTCCTTGACATTTCGTAGTGCCGCAATCTTAAACTCTTGTGGTCTTTTGCGGATAACTTCACGAGCAAGAGACTCAACCAATCGGTCAGGACTCATTACGACAGGTCCTTCAGGGAGTGTATATTTGGAATCTTGGTATAATGATTGGATATAAGCCCTGGTACTAGTAGCCTGTCCAATGGCACGGCTGGTTAAATACAGCATCTTATACCCGTTTCTCGCAATCAAAGTATAGAGTTTTGCTATGCCTTCATGACTCCAATCCTTGCCAACTCTTGGCAAAAGATGACCCAATACATCACTACGAGTAATGGTCCCATCAACATCTGAGACGACGATCTTCGAATCAGATGACCAAAGAAATATTCTCGATGACAATTCTTGTACGCCTTGTAGAGTGGAGTTTACTACAAACTTCACAACATTCATTCCACACCTAAGTGGAAGCCTCGCTAATGCTTCCTTGCTTGGACGTCTTGTTTTGATTAGAAACCTCCTTCCTTGGGTCTCTGTATTACTCATCACTGAGTTCTCCATACTTTTACCTCCGCTCTCTGAAACATTAGCATGCACTGTATCTCTTTCAACCATAGCAATCATGTCATCCGTTATAAGTGGTTCACCACTCACATTTCCGTCTGAAGATCGAAACCCAAACCATGAGAATCTTTTTTTTCCATGTTCCTCTCTGTTCTCTGGTTTCTTCTTTTGAGATGAAATATTATTTGTAGTATCCAGTGGTGCTGCAAAAGCTAGTATGCTAACAATCAAAGGACCCGCTTCTTTCCACTTCATTAATTTGCCACCGACTCTCATTAACAAATTTGGATGAGACAAAATAGAAGGATCTGACGAAAATTGACTGTACCCGATACGGTTGTGTTCAAAAATGTTCGTTTTCACATCTTCCGGCATTTCCTGGCGAATCAGATGACCACAAAGCGATAATGCGAGAGGATAATCTACATCTGAGACATTGATTTCCTTTGATTGACTAGTTTCCAATAGACCGTGACTCTTAGCAAAGTCCTCCTTTTGGTTTTCGTCACTTTTCGAATAATTTCGTTTGTAACCAGAAACACTAGAAATACTGGTTTGTCTATCGTCTATGTCACAATTTCTTAGCCTTTTTGATCCAAGAGTTTGATTATTAAACTTTGATATATATACATCGTTCGGTGGAAGTTCGTCTGGGAGTTTTGAAATATAGTCATAGAAATGCGACGAAGCGTTCGGTACTGGGAACTCAGTAAACTCTTTCGTCTTATTCTCTGAATGTTGTAAGGCAAAAAGTTCATCGGTTTCAGTTTCTAAACTTGAACATGTTGAAAATGTATCCAAAGTTGACAGTTCCTTCTTCTGCGGAATATTGGACGAAGCAGGCTCTCTCCGATTCTCATTGCCATGTTCGTCTGAAAACATCTTATTCGAGATTTCTAATTGCTTATCCGAATACTTCCTTTCCAAAGCTGACTTTATAATATCAGTGGAATCACTGAGATCTTCAAAGGTCAAATAAGAATAACAATCCGTAGAGTCGACTTTTTCTTCGGTGGTTGAATTAATCGAACGAGGACGTACATCGCAGCTACTTTCTTGGACGTTAGTCTGCAGAACATTCGCCTTTCCATCTTGATGAAGTTCCTTTCGAGTCGTAAAACGCCTCAAAAAAGAATCCATCCATGACGCAGGGGAAGAAGCTATTGAAGAGGAAGTAGGAGGCAAGTTATTGGAAGCAATACTAATACTTTCAGACTTCTGTCCAGACAAAGATAGTAAGTATTTCTCATCACCAGCAAGTGCCTCGACCCTTTCGTTACTACGGGGAAAGAATGGGCTGTCAGAGTTCTCTTGAATGCCTTCGACATATAAATTGCTGAGCTTTGCAGTTAGTTTCTTGTTCTTCAATCCCAAAGTCAAATCATCTTGCGAACCGTATTTACAAGACTTGAGAGTAGAATTTCTCTCTTGTACTCCGTTAGCGTTTCGAAAACTTACACCAAACTCCGAGTCGGATGAGTATGTGGGTATTTCTTTCCCTTTAAGTGTTGTTAGCCTGGCAAGCTTCATTTAAAAAATTACTCGCCTTCAGTAAGGTAAATATCCGAGTCTCCGCAACTGTCTGATGTACTGGTTTCCTCCAACTTTCTACTGAGCAACTCCGGGGAGACAGAACTGGAAACAGGAAACTTCGAAGGAGAACTCGGTTCCGAAGCTGGGGAGGGAACAAGGTCAGGAGGAGGCGGTTGGTCAGTTTCGGCAAGAAAATATGCTTCACCTGCAGTATCTAAAGTCAAAAAAATTTCACACGGCTCGTCATTTATGATAACAGTGACTACTTTTTCTCGCGACTTGAGTAGCCTTAGCTTTCCGAACCTCACGTTCCAGGGAATACTTCTTCGAACTCCATCTTCTCCCTCGACAACTATTATATCAGCAGCTCCGCTAAGTGTAGCAGTGTTGAATTCTAGTGCGTTTGAGACTGCTGAGAAAAGACGCTCCACATAAGTAGTCATTCAAACACGAGGCAATCACCCAAAGCCGGGATAGCGTCAAAATTACAAACTTTAAGAGCCTTTGGAATTCTTTCAACTTTCCTTACTGAAATTTGGTTATTGACGTTTTCTTTACTTTTGTATTACAGCAGAACAACGAGGAGTTGTATGCGTTTCTCTTCCGTGAAACTTGAAAATGTTTCAACCCTCAAACGTTGTACCTTCAGTTGTTTTTGACTTTGGAACGCACACAACGAAGGCGGTAAGTATATTACTTTGTTTGTTGGGTGTTTACAAAGACAATATGGCTTTAGGGTTTTGGTGGTGAATGCCTTCCTAGATTTCTGTGTTGTTCATCGGTTGGTTTACAAGAAAGTAAGCTGTTTGTTTAGAATTTACTTCCACCCAGTCACAGTCTATTTCATATGTTAGCATCCATACAAAACGAATCAGTCACAAGAAAAGCTTCTGATTTCATTGTTGGTGAACGTAATTTACTTAAGAGAATCGAAAGTACAGAGATTGTTTCACCTTTTGACGAAAGTGGAGTAATGGAAAACTGGGAAGCAATAGAGGCCATCATTTCATATTCTTCAAATCAAATTAGTGCTGACTTAAGTACCAACTCAGTTATGATAGTTGAGCCTTCTCAGAATCCGAAGAAAGAACGTGAAAAGTTGGTAGAACTTTTATTTGAGAAGTTTGACGTGCCTTCGGTGTATCTTTTGAGAAGTGCTATCGCAACTTGTTTTGCGAATGGACGTTATACGGGTTGTGCTGTAGAGTTGGGTGCGAAAGCAACGGATATTACTCCAGTTTTTGAAGTAAGCTGACAAAATTATGATTCATTGTAGAAATACTGAGTAGAATGATAGGGGGCAATTATAGGAAAGAAGAGTAGTCGACTCAGTGTTGGTGGAGATCATCTTACTGGTTATGTTTTACGTCAAGTTGCGGAAAAAGGTTTAGAACTAAACCCTTTTTTCACTTTTCGAAGACGATTTCATGAAGAAGAATCTGTTAAAGAAACTGCTCCAAAGAAAGTATTTGAAAGAGTGGAATTTTCGGATATTCGTGAAAGTTATTTGTGGTTTTGGAAAAGGAGACTTGCTGAAGATATAAAGGTCGCGCTATGTCGTGTGAATGATCAGCCGGATATTGATTTGAACTCCATTCAGATTCCTTTTATTTCATATGAGCTACCTGATGGAACAGTTGTTGAAATGGGAAAGGAGAAATATGACGCGGCAGATTGTCTTATAGATCCTTCTAAGGTAGAATTACCTTCCAAGTCGCTCGTAGGTGAAATTATAAATGTTATCGAAAGCTGTGACTCCAATCTACATCGAGAATTATATTCTTCTATTTGTCTCTCAGGTGGTACATCCAATCTAACGGGTAATATTGTCTGTTAACATATAAAGCGATCTCATTTGTTGTTAGGGCTTTTGGAGTATTTAACCGTAGCACTTAGTAGACGAATGCACAAGGTGAAGTTGCTTGGATCCAGTCTCGAAGCAGAGCGACGTTTTGCTGCATGGACTGGTGGTTCCATGTTGGCCACCTTTGGAGAGTTTCAGAAGATGTGGCTTTCAAAAGCTGAATATGAAGAGAACGGCAAGACTTTTATCCATAAGAAATGTCCTTAAATTGTAACAAATAATATTCTACGAATACTTTAGAAGATAAAAATGTGTTGTGCTTTATTAAATTCAACAAAGTTTTGAATGGCATATATCGTTATGATCCCATTGTGTGGAACTTTGAAAACCGGAGCTTCCACAGCAATCTTGCATTCCTGATTCCGAGAGATGGAGAACTGCTCATATTATAAGCATGTTCTCGTGCTTATTTGTGTCTTTCAAGTAGTTGGTTTCATACACGGTATTGCTCACTGTAGTGTTGAAGATGCCACGACAGATCCGAAGCAGTTCCCAAAGTCAGAGGCGTTGCCTGGCATGCAGATTTCCAACTGGAAGAACATGAGTAAGTCAGTCTCTTGCGTTCCTTTTTTGATAATAAAGTTGTAGTCCTTACCTGGGCTTCAACTACGGACTGTCGAAATGGTCCGATTGCACGTGTAGCAGGCCCAAACAGTTGGAGAATAAGCGGTTTGTTTGCAGCTTAGTTGGCTTTACAGTCGTTCCAACAGAAATTCTTGCGTAGACGATTGGTCACAGACGCTTATCAACTTTGACACTTTTGCAGTTCGCTATGGATCTTCGTTAAATACTTTGGATCACTTTCTAACAGATCCGAAGCTCTGGAAGGTAGCACAGCTTCTCTTTCTTTGAAGTTCTAACTAGAAGAACAAAAGGGTTCTGAGCTAGTTGGAAAGTCTGGCATGATCTGCTCATCAAAAGGAGAATTTTCGGCTACTTATGATATGTATGATACGGAGCTGTTGCCGTTTCAAGTCACCACGAGTTTCTTTGTACCCGTTGAAGAACAATTTTATTTGAAGAAAATAACTGTTACCAATCAAAGTCCTTCCAAACTGTATCTCAAAGTATTAAGTATTTTGGAGAATGGTCTGAAGGGCAGCGATTTTGGTCCTCTAAGCTGTCCTGTACAAGCAAGGCAATCAAATGGTACGTATATATCACTGATAGAGGGAAGCAATGAACATTTCGTTATAGATAGCACATTCTTTCATATTGATATGGAGAAATGTGGATCTTTTCATATCGGTGGTGGCGAGTTTTTGGAAAGTAGTAAGTTGGAATGTTCTTTTAGTTATTATTGAGTTGAAGTGAGTTGTCTGGAAGAGAATTTTAGGACATCCACTCAGGTTGGACCAGCCACAGGAAACAAGTCTGCATTTTCTGTTTTCCAGTTGTATTCTGACGGAAACGGTGTTTCTTATATTACAGAAGACGTTCATGTTCAGGCAGCTTCGGTGTTTCTGCTAGAATTGAACGCAAACGAGAGCAAGTCAGTATACAGTTTTCGAGCTGCAGCATCGGATGAAAGGAATCTTTGGAATGTTATGAAAAAAGCTTGTGAGAAGAGCGCACAAGAATGGATAGTCTACACTGCGAAGTCTTATGAGACATGGCTTCAAAGCGGCATTAGACCGAATATTTGTTCTGAGCCCGGAGATGGCTTCGAGAAGGAAAACAGTTGTTTGGATTCCGATGCTGAAGAATTGTTTACAAAGTCTCTCATTTTGTTGAAAAATAGTCAAAATCCAACTCTAGGTTTATTCGCTTCTAGTTTCCATACTTTATATGGTTGGAAGGTAGGTTTTAAATATGGATCAACTTTTGTCTTTATATTCTTGAAAAAGGCCTGGATGCGAGATTGCAGCTTACAAGCCATCATTTTGGGTGAAGCTGGTTACCTGGAAGAGGAGCGGAAATTTTTAGAGGTATTTTATTTTGCTATATTTTTACAACTTCTAAATAGCTTCCAGTGGGCTAGTTTTGCAGAATTGCGTTCAGAGTGGAGTGGTGGAGGTTTCCATAGTACATATAGTTCATGGACTGGTGACGTTCATGATTTTGTGGAACCACAATACGATGCCTCAGCATTGTATTTGTTAGCTTTGTCGCATTACAGCTTCAAATCCAATGATTACAGTTTATGGTATGGACAAAATGGAAATTCAAGAGCAGATATGATCGAGCAGCTTCTTCTTCGGAGAGATTACCAAAGATTGTGGGCACCGGACTTTTCCATTTGGGAGGAGTCCTCGGATCCTGTTACTGGAGAAAAGTTGCCCAGAAAGTATTATTCCTTCACTCAGGTAAAAGATAACACTGATTCTTCTATGCCTTCATATTGGAAATGTTATAGTCTGCTGCATTTGGGGCTTTGATGGCTGCAGCGAAATGTAGACGAAAACAGAAAAATTTTCAGCGGGCAGAGCAGTTAGAGGAACGTGCTCGCGAACTGAGTGAAAGCTTGGAAAGAATATTTTGGCAAGAAGAAGAAGGACATTATCTTCGGAGTATTGAGGATGGTTCACGTATGTGGCTTCCAGACCCTTATGCTGCAGATGGTCGTATCGATAGTTCGAGTTTGGGATTATTGCTTTTTGATGTTGTAAAGAATGAAAGTCGCCGAATAGAACATTTACGCAACGTCCAGTCGGTTAGTGAATATCTGTTGTTGAATATAACCAATGAACTCTCATGATGCATCTAGAAGCTCAGCCGTCGCAAGTGGGGTATCGCCCGATATGATGACGATCATTATTTCTATGACGGCATCTTTTCGCCTTGTGGGTGTGAAGCTCGGAATGCTTCACCACCTTGGGGCGTTACCACTATGTTCACTGCGATGAGTGAATGGACGCATATAGAACAAAATGCAAGTTTCGCCAAAAACGGCAAGTGTAAAAACTCAAACGAGGATACATGTTTGATAGGATTCGTTTAGTTTATGGGAGGCTTCAATGGATGGTTGAACACAGTGCCTATGGAATGATGCCGGTTGGTGAGGCGAATGATGGTGTTACTGGATTGTTTGTTTCTGCATCGACACCTGACTTATATGAATATGCCGGAATGGTAGGTAAGATACATTATATGAGCTGTCACTAATTTCCCTTTCTAGTATGTCTGGACTGTCTTATTCGTGCAAGGGAAAGCTTGGTCAATGAGTCCACTAAGTTGGGATCGAAATGAGTAGCCCTGAAGTCTAGTTAGGACTCCTGTTCAATCTGTGAAACCATTTCTCGACCCGACAACTGTCATCAGTTTATATTCTGGCATGAAAAGGGTTTCAGAACATAGTTATCAGTTATAGTAACAGGTGCATACCTAAGTAGAATTAGATAAATCACAATGCTTCTTAGATGGAAGCTTACCCCATGGAATAAATATCGTTCTTTCTATTATAATCAGAAGAGAAAATTCTCCACAGGTATTTGACAGAATTTTGAAGCAATACATTATTATCTTGTATTGAGGAACCTCTTTCAGTGAACCTCTTCGAGTCTGATATTCCACTTTCCATAACAGTTGGGTGAGTCATTCCCTCCGAGTAATCCAACCATAACACAATAGCCGTTGTGTCATCCACAACTTCATCCTCTTTGCGCCAACGTTTTACTGCCTCTTCGACAACCATTTCGGCAGCCAACTGAGCACTACATTTGTCTCTAAGTCTACCTATCCAATAAACAACTTCCTGGGAAGACATAAACTCCCAAACCCCATCAGATGCCAAAATACAAAACCTAAGAAATCAATAAAGCGTCTTCCAAGTAAATCTTTAGGTACCTGTCAGAACTGGTCAATCTAATACAAGTTACTTCTGGTTCCGAACTCACTCCGATACTTTCAACTATCAAATCTCCAAAGGAACGAGTCATGGCTAAACCAGGAAACCAATCTTCGGCTAACCAGACTCGTAAAGGTCCAACACCACCATCCCAATATTCTATACGACCTCCGGAACGTTGTATTCTGTACGCTTCGTCCGTTCGGACGGGCTACGAAATATTGAAAACAGAAGTATTTCAGGAATTCCAAACTTACTTTGTGATCATAAGTCATGTCAATCGAAATATACTTGTACTTTCTCGCTTGCGTCTGTCGACCTATTATACACCTCGAATCTCCAACGTTGCTACAAAAGAGAAATGAACCCTTGAACCAAGCAGCAACTGCTGTTGTTCCACTCATTGAAATGTCCACTTTATCATTCAAAGACATCAGGGCTCTTGAACAGTTTAAAAAACCAGCATAGATCGAGCGAACAAGATTTAAAAATGATGTCGACTCAAGTAGTTCATAATAGGCATGAGATATGATTTCATCAGTTGAAGTAAAAAGATCAACCTTCCGAGCCGAATCTTCTTGACAACTATCTAACTGTTTTTCGTTTTGAAAAAACTTAAAGCTGTCTTTAATTTCAACAGGCAAATGGTCTCGTACAAACTGACGAACTTCAGGACATAAAAAATTGAGTGTCAAAGCAACTTACTTCCGCTACAACCCTCCCGTTGGCACCATGTCCATCGAAAACGGCAAAAAAAGCTTCATCTTGCCTATTGTCAAAGGGAACTTCGATACAAAATGAGTCCTTCAGAAAAGTTACTCTTTAAAGTCGTCCCAAAAGTTCGAAATAATCACCTGATTTTCCTTTCTCTGCTGTTCCTTGCTCCTTAGTTCTCTAACAGGTTCCCAACCTGCCAGTGAACAAGCTCCATAGCTGATTTGCAAGTTACAACTAGTTCCAAGAGTTATGTTGTGGGCTCTATTTGAAGTATCGCAAAATGTACCGGAATTCAAGTCCACCTTGTCACAAAACTTGCTTTTCTCCTTGGATTCGTTTGACGATACACGGCATTCTTCTCGGTTTGTTTTCGGAATTTTCGGACCTTTGGTTGTATTTACTTCTCTCGACAAAGATGAAGGCACAGTTTTAAGCTGCTCAAGCTGCTGTTCAAAGTTTGGGGGAATTCTGAACGACTTTGCTTCCTTCAGTGAAGACAACTGCTCACCTTGAATGTCAAGCGAAAGTCTCAATCTTTGCTTGCGCAGTTCTTCCAAGGTTACAGGTTGTTGCTCCTGACCAGAGTCGACAACTTCCCTTTGTGCCGGAACTTCTGAAGTGCAGTTTTGTGTGCTATTTGTTTTATCTTCATACTGTCCCTTTGCACAGTGGTTACCCATAGCCTACTGTGCCTGAAAGTGTCAGAGAAACCCAACAGATTTGAGAACGCTAACAACACACAAGAATTCCATTATCGCATTCCAAAATAAGCGAAAATGATTAGACGTTCCAATTAAGCCAAATAAAGAAACACACAAGCCGAAAGACAAAAATATGTTTCTACCGAAATCAGGAAAGTGTTTGAATAGTGTTTTGCTCTCTTTGATTTTATACTTTGCTATGATTTGATTATTACAACACAAGTTCTAAAATGAAAAGCACACTTCCTCAATTGAATAACACGTTTATTGACCCTTTGATAAGCACCAACCAATAACTTAAAACACCTTTTTTAAAATTCTTTCAACGAGCACTAACTTCCTGCGCTGCGACACAAAGCAAATGTACTCCACCAACTAGCGATACATTTCTTTCACTGTCCATCTTTGAACGTTCCGAATTACAACGGAACGGAACTTCATTTTCCAAAGTAGAAGGTTTTCTATCTTCCCAAGGTCGTCTACTCTCAAAATCAGCTTCAACGACTTGTTTCTCTGCTTTGGAGTCCTTTTGCTTTAACAGACCACGTTGTGACTCTCTCTCAAGGCGAAGAAGGTATTTTTGGAGATGAGTGCGGCATTGCACTGCAGTTCTCGTTCCAACATAAGAAGCAACCGCTTTCAGGTTTTGTTGTCCATACTTTTCCAAAGCTTCCAGGAACCTTTCATGTTCCTCACTAGACCAATATCGTCCACTCGATCCCTTGTTAACCCTTCGTCGCTTATCACCTACTCTCTGCTGTTGCATTGTATCCGACCTCGCAGTGGACGAACCAAATGACGAGAAAGATGTGTTCCTGGATAAGCAAGTATTTTCTAAGGATTCGCCAGTGACAGTACTAACGTTTGAAAAACCACTTCGACTTTTATCTTCACCGAGCTGACGGAAATCACGAAGATAGAAACTAACTTGAGCCATAGCTTGTCGAACACGAGAAAGTTCCGCCTCAAGCTGCAGTGCATGACGTCGAAGATATTCATAATAAGTCTGTAGCTCTTGCTCGTTTTGAGGACAAATATTCTTCAACTGAACGGATTCCATCCCTTCTCAGAACACCCTCGACGAAGAAAATGATAGAATTAAGATCCTTCCCATGAGAAGCAGAAAAACCCGAGGTGTCCAATTGACGTTCAGGTCATTGTGGAATCACGTGGAAATTTGTCCATGGGAACGATTTTCTGAACTCTCTTTGCTTTTCTTCTAGAGCAGAAACGTATAAGCTCATTCCCCATATTTATTGCGTGTAATATCATAAACATAATTAATTCACCATAAAGTAAAATATATTATCAGTATACATGACGAATGAAAATACGATGATATAGAATCATTGTGGCGTCGTCGAGAAAGACGCACTCTACTTCGGCATTGCCAGGGGTCTTGAGCTCCGAATCAGACTTACTAGTGGGAATACTACCAATCAAGGAATTAGAACACTGCCTTGGAGTCTCACTATTAGGGTAACACGACACTTGCTGAAGCTTAATATCGGATGAAGAGAATGTACCAAACTCTTCATCATTACTGTCAAAGCTGTCTATACTGCAAACCCGAACCCCCCGAATCCGTGCTATCATTTCAATTTGTTCTTGAATAAGCGACGCACCAGAAGTCTTGTCCAACAACATAAGGGCTTTTGATAAATTGTCAAGTATCCATAAGTCAAGATCTCTGCATGACTCTATTGGAGCTCGGGACCATGGTCTGGAAATAAAACTACCATAATTCTCCAGCGCCCGTCTAAAATACCCTTCCGCTGTCTCAATATCTTTAAAAACAAGAGAAAAAATACCACAAGTTCCTAAAATATCAGTATACAGAGGAAGCCCTTCGAAGCGTATGCTTTCTGCTAATTTCGTAACCTTTGAAAGGCACTGTCTTGCTTCCTCTCGTTCGTTTCTAACTAGTAACGTAAGTGCCATATTCTCATAGACACTAATGCCATATGAAGAGTTCTCAAGGTGAAACTCTGAAAGCTTCTTCAATGTTCTACGCAAAATGTTGAGAGCATGCTCCGTCCGATCTGTTTCCCTACAAATATTGGCCAAAACAATGAGAGGAATTAAGATACAAGGCTTGTTGTTCATTCCGCTTTGTTCCAATAACTGCAAAGATTGACAGAGGGCTTGCTCTGCCTCTCTAAAGTGCAAGTCATCAGAATATGCTTCCCCTAAGGAAATGAGTAACATTGCGTCCTCCTGTTGGTTTTCTAACAATGAAGAATCACCCAACAATATGTCTGTTTCATGAGAGTCTCCAGTGCCTGCAAGTTTTAGGTTGGAAGATGAGCAGGTCTGCTCATAGCGACTCAAATCAAGAATACTTGAAATCAAAGATATTCTATCTGATGCGGGAATAAATAGTCGCAGTACGTTGCTTCCTGCTATAATAGTGTGTCGCAATGCTTGCCTCCCAAGTTCTTGTGCAAACAACAAACACATTTCAAAGTTCATTCTTTCCAAGTCGCAAATTCTAAGTGCCTGTTCCATGTTTGCGCCGTCAAGAATCATCCGCTCATTATCTATAAGCTTCAAAAGATTCGTGTAGTAGCTCACAAAATTCTTCTTCGCAACACGAATAACTTCCCAGTCGTTAAAATCGTCGTGTGCGCCTACTTCTCTTAACAAAAATTCCTTTGACAAGAGATCTAACTGTAGTCGTTTCGGGGATACTTTCACAATAAAACCCCGTTCGTTCAATGTGCTGAGCATACTTTCTTCCGAGCAACTTTCTATACAAGAGTCATGAATAATTGCCTTTGCAGCAGCAACATCGAAGGTTTCCGGAAAAACTGAAAGCTTGAACAGAGTACGGCGCAGTATTGGCGTCAAACTTTTGAATAATCTGTCTAGATACATGCCGGCAAGGTCTCGAGATAAAAATGGTTCGACGGCTGATGCATGACTTGAATATTCCACTGAAGCTGACGGAAATTGTTGCATCATAAATGTGTTCGTTTTCTCTCGATTCCTCCGTTGATAATGGTTTGCTTCTCTCTCTGCAGAAGGTGGAGCTGTATATGGTGGACTGTCAAAGTTTGCAAATTTCGTAATGTATTCAGTTGTACTAGGCATCTCCCCTGAAACTCTAGGTTCTCTTCGTTCCAAGTTTTTCTCGTTTAGAAAGACTTGGCTATCAAACACTGCAGGCTTTCCAAGACTACTAAACCTTGGTTCTGCTATTTGTGTCGATGCCATGGGATACGGTGGAGGTGATAATACCGTTGCTGCGTAGTTCGCAACTCCTTCTCCTGTACTTATGGGCGAGTTCACACCACCTTCAAATTGCCTTCTAAGCTTCCTTCTCTGGTAAGAACGATTCTGTCTTAATCGTCTTTTAATAATTTTCGCTTTCACTTTTCGTTCCTCTTCAGTGAGCTCTGAATCAGACTTATCTACAAACAAACTTGGAGGTCTTCCAGGTTTTCTTCTACCTTTCTGAAGAGAACTTTGTCCCCCGGGTTCATCTTGGCCATTTCCAATACTTGATTGTACTCTGCTGTCAAAACTATACGTAAAGTCACTCGAAGACGCTTTTGAATCTAGCCCACGTTGAGGTTCCTTTCGTAGTTTTGCAGGCTCCACCGGTGAAAGTGAAGTTGACGTCACCGACTGCGTATCTTGAGTATCTATGTCTGCGACTAGTGAATTTTTTTCCTCAATTTCAGACGAAGCGTTCGCAACTCGAGACTCCTTCGAAGAACGTTGCAACGAGGAATAACCCTTACAAGGGCCACTGTCTAAAGGCATGTACCAGTTCCCTCCCCCCGTTTCGATGTTGCTCATTAAACTCAGCGTTCAACGCAAAAGAGCTCTTGATAAGAAAAGAGTATTGGTGAAGTTGGTACCTCAAACCTTCTGCAGCTTGAATGTAGGAAAATGCATAATTTCCAGACTCGACGGATTTCGACAATTTCTCTCCTCCATTTATTGGAGAGATTGCACTATAATTGTAAAAACTGAAGTTCCAAAGCTATTTAATGCTTCCGGATGGTTTTATTCAACTTTTCTGTGTACCCGTCATGAGACAAGTTAAGAACTGGCCAAAATGTTCTCCACGTTACTCCTAATAAAGAACAAGAAATTTTTCCCTCGTTTGAGTGAAAACCATCAGCAAATACTATAATACTCTCCAATATTTTCATGTCGAAAGTTCTTAGAAATGTCGTTCTTTTAAGAAACATGAAACACAGAGTGCAAGAAAAGAGATATGCCGATGAAATAAGTCAATAACAAAGGCCACCGATAACAGTGAGACCATATTTTGCTCAAGTCTGGAGTCCCAACGAAGTTACAAAACGAATGTAGACATATGCTAGTAATAACTCTTCTAGACCGGATAAATACCCAAGCTGAGTAGACACCAAACAAGAACGTATATAAAAACTGTATAACTGTCTCTAATATGGCTGTACGGAGACTGTTGTAAACAAAATTCCTATAGATAAAATGATGACAATGACTTGCTGCGAAGAAAGCAGAAGATAACAATACTGCCGAACGAGAACTTGTACAAAAAGAAAGTAACTTACAAATACAGCCTCTAAACACTAGCTCTTCCGATACAGGAGCCACTATTAGGTTGCGAACAATTATCCAAGAGTCTTGTCCTAATAATGGCAACGAAAGTTTCAAACTTTCTTCTATAGACACGCCTCGCAAGTAATATGTTACAATTTCTATAATATTCAACGAAAAAGGACCCAGAAACAAAAGCAAAATGGGCGAAAACGAGTCGAAAAAGTTAGCCAAGCTGGAAGTGCGCACAAGTTTCTTCTGCTCTTCATTTAGTTCAAACAAGTAAGAAATAATGACGAAATCTGTAACAGAATAAAAAAAAGTTCCAAGGGAGAGCAGGGCAAGGCTTCTCCTAAAAAAGTGACAAAATAAACTAGTTTCTTCAAACCAGGGACTCTGTACCTCTTTATGATTTTACAATCGTTCCGTTCTCCGTAAAACCACGGCAAGTACAACAACCCTACAAAGGTAGTACAGAGAAACAAAGAAAAAGAACATGAAAACCACAAACAGTGTTCCAAATTCATAGAGATGCACAATTAGAAATTTTTGTTGTTTTTTTCGAGGCATTAGATAGAATGAAGAGTTTGCTTCATTTTGTGTCAAAACGCCCAAACCCATTTTTCATTTGTTCATATGATCTTGCGAATTGAATATTTGCCATTTCATAAAAAAAGCAACTAGTTCTTCCAAAAACATGGCTATGAGAAACTCTGAGGTTACGAGATGACATCTATAGATTTCTTTTATATGAATTTTATATCTTCCGTTCAACGCAGCGTCAAATCTAGGCAACAGAATTCAGTTTTTTCTATATACTAAGAATCTTTATGGATAAACATATTACGTTGACTTCTTCATTCATAAAGATTCGCGTCATGAATCCTCTTGGCACATGATCAACTTTTAAGCTTCTGACGGTTCTCTGATAATATATTGAAGCCATACTCTCATAATCTATGGAGAACTTGCTTTCGAAACCGAATTATCTGTAAGGGTCACTTCAAATGAATCAAAATTGTCTTAGAATTTTTTAGCTGAAAGTAGCTAGGATTGGCTACGTCTTCCAATTTTCTTAAATTCAACCTTTCTCCATCAGAAATCTTATTTGTTATTTATACAATATTTCACGTGAGACAATGAACAACAGAGCTTGAGTGACGTGGTTTCTTCCGTGGCGTATCTATTTTGTCACATAGAACACTACATAAGCATGAGTTGTTTCAAAGGACGTTGTGCGGTTCAACTCTTATAACAATGCAAATAAAAACACTATTTTACTTCGAAACACTCATAGATTTCAACAAATATTGGAGAGACACAAGATGGGAAAGATGAACGACATGATTTCTACTGAAAAAAGGAATCGAAAGTCTTGATTTGCATTTCATCCGTGGTATACGCCAAGTAGGGCAGTTTCCACGCCTTCAAAATTGTTTTTAAAGTGAACAAGTGATTACATTTTTCTGAATAGACTACATGGTTGTTTGGTTTCTTGCTCCATAAAGCTATAAGAGGGACGGGACCGCCTCCATAAATTCCACCAGCGGGTAAGAGATCAGTTCCTGCAGGTAGATTAGGTGAATCAGGTCCTGCCGTAACAAACTGCCAACCGTCGGTAGATTTATTGAAATCCACTTCAGACTGATCCCAAGTAATGAAGATGACGGAATTGGAGTTTTTCCACTGGTCTGATGATGTAATATTGGTAACGGCAGCTTCAACAAATTTATCTCCATTTGTCCACATGAAATGATAGTCATTGAATGGGCAATATTTGTCGTTTGGTCCTCCCTCTTGTGGCGAGGCATCATACTCGACATGCAAAGAATACTGTCCATGCATGTCATGGCAAACGTCAGGGGTGATGAAACTGAAATTTGGAAGCGCATTATTCCTCAAGTCATCCAAAATGTGAGAATATGGAACAATATTTTTGACACGAGATGAATTAGTCGTGATTTGAGGATACAACGCGAATGGGACATGTCTCTTTACGTATACAGCAAAATCCGAGTTGTTGGGATAATAATGTCCCAAGAAGCCAACTGTCGGAATGGACTGTGCATAGTTCTTCCATGTCATTCCACGCTCTTCCAGGAGATCTGCAATATTAGTATGTGGAAATTCCTATTTTACCAAATAAGCTTTGCTGTCGATTTAATGAAAGTCTCCTACCTGGGCTGGATTATCTGAAAAGGACCAAAACTGAGATCCAGCAGTAATTGCAATATAGTTTGGCAGGCTTGGATTGGTGTAACCATGATAGTGATCAGCATACATTTCTTCGTCAATCAACTTGTTGATAAATGGCATGTCTTTGTTTCCTGTGATATTTGGTCTTCCAGTGTTTTCCATCATTATTATGACGACGTGATCAAAGAAAGGCAATGAAGAAGAAGAAGAAGAAGTGTCATTACTCTGCCTTTCAACTGGAACAGCAGATACAGCTAGCTGCATGCTGCACAGGCAAGCTATCACCACAGCGACTGACACGCCATATAGGGAGAAAAAACTTTTCTTGCAGTACATTCTTGAAAGAGATCACCGCCAAAAGTACTACTATATTCTTTACTTTTTTTGTCAGTAGCGATTGTTTTAAATCCACTTCATGTCGGTTGGACGGAGAAGGCAAAATACGGAATAATTGATTCCAAGTATTATTCCAAAAAATGGAATCTTTCTACGATTCATAAAGATACGCGAATCATTTATAGTTTTGTACAGTTTGCAGATACACGAGAGACAGAGTTACAAGATGCTTCTACATTTGTCATTTTTCAGTTTCAGGACTTCAGAATACGAAGCAGAAACTATGTTGTTCACTTTCGTCCTGTTACTTGAAGTGTTTTTGGATAGGGTCTGGTAGTCTGGTGACAAAGGAATGTAGATTTCAACGGGTCTACGTTGGTTCCCATGAAAAACTTGGTAAGCTTGGGTAGAGAATTCTGTACCGCCCGAGGCTAGTGCCATTGTTTGTTTAAGAAGTTAAATATTATAAGCCACAAGAGACTACTTTATCCTTAAACGAAGACTCTTATGAAATCTAAAGAGCTGCAGCCTATACTAAGTATCTACACTATTCACGAAGCCATACACTTTATTTCCACCATGGATCGGAATCTGTGCGAAAATCTTTTTCTTTCCAAGTCTTCAACACGATGTTACCATTTTCATTGACATCTACGTGTGCCAAAGCCAAAGAAAGAGGAGCTGGACCACGAACCACCTTACCAGTACTGTCATAATGAGAACCATGACAATGGCATATGAATTGATTTTCTCCAGCTTCCCACGGTACTACGCATCCCAAATGTGTACAAACAGCATCTAGACTATACGGACGCAATTCTCCGTCTTCAGATATTATTAAATAATGTGGATCTCCCTTAGGACCTTGAACCAGTTCACGAGTTCCAGGTTTTCTTGTCTTAATGAAATCCTCTTTCTTGATTTCATTACCTTCGATATCTCTGGCAACTGTTTCGTCAGGGTTACCTGAAGATACGGGAAAGAAGAATCTTGAATACGTAAACATCATTTGAATTACAGGCAATGATGCAGTGCACAAAAGAGCATAGTTCAAAAACATCCTTTTGCTCAAGTCTGGAACTAATGCTTCTTCTGAAGAAGACATCCTCCACCTTGAAGAAGCGACTTGATACTTTGGAAGATGTTCTCTGAAAAGTTTACAGCGATTATTGCACTGAATGAAAGAGCATTGAGAACAGCGTCCCTTTAACACTGTGTAATTGATGAAGACGGTCATCTCCCAAAACAAAAATGCAATTAAAATGTCTATGGCCGACTCGAAATGTATTTAAATGACCAATGGAGCTTACACATTTATGGGAATCGTTACATTTCTGTTGCCCCCAAGTTACTGTTGAAATGACTTAGTTCTTGAGATCAAGTTCGCAATTATTCATTTTTTTGTCAGATAACAGGCCGTTTAAAGAAAACTCCACTATGGCCTCTCACAGGAGGTTGACCAGACTGCAGGGAATGTCATTTCTGTGAGTTTTGCTGCCAAAAAATCGTTTTGACTATTCTGCATCTATCAAGTTGTTCGAGGGTGTGCAGCGAATTTGGGACTTTAATTCTTATGAGCTCTGCGTATGTAACTCCTCAAAAATATATTGTCTTCTGTTTTTTCCAACCTTGGTTCCTCAAATAATATTATTGTGGATGAGAAAAGGGGGACAGCGTGTCCATCTCTGAGTGTAGCTGATATTGTGTGCTATATTTTTTTGAGTCAAAATTAGGCAATTCCTTCTCTTGTGTTCATTCGTTTCTTTAGTAATACTTGTAAACACGTTGAGGCGTTGTTTAACAAGTTTATTTGGAGGATAACAGGACTTTCTACGAACTACATGAAATCGCTTGTATAAAGTTTTCCGAAATTATTTATGTCTGTAAAGGCAATTGCTTCGATATTTGTAAACCTGCTGGAATCTTATACTAGCATCCATATTTCTATCTCATTCAACTTGTCATCCAGTAGACTTTAAACTGCCAATTTCGAAAGCTCCTCGATTCTGGAATACTTCAACTTCGAATACACATATGAAAGAAAAACGGTGAAACGAATAGGAGATGCATGGTCAAATACAAGGTTTGCTTTTAAGACGCTGTTCGCCCCCTCTCGATCTATTCTTCTGTGAAGGTTTTATCATTCGAGTTTGTTTCATAACTTTTCTTAGTGAAGCTGCAGTTCTGAAAAAAGTCGAGTCATATCGAAAACCAGTTTCTCAAAGGCAAGCTTGACAGTTCTCACAAGTTCGCTTCACTGGAGCTGCTTGTTGGAGGGGCTATTTTCAACAAAGGCTTAATAGGGTTATTCATATCATAGTCCTGCCATTTCAATTATTTCCTGTCGTCTATAGTCTCCAGCGACAGACTATAAGTTACCGTTAGGGACATTCCTCCCACTAGTTGAACGTACTCTTTCTTCAAGGGATGGTCAATTCCAAGCTAGGTCATCCTTTGTTTGACAAAGACAACGCTTTCAACTTTTAAGGTAACTTTTTGAAAGTTTGAGGGAACTGTTTTGAACGACGGACAGAATTTTATCGTGTAAAGAGAGTTTTCTGAGAAACGATTAAGCTAAAATCATATATTTTCACATTCTCTAATATATTCATGATAGCTGGAAATGGAGTAAGTTCGTAGACTAAAAAGGATAACTGAGGATCTGAGGTACGGAACAATTCTGGGATTCGAAAAAATTTTCAGTGGTTTTGGCGGGTGATTTGAATTTGCACTTAAATTTGAAAATTTCCTGTAGTTGTCATTAGCTTTCCAACTTTTCTGATGGGAGAAGCAAGTCGTGTGCTTGTTACAAACCAAAATTTAAAAGATATTGAGAAAATGCTCTCTGAAAGTGTGCAGCGAGTTATTGAGGGTTCACGTTACTCTCACCTCTCAACCTCAAGAAGAAATACTGTTGCTACATTTGTTGCTCGAAAGACGAATTCGTTCCTTCAACTACTTGCAACGAACTGTAGAGAAGCTACGGAAGAAGAAATTCCTGTTGGTATGTAGACGTTTGGAACTAGACTTTTCTAACAATAGAACAGAGTCTGTCGATTCTAAGCTCATTAGACAGGTAGAAGAGCTTACCACGCAGTTGAATAGTGTGGAGCAACAATTAATAAAGGAAAGAAAGGTCAAAGCTCAAGAATACGAAACACTCATGGAGGAGAACCTAAAACAAAGATATAGAGTCCATGATTCCACTGAAGACTCACTGGAAGAAGTAAATAATAATCAAGTTATTTCCGAGCAAATAAGCACAGAAAATATCGAAAAGCTCTATGAATGTTTGATGGAAGAGTGGAAGAAAGCTAAAGACTTTTCCTCATTCGAAGATAAACTTTCGAAAGTTTCCATAGTCTTGCAGAATATGTCGCGAACAGATATGAACTCCTTGAGACCAGTCTTGGAAAGTGTTTCCAATATTCTTAGAAGAGTTGATTCTCAAAAAAGCTCTCAGTTTGCAAGAGACTCTTCAGAAGGAGCTTTTGCCAGTAGTGTAGAAGGAAAGCTCCTTAAAATTTTACATAGCTCGGATATATCTTCAACATTCAACATTGACTGCTAATGTTGAATAGGAAGTCGCTCTTCTTTTTCGAGAAGTAGAAAACTATCCTATACTAACTTTCAACAGGTTAAGTATAGTAGAAATTTACGTAATCTTCCCTTGTCTTGTATGTTGATAGTGCAGAAAGAAATGAGACAGTGCTCATCTCCGGCCTTCCAGTTTCATAAGCAATTAAACTTAGCATCATTGACGATAAAACTGAAAACTTATGTTTGATACAGAGTAATTTTAGATGAAAGATTTTTGGCAAATTAATGACCCTTGCAATGATTATTGATTCCTTCTTTGCCTAAACTTCCCTCTGTAGTTAAGGATACATACAGAATCAACCAAGTGGCACAATTTTATTGTCCTAGCTCCCAGTCTTGAGAGCTGTACAAAGTCAAATGACACTAAACGTGCTATTTAGTTTCAAAGTAGCTCTTATCTTTTCACTTCACCTAGCATTCACAGCTTGAATAGCCATAAATTGTAAAAGGTTGTTTTGAGTATTCTTGAATAAAAAGAAGCAATATTGTGGTTTATGCTGAACTGTCAATTGTGATATTTTCTACTATTTCTCAGCGAAAACCACACCAAAGTAATCCATTGGACTTTGCATTTCTTCTGAGCCATTTTTCTTCCTTGTGTTTGTGTAGCTAACCGTTTGTCATGAAAGACCACAAACAGTATTTTGATTACTCTTCGTTACTTTCATGGGTCAAGTATAACGCTAGTTTTCTTTTGCCTGACAACATGAGCATTGATAGCTTGACCGAGAAGGCCACTATTACAAAGTTTTCTCACGGACAGAGTAACCCTACCTTCTTGGTCCAAGTACCCGCTGGCACCCCTTTTGTTATTCGGAAGAAACCACAAGGTACCTTGTTACCTTCAGCTCACGCAGTTGAGCGAGAATACGAGGTTGTAAGATGTCTTGGACCAACTAAGGTACCAGTTCCGAAGGTCTACGGTTTTTGCAGTGATTCTTCAGTTATAGGGACACCCTTTTATCTAATGGAATATGTGAAAGGAAGAATTTTCACTGATCTTTCACTGCCAACTGTTGCACCAGAGGAAAGAAAGCAGATTTATCAGGAAATGGCGAAAGTTTTAGCCGAAATTCACAATATAGATTACAAGAAAATTGGACTTGAAAGTTTTGGAATTCCTGGAAATTACGTCATGAGGCAGATCCGTCGTTGGACGAAACAGTATGAGGCATCTTGTGAAGGCGTTGGAAGAGATCCTTGTATGGATAATCTAGTCAAATGGCTTCCAGCAAATATCCCATATTCAGCTGTCGCACCAAGGGAAGAAAGTACAATTGTTCATGGTGACTATAGATTGGACAATTTAGTTTTCGCCGAAGGAAGCCCAAAGATATTAGCTGTATTGGATTGGGAACTGAGTACCATTGGAAATCCTTTGGCAGATGTTGCTTACAATTGCATGATGTATCGACTGTCTCCAACGAGAAGCTCGTTTGCACTTCCTCTTGAGGCGTTGGCATCGAACCGAGATTTAGGAATTCCAAACGAGATGGAATATCTTTCAATGTACCAATCATATCGTGGCAAAGGAATTATTGATGACTGGAATTACTACCTAGTTTTTTCCTTGTTTCGAATAGCAGCTATTTTGCATGGTGTTTATAAGAGAGCACTAATTGGCAATGCCAGCTCTGATCGAGCAAGAGAGTCTGGTGATGTTGCAAAAAGTATATCTCGTATTGCGTGGAATTTGGTGCTAGAAAGATCCAATTGTTCCAATGGAAGTATATTGTCTCAAACTTCAGTGAGAGGAAATATCGGAGATTATGAGTTAATGGTGAGAAAGTTTATGGATGATTTTGTATATCCTTTTGAAAGGAGTTTCTTCGAGCACGAACAGTCAGATCACCGTTGGTCGGTATGGCCAGAAATGGACACTCTGAAGAAGAAAGCTAGAGAATTGAATCTATGGAATTTATGGATTCCAAAGGATCTAGGCGGTGTCCTTTCTAACGAGGAATACGCAAAACTGGCTGAAATCATGGGAGGCTGTGTATTTGCTTCAGAAATATTCAATTGTAGTGCACCTGATACAGGAAATATGGAATTGCTGTTACGTTTTGGTACTGAAGAGCAAAAGGCAGTTTGGTTAGAACCCTTGTTAAGGGGCGAAATTCGTTCTTGCTTTGCCATGACGGAGCCGCTTGTTGCTTCAAGTGATGCAACAAATATAGCCTCAACCATTCACGAGAAGGAGGACAGTTATATTATAAATGGACACAAGTGGTGGATCTCTGGAGCCACGGTAATTTTTTCTTTATGCATTGTTGACTGTTTTATTTTATTCTTATCATTGTAGGATCCACGTTGCAAACTAATTCTGTTTTTGGGGAAGATGGCTCAAAAGGATGATAATGTGCCCCGGCATAAGCGACATTCTATCGTCTTAATTCCTATGGATTCAGCTGGAGTAAAAGTCATTAGACCTATGCATATATTTGGATTTGATGACGCACCTCATGGACATGCAGAAATGAAATTCGAAAACGTTGTGATTCCAAAGAAGAATATACTTTTAGGTGAAGGACGAGGTTTCGAAGCTGCACAAAGCAGGCTTGGAGCCGGTAGAATTCATCACTGTATGAGAGCTATTGGCATGGCGGAAAGAGCATTGCAACTATTAATAAGGAGGGCCCAGGAAAGGCAGACGTTTGGACAACCTCTCGCGAACCACGGGGTTGTTCAAGAGGTAATTACCAATTGCCGTGTAGAAGTTGACCAAGCACGTTTATTGACACAATTTACTGCACGCGTTATTGACAGTGAAGGGGGCGCATCCCGTCGAGCACGGAAATATATATCCATGACCAAATATGTAATACCTCAAATGGCATGTCGGGTAATCGATAGAGCTATTCAGATTCACGGAGCGTTGGGACTTTGTCAAGATTCGGTATTATCGCACTTGTATGCTTCAGCAAGGACGTTGAGGCTTGCTGATGGTCCTGATGAAGTGCACGCTGCAAATGTAGCCAAATTTGAAATTCAGTCATCAAAAATGTAGTAAATAAAGGAACAAGTCATGTTGCACAATGTTTTTGTATTTTATAGGTAAGGATAGCAGATGGATGATACGCTGTCTAAATTCCAGTCCCGACCCGCGCCAATTTTGAATTGTATTGCAAATCATTTCGCTCAAGGCAGTCTTGAACAACCGCATAATACCTTTTCTAGTTTCACAAAATGTTGAAACAGTATGATGAACACCAACAATATTTTAGTGGGACACCACGAGGCTCCACAGAATTACAAGAAGAAACTGAAGAAGATTTCCTCGCCTTAATCGAAAGGGAAGTCTTTGAGGCCGAAAAAAGACTTCAAAAGTACAACCTTGAGGAAGACAAAGGAACACAAGATCCAAAGTTTCAAGTTGAAGACTATTTTAACACATACAATGGTAGGTTGGATACGAATTGATGTTGTGTGAACTTCACTACCTGCTCTCAGTTTACCAACAGGAAAGCTTAACTGATAACAACGCCACCTATGACGTTTCCAAAGGGTCGGTTACAGATAAAACTGCAGGAATGCCAAATCTAAATAGAGGCGAAAGAAAATCTAGGAAACAATATGAAGCAGAACACCCATTTTACGCTGAAGTGAACGAAGTGACTTCTCCCGAACCTTACAAACGCTTTCTTGACTCAAATCCTGCAACAAAAAGGTCGGCGAACGTAAAATTACATAGAAACGTCGCCTTGGAAGGATCAGCATCGCCAGAAGGAATAGAATACTCTACTAACAAGCAATTTTGTACTCACGAGTATTCAGCTCCTTCTAACGAAGCAATATTGCAAGGACAACCGGTTACTGAAGAGAAAAAGGTGCGCTTCCTTTGTTCACGGCGAATATTGTTCGTACTTAAGTCACGTGTAGTCATTGCGACAGTTGCGAGGAAACGGAACTGAGGAACACTTTGGCCGCCGAGAAAGTTTTCTTGGTGAGGTATGTTTGAAAACTGAACAGTAGAAAAGGACATTTAAGACCCTATAGTGTAACCAACGCACTAAGGAAAGCGACGTCGATTTTGAAGAACTTTTGACTTCAATGCAGCTACAACTGAAGAAAACGCAAACACGATTGGCACAAACGGAATCTACACTTAGTTCTCTCCAGGTTTGTTGTATAGGACTGGCTTTTGTCAGTCTAAATCTCGTTTCCCTTAGGTAGAATACGACATCCTTAGTAATTCGTTTGAGTCGGCTTCTCAAGAGGTTGAAAGACTACAAGCAGAAAACTCCGAACTGCGTGAAAAATTCAGCAAACTAATATCTACAAAAGATAACATACCATCGGTAACCGAAAGCGAGAATGTGTACCGATGGAGGACTTTGTTTCAAAAAGCTGTGAAGAAGCTTGCGGAAGAGAGGCAGTCTAGAGTGCAAGCCGAAACTGAAAAGAAACGAGCACTGAAGGAGCTTGAGATTTTTGAAGAAGATATCATGAAACGGTTTATCGCGCTTCGTGATCAAGCAAAGAGTAGAGTTAAAGAAATGAAAGCATGGACCAATCAGATGGAACAGATCAGAGAGCTTCTTGAGACGTTACCCCCCAAGTTAAGAACTGCCCACCCGTGTTCCAACGAGAAACCAAAGCTGTTACACAGTCAAGCTACAGGATACAGAGAACACCTGAACGGAAATAACAAGGAAAGCAAGCCAGCGAAGTACTACAACTCAAATACAGCAAAGTCACGAGATGTAGGAAACACTGAGACTGACCACGTTGAGGGGAGTACGTTGAATAGAGTCGAAGAGGAACTTGCCTCGGGGCACGAGACGGAAGGAAGACTACTCGAGCACTGGCGAGCTGATGCTCAGAGGCTTATTGAAAACTTTCAGTTGTTTCAAGAGGAGAATTTGTTGCAGCTGACTTCCCAGTCAGAGCGTCCTGAAAGACTAAAAAAAAGAGAGTGCCGTTACCGATAATATTTTGTGTTTTTTAGAATAATGCGAGTCTATTTTTGCTATGAATCCCACCTTGGCTTCGAAAAGTTGTCAAACTGACGTACTATCTATGTTCTTGTTTTATACTCTGGCGCTTTTGCTGTATTCATCATCGGCACTCGCTTTTTACTGCTGACTAAAAATCCTCCGAGGATTACAGTAATGTTTCTGTAGATTACTGAATAATTGTAAATTACATACTACTAGAGGCAACTAGTAAATTCCCAACATTTATTAAAAAGACAAGAGCCTTTCAAAAACATGTTGCTAGTTTCCTCCAGCCTTTAGTGCTTTTTTAGCTTCTTCAACATGGAGTTCGGAACGAAACTGATTGTTGTAAATTTTCTTGACAATACCCTGTCTGTCGATGACATATGTAACTCTACCAGGTAGAATACCAAAGGTGGAAGGTACCTCATAGAGTTTTCGTACCTTAGAGCCTTCGTCACTAAGCAGTTTAAAAGGGAGTTTGTATTTTTCCACAAATTTTCTGTGATCTTGGTCGGAACTAACTCCAATAACTTCCGCACCAAGTTGCGCGAAATCCTCAATTGCTTCTCTGAAACATAAAGCTTGTTTGGTGCACCCTGGGGTGTCATCCTAACTAAAATTTATTTTCAGGTCAAACGAAAACTTTGAAAAGCTGACCTTGGGATAGAAATAAAGAATCACAGCCTTTTTCCCTTTGAAGTCGCTCAGGCGAACGTTGTTTCCATCTTGGTCTTTCAAGCTGAAATCTGGTGCAGCTTCACCTTCCTTGACCTGTTGAAAAGTTTGTGAGACACGAGTAGTTGCCACTGAAAGAACAAACCATATTGAGGAAACTAGTGTGGAAGTTCCTCTGCGACGAGAAATGTTTCGAGTCCTGGTTTCTCAAAGTCTTCAAGGAAAAGTTTCTGACTCTACAACACTTAAAACTGCAGAGATGTCTTCTAAAAATGTAACTGTTCTGAAGAATGATAGCTCTTACAAAGGCCATGTTAAAATTCACCCCAATCGAATTTTTGAATGATGATAATGCTAGAGTTTCGTATCGAGAACAGTACGATTTCCAAAATACCGTAAAATTGAACGAGAAAAATTATTAAATGATTTCAAACACAAGTGGTTAACAATTTGCGTTCGAAAGATTTGATACGATGCAAACGACGAAGAGGTCATGAGGAACTGAACGAAGAACGGTCACTTTCGGTCGCTCATTTGCTTCAGCCTGATTTTCAATTCTTCCATCATCTTTTCTCTGATATCTGAAAGTTCTACACCTTCTACAGACTCTTTAAGTTGCTTGGAGGTCTTTTTGTGAGGCTGGTTAGTTGATGGCTACAACTGAGTGCAACTTCCTCTTACCTTGACTTTAGAAGGACTGCTACAGTTGTATGGTTGTTTTGACTTTACACTTTGTTGTCCTTCTTTTCTTTGTGAAACTGACTGTATTAGTTGTAACATCATCTCGTGGATCAAGTCAAGCTTCTTTTCCAGATGTTCCATGCCCACAGAAGAGCCACTACTCGGTGGGAAAGGACTTTGCGGACAATTTGTCTTTGGAAAATCGTTGTCCGACACGCCAACTAAGAGAGCTGAAAGTTGAGGAGGAAGAGGTGGCGGAGGTGGAGGTGGAGGTGTAGAAAAAGTATTATTTCTCCGAATGTTTCGCTCCGTGTTACTGTCTACGATATGCGTATTTTCGTCAGCTCTACTGATATTCTCAGAGTTTTCGTTTGACTTCGACCGCAATTCCTTTCTCATGTTATAAGAGTTGAACCTGTTGTTGGAAACAGACTGTGTAGAATTTAAAGCTTTGTTATTATGGCCAATTTCTGGTAGCCTTATTCCAAACCATTGTTCAAGAGGTGATAAAAAAGAAAGTTTCGAAGGCATCGTCTTCCAGGAACTTTGCCAGCTCAAATGAATAGAAGTATTTCGGCTCTCGCTTCTTAGGCGCCTTAATAATTGCATTTTTTCAAAAAGCGCCTTTTCATGCTAGCCTTTCATTTTTATGACGAGTCTTTTCAGTCACTTTATGCATCGCTTTGAAATTCTCCAGAAGTAGTAGCCGAAGTAAATTAAAGAGTCTCGCGCAAACATCAAGAGGCTCGATATCCTTTCATCGTCTATTCTACCCTACTGCTCACTTGAACGACAGCTCAAACCTTTCTCGTTCGACTCATACGAGAAATCAATACTCAGGGAATTTATTTTTAAGACAGCCTTCATTTCGAGATAGGTCCACTGAAACTCTGCCGAGCAGAGTCTCCGAAGAAGCTTACGAAATATCCTGAACCTGTACACACACAGATGCAAAATACTGTCTTGAACTAGTGTGCTTGCTTTTTCAGAAGCGAAACGGCTCCTTCCCCTAGGTGCAATAATTCTTCTTCTAGCTGTTGGATGTAAAGTACTATTGACTCTGACTCTGCTTCAAGATTTTTTAGGAGAACCTCATCGCCCGCAATTTCCTCCTCTAATCTTTTACATTCTTCTTCCAAACGCTCTCTGACTCTCTTTGCCGAAACTCTGTTAAGCAAGCGCTTCCGGTCCTGTCGCTCGGCTTCCTCCGATCCCATTTTGACTGAAAATTAATTAGGTTATCGGTAAATTTGCGCTGCTGTAGCTTCTTTTCTTTCAGTTTGAGATTGTTCCTGGTTGGTTCCGGTTCGGAAGACTGGTTGAAACAATGAACACGTTGTCGTTTCGAAATTGTTATTTACTTTTGTGTCAAATGTTCAAGCCATTTCTTCTTTGCGGCAATTCAACCCAAAAAAGCCTCAATATATACAAGTAGTAAGCAAACATGTGAGAACACACATAAACGAATAGTAAAATAGTGGCATTTTTCTTGAAGACGGCGGTCGCAGATATCTTGTACAAAACTGAATGGATTTTCTAGTAAACTCCAAGATAAATCTTTGAAACGTTCGGAGAAACAAGCTAAATAGTGACAATAGGCTAAGTTTATCAATATCATGGAGTCAAAAAGTGGATATAAACACCTTGAACTTATTCTCGAAAAGGGAAATGTAAAACAATAGAAAAATTCCGAAATTATAGAGCTTCTTCACAAGGTTTCTCGAGATTAACTTCACAGGCAGTATCAAAAGTTCCTACAAAATTGTTTTCGAGAACGCACATTACTTTTCTTAAGAACATGTTTAGTTGTGCAACTTGAGACGCTGCTTGAAAATATATGACAAAGGACAAATTACTGTGAGTCCCAGTGTTTCAATATCAAAGTTTTACTAATAAAAAGCAGCTGCAAAGTTATGGACATTTCAGACCAGATATCGAAAGCTACAATTTGGTTTACTGACACCTAGGGCATCCAAAATCCATGGTGCGTTCTGACAGAACTATCTTCTGTTGAGTTATAAACTGAGTCTCTATTGAGGACGTTCACGCAACTACCTTGCGTATCACACGATAGCCAAGTCTTTCCCATTGTATTATACTCTCCTCTTGACAACGTAGTATTCAATGAGCTTCAAACTTCTCAAAATTCATTTTCTTATGTAGGTATAGTACTAGGTAACCAAAAGACAACATTCTGGCAAGCACTTGCCATCATAGCATATTGAGGATTCCACTAACGAAAAGAGTCAGCCAAAGTCTTCAAGTTTCAATAAGAACAAACCTGCACAGCACAAGTAGGGCCTTCATGGCCAGTCAAAGTCACAATGTGCTTCCCAGTACTTGTGCTCCAGATAAAAATCGAACCATCTTCTGACCCGCTAATAACTTGCTTGGAATCTGGCGTAAAGCTAGCTTCCAAATAGTTACTCTCGTCGTTGGAATGTCCTGTACATGTAAAAAGTAAATTTGCTGGTTCGATAGCGTCAAATAGCTGTATCTTTGGCTGAGGCTCTGCCGTAGTCACTAACATGAAACGACCATCCTTTGAGAACTTCAGACAAGAAGTGTCTGCTGTAGTAGGAACATCTCTAGTAGTGTCATAAAAAGGTCCCAAATAAAACTGTCTCAGATCAAAAAGTTTGATAACCAGTTTTCGTCCTTCGGAATACGCAACCCCAAAAACTACACCCTCAGGGTCATAGTCCACAACACCTCTTCCGTGGCAACGCAGGATGCCTTGACATCTCTCGTCTCGCAGATCCCAAAAACGAATGGATTTGTCAAGTGAAGAAGAGAAAAAAGTATCATCTCTTGGAGACATGGCTAGAGATATTACTTTTTCGCAGTGTCCCTGAAAATAACGCAAGTAGCGGTTCTCGTGAACAGAGAGATAGCGAAGAGAGTGGTCAAAGTCATTTTGTGAAGCACATATAGCAGCAGAGTTATGATGCGTAAAGCGAACAAGACCTGCGCCATACTTTTTGACGGGGATGGTCTTAAGGTGCTTGCCTTGAACGGCTGAATACAACTGGAGATTCTCATCCTCTCCAGAAGTGATGAGAAACTCTCCGTTAGAGGAAAAATCCATGGAGTTGACCCGTTTTTCATGTAACTTGAAAACTTTCGCCTTTCTCAAAGAGGACAATATTTGTTCATTCAAACTAATGCGTCTCTGGTAAGCTTCCATTACCAGTACCTCTTCTTTCAATTTTCGCTCTAATGGGAGAATTGTTATGTAGTGATGACTATGCAAACTTTCGTGCCTGGGTTCCGAGAAACATTCTTTCAGTAGGTAATGTTAACCCTAGGAATTTTATATATTATGACTGGGGACCGAGAAATGCCCCTATTGAGCCCCTTATCTGTCTTCACGCGGTAGCCGGGTCAGCAGAAGTTTTTTTTCTCCAGGTAGCTAGCGTCTTGACAATCTTGTATGAAGGAGTTGAGAGTGTTTCAAAAAGATTTTAGGTTTGGCGCCAAGAGGTTATCGTGTTGTATCATTGGAGATCCCTTCTTACTTTTCGGTTGAAGAATTTTGCCAAGGGTTTCAATCCTTTTTGGATACACTTGGATTCAGGAAGATTCATATCTACGGAGCTGGCTTGGGTGGATTTCTAGGGCTATGTTACGCTTCCAGAAACCCTGAGCAGGTTGGCTCGCTAATTTTGACCCATAGTTTCTCAGATTCTAGTGGAATACGCGCAACATTTCCAGTTTCTTCTTCAGTGATTCCCTGGTTACCCGAATTCTTGCTTCGAAAGTTTTTACTAGAAAGGCTTCCGAAGGGTAGAATGGAGCGTCGTGTTGCTGCAGCCACAGAGTTTGTTATTTCAAAGATAAAACTTTGTGATAGCGAACAACTCGCTTCGCGGCTTTCACTTACTACGCTATCAGAGAAATTAGACACTGTCTCCTTACAGTATTTCAATGAAAGAGTGACTATTCTAAGTACACTCGATTGGATAGCAGGTTCAAGTCTCGCAAAGCAACTGCATAAGGAACTTTGTGAACAGTTTTCTCATGCGAGAATAGCATTAATGAAAGATGGAGGTGACTTTCCTTACTTATCACGTTCGGATGAGCTGAATGTTCATTTATTGGTGCATTTACGACGCTATGCATTGCCGCCAGGAACTCCTTTACCTTTACCACCTCCTGCTCGAAAGAGGGACACACAGCCAGTATTTCGGGTTTCCAAAGGTTCTCCCCGGTTGGTTACATCGGTGAGTTATTTTGCTCGTAAAGCAATAATTAACTCAATTATAACTTTTCTATAGAAGGCAAGTTCTAATAGTCGTTTTACAGGAAGCGATGCTTCAAAAATCGCGAAGCTCAGGGAGCTTCTCCCTGATTATAGTGAACAGTTTCTTGAGGCAGCTTTACTTGTATATCATGGAAGTCTTGAAGACACATTGCAAAGTATCTTGGAAGGCTCCCTTCCTGAAGACTTTGTTAAGAAATCCAAAGAATACATACCACCGCAGAGTGGAGGTGATATTGTAAATTTTTCTTGATCATCATATATGTTAAAGTTTTTGTGTAGATATGAATGCAGTAGATGATAGCGTTTCGAGACAAAGAAATACCGAAGAAGAAAGCACGTTAGAAGAAAACCTTTTGCTACCTCCAAAGCAGATAAATAGAGGAGTGGTTGAACGAAACCCGCTAGAGTATGAGAAATCACATAGCAATGTTGAAAATTCTTCAGATGCCATTGCATCTATGTCTTCCAACAGATTTGACTTGAAGCCTGGTGAAATATTTTCACAGTCGCAAACTTCCATGGCTCAAACTCAGCTACTTAATGGTAATTCAGTGCAAGGAGAAGTCTCGTGTTTTGAGGGTCCCCCTTTGAAAGAGCCCTTTATTTCTGTTGAAAGCATGGAACAGAACCTTCCCTTGAGAACTCAGAATGATGTTTATATGTCAAACTTTGATACCGTGACTCCTTCAGCAAATGCAAACTTACTGCAGAGTCTCGATTTGCTGACTAGTGTAACAAAGGATTCCGAGTTTCCTCCGTTTCAACGGAACGATGTATCAGATGTCACAGCAGAGCAGAGCAAAGGTAATGGCCACTCGTCAGAAGTTGTTGATAAACGGTTATTGGAATGGAAAATGAGTGCCTATACGTCTCCTTCATTCCAGAAACCTCAGTAGAAGAAGACAACTGTAATAGTTTATTTGTGATATGGATATTATGTTTCGAATTCCATGTGGGAAATTGAACTCTCGAGAACTTCATATTTTCTAATATCTATATATATATATATATAGACATATCTACGTATATGATTGTACAATAAGTGACTGAAATATCGATAGAAAAGTATCAATTCTGTTACATTTGGTTTTGTTTTTCTGCTTGGCTATTTTAGAATAGAGTCCATGATGGGATTGAAACTTGTGAAATTTTGCAGCTTCGTAAACTTGTACTGTTCCTTCCGAAACTCAGAAACTCAGAAACTTTTTCGAGAGCGTCGTGCGCAGCATTCTTGCCAACGACAGAAACCCTCGTTCTCCTATTATTATGGCCACAAAAGTATCTATTGCAATATCTTAGTGAAGAAGTGCTCGCGTCGTACTTACTTGAAGCTTGCAGTATTACTTGCGTATAGCGTTGTGCTTCCAAACAATCTATTAGCTCAAAAGGTTTCTGAAAGCAGCGAAAAAAGCCTCACAGTATTCAAAACTTCTGGAGGCACAGAATACGTAGATTTTAGAGTCGGTTCCGGTGATAGTCCGGCATGGGGAGACATGGTAGTTATCCACTATGTCATTTATACTGTTGAAGGAGGTCAGCTCAGGAAATTCTATAGTACATATGATGACAAGCAACCTTTCGCTTTTCGACACGGTAACGGGCAGACGATAAAGGGTCTTGAAGAAGGAATAGATTCAATGAAAGTAGGCGGCAGACGACGAATGGTTATTCCTGGATCTCTTGCATATTCTGTGGCAGGTTTAGGACCTATCCCACCCTCAACCTCTGTAAGAAGGAAACTGGCGGACTCTTTAAAACAAGGCAAGAGAGCTATTCAATGTGATACTTTTTATTTAAAGCAAATAGGCAACGTTTTGTCACTTGATGTTGAGTTACTGAAGATATGGAAGGATCCAGTGGGAATGGAATACTACAGTGACTTCGTTCCGGATGTTTCCAAGATACCGAGGTCGATTTTTTTAAAAAAATGATTCTGAAATGTGTTATTTGTTCTTTTCATTGCCTTCAAGCAATTCTAAGCGAAGGACTTTTTTGTTTTCCACGAATGTTAGAGATTCTCAAAGAACAGTCAAGAAATGTCGATAACTCTGTATCTAAAAAACAACGGGTTTTTATTTCACTAATATATTCAACTTACGCATCAACTTGTTGAGCTTTGTAATGAAGTCATCTAACAAATCAACTTGCAACTGTATACGACCAAACGCATTATTCTCCAGCACATCATACTGTCTTTGACATTCTAACATATAGAGACTAACCATATTGGCAATATTACTGTTCTTTTCTTGAAGTTCCTCAATGTATGAAAGTGCTTCCCGATATTCATTTTGAATGTCAACATCCTCGAGATATTCCTCGGAGGTCACCAGTGGAAAATCGTCCTTTGAAGAACTAATAAAGGAAACTGATGAGTTCTTTTTTCCTTGAAAGAGATCAGACAAGTCTCCTTCTTGCTCTTCTTCAAGAATGTGGCCCTTCAAAGGGTTTGTTCTTTCTATATACTTCATGGAGTGATACTTGTTTTTCAAAAAGACAACAGTTTTTGAAAGCTGCTCCAAACGAAGATAAAAATGATGCAATAAATTGTCCAAGTCCTTCCAGTTTCGTTCTTCCATTGTTACAAAACTGTTAATATGCTCCATTAAAGTATTTTTTATCCAACGCAAAAGTCTAGAATGAGTCAGAATAGGATCGCGGTCAAGTTTAGGAGAAAAGCTCCAACTTTCTTCCGAAGCACGGTAAAACTCCTGCGTACTTACATCTGGTTCGTATTTCATGTGCTCGGAATCAGCTCGTAACTGTTGGTTTTCTTGTGACAATATTCTCAACTGCTCTTCTCTATTTGATAGTTCTTTTTTACATTGGTCCAACTGCTGCTGTAATTTTTTCAAAGACTACAACATGAAGTAGTTGTACTCTCAAAAATGTAAACAACTCAATAATAACTTACTCCCTCGTATCCGTCCTTGATCAATTCACTGTCACGGGCAACAATTTTCAATCTCTCATTCTGTTCACGTTCCTCTTTGAGCTTTACTTTCATTGCTTCACAGTAACTTTCCCAGTCACCAATTGCTGCTAAAAGATCTTCCACTCTCCTCTGTAGACGATTATTCTCCTCAAATAAACTATAGACTGAATCTCTTTCATCCTATACGGCAATCCTAGCAATTTATGTAATATTGTTCAAGTTTAAAAGAACAGGACTCGTACTTTCGGGGGTTCTTCTTCTTCTTTGATAGCAACATTGTCATTTGAAGTAATTTCTTGTGGAAGAATTTCTAATAATAATAACTGTCTTTCACTATCATGTTATACTGCCCACAACTTTCCTACCTGAATGTTTACTAGAAGAAACATTTCCTTCCAAAGTCGTCGTACCAGTGTCTCCACTCGAACCTCCTCTCAACTATATTTTCATAAAGTCAAAATAGAAGTTATCGTGTATTCTTTACAGACCTTCTCATTCTCGGTCTCCAAATCTGTACAAGCCCTAGAAATTGATTGAAGATCTGCCTCCTTCTCATTCAACAAATTTTCTAAATATGCAATTCTGTCTAAAGCATCTTTCAGCTGTAAATTTGTTGATTCCAAACGAGCATTTCTTTCATCCAACTCTTTTCTGGTTGATTCGATGGCTATCTTCGATTGAGAATCAAGTTCTTGTTGGAGTTCAGCAACTATCCTCTCCAGTTCCTCAAGTCTCTGATGTTGTTTTTCCTAAACAATTTGTCAACGAGTCTGAGAAATTTTCACAAGTTGAGCATACAATTTGCTTATCCTGCTCTCTAATAATAGACTTGTATGCTTCTGCATTCGAAAATTCTTCTCTAGTTCTAGAATTGGATAGGTCTGCCAGTAATCAGAAAATTGTTGAGAAAGTCAACATTCATAGTTACCTTGTCTGTAAGAATCATTCCATTTTTCCGTCTGAGAAGAATTGTACTCTTTTCGATCTTCATCGTCTGATGTAACAACAAGTTCAAGGATTTGTTTTTGCAAGGAAAAATAAACTTGATTGAAAAGCTGCACAGATATCGGATCGTACCAATACCTATGACCAAGTTTTTCGTCTAAATGAGCTCCTAAATTATTTTTCAACAAGGAATCTGGAATAAGATAATTTTTCGACGTATAAGCTAAGATAAACAAGTCTGAAGCTCGAATCTCATCCAGTTTGGCAACGAAGTTGGTGACTCCGATTCTTTGACGAACCACTGAAACGAGAACGTTCTTCGAATCTGCTGAATAAAAAAGTTAAGTTATCGACAAAATAAGAATAAAGGCTTACTTTCTGTTCCCAAGCAAACAGCCAAAACCAATGCTGCCAAACCCTGCACATGAATATCGTCTTCATGTTGCGGGCTTTTTGTTGCCATTTCAATCAGTAACGGCAAATGCATAGCAGAGCTTAAAAACAATTGAACCGCCTCTGAACAAGAATAGAGCCAGGTACTCATGAGTATCAGAATTCCAATCTTCAAGGAAGCATTTGCATGATTACGTTCTGCTCTACTCAAACTTCTCATACATTTTACAAGAAACGCTTCTCTTCCTGGTCCTATCGCTGTTCTTAAAAGATAAAGTCTTCCTGAATCCAACTTGTGCAAAAGATTGGATAATAATCGACATGCGTAAAAGACTGCTGCTGAATCTGCCTCTTCAGGCCATCCAATGACTGTATCCAACAGATTGAGCGACAATACTTGCATATGATGATTATAGGTATTGTCGGTATCCAACTCACAATTCTCGTTTTTCTTCTCGAGAGCCTAATAATACATATAAATACTTGCTTCCATCAATCTTCCTAAAAAAGGTACTACCTTGATAAAGTTGTTTGAATCTTGTATATCTTCCATGACACACAACTCTACAAGTTCAAAAGCCGCTAATCTTACGGCAGGAGAACTATCGGTGCAACATATGTCGAATGCAGCAACAACACAGCCTATAGGTATTCTGCTTTGTGGATCTAAAACAGATATACTGCAAGCATATGTACGATTTTCTTTATGATTCTTCATCAAAAGTTTCCATGACTGAAAGGCTCGAACACATACGATGCACATACTATCTGGAAAAGGTGCAAGAGCAATATGAATAACAGCCTTTAAAATGCCGCTTGTTGCACAAAGAGTCTTATTTTGCTGGATTTCTGAAGACTTAAAAGAGTCATCGACCAAACTCAGCAATAGCTCCAATGCAAGTTGCAGGTTCTCTCCCCGTTGTGCTGAAACTAGTGAAATTTCAGTGCCTTTCAAGTCCAATAACATATTCAGCCTAGGAATACATCCAGTCTCACGAAAATACTTCTGGTTACTTTCGTTTTTCTGTAATAAGCTGAAAAGCAAAAGTAGGCAATCGTGAATTAGTATCTCAATTTCAACATTTGTAACTAATTTTTTCCTGTCTTTGACACTTTCTTCCACTGTATGACCATCACTAAAGTCAAGTAATTCTCTTTGAGCTTCTGCTTGTTGAATAGAACTCTCGACGATGTCAAACATGAGTTCAAAAATATTCTCAAAAGCAAGAATCTTTTGAGCCTCTTCACAATTTCTAACAAGAGCCGTCAACAATAGAATTGCTTCGTTGCGAATGACTTCTCTTCGGTCTTTGAGTAAATCCATTAGCTTCGTTACCCCTTGTGAGGCTTCAAGAATCTTCTGCTGCACTAAGACAGGATCGTTCGCAAGAAGGGCAGTTAACAACTCTATAATATTGAAACGGATGGAAAAGTCTTCTTCTTCAAGAAGGTCTAGCAGCTGAACCACTGCACCTGGGTACTTGACAAAGATTTGAGTATTCTCGTGGGCAACTTGTCGGGAAACTTCAAGGGCGTCAATTTCATCTAAAAGACGTTCTTCTGCTATTTTTTCTCTTGTAGAACATTAGCTTAAGGAAGTATGACGATAAAAATTGTCTTACGACTCAATTTGAGTTACTAACAAAATGAGGAGCTCCAAAGTTTGGACAATGGTTTCTTGGTATGGTCTGTCCTGTTGCAAAATAGCAACAAACACTTTAACTCCTAGTTTTGCAACTTTTTCACGTGACGCAACATCCTATTCAACTCTTCAGTGGCAAGTTTTCAAAGCATCTTACTCGACAAATACCTTCTTCACCAAGTCTATCAACTCCCTCAAAGCTGCACGTCTATCTTGAGGCAAGCTGCTACCTACGATTCGGTCTATGAAGCGTTCAACACTAAGTCCTCCAGAAGAATACGATTCTTCATCTATTCCTGCAACATATTTAAAGGCCCCTGATAGCAGGTTCATGACTTCTCTATGTGTCCTTTTCAATGGCCCTCTCAATTCCTTGTCTCTAATTTTCACCACTTTGAAAAGTTTGTTCTTCTAATGTCCTGGATTCGCAAGTCAAGGTAACTCTTATTTAAAACTGCCCAAACTTTACCTATAATTTTATTCTAGGCTGCTTATACTTTATTCTTTTTGGGTTTTTATCAGTGTCGGCAACTTGTTTTTGACTAAAGTGAGTTTTCTTGCCTGAGTTTCCCCTCAAGTCTCAATATTTATAAGTGGATTTTGAGCGACCGTCAAGTTCCCGAAAGTTTTCTTATTTTTGGCCAACTTTTTGTTTCTCTTCTGTTAAGTTTATGTAGGTGGTTTGTTGACGTAGTGGAACGAAACTGAACTTTTTTGTAGTGAGCTCCACATCTGAGTCGAAAGACGTTCTTTGTAACGTAAATATTCTGAAAGAATTAGTTATTTTAAGTCTGTTTTCAACACTTATTTACCTCTTCAAATATGTTGGACTTTCTCGTATTAGCTTGACGTTGGCTGTCACACTTCGTTGTGCGAGCCCAATTTTCCAAGTTGCCACGCAGGTTAGTGAGCTAGTGCTTTTTGAAGAGCAAGTCTTAAGCAGTTACTTTAGTACATTGTTTTTGGTGACCGATTTTCCCTGAGAGCTTTAACTTCTCTCGTTCCGATATTTGTGGGTTTAGTTTTGGCATCTTTTGCCGAGTCGAAAGTAACAGTCGAGGTTCGGGTTTGTAGTTAGATAACGTGCGTCCGTAATACCTCTTAGGTTGAAAACATTGAAACAAAGAATTCAATACTTTTGGGTTCGTTTGCCAGCATCTTGTCGACTCTCGTGGGAGTATTTCACTCTCTGTTTGCAAAGTCTATGCTTTCAAAGCAACTGTCGCCTTTGACGATACAGACTTATCAATCGGGTATCGGCTGCCTTTTAATACTGCCTTTGATATTATATAATTGGAAGTTCTTTAACGAAATGAAAAGTTGGGAACTGATAACAATTGTAATCTTCAAAGGTTCGCTTTCATTTGTACAATTACATGTTGCCTTGAAAGTATTGGAGAAGATGGTAAGTTGACAGAACTCAAAGAGGATATCTTACTTACTTTATATGTGCTAGTCGACAGTTGGCTTTTCTATTGCTGGCAGTACTCGCAGAGTTCTTACTTGTATATTATCGTTATTGCTCAATTACGAAAGTTCCTTAGGTTTCATCCACTGGCTTGGGACCTTTATCAGCTTGGCAGGCATTTTGCTCTACGACAGGTAATGAGTTGAATACTAGATGGCTCATGCATTCTGAATAGTCTTAGTGCACAAAAGACGAATCATTCATTCAAGTCGAAGATGGACGATCAAGTTTTAATGACAGTGAATTCGGATTGTTCATTGTATAGTCGGGATATCAATGAAAACGAATTTTTGGAAAGAAAGTAAATTTAACGATACTTTATGTTTCCTGTTAAACATTCGTTACCACAGTAAAGTAACTATTCCGTGCCTTCAAATTACTTTAGCTTCATTTCTCAATTTTTCAATCAACTCAGCGACGCTTTCAACTTTATTGCCGCCCTGTCTTTTAGGTGGTTCGAAAATAGACAGTGTTTGTAGACCATATGAAGGCTCACAATTCAAATCCTTTAAACCTAGCTTTTCAATAGGCTTCTTCTTTGCCTTCATAATATTGGGAAGAGTAGCATAACGAGGTTCATTAAGACGCAAGTCACATGTAACAACAGCGGGCAGCCTTAGTTCCTAACAGCATTGTAAGGTTTCAAGATAAACCGTTCAACAAAAACGAACCAGAGTTTCTAAACCTCTATCTACTTCTCGGGTTACTTGCAGCTTCTCACCCACAACTTTAACCTTCGAAGCAAAAGTTCCCTACGAATCAAGAACATGGACGTTTCTCTCAACTTACATTTGCTTCAAAAACACTTTACCTGAGGCCAGTCCAAAAACTGCGCCAACATTTGACCAGTCTGGTTGCAATCATCGTCTATTGCTTGTTTTCCTAGTATTACTAGACTCGGCTTTTCCTTCAATACAATAGACTTTAACGCCTGCAAGAAACTTTAAACGCGTTATGAGAAAACAGCAGTTCTACTGACTCTTGAAATGACTAGAGGAGGTAGTTCCTTTTCCACCTCCACATGGATGCCTCTATCTGCACCCATAGCTAAAGCAGTGCGAATCTGTTCTGAAGACTGCGAAGGTCCTATACTCGCGACAATAACTTCTGAAGCAACTTTCGCTTCTTTCAATCTGACCTACAGAACAATAAACAGACATTAGCGATAGGAAGCTTTCCTCACCGCTTCTTCTACTGCTATTTCACAAAACGGGTTCATAGACATTTTAGTGTTACTAAGATCTACTCCCGAACCGTCTGGTTTGACCCTAACTTTAACCGCATAGTCAACCACACGTTTTACAGTCACTAAGACCTTCATGATGACCTTGGCGATTCAAAGAAACAAAATTTTTTAACGTCGCATTTAAACTTTATGTTTGAGCCATTTACTTTAGGAGTTGGTTCTGCAGCATTAGTTGGTGCTGGAGCCGGTTCCGCTTTCACTGGTATAATATGGTATTTTAGTTCCAAAAGACGTGTCAAATTACCAGAGAGCACAAAGCGTTTGACTTTTTCCGAAATTGTATCGCGCAGTAACCCGCTACGGGAGTCCTCTCTACAACACGATGACTCAGCCCAAGTTGAGACAACACAGTTGATAGAATCTCGCCTGAAAAATCGCACAACGAAAGAAAGGAGAGGAAGTTCTTTTTCTAGAGAAACGAGGAAGTCAATTCCTCAAGTATATGAAGCCATTCTTTCGTTTACTTTGTTTCATAAGGGTCTTTACTTTCAATTAGTCCATTTGTGGGAAAAGGTTGGAAAATTATATGTACAGATTACTGATAGTAAAGAGGAACAAGGAGGCATCGTTACGACAAGCACCATTGCTGACTTGTTGGAAAAAATACAACTGTGCGTCGACTTGCTAACCTTGTTACTGGAGGCTGAAAGAACCGAAATTTTTCCAGTTGTTGCGAAATTGGAATTCCGTAAAAGACCTTGCTGGAGAAAGGTCTGCAGGAAACCGCTGGTGGAGCTCTCAGCAACACTGCTAGACGAAGTGGAAACGTCTACGGAAAGTGTTTACGCAGCAGTGGCCGACTTACGAAATACTGTCAGTGTTGCAAAGCAGGTAATTTATTCCTTCAATAATGACGAAAATCCTTGTAGGAGTGTCACTGGCTCACAGGAGAACGAAACTTTTGTTGCTATCGAAAACTTAGTTTGTCAACATACTCTAATGTTACGACTGCTGGATCTCAGACTCTTGGTTTTGACTTCCAAAACAACGGAACAATTTCTAAGTACTGAGGGTACTTACTATCGCTTTTTGGGGAAATACTGCAATCAGGAATTTTTAGCGTTATTAGAAGGTCGAGTATTATCTCAACTGAGTCGATTTCCTCGAGGACCCGGTAGATTGTTATCTTGGGCATTGACCACAGCGAATTCTAATGAAAGAATTGCATATTTGAATTCTCAACATGCTCGTCTTGAACAAGGCGAATTCTTGGCTTTAATAGACTTACTTGCTGCAGAACTTCCCAAAGCTGTATGGGACCAGGTTGATATAGCCTTGCAAGAGGCAAATATTTGGTCTATCAATTCTTAGGCAGACTTAAGTGAGTCAGTGTGAAGTTATAATATTAGTAATTTTGAATAGCTCAGCATTCATATTTGAATAAAATTTCTTCACCTGCTTGAATATTTCTATCAGCGTATATACCAACACGTATATCTCCCATAGTACGCTTGTAGCGACTATAACAGTTTGGAAGTGCTTTTGTTCCTGGTTCATTTGCAAATCTTGCTTTTCCACCCTTTCTGGTCGCGTCAATATAAACTTCTCCTCTTTTGAAGACGAATGTCATGTCTGTCATGGCTTGATACGATTTTTCACGTCTTTCACACTCATCGAGACTCACAAGTTCACCTTTATACTCACAAATAAACTCGTGTTTTTCAACTGGCTCGGTAATGAACAAGCCCCAACCACCTTCATGATAATCTGTTTCCAACAGAATATTCAGTAAGACTCAGTTGATCATATTTAGTTCTTACCTGACCGAGCAATGAACAACCTTTTATGGGCTTTGGTACGTATTCCGATATTTTTGCAGGTATATATACTTTCATCCCATGTACCTTTCTTTCGAAGTCGTGCAAAACATGAACATCTGTCCGGATCACACTCACGATTTTCTATAAAACAAGGACATTGTCCATTCAAACATTTTCCATTCTCGCAGAAACAACATGTAGATGAATTTCTCATGGAAACTATAAGACTCCATAAAAATGGTTTTATCCTTACTTACCGACAGTTGCCTTGTGAAAGAAGATAACAAGGACAGTACTTTTCGCATTTTAACTCTTGCTTCTTGCATGAGCAGTTTTCAGAATTACAGTCGTCATCATGAGAGCAATGTATATGATCCATGATAATCACGGTGGAATTGCGATTGCTCTGATTCTTCTTACGTTGGCCATTCTTCTTTGTTGCTTTTTTTCTAAATGAGCTATTAGACTCTGCAAAGAATGCACACTCATAGCAACTGTGTTTTTGAAAGAATACGGTGGCTATGTCACACCAGTTGTTTCCAAAAACTCTCAAAAAGCTTTTAAAAGCCACAACATCTTCATTTGTCCAAACGTGACAACGAACACCGTACCACGACGGTGCTTCTACATTAAATACGCAACCATTCAGACAAGGCGGAGATAAAACTGGTGTGGCATTTGCTTCATACGCAAGATTGAAAAATTTCTGAGGTAAAGAAACTTCTGTAGGAAGATGTTCTCCGCAAGCGTAGGTATAGCACTTTCTACAAAACCACTTTCTAAGAACTGTTCCAAGATCTTGCGCTTGTTCTGAATTATTCAAGCACGAATCTAATTTTTGAACGGTGGGTCTTTCATAGTTCCTTCCCTCAAACAGGCGAGAAAAAAGGAATTCAGCAGTAGTGTCTCCATTAATCGGTAAAAGATTCTTCGGCACAGTCCCTATCAGAGGGAGATATGTTTCTGGACATACACTTGAGTAAGTGCACATATGATCTGCTGAAACAGAATGATTTTTCTCCAAAATTAGTAACGTAAGCTTATAACAGATATTAAATAACTTACAATCTTTCAATCCTCTCTTACTGTACAGAGAAAGTCAAAACGTACCTTATCTGCCAAGGAAAACCTTTCAGTATTCATTCGATTGGCGTTCTGCGGAAATAAGTCACTTTCCACCAACGGGGAGTTTTGCTTCAACAACTTCGTATAAATCTCACTTTGAATGTTGTCCTCCAAAAAAGGTAAGGATATCGGTTCGTTTCTCAGGTCAATTTCGTTTACTTTGTAATTGGTTTTCAAGGGTACCCACGTAAAATATTCATAAGGAAGCCTCTCAATTTTGCTCATGACAGTTACTGCAGTTTTTGCAACTACTTTGGAGGATGTATTCTTACTAAACTTTTCACTGAAAGCAACGCTAATAGTTCTTCCCTCTGGAGCAACCCTAAACGGAGACACATACTGTCGATTGGCAGTCAAGTCAGCAAAGCGGCTCATAAACTTTCGTCGATTTTCTTCAATAACCTTCTTTAGAAGACTGATCCTCCTTTCAAGTATTCCGTAGAATAGAACATTAGCTTCGGAAACACTGTCGGACTGTCGGACACTAAACGTTTCGAAAAGATATTCAAGTCTCACTTTCTGTCCATCTACTATTCATTAAATGAATTCTTGCAAAGAAAACTCTTTGGTAAAACATACACTCTTTTAGTAAAGCCATAGAAGCAGAGCTCAGAAACTCCCAAATTGCTTCTGCTGAAATATCGTGTTCAGGGGTTTCCTGTAACTTCACACCGACAGCTCTCAAGAAACAAATAATATTGTTTACAGTCTGATGAAGAAAATCCCCTTCAAGTCCACGCAACGACATTGACAAAGACGGACCCGCCTTTTCAAAAACTTCAAAGTTTTTGTATTTCAGAAAACTAGCTATTAGGAAAGCACTCTGATCCAGAATACGCAAAACGTTTGCTTCCTCTAGTTCAGGATCATTCTTACAACGTTTGTGAATCTCGTCCCATACGGTTATTACGAAGTCGCAAAGGAAGCTACACTTCTCGAACTGCTTGCGCTTCTCCGCGCTCAACAGTCTGGCAGACAAATTTTCCTCTAAAAGTTCTTTTAATACTTGTAGTGGGGTTCTTCGAAACTTGTGATGGCTGTCTCCTTGCAAAAGCTTTTCTAAAGAGCCGTCTGACATGAGAGCGCTCAAAAAATTGTAACTTGGAAAATAACAATTTGACAGAGGGGCACATGTACAATGTTTATTTTTGTTCTATTGGAAATAGTATGATTGTGCTTGGGAGTTGGATATCCCACCATTATATGCGGAGCTTATAGACTCAACTTCAGAATTAGAGCAGATATTTCCTAAGAAAAAGATTTCAAGTGAGAATACTGAGTTTCAAATGTTGAAAAGTTTACCAAACTTACCGTTGTAGTCTTCAGGACAGTTTGCGTTGCTGTCCGAATAACCGTAGCCCACTATGAAGCCATACCCTGGACTTCCTGCGGCAACCTCCGAATTGATTCCAGTTGTTCCAAAGTATGGATAGTTATAACCTGCAACGTACTGTTGTGCATTGGCGTTACCGGCAGTAATTGACAAACCAAACTCTCCTGTATTTGCAGTGAGTGACTCAGCTTGGGACTGGCTCGAACCAAACAGTGTACTTTGGCTATTCGTGTCTATTTGAGATGACTGATAATTTGAACCGTATATATTTTGACTGCCACTTTTCGAACTAGCTTGAGAGGATGCTTTTCCGTTGTTAGCAGAGAGTGCTTCTGAAGATGAAGCGGTGAGAAGGCTGTTCTCTGGGTTTACACCCGCTGCTGAGCCTAATGAAGCTCCGTTTCCACTTGTCAATGAGCTTGAGTAGCTACTTGAGGTATCTTGGCTTGTCTGCGCTATGTCTGTGGAGCTGCTTGTTCCCTTACCGACGGATATAGCTTCAGAATTGGCAGCAGTAGTTTCACCAGAACCTGAAGCTGAAGCGGAACCGGACGCTTCACCGTTACCCTGTGTATATGATTCAGAGAAGGAAACACTTGTTGCGTCTACTGCATATACAATTAATATACTGCAGCATATGAGAGTGAGGAAAAGCCCAGCTTTCTTCATGTTGTCAAGAGGAAAGATGACGGCCTTGGTGACTTTTATTTGAAGCAGCAGCCAACCATGTGGGCCAAGATCTCTTCAGTTTGCCTTCTAGTGCTGTATGTACGTGGCATGACGTACGTGACAATGTTATCTAAGTAGTGACACGTTGTTAGTTTTATAGCCAATTATTGTGGCGATTCATTCTGAACCGCCATATCTTTGAAGCCCCCCTTAACACATTTTTATTGGAAGCAATGGTTAATTGCCATTTTGTCACTCGTGGTGGGGATTCGCAGCCTGAGATCTTTGGTAGTCTAGGATGTTACTTTCATAGCTTTTGAAATCGTTGTGCTACAGAAAATTATTAGTATATCTTGTTTTTTCTGGATAATCCTTGCGCATTGTTCTTAGAGCGATATTCAGACTGTACAAAGCTACCAGTTATTTAACATTTTTGGGTTGGGAGAGGATAACAGTCTTGCAAATCCCTTTTTGTACATCATGGTCGAATTGGAAAGGAGACTTAATCACATCCATTGGTTTATTGTTCACAAATACCCTGTATGTAGTACGTATGGACTCGGAATCACTTGTTTTATTATGGTTTCATTTTCGAAATTGCGCACACTCCTTACTACTCTTCTAGACTATCTAATGTATTACGATAACTGTTAAAGCTACCAAGAGTTTTTTTGAAAAACAGAGCAACAACTCTTCCTACAAGCCAATAGATAATTTTATGAAGATAACACTTTGATATTGTCAATCACAATTTGTCACCCTTAACCACATCATGGAATTCATTACTGTTTTCTCGCCACGCTCTGTAGCACCATTTCACACTAACTTGTCTCTGATAAAGAGTTATAGAAACAAGAATTGTTTGCAACTTTTAAAAAAAGTCTGCACGAAGCAAAGCCATGCTTTGGTTTCGTGCAAGTCCTGTTTAAGACAAAGTAGAAGAACCTTTCTTCGTAGCATATTGCGAATCTCGACACTTTCTTATCTCTTGCAGTTACTACGTCTTCGGAACTGTCAAAAACACATATCTATTGACGAAGCTTCGGCTGCTGTTCGTCAGCTGCAGTTCGACAAGGAAAAACATCAAACTATCAGGACTCCAAGTGGCCTTCAATATTTTGACATAAAGTGCGGTGAAGGTCCCTTGCCTAAAGCCAATGACTTGCTGGTTGTCAGGTACACTTCAAGGTTGCAGGGGCTGAATGGCTGGAAACTAGAGTCTTCAGAAGACCATGAAATAGACGGTTTCTCAGAACCCTTGTCAATCCTTTACAATGAAGACACTAAGAAGCTCTTTGTTCCTGGGTTTTGGGAAGCTCTTTCTACCATGCGTCCTGGAGGAAAGCGACGAGCCATCGTCCCTCCTAATATTGCCTATCACTCTATCGACGAGGAGCCACGTCCTATTAGCGTGAGTATGATAAAATGTACCTATCTATCTTGGAGCTAAGCTTTCTTAGTGGGATGCACGTCGCAGGTTACTGTCAGTATTGAATACAAACCGTGATAAAACTATTGTATTCGATATAGAGTTGCAAAAAATTCTTCCATATTGCAGAAGAGATAAAAAGACTGAGAGTTGTCAAAATTGATATTGCCGATCATTTTTGTTCTATGTGATTATCAATGGAAGCAGTATATCTTAATAAGAAATATTGGTGTCAGGAAATCTTGCAACAGATGTAGATTTTTGCGAAACTTTCTGGTATTCTGAAATGGAACTTCATATGAAAAATACCTGATTGTCAAGAGCCTACCTGTTCTTGTGCTTCATATAAGTTTTCTTTTAGAACTGGCTGGACTGACTCCAAAAGTTGTTCATCCTTTATGCAAACGTCTTGAAATGGCGAGAATTTTTATCTTGCTACGACATAATAATAAAGGAATAAAGGAATCTTTCGTTCATTTATTGAATTTATAAACAACTGTTCACAAAGACTTGCTCAATTAGCCAGTGGCAAGAAATCATTCAAACTGTTTTATTTCGACTAGGCTCAGCAATTTTACTCCGCCTGAATCGGACAGAAAGTTATAAAAAGAAGAAAAACTAGATAACAGCTTCCAATAATAGCAGTAAGAACGATTCCAGCGATCGACCAAGAACTACCTGTCGAAAGAAGATGACGAAGAGTATGTCTTCCGGGGGCAGCCACTATTAAGAATATATTGAAGCCAATTAATACTAAACTCAAAATAACAAGAGCGACTTGACACCAACGAGGGATAACTCTTTCTTTCAAAAAACGACGAGAAGATACAAACTTCACCAAAGGTATCACAGCAAATGGCAAAGTTGCGGATGGAATAGCCGCACCAATCAATATGGCTGTATTGGCTCCCTTCTCGCCTGCCAAGGAAACAACAACTATTGCAGGAATCAGCGAAATACATCGTGTCAGCAAGCTTCGCAACCAAATCGACATATGTAATCGAATGAAACCTTCCATCACAATTTGACCTGTATAAGTTGCAGTCATTGCAGTAGACTGACCAGATGCCAGTAAGGAAATAGCCCATAGGATACATCCAGCCTCTTTGTTCTGATACACTTGCTTTATCAAAGTGCACACGTTTGTCAGGCCAACAGACGACAATAGGGAAGAGGAAATTTCATTATTATCATGGAAATCAATCGCAGCTAGAGAGATAATTGCTCCATTCAATACAAACGCAAGTAACATTGGAATAACTGTTTCGATAACATTTGAAATAAAAGCTTCCTTCCTATCATCCACCTTGACATCTCGACTCTTTACAAGTCGCGACTGCAAATACAAATTTTGCGGAACAACATCTGTACCAACGATAGCAAGAACAACCAATGCAGAACCGGAAGGTACACGTGGAACAAACCAACCTTCGAAAAAATCTGCAGTTCTTGTACCCGTTTCTGCCCATTCGATAAAGAAACTTAAAGTCATCAGCAATGAAAGCAACAATACAAGTATCTCTAGTGTTCGAAAGCCAAAAAGACGAAACGCAAGAAGCAGTAAAGTAGTAATACAAGAAAGCAGGACTCCACCATATAAAGGCCAACCAAACAATATCTGTATAGCTATTGCAAATCCAGTTACTTCTACCATGTCGGTAGTAATTATGGTAGCTTCCATGAATAACCAAAGTAAAATGGCTGTCCACTTAGGATATTGCTGTCTACAAGCAGAAGCAAGATCTTCTTCACAATATAGTCCAAGATAAATGGAAGCCACCTGATAAACGATGGTAACGACAACAGACCACCATACAGCCCAAAGAATCTTGTAGCCGTATTGGCTTCCAGCCTGTAAAGCAGTTTCATAATTCCCTGGATCCATAAGAGCTACACTCACTAACCAACCAGGACCCACAAAGCGAAAAAAAGACATAACTTTCGAATAAAGTCGCAAGTACCAAGGATTCGTTCTAACATCATCAGCATTGCTGTTGACCATCGTTCCCAATCGAAATCTCGTCGTCCAAACCATTTGCGGTATGTATAGGAAGTTTGTACGAGAGTTGATGTTGAGCAGATTTTTTTGGCAAGCATTCCAAACAACAGGACGAGCCTACTTCAGAAACTACAAATATTCTTCTCATCCTTGTTATTCACCCGGAGAATTGGCTATTAGTAAAGTATCACGTTGTTCTTTTGCGGTTTCTACAAAAGTTGTAAACGACACTGGACCTGTGGATCGACGACACGAAACGGAAGCAAGACAAAAACTCGAAACTATATTGAAAGGCGTTGTGGAAAGAAGAATAAAGCCTAAGGAAGCGGTGACCTCCATTCTTTCTGAGGCTTTATGGAAGCTTCCCAGATCGCTGAGATTTCAGTTCTTCCGAGAAACAGTGCATGTTCTGTACCAAAACGACTTGTATTTTACTTTGTTTCAATTTTATGACCGCTTTATTTATCACTTTACGGCCGAACACGAATTGCGGGAAGAACTCGATTCGGATACTTTAGCCATTCTTATATCGGCCTTTTCAAAGAATAACCTCATAGAAAGAGGCCTATTTCTGGTTGGAATGCCCTCGCAAACGGAATCCAAAAGTTTAAATTTATTTCAAGAGGATGGAACGTTCTTAAGTAATCCAGCACTGGTTGAGTTGTATTGTGAGAGACTTTATCAATTGCTGCTTTCTCAGAAACTCAGTATTCGAGTAGTAAATGAACTTGTTAAAGGCGTTGCTGTACAGAGGAGTAGTTATGAAGCATTTCTTATTATGAAGGCTGTGTTGAAGCTGGCTAATACGTCAAACAACACAGAAATTGTTCCCAATATGGATACATACATTTCAGTTTTGTCTGCAAGCAGTGCAGAAGGCTTTGAGAAAGCTTCACTTGCCCTAATGAGAGACGCATTGGAAACATTTCCAAAAGGCAAAAGACAAATATATTCCACCATTGTGGGTGGTTTTATACGTGCAAAGTTGGCATGGGAATCCCTTGCAGTCTTTCGTCAAGCAGAATCTGAAGGCATTCAAATTGAGCTGAACTTTTATGCGGATCTTTTACAGCTTTTTGCACAACTTAACGAAATGGATGCTGTAGAACATATCTGGACAGCTCTTATGAGTGTTTCAGATGCTCAAAACTATCAAAACACGTTGACGATAGGAGCTTGTGAATGTGTATTAATTTGTGCTGCTCGGTGGGGTAAGCAGAATCTTGCAGAACAAGTATTTGCAGCCCTCGTTGATAGAAACAAGTCTCATACAAACTTTACGCCTTCATCTCAAGCGTTTTATTGTTTAATAGAGGCAAGAGCGAGTGGAGGCGACATTCCTGGCTCTTTTAGTGGTCTTCAAGCAATGTGTGAAGTAGGTTACGAGCCAAGACTTGCCAATTTTACCAAATTTATACGTATATGTGGTCGCAATTCTAGAACACTTGATTTTGCCTACCATCATATTCGTAACTTGTCACAGCAAAATCATATATTTATTGAGCAAGTTAATATTTTACTTGCAAGTTGTGGTCTTTTAGGTGATCTCAATAGAGCATTGTCTGCATATCGAGAGTTTGTAGAGGGCCTAGGAACTGTACCTAATGAAGATACATTTCATGCCTTGATCAGAGGTTGCATAAACACATCACGTCACGATGTATTTCAAGTTATTGAAGAAGAAAGAGCAAAGTATGGGATACAGTTGAATGGTGATACTTGTCTGCTGTTAATACGAGCGTACGTTCGTTGCAATCAACTGAAAGATGCCATTGATACAATGCGACTTGCCTTGGCAAAGGGACTTGTATTACCCTTGGAAGCTTATCAGCTGATTGGTCGCAAAGCAGTGTTGCAAGGTGATGAAAGCATGTTTGGAGAAATGTTGGAGTTGATGAAGAAGTACAAGATTCCTATTTATAATAGTTTCTTGAAGGATATTCGAACGCCGTTTGGTCTTCCGGAAATTCGAGAGGAAATGACTTCAAATGAGGCAAGAGTAGGGTTGCGTTTGGACACATCCACTTATGGCGAGGAGGAAAAAGAACAAGTGGATGACTTGCCCGATGTTTCGAGTTTCTATGAAGAACAGGAAAACGAGAAGAAAGATTACTGAATCTTTGTATAAAGACAAAAGGTATATTAACAAAACAAAGGATGATGCAGTCATAATTTTGAGAAGCTGTGTCTTTGTTGAATCTTCTATTATTGTATATTGTGACTGGTTCGACTTTTAGGCAGCTTTTTCTATCTTGAAATGTTGGCGCTTAAGACTCTTTCCAGTTCTATAGGTTGTTCGACTTTATAGAGCAACTTGACGATATGATTGTAAACATTATTTCACCTGTGTAGGCCTAACTGTGACAACCAGTTCTACTCGGTTGAGAATACAGCATCGGGAATCCTACTCGTTGAATAATTCCCATTTTCATTGAAACATTAAGAGTACAATAGAAACTTTCTTTGGCCTTAGCTTCTAGTAATTTCAAGTAAATGTTTAGAATTTGCGATTGACTTTGAAAGAAAGCCCAACAAGATACAGATTCTTCAACTTCGTGAAAGTCTCAACTTTCAGAAAGCTCAAAAAATGGATTATATGATTTAAAATTGAAATTGGATTTTGTGGTGGAGAGGTTTTCATGTCAGAACACCACAGTAGAACGCTTTCTATCGGAGAAATTTATGAGTTGAGAAGCACAAACTATGGACTTTCTCCTTCAGAAGAGTTGGACACAACATACTGTTATGAAGTAAACCACGACAGGAACGAAGCGGCTCTCAGAGATTCTATGGAAGAACACTCAATGCATGCTTTGAAAAAGCCCCGAAAGGGTCCGAATGACGTAGGTTTCTGGAACTCGATGAGCTTTTGTTTTTCAAAGCTTTGTAGGTTCTTAACGAGAATATGCCCGTTGCTAGTGAAAGTTGTTTGAAAATAAGCAAGAGACCAAGATGGAAGCAGTTATTTCCAAATAGTTCTTCAGAAATATTGCCTCTCGCAGGTAATATCAGCAAGCTTGTGCTTTCAGTTTCGACTCTAAACAGAAACTAGGGCATTGCATGGTTTGCTGTTCGAACAGAATCTACGCTTTCGGTGGATATGCCTCTCAGTTTATCGAGGGACAGTGCTACAGTCGCCACTACAATACCTTATTTGAGTTCAGTTTTTCTCGGAATTTATGGTCGACAGTGCGTTTAGAAACGTCTGACGGTCCTCTTTCTCCACAACCAAGGAGACATGCCTCAATGGTATGATTCTTTAGTTAACTTAATATGTTCTGAAAGAATTTCAAAAGGTATTTCACGGGCAGTCTCTTTACATATTTGGTGGATTTTCCGAAAGGCATGAAGTGCTTAGTGACTTGTGGTCTTTTGACCTTGTTAAGAGGAAATGGACTCCGATTATTGCAAGACCAGGATCTTTCTGGCCAGCAGCAAGAGCCGAGCATTCAGCTGTAAGTAATGTCCATTCTTCTCGTTTTAACTAATTGTACTTTATAGGTTGTATATAAAGACAGAATGATCATTTTCGGAGGCTACGACGGGAAGAAGAAGCTTTGCGACACAGTTGCTTTGAACATGAGAGACTTCAGTTGGGAAGTGGTCTCGAGTAATGGAGGATATTATCCCAATAGAAGATGCAAACACAGTGCAGTAGTTTACAGGAACAAGATGTACGTTCTTGGAGGCTTTCAGTTTGCAAATGACAAAAACGCTGCTGTCACAGATTTGGTGGCATTGAACTTGGAGGATATGACGTGGAATCTGGAGCTGATGAGTGGTTCTATTCCTGAAGGTTTGCAAGCTCATAAAGCAGTCGTAGTGAATGATTCAATGTACATATTTGGAGGCAAAATTCGACTACAAAACTCTGGAGGTAATGTTTGGCAAAGTTCTCTAAATGATGTTGTTTGGTGTTATCGTTTTGATGTCAATTGCTGGTCACCGGTAAAATGTGAAGGCGCGTCACCAAAGGCTCGACAGTTACATGGGGTAAGGACTCTTTTTATAACAATCTTCCGTTTCTGAAATAGTAAGGCTTGTGTGGTTCATACCTCCGAAGGGAAATGCAGTCTTATTGTGTATGGTGGTGTTGATCGTTTAAAGGAGACGTATTACAATGATATCTGGGAACTTGAAGGTATAGATTGCGCTTCAAAACTGCAGTCTTGCGACTCTTGCGAGTCCTTGAAGAATCTGGTCAATTCGGAGAAATTTGCTGACCTCCAACTCGTAGTGGACGGTTTTAGAATACCAGCACATCGTTGTATATTATATTCGAAATGTGACTACTTTAGAAAAATGTTAGAGTCCGACATGAAGGAGAGTGTCCAAAGTTCAATAGAGATCCGAGGAATTGGTTATTCCACGTTTCTTAAGGTGCTCGTAAGTATAACACCAAGTCATTTTACAAATTTATTTAGTAATTTGTTTCTAGTTTTATATTTATACTGGACGTCCAGCATACGATATGGACTACGAACAGTTGATCGAGTTGTTGGTTGCCGCAGATATGCTAGGACTTGAGGAGTTGCACATATTTTGCATGAAACGGCTAGAAGAGTCTGTTAATGTGGAAAACGTATCCTCAGTATGTCAGTTGGCCAATGAATATAATGCAGGGCAACTTAAAACTTTCTGTCTTGAATACATTGTGAAATACTTTTCGGAAGTAGTGGAAACAAAGGGATTTGAAGATTTGCTTAAGAAGGAAGCCAGTGGATTGGCAAGAGAAATTTTACGATTGCATGCAAAGGCAGTTGCCTGGAATCAGTAAAGTTACCTTATGTGGTACTCGTTCCTTTTGACACTGTTGTTTATTGTTATTTTACGCTACAGCGTTGCACTTGGGTCTGTTATAGAGCTGACTCCCGAAAACTTTGACAAGTCTTGTATCGGGAGACTTTGTCTTGTTGAATTTTATGCTCCGTATGTCCCTTATTGCTGTGTTGGTTGAAAAGAAACTAAGAATAGTTTATGGCATATAGCTGGTGTTCGTACTGTCAACGAGTCGAGTCAGAACTTGCTCTTCTTTCCCAGTTTCCTGACGTGACCAACGTCACTATTGCGAAAGTGGACGGAAGCCGCTGGAAATTACTTAGAAGACGCTTTTTTGTAAGTGGTTTTCCGTCTTTCTTTTTGGTCAAGGTAAGAGAATAGTCTCTTCAGGAAATATTGTCTAAGTTGTTGTCCGAAGGAGACGCAAGTCTACCGTTTTTTAGGTTCTCACAGAGCCAGTCACATGCGTAGCTTCATAGTTAATCTTACTGACGCAGAAGAGCTTCCAAAAGGTCTTTTTGAAAACCCCTTGTCTGTTTTCTGGAAAACTTTGTCAAGGCTTGAGGATATGTATTTGAAAAGCGCCAAGTGGACAATACATTCGGGTTTACCAGTTTACGGCATTGCTTGGATAACTTGTGTCTTGTTAATAGTTATGCTTATGACGGTAGGCTGTCTGCTGAATGTCGTTGGCAATTTTCGGGCATCGAAAAGAACCCACAGAATAAGAAAGATTGACTAAATTGCGGGAACTTTGCTCACTGCACAAATACTGCAAAAAGTAGCCCATATTTCTTATCGGGTTTTTTATGGAGTAGACGGAATAATAACATTAAACAACATTTTGCACTTTTTCATTGAAAACATTCCAAAAAATTTCAAATATCCGTTAGCTCATAGATCAATTAATACACACACACACACACATATATATATAATATATATGAATGAAGAACTTCACCGACGTTGCTCTGCAACACGTTTTCTTTTCTCTCTATTCAAGTCAAAGAGGATGATGGCAGCTGCTGTACCAGCCGACGCTATTACCATCTTGATCACCTTTCAAGCTCAGGGATAAAACAGATAAGTTAAAGCCAAAATCTGTTCTTACTCTATTTTCGATATGCTCCATGGACGTTGTTATTTCTGCCCACTGCATCTCCATCTTCTTCTCTAGAGTCTGTACGTCTGACTTGAGAATATATATGTCAGTCTTTTCCAAAATTTGCAGTTCTGAACGAAGTGTCGCAAGCTCTGCCTTATTTGCTGCTGTTTTATCTCTTTCTTCCATAGTTTTATTACAAAGTTGCAACAGCGCATCGCAGACCACCTCGGACTGACTAGTGGTGAAACCTCCTCCCTTGAGTCTTTCTATCAAGCGTTCCGTGTCAAAAAGTGTGTGGTTGAAAAACAAGTCGGTTGACGATAAACTCGTTTCGGAAGTCTTTGCTTGCGAAAGGTATCGTTGAAAAACTTTAAAAGTATTCGATGAAAACTTGTGTGGCATTTAACGATGAATAGAAAAAATTGGAATTTCAAAAATGGTTTGCTTGCGTTGGAACTATCACTTTCAGTATCTTTGAAACGGTTTATTCGCACAGAATTTTGCGCTTTGCAGAAACTTGTCAAGAAATCTTTCAAATATTACTGTGAATCAAAATTGGTTATCATCTGTTTTGCAAATGACAGAAAGTTACTTCGCTATATTTGAAAGACTACAGTTGTGATGATATATCTCTGGGTTCTAAACAATGTATGTTCAAATGATTCTGAATAAATGTAATCAAAAGAACTCGACTTCCTAAATATCTTTATAAAGTTGTTACAAGACATAATCTTTAACCCATAAAATGTCCTTCAAACACTTTCTCCGCTGGACCAGTCATATAAACGTGATCGTCAGAGTCCCAGTGACAGTGAAGTTTACCTCCTGGAAGAACCACTTCCTGTTCCTTTACCGCAAAACCCTTTCAAGCTTTTTGAATCTAGTAAGCCATATCAGAACATTCCACCTACCAGTAACTTTACTGCAACTACGGAAGCACAAGCACCAGTTCCACACGCCAAAGTACGTCCTACTCCTCGTTCCCAAACTATAACCTTTATCTGATTCTGATCAACAACTTTAATGAATTCTACATTAGTTCTTTTAGGAAACCACGGGGAATTTTCTACTCGAGGTCCCCAATAGTCTAAGGTTTTCTCCACTTCTTCCAGGTTGTCTACAAGAATTATGCAATGAGGATTTCCCATACTTACACAAGTTACTCGAAACGTTCGACCTTCAATTTGAATAGGGACGTCAATAACCGCAGTTTCCTCGCTAGATTTGGGCTTCAGAGTTGTTGGAACTATGCTAGGATCCAGTATTGGCTTTCCCATATCCACTTTTATACCGTTCTTTCCCACAAACTCAACAAGCATAATTCCCGAAAGAGTTTCTATCCTTAAGATATGCTTACTTCTCCATTCTGAACTTATGTCTCGCATGTACTTGGCCAAACAACGTATTCCGTTGCCACACATTTCTGGCTCCGACCCATCAGAGTTCAATATACGCATTTGCGCATCGTTTCTGTCGTCTTTTGGAGGCAACAGGAAGATAACTCCGTCTGCACCAATTCCAAAGCGCCGCTCACAAACGAACTTGACTTGTTCTGTTGCTAAAGTTGGGTGACTTTTGTGGCGGTTGTCAACAATAATAAAGTCGTTACCAAGACCTTGATACTTGAAAAAAGGAAAGGGAGACAATTCCATCTCACGCTTAGGATGGAGAGTGCCCAACTCAGGAACGGGTAACGACAAGTAAAATGTATTTGCGCGTCTTCCAAAATATGCTCTTATCCTATAATGCTGTGAATTCTTTCTTCTTACGTTGACATTGCCAGCAAACGATGATTTCTGTTTCGACAGCTTTAAGGTCTCAAGAAAACTAGGCGTTGTGACATGGCCCGTTGTCACAATCGACATTCAAAGTTTAAGAAATTTACAAATGAGAACCGGAAATCTTTTCCAAAAGTATCAGAAAGGAATGCCTTGTGAGATTTATGACTTTACAACATGACTTGTGACAAAAGTGCTGATTTAGCAACTCGAATGGGTTACATCGATCACTCTTTTTGCAGATCTGCATACTTTTACCTATGTGATGATGGCTTTTGGTTTTTTTTCGGTACCAAAGGGATGTATTCATTCGAAACAAAAAGTTTGTAATACCGTTTTCAAGGACTTAAAGCCTTGTTATATACGTTCCACAAGGCTTAGCACCCGAATAGTTTTATTGAATATGAGTAGACTTAATGAACGGAAAAGCAAAGTAACGGAAAGTGTGGAACATTTGTTGTCTTTGGCCTTTAAGCAGCTTCGTGACGTGTTCGGTTTCACCGAGTTTCTTTCTGGACAAGAAGAAGTTCTGCTACGACTTTTTGACTGTGGTAGTGCTTTGGCAATCCTACCAACCGGTGGAGGTAAAAGTCTTTGCTATCAAATCCCTGCCATCATTTTTCCGGGCCTTACTTTGGTTGTATCGCCCCTTATCGCTTTGATGCGAGAACAAGCTCAAAAACTTGTCGACGTCGGTGTACCAGCTGGACACATGGATAGTTTGCAATCTACGACGGAAATACGAGGTCTTAGAAAATCTCTTGCAGAAGGAAAGGTGAAAATCTTATTTGTTTCTCCAGAACGATTTAATAATGAAGTCTTTCTGTCCCTCTTGAGAACTTTGGAAATATCTCTCTTTGTGGTGGACGAGGCACATTGTATTTCAGAGTGGGGTCATAACTTTAGACCAGACTACTTGAGACTTTCACAATTTGCTAGAGATTGTAAAGCAGCATATAGGCTTGGCTTAACGGCTACAGCCACAGAACGAGTTGCCAATGATATTGTGCAAAGACTGAACATATCACCTGAAGCCGTTGTACGCAAAAACTTTTATCGTCCTAACCTTGTGTTAAACATTAGATGCTGTAACAACGAAATGGAAAAACGGGAAGAGTTACTTTATTGTTTGCGACAGCGAGAACGAGGTCCAACGCTCATTTACGTAACTCTTCAACGAACCGCTGAGGAATTGGCTTACTTCCTTGTTGAAAGTGGTTTCCAAGCACGGCCTTATCATGCTGGTCTATCAGATGAACAACGAATATCTACGTATGACTGGTTCGTTCAAGCTTGCAATCCTATCGTAGTTGCAACTATTGCTTTTGGGATGGGAGTTGATAAACCGGATATACGTTATGTTTATCATTTTAATTTGAGCAAAAGCCTAGAGGTTTGTCATTTGTTTGTTCGAAATCAACTCCTCCTATTCAACTTATTTAGGCATATAGTCAAGAAATAGGAAGAGCAGGGCGGGATGGAAAAAAGTCTTGCTGTGATACCTTTTTCAGTGGGTCGGACATTCCTGTCTTGGAAACATTCATATATGGAAACACTCCAGATGCTACTCAAATTAGTTCATTTCTGACATTCCTGTTTGAGAAGCGTAAAAAGTCACAAGTTGTCAATCTGCCGTTATATGAATTGGCAACAAATTTCGACATGAGAGAAGTTGTCTTACATACCATTTTGGTTTTCCTAGATGTATATTGGGGCCTTATAAAGGAAGTGACACCTATGTTTGCAGAGTATCGTTATCAAGTCTTGTCAGAAGAAGGAGGAGAAGAAGAAGAGACACTGGAAAATAGCTTGACTGAACAGCAATCGATATTGTGGAAAAATATAAATGAACAAGCCAAGAAGAAATTGAAATGGAGCTATCTTGACTTGAACAATTTGCAACTAGGTACTGAAATTGAGCAGGTACAACTGCTTTTGGACAAAATTCATTCAAAAGGCTTCATAAGACTGCAAGCTGGAAAACTTCAACATCGGATACAAATATTGAAAATTCCACAAGATATGAAGTTGCTTCAACAGCAGTTATGGCAACTCATTTCAGAACGAGAGAGTTCAGAAGTGCAGCGCTTGGAAGAAATGGTGCATCTGGCAACCTCAACTAAATGTGTAAGTCAAGCAGTGAGCGACTATTTTGGGGAACGAATTGAGCCTTGCCATATGTGTGAGAGATGTCTTGGAGAAATAAGTGCACAAGAGCTATCTAGTTTCGACACAAAATCGNGGTTTGCCTCCGTAGATATGACTCTATGGGAAAGAATCACAAAGATTGAAGAACTTCCAAAGGAACCATTAACCTTGGCAAAGTTCGCAAGTGGTATAAGCTCACCCAAGTTGAGGGAACGAAAGATAACCAAGCACGAGTTGTTTGGAAGTCTTCGTGAGTGTGGTTTTCAACAAGTTTTACAACTGGCAATACAATACACTGGACAAAGCCCCATTTCCTGTAGATAACAGCGATTTATAGATTTAGATTATGCCAATCTTACTAGCAACATCCAGTGCGTCATAGTCTTTGGTGAGCCTTACGTAAGCCTTTTTCTGTCCATCCGGTCTAACTAAAGTATTGACTTTGTCTGCCACAATGTTGTACATTTTTTTTACTGCGTCGCGTATTTGTGGCTTTGATGCTCTCACATCACATAAGAATACTAAAGTGTTATGGTCCTCTATTTTCTTCATTGCCGACTCTGTTGTTAGAGGAAAGCGGATAACCTACACAGATATACTTAACTATGCAAATAAACAAAATATATCTGCATACTTTAAACTGATCCAAAGCTGGCTTTTTAGGAAATGACTTGCGCGGATACTTAGGTCGTCTAGGTAATCTTAAAGTATGCGGTCGGTGGAAGTGAACATTTGTTCTGATTTTATGAACTCTCCTTTTCTTCAGACCACTTTTCACAGCAGTAGCGGCTTTTTGAGCCTTTTCCACTACTTCACAAAAACTAAGAAGAATAGTTCTCAAAGTGACGAATGCTTACCTTTTTTGCCTTTAGGCATTGTAAACGACGACGCCGTTGACCTAATCGAAAATAATAAAAATGGAGATTTTATTGATTTCATACATTCGGAGACAATGAGTAGATCTATAGAAATTCCATATATTGGTTTCTTTCCTTCGTTTCTTCCTTATTAGTGAGTCCAAGGTCTAAATAGTTGACTCCACGAATAGCTGCAACTTCCTTCACCGTACGATGGGTTGAAAGTGCTCCAAACAGTGCTTTGACAGTATTGATTCGGTTGTGAGAACCCATCATCTTCGCACTGATGTCTTGAAAACCAAACACAGTCAAAACTACAGTAAATAAAGGACCAGAGAGAATTCCTTTTCCGGTTCTTCCGGGAAAAACGAGAACACGAGATGCTTTGAAAGTAAAATCCAAAGGATGGTAGATGGTACGATCCTGATAGCGCTCTACGTGAATCATATGTTTCATAGAATCTCTAATAGCTAGCGAAACTGCGTGTCTTGGACTTGCAGACTTTCCCATACCATAACCAGCTGTGCCTTCATAGTTGCCAACGACAACAAAAGCACGATAACTCCAGACAGTGCCTCCTCTTGTTACTCGAGCAGTTCGTCGCAATTCCAAAAGCTTTGCTTCAAAGCCTCGTAACACCCGACTAGGAATAATTGTGTCTTCCAATTGACGTCTCGCTCTAATCAGTTCAGGACTCTCCGTTTCACTACCGATCTCTCGAAGATAATCCGCTTCAGAGGAAGGTTTTACAGGTTCTCCGTCTATCCACGCTGCACAAGGAAACGGCACTTCACCATAAAGGTCAAGCATTGTAAAAAGAGTTCTCAGACTGTCAATGCAACGGTACAACTCTGCCTGCTGTTCCAAATCGACTGCAAACTTTGGAATATAAACCACTGGTAAAAATTTTGGTTTGTCGGAAATATTACTAAACTCAATCTCACGAATAGACTCAAATATCTCATCATACGCAAGTCCTGCCCTCTCTGCTATTGATCTTGCCAATAGTTCAGCTCTCGTTTTTTCCAAGCGGGAGATAGCCTCTGGGTCGTCAAAAGAGTCGGCGACAGAAGAGTTTCCAACATGATAACTTTTGGCAGCAAACTCTACAAGTTCTGGCATACGCACAAGTAAAGAGACTAACCGCACGTAATCCTTTCCTAACTGCGACGGGTCTGAATCCTCTTTGCCAAATACCGGAATTCCTCCACTTCCTTCAAAAGTATGATTACTTGAATTTTCATAATCCGTCAATGTTTCTTTTCTACTTTTACTGTCTTCTGAATCAGAGGAACAGAATCGCCTTGGACACCAACTGTTCATCTCCCGCAGTTTGGAAAACCTTCTCTCGGACCTCGTAGAGAAAGCATTCCAACACTTGGGAAAAACTACTAAATTTTTTCGAAGAGTCTCACGGGAATCTTTAGTTACAAATGTTTGAGAACTTCGAGATATTAACCTTGTTACAATTGCATAAAATGGCTGTCTTGCAAGTATACGGAGCATACGTTCACCCAACAAAAATTGTAATTCATTCGAGGTAGGAATGGAACTCAGCAGTGTGAACCGCATCGAACAACTTTTGCAAGAGGAAGACCAAGAAGCAGTTGCAAGAGATATACAAGTAAGACTGCACAATTGGTTTCTTGAAGAACATTATCGGATAATTTATTTAGAAGTTTCGTGAATTATATGACGCAGAGTTAGAAAAGGCGGTTGTAGACCCTAGCTTAGTATTTCAACTTGCCTGGGCTCTTGTGAGAAGCAACCGTAAGAAAGAAATCAAAGAAGGATCCGTCCTTTTTCAACGTAAGTAGATTGAAATTGCTCAAACGTTTCTGAACCTGAATGAAAAAGTTTTGGTTGATAAGCAATACCGTATTCGAGAGTCCTTATTTTTCCTCTCTTTTGCGCAGTACAAACTTGGAGATACTGTGGTATGTCTCTCAAATGGAATGATAGAATTTTCACTTAGGCAATTGGAAATTGAGACTGCTAGAAGAAACTTAAAACAGTTCTTGGAACGTTTTCCTGAGAGCAGACAAGGCAATCAGTTGATGAGGTTGATTGAAGGAAAGATACAACAAGGTGACAACGAATTTTTTAGACTTGAAGTTATTTTTAGTTTCAATAGATGCATATGTAGGAATGGGAGTTGTTGGGGCTGTCATAGTTGGGATTGTTGGTCTTTGTGTCGCAGCTTTTTCGAAAGGAAAGAGTTAAGTACCGTTTCTATGGTAAAACATACGAAAATATCTCTCTAGTCTTCTAATCGAGCAATTTTAGAGTCGAAGAAATAAGGCAAGCCATGTAAACGTTTGAGGTCTATCACAGCTGGGAAGTCCACGTTGTATTTTCAGACTCAGCACGTGCATAAAGTTGATCACTTTTGTAATGGAAATCTTGACTATCAAACGCGAGCCAAGATTCCTCAGTTGTACATAATAAATACTTTTATCTCTCGGCAGCCATTGCGACTTTGTCAAATAACTTGTGGCATATCTCTTCTAGAATAAGATAGGACTTGTATGGAATTGTCTTGGAAACAAGCCACATTTTCCAATAGTATATGTTATATTGTCGCAAGTCAACCAAATGCACTTTTTCACTTGGTGATACACTCCTAAAAGAAACCTACTTGGAGAGGTCTCTGTAGTAGTGGTAAAATTGTGTTATTAATTTTATGTTCATAACATATTTCACATGTTCTCTCTCTTTCAGTTAGACTGAAAGTTTTTCGTCCTTTCGAAAACTATCAATTACTTTCTACTTTAAGTACTTTTGAGTGTCTGAAATTCATCGAAAGAATGGAAGAGCTGCTTGGAAAATATTTGATTCGTCGATGACTCGAGTGAAGCCTTGGAAAGGTGAAAGGAAACCGTGAGTGCGGTTCAAGCAAGGGTTAAGGTTATTTGCTAAATATCTTACAGTTTGAGGTCCGTAATAAAGTCGAGAAAAGAGAAATCTTGGAAGGAGAAGAAAAGAGAAAGAGAGCGAGAGAAGGCACTGCAAGAGCTTCGTCTCCTTGCAGAGCGAGAACGAGCTGAAAAGCGAAAGGTAATATGGTTCAATGTCTGCCGTTCAGTGTGAGACTCAACTGTAGAAAGCTTGAGAAAGAGGCTAGAGAACAGTCGCGAAAGCGGAAACTTGAGAACGAAAGGAAGTCGGAACAAGTGCAACTTGTAAGTTTCAATTGTCTTTTGTTGCTATTGGTTAATGAAATTCGCATAGGTTACAAATCTGGCAAAACTAAAGAAAATGCCTAAAAAAGAACTTCGTAAACTGCAAGTTCGATGAAACAAGAACGGCTTGATTTCCAGTAAATTTCGGTAGTTTTTCTTAGAGAAAGAAGCTTTGTACAGTGAGATTCCACATAAACTTATCACGCATTGATTTGTTATCCAGGTGCCTGCAGCCTTGTTTTTGTTTCCTTTTTGTTAGCTTGGATTGACGTAGTTACCCGATATTGTTATTGAAAACTGAGCAATAGTATATATGTATATATCAACCTCCTCATAAATCTGATAATTTCAAAAAACTTCAAAAAAATTATATCTTTCACAGGCAGCGTTGGTACAGACAAACTTATTTGAGCACTTAACTGATGATTGAGGAGAGTAAAAATCTAGTGACTCCTCAAGCTACTTTTTAGAAGTTCACGTATAACAGTAACGTCTAAAATGGTTTTTATCGAGTCTTGAGAGTGGACTTTTTCTAACCAACACAAAATACTCCTTTACAACTACAACTAGAGCTATGTTCGTTTATTGAAATAAGCTGATAAAGTTGGTTGGTTTTCGATGAAATGAACTTGATGTCCGGAAACCAGGTTTCTTTAGGGTATCCTTACAGGTGCTTAATGAAGATACAGTGCTTCACAATCAAAAGGATATCAAGTTTTGTGCAGTTCCAAGCATTCTAAAGTGCATTTGAGTTGTCTCACAACCCTTTTGCTCGAAAAGACAACCTTCCGAGCCACTAATATCAACGAATAGTGTACAAACTTGTCTTGTGCCCTCATAAAAGCCAGTGAAAAGTTCTATCCTTTGCTCCCCAACAAGACTTGAACATTGCCACTTCTGTAAAGCATTTTGCTTAACAACTCTTTTCCAGTTGAAGTTGTCATTTCTCCCTATCATCTTCAATATATTACAATTTTCTTTCAAAACTCTTCTTCGTCTCAACAAAACTAAACCATTGTTTACAAACAACTTGTACTATTCTAGAACAAACATATGGCTGTGCGCAATAAAATCGATACAAAATGCTGTAGAGAACCAAACTTTATTCAACAGTGATACGAACTAGTCTAAAAAGATTTCGCTCGATGATTGCCTTCTGTTGAAACCTTCATTAGATATTCTATTGAAATTCTTTTCCCATCTAAAACTTACATTTTGAGAACGATTTCAAAGTCGAACACAATATACACTGACCAGTTCAGAGGGAGTAGAACTGTTCCCCAATCGGACACGTCGATTCATAATCGCTCGACACGCCTTCTGAATCTCCTCCAGTATCAGGAATTAGAAGAGTTGTTGTCTATCAATGGGACTATGTGCCTCAAAGGATGCCAAGTTGGAATCGAATAGCTTAAGAAAATGCAACACTAACACTTCAACAACAAAGGACAAAAACAATCTTTCTACCCAACGAGCAGGAATCAATGATGAAAATGCATGTGACTTGCCCGATAACAAACCTGAAACCGCGAAAAGCACTACTTCTTCCACAGATAAATGCCAACAATCACTTTCTCCGCTGAATTATGATGAGAAAAGTCAACAAAACTGCTGCGACAATCCAGTTCACGCACAAAACATAGCTGAAGATGTCTTCCCTTTAGAGTTCAACAAAACTGCTCCAACTACACAAACAATAGAAAGCCCAGCCAAGCACAACAATGAAGCTGTGGAAACCTTTGCCTCTCATACCATTTGGAAGCTGTCTAAAGAAGCAAATCTACAAAATATCGAAATGACTAAGAATTTAAGCGACAATGGATCACGCAAAAAAGAAAATACAAAGGAACATATTATATGGGACGATTATCGTTTTCCTAATTGTGAGATACCAGGTATTGTAGAAAAATTCACTTCAAAAAGGCATAGTTCCAATCTGGTTCACGACCTTGCGAAGAAATCGAGAGAGAATCTCCAAGTTGAAGAGGAAATCAAAATGACAGCTTTTAGTCTGGACAAAGAAAAGCAAAAAATGACAATAGAACAGAAGCCCGTGTCATTCGTAAAGGAAAGAGTGAAAGAATTGGAACGGAAGCTTCTCTCAACGAAGAGCGCAACCATCAACCAGGCAGCGGTTCATAGAGTTTCACGGAACTTGATAAGCAGTGTCACCACGGACAAAGAAGATCATCTCAGCCATACTCCCAACCTGAGTACTAGTAACGATGTTGATCAACTAGACAACTTGAAGTACAGTACAGCTAATTCAAAGAACGACGCCCAAGACAAGTCATGTGGCAACAGAGTAAATGACACAGAAAATTCAGTAAAGACGCATATGAAGACTTGTGAAGAAAAAAACAGACGAGTTAGAAGGAGTCGAAATAGTCTAGCTCGAGCAAGTACTGTATTTTCGACCGAAACCCTTTCAAAATTCTTAGATACATATTCGAGAGACACGGAAATTGAAAATTCAACCGTAATAACGGAAGCAGAAGCGCAAGAAAAGTTTATTGAGGATAGTTTGATAGCGACATTAAAGAGAACTGACTCTTCACCTGGAGTTGATCTAAATAGTGAAATTGCTGTAAAGCGATGGAAGTATAAGAATAGGCAAAGAAAACTTAGAGAGTCGCGAATTATGTGGGACGATGAGGAAGCAGTTAGAGGTATTCGTGGAAGTGTTTTAAAAGCGCACACTTCTATGAAAATATTCATGTGAACTGCTCCAAAAGATTGACTTTTGTTGAGACACGGAGAAACCCTTGTGAAAGCAAGTTTTTGATATCGTTTAGAGAATGAGTTGTCTGATGTTATGCTTTCCGATTCAAGTTATCGGAAACAGACTAAGGTTCCGCTTCGTTTGTATACTCTACGTTAGACTTGTTGTATATTCTGAAAAACTCTGTTTTCGAGAAACTAAACCCCAATACTTAGTTGAAATATTCTACAGGGGTGTACAGGAAATTTAGATACAGAACAGAGCAGTAAGTTAAGTTGTCGACAGTAGCGTAAAAACTCTTGAGAAATTGGAACAAGTGAATCGAACCCTCTATATGAAGTTACTCTTCAAAAGCATTATCCAGATTTCCTAAAAGAAGAACAAGCCAAGTTGAAGTGGATTTCTCACAAGAGAAAACTGAATTCTGAGGTATTCCTTCTTCTGTATGCCAAAAGTTTCAAAATTTCCCTTCTCACTCCAGTTCTTACTTTAAAAAAAACAAAGTTGCTCCAAGAAGCAGGTTGACTGTTGTCGATCAGTTGCAACTTCTGTTCCGTTTCTATGAGACCAACAAAACATAGTACTTCTCCAATCTTTTGTTGTTTTTTCCCTCAAAAGTTCAAAGGTTTCAAACTGGATACATTTTGAAAGTTGTTTGAAGTAATTTTGACGCTTCAAATGCTTTGAAACGTGGCAGCTATACTAGAATACTCTAAACTCCTTCCAAGGCATTCGCACTTCATGAAACCAACTGCTACATTGTATGAAACGTCCGAGCTAAGTATAGAAAGGCGGTCTTCCAGTGCTTCACCTTTAACTATCGAATTTTAGAGTTTCATAAGAGTTACCATACTGAAAGACAAGACGGTCTTTTCCTTGACCTTCCAAGAGAAACTGGGCCTTTACAAGTGACTCTACTTTAAAAACAAGCAGGTAAAACTCACAGTGTTTCTATCAACGATAAGTTTCGTCTGTGTTTAGTAAAAACAACTTACGAATTCTAGAAAGCAATATTTTGTTGTGTATATGTTACACTCAAAAATGGGTCATATTCTCCAAAGGGAATATAGCAACTGAAGATGTCTGCTTCATTTATTAGACTTCCATATCCAACAGTTTCAGATTGTGGAAAAGGTTGGTCACATATTACAAGTTCTGAAGGAGCTCTTCTGTGCCTTTGTATGAGAATAACAGTAGAATTGACAAAACAATCAAATAGAGAATAAAGAACTTCATTGAAATCAAGTTGAAGCTTTCTTCTAGTTTTCTTATTTCATTATGATTTGTAATCTGCAAAACAACAATTGCTCGTGTGAGATGGTCATCGTATGATCATTTTTCATTTTTGGCGCCTAAAGTGCTGCACTTTTATTTTCAGGTTCACTTGAAAGAATATCCATGTCTCGGACTTTAACTTCAGAGAAAGACTGGTCTCATGATACTGATAGACAAAGGCAGGTTCTTATCATTATGTTTTGTCTCTCTCTTAGAAATTCTTTAGCTCCTTGGTTCAAGAAGCTGTTGATACGGAAGGTAGAAACTGCCGTGGACTTAAGAATATTGCCAGGCTAGTTGGTATTAAGATATCTGAAAAGGGTACCACATGTTACAGAGAAATAGCTGACGAAATCATACAAGAACTCGGTAGTGCAGAGAAGCGAACCTTGACAGACGAAAGAAGTATCCGTCGTCGAGTCTATGACGCTATCAATATACTCTTAGCAATGAATTTTATAAAAAAGGAGTGCCGCTCTATTCAATGGCGTGGACCACGTCTAGACTGGAACGATTCTAACACAACCATCAGACCTGATACTATTTCTCCTTCTATGCAGAAATATTTTCAGCAAGAGCAGCCTTTTCAGTGTTCTTCAGAAAGCTCTGAGCTAGAAAGGAATATTGAATTTGTCAAGAAACCTCTAGTACTCATTACTGTGCCAATAAAGGATGGACAAATCTGTGTCAACTCGACAGGAGACTTCAAAAAGCTGAAACTCAGAAGCTCTGGAAACGTAAAACTGTTCGATGAGAATATTCTATGTAATGTTGTTTCGAACCAACGTCAATGAAGCTTGAGTTATGGTTAAAAAAAAGTACATATAAAACTTGCTGAATAAACTAGATCCACATTCGGATATTCGGGTGGCATCTGAATATAAAGAGATGGCGCTGCTATGTCTCTCCATTTCATTAGCATCATCTTGACAAATTCTTTCGATTATGGAACTTTTGAGTTTTTCAATGTTAGAGTTGACCCGCCACCGGTAAAACGCAAACTCTCCCCTCTTCTTGTATTCTATCCCTTCCCAGTACCTCAAAAGTTACAAGAAAAGCTCCGAGTTACAATATATAGAGCTTCAATATGTGCTGCTACACAGTGGTGCTCATTGTGTCCTGATATCATAGAAGATTCCAAAAGCTGAAAGATAACGTAGCTGTGTATCTCGTTGTCCTTGCAAACAACCAGCGAATGCAAGTCTTCCAGGCAGTGAGAAACCAAGATAGGGACGCATCTAGATAGAACAGCTGTTATTTGGTTGAAAAAGACGCAACTGGGAATGTGACGGGTTTGGCAAGGAATGCAAATAGGAATTTTAAGCCGTTGAAATATCGAGTGGAACGCAAATAAGTTGGAACCTTGTGAAAGACAGTGTCGCAAATAATGAAACCCACATTGTGGTACTCTTTTATTAATAAGATATTCAAGGAGTTTGACAATCCTTCGCGTTTACATCTCATAGAACTAGTATGGCCTGCCATGTTATCGTACCCGAAGAAATCTCTAAATAAAAGAATTCCATCGAAAATTTCCGAGACTAAAATATACCTCGTCATAGCATGAATTTCTACGATTATTGAAGTTGGAACCATACACGGAACTTTCTTTGTTTAGTTCAGTAGAACGCTCTATGTTAGCTCTCTAAGGAGGGGGACCTATAAATGAAGCTCCTTCACTTTCTTTTACCAATACAATTGAACAGCAGAGATAACTGCTGAAACGGAAGCAACAGATAACTCTTTCAAACGAAAGATAGAGAGTTCCCGGCCACGAAAACGAATCTTTCACTTTGAGAGTCTTGGGGCAAATCTGCTATTGTCTCTCTGGTTATATTAAGAAAGTTTCCAAAATAAGTCTAGTACGCTATACATAATATGCATTTCGAAAATGAGAGCCAATGCGAAAGAAATTCCAACAAGTGAAAATGAATACATTGTATAAAATTATGCAGCTAGAATTTTAGGTCTGCTAAGAGTTTCAGCAGATGGTATTTTTTTAAGACGCCAAGGAAATTTGCTATTTTCGTGAAGTTAACTTAGTCCAACACTTACATGTTTTGTAAACATTTCAAGGAAAGGACCAAACATTAAAAGCGAAAAATTTATCTCATTGGAAAGATTGTGTTATCAAACTTCTCGTTTCCACTTAATACTGCAGCCAACACTAGGTGTTTGTGGAAAAGGAGGTGCCTTTTCTTGTATCATCAATTCAATCGCGTTACGGAGATCCTTACCAGTTACTGGAACTGTACTATTAGGTCTACTGTCATCTAACTGACCGTGGTAGTAAAGTCGCAGACTCCTATCGAAAAGAAAAAATTCTGGTGTACAAACTGCTCCATAAGCCTTTGCTACTTGCTGTGTCTCATCGAAAACATAAGGAAATGTGGTATACAACGTTTCTGCCCTGGCCTTTATACACTCCACACCGTCTTCTGGAAACTGATCTGGGTCGTTAGGGCTGATGCCAACCATGGCTATCTTTTGACTTTTCAGATAAGTGCCAAGTTGAACCAAATGCTCCGAAATGTGTCGTACGAAAGGACAGTGATTGCACCTATAAAAACAAAGGAAACTTGAGAAATGGAAACAAAAAACTCCAAGAAAAGAAACTTACATGAAAACTACAAGGGCTCCCTGACCGTGATGCATATTCAGCTCGAGAAGCGATATATATGAGTTTGACTTTGGCTCCAATAATCGGAAATCTGGCGCCAAACTGCCCAACGGTAGCTCCAAACTAGAAGTCTTGACCATGGCCCATAATACCAAGTTGCAAACTCTTCCTATTTTGTTTCTCTGCTTAGGATATTCTCTAAAACAGGTTCCAGAAGTGTATCTGGTTGAAGACTTGCGCAACTGTTGAACTGTAGGAAATACACACGAATTTGTCACAAATGGCATACAAGACATCAAACAATCCTTCTAAATCTATGATAATCTCGTTTTCATTATCATCAGAATTCATTTTGGAGCCGAGAGAAAGTCGTGATTCACATTCTTTGGCTTTATGACAGAATCTCTGGTACGAAGAGGTTATTGCCGTGTAAGAAGACTTGTGTTGACGAACCAGAATGATTTGTTAGGAAGTGCCTCTACAGCAGTTGCATTCTATTTGAGTAGTGTTGAAAGTTTGTAGATTCCGATTTGAAGTGTATAACTAAGAACTCTTCTTTTGTCCGCAGGCATCGGACAACAGGATTCTCGTCTCATTTGTTGTTTTGAAGAGGATTTGTAGCGCCTTGAAGGACGAAGCAGATTGCACGTTTACTTCTTTAAAGAGGAAACTCATTTCATTCCCACCTTACCCTTCCAGGGCATTTTGGGTGCCCTAGTTACGTCTCAACCCAGATAACTTAAAATTTTGAAGGAAAATGACACAGTCTGTACAAACTAAGCACTTTTTCAAACACCTTATCCTGTTTATGCTTTTTGGACCACTCGTCTTTCGAAGGAACCAAACCGAAGTCATTTTTTCGTCTTCAAGAATTGCTTTGCCTTTTTCTCATATTGGCCAAGGATTTTTCTTCTGAGTTCTTGCCATTGCATTTCAATGCTGTCGACTGCACTCGTATATGTCACTACTGCATTACTGATAGGATCACTTTGTTTCTTTCGCTCAAAAAAGGAAAGAGCTTTTTCATACAACCTCAAGTATTTTGCAGCGAAGATAAAAATATTGGCCATCCTGCCTTGTACAATTGAGATAAGCCGTGACATAAGTTCAAAGTAGATATTGAAGTATTTCCAAATTTTGTACAGAAAAAACTTTATCATGTAGAAGGATATAATGTAACTGATAATGCACAGTAGCTCACCAGGATAGTGTCTTTCTTTGGCAAGGAATTCTGGAGTTGTGCTAATAACATAGCAAGTTTCTCTCTTTATCGGAAGTTTTAAAGTTTTACCTGTCCAAACAGAATATGTCAAACCAGATCTTTGCTGACATACGTTGTGGAGCTGTTTCGAAAGTCTTTCCTTAGTATTCCATGACATAAACTTTGGCTCATTAGAAACAAAGGAAAAATGAAACATGGAGTCTAAATGTCGAAAGAATCAAGGACACGTCTTTCAGGCCAATTCCCAACCATATTTTGGCTTTTGATCAATGGCGGGAATTATTGTCTTTCGTTGTAGCCGCCACGTAGTTAGAACCTAGTGACTGACGACCCTGCGAGTTTTATGTGACGGTTGTTTGAAAGTACAACTGAAGCTCCTTGCCTAGTTTCATGATACGGGCATTTAATACGTGGTTTTCCTTTCTAGACCTTTAAGAGGAGGCTTATGCGTCCATAGGTTGTAGTAGATATACCTCACTTCTCAAAAAGTATTTTGTGCACTCTTTGCCCACTTTTTGTTTCCTTTTCAAAAAGCTTTCTAGATTCCTTCTTCCTGGTCTCTCCTCATTGTGTAAAACTTCTGTGGGGTGCACTTTGGGTACAAGGAAACTATAGTGTTTTGTCACTTATTACCAAAAGTTTTCATATTTTGAATAGTTGTTATCCCGAACTTGTTTCGTGTATCTTGAACCTTTATTTTCGTTCTAAATAAGCAATGCTTGGTGAAGAGTCGATATGTCGAAATTTTTATTGCCTATTCAAGTTGAGAGTTCTTTTTCTTGCTAAGAAGAAAGTCGAACTTTCAAAAGTTTTTTCGTCGGTGATTTGAAACTTCTCGAAATATAGAATGAATATGGGTTTCAGATTTTTCATTGTTATTCTTGAAAAGGTCAGGATCTTGGAATGGTTTTAATTTGATGGTATTCATTGTTGTCATTTGACTCTTGGCTGCTGACAAACTAATAACTTGTACCAAAATTAAATAAAGTCAACTTGTTGGAATACAGCTTTCTCAATATATATGAATACTTGTTGGCAGTTGTATTGTTACTGTCTATACTTGCACGGAACCCAAGTTCTATGCCTCAGAAATGCAACTTCTTTAGCTGTGAAGAATTTTTAAACTCGCAATGATCAGCGATTTTTTATTCTATTATTGCCTTTGAATATTTCCCAAATTATTACATTTTTGAATCAACAAATTTTTTCAAGAGTTTTCAACCCCAAAGTTTCGTCATTTTCCCTTCTACACCTTTGAAAGAAACAGTTAAGTCAAATGAAGTATAATCACTATCACACTAGGAAGTCTGGCTGTTGAGCAATATCTCAAGAAGTTTGTTGTTTGTCAACTATAACACAAGAAAAAATCAGTCGAAGCCTTTTTGAACGTTTTAAAGTTTAGAAACATATCCGAAATAGTTTGAGGAAGCTTTTACTTTTGATTCCAGATTGAAGTTACACTTCTTTCAGTTTAATAAACACCTAGTTCTCTTTAAATGTAAAGGACCATGGATCTTAATAATATTGACATGTCATTTCTTTCTCCATTATTATTGAGTTCTTTTTAAAAAATCGATCTCCACCGCAGTTTAGCCATGGCAGGATTCATTCTCAGTTCTGGTTTGGGCAGTGGTTCTTGTGGAAGGTTGGTTCTTGCTACTGGTGCAACAGTTATGTGTCGTTCCAAACCAATTGCTGCAGTTGCTCTCAAAATTTTTGGTAGAGTTCAAGGGGTCTGTTATAGAGCCTCTGCAGCGGAAAAGGCTGAGGAGTTGAACTTGGTTGGATGGGTAAGGAATAATAGAGACGGTACAGTGGAAGCAGAAGCTCAAGGGACCTGTGACAACTTGAAGCTTTTTGTAGAATGGTGTAAACAAGGTCCCGATATTGCAAAGGTTACAAAGGTTGAGGAACAGTGGAAAGATATAGATACACTAGATTACAGTAGTTTTCGTGTGGAAAGAACCGTCTAATATGGTATCAATCAAACTCTGAAGTCTTATCTTTGCTGTATCAATGTTCGTTGATCGTCGCTTCTGCGCCTTATCTTTTTAAGAGTTTTTGTTTCGTTTCCTCCTTCCGTTCGACTTCCCCTTTTATTTTTACTTGTGAGAGAAGTGGTGCATTTCCAAGCTGAAACTTAGGCTTCCTAGTTTTGACTTGCCTTGGACTCTTAATGTGTCTTTATGCAACTCTCTTACTTGATGTATCTTGAAAGTTTTTTGCTCGAAAGTTGCTTGGATTTTGTCGTGTTCATGACAATATAAAGCAATAGCAACCCAAATTTTTACATAATCTCTCTTTTGCTCTAGTACTGAATTATTACAATTGTTTCTAAAGAAATCCTTGATGCCGTCGAGAAACGGTATGATTTTGAACCTGCTTGGTAGCATTGTGCCATTTGAGCCAAGAACTTGTCCCTATATGTTTGAATTGTTTTTATACGTTAAACCTTGGCTCTCTGAAGGTCAAATTCTGCTCTCTCGTAAAAATTGTCTTTGAGATAACTTGCTGTCCTCCCAACAGTTGGAAATAAGAACTGATGAAAGTTTATTAAAAACATTTAACCACAAGTAATCCAACTTTTCACGAAACTTGTGTATTTGGAAAATATATTCATATATCATATTATCACATGTCACCTGTACAGTTCATTTCCAAACCGCTAAGTGACATGTGATTCTTGCTGGCTCAAGTCAAATTGTCCACATACATATAAACTTTTTTATGTCAAACAGCAAGGGCCTTTTTTACATACATTCAAATTTGTCAGCTCGCCTTTGTTTACTCAAAAGTAAAAAAGTTAAGACCGGCTCATTCGGAAGAAATTATCTAAAAGGAAATTTTTAGTCATTTTGTCTTTGGTTACGATTCTCCCATTTTCAAAGTAACTGAAACCGCTCTCGAACGAACTCCATTTTGGAAAATTCTAATTCGCCCGCTGTCTTGTCATTTCTTTCAAATTGAATTTTACTTGGGCTTAAAACTTGAGCCTATTTTAATGAATCAACTTGTAGAATCTCTGCTTCGAGCTCTCTAACTCATCGTTGCAAAAGTAGATATTCATCAATTTAGCCTATTAAGAAAATGCTCGGTATTCTACTCCATATGTTGTTTATGAAGACATGCCTGGCTTGTTTTCCTTTAAAAGTTTCGATTTCTCTTTATAAAAAGAAGCGCGCCCTAAAAGTATGTAATTTCTACTTCACTAGTATTACAATTCTTCTTTTAGTATCTTAGTACGTATTGAACTGTTTTTGTTTGAAACAAACGTCCAAATGTCAAATTTACATTATGGCATAATCTGGCTTTGTAAGGACTCGGATATATATATATTGTAAATATAGCAATCCTTCCAAAAGTAAAATTAAAAGTACTGTGCTTGAAATTTCGGTCATCTTTTTGAAAGATTTGAGGAATCCTTTGAGTACATTAGGGAAAGAGATCAAAAAATAGCAAGCCAAAAAAAGGAAGCCAGACCGTCAATTTTTAATGACTGAATGCTAATTTTTTGCTTTGTTGACTTTTTTGAAGGAAGTGAGGTGAATGCAAACGAAGACAAGCTATAGGAGGAAGACATGAAGCCTTTCTTCAGTCAAAGCATTGTTCATAATAGTATATCGTCCTCTTAAGCTAAATCACTTCATCTGAGTTTCAACAATGTTCGTTTTGTAGAAAATGCAGCTCTCGGAAACTTCGTAATGCTCCTCTCATTTTGTTTTACATATCTAACCTCACTCACGTGAAATATTTGCCTAGTCCGACAATGAAGAGAATCAGTTTATGAAACCAGTTAAGCCTCCTTCTTTCGTGAATATTCTTGTGTATGATGAGATGATCATTTTCTGAATTTTATATTGACTTCATACAGTTGTTGAATGATGACTGCATCATTACCAGCTCTCTACAACAAAATAAGAAGATATTATTACCTGTAGCATCTGCACTTTCAACATTTGTTGTAGCCACCTTACCCAATAGTTAGTTAAGTAAAATTAGTTGAATAAGGAAGCTTCATATTGGATACTTTGTATCCAGTTTAAATATTCCAAGTCTATCAAAAGCACAGCAAAAATTCAATGTGAATGAATATCGCAATGGAATGACATTGGAAACAGGAAAGCCAGACATTATTCTGCCATAGCAGTTGAAAGTACGTTGTCAGTGCTTCTGCAAATACCATACTTGGTAATTTCCTTCAGCAGTTAAATCACTGTTAAGCAAAGGCATCCTGTTTCCAAGCAAGAAACTTCTTCGAGTGTTCTTCTTTCCCATTTACATCAACGATCCGACGTTATGGGTTAAAAGTTGAAAAAACTATTCTCACCTCTTTACTCGAGTTACTTAAAATGCAACTTTATCTATGTACCGTGCCCAATATCACAAAGCTGACTTATCTACTGACGACAGAAATCATTGATTAGCATATCTAACAAAGAGTGGGTTTAAGCTTTTTGTGATTGGTGCATTTTCTAATATTCGATAATCTGCGATACAGTTTTTTGGCAAGATAGCTTCTTTGATAGTCATTTGTTATTTTCACATTAGACTACATTTCATCGGCTCATCCTTTCTGCTATCAACCTATCCCCAAAAAATTGAAACCAAATGTATTACTCCAAAACTGTAATTTCCTTCTCCATTTTCAGAGCTGAAAGTTTGAAAATCAGATAAGGGAGTAAGCTGTACTGCATGGGCCTTCACCACACCAATTCACTGTTGAGACTATTGGACTACTTTAATTTTGTAGTCTATAGCCTAGATTGCGCTATAATCGACAAGGTCCCATGCAGCATGAATCAAGTGGAATGCTTCGAAGATATGCTTTTTACAGTTTTCTTACGTGATGTGTGGACACGTGGCAGTTAAAACACTGCTGCCTGCTGGGTTGAAAAGGTCTTTGTCGAGGTCGATAAAAAACTCTTCCTAAGAGAAGTGAATCGTAAAATCTAGAGGATAAATGAGAGAATTTGAAAAGATAAATCATCAGTTCTTTGTCTTACTTACAAGACACAGTTTTGCAAAATCATGTTGTTCAATTCATTTGTGCTGAATTCAATATCCAGAAGATATCAGTTAATACTTGAAGAAATTTTATATCAGCTTTTCGAGAAATAAGTTTTGCCCTATGTGAGACGTCCCGTAAATGACAATTTCTACAAGTGACCTTAAGTATGTCGAGTATCAAGTGTTCACAAGCTAACATAGAAGTCTTTCCGACAAGTAGGGTCTGGCTGAAAACGATATCTTTATTCCGGCAACCTCAAGGAATAATTCAAGCAACGTCAATAATATCATGCCCTGCAAAGTTGTAATAAACATGAATCTTGATTTTGTTTCTCTAGCGGTGTTACGCGGTCGAACTCGTGCTATGTTTCTGTCCATCTCTATTGTTTTTCATCATCATCACAAGTTTGATATTTTACTCAAACATTGGCCAATGATAAACAATTGATTGCTGGCGCCTTCTTTTTATTGTAGTCGGTTTCCCACGATTATGACTGCTTGAAGTTTCTTGGTTGGGCGTTTTATATAATATTTATTGCTACGCATTGATGACGACAAACACACTTTTGAATTGCTGACTGTTTCATTTTCTGTAAAATGAATATTGATATCCACAGCATTGCCTATCTTTCCTCTAATACTCCATTATTTGCTTCCAAATGAGTACTACATTTTTGTTTATTACAGTTCACTTCTCTTCGTCGTTGCACTTAGATATTTCATAGAGGTACTTTGTCGAAAAATCATGGATACAGTAACTGTTCAAGTTTGAAAATCATTTCAAGCAAATTTTCTTTTTGTTATTAATAACAGATTTGATAAGTCTAGAAGAACCTTCATTTTTCCTAAGATGATAAAAAATACGAAAATAATTCGCCAGCAGCTATCACAATAGAAATTGTAACATTGTTAAGAGGACTTTGACAGGCCGAGTAATCGAATTTATGAAGATTAACAATTCTTAGAGTAACAAGAAGTGTACTCGGCGGTTAAATTGCGATGAAAAAGCGAAATAATAAAAGATGCAAAATTAAAATTTGGCTCGTTTGCAGACCACATTTGTGACAAGCGAGGATATTTATCTTTTACTAAGCAGCAAACAAGGAAACACAAACACATCGTATAACTATAGTTCACTTTCTGTCACATTAAACGAATTTTATTCTATTTAAGTTCTTTCAAAGCTCTTCTTTCTTTTCCTCTAAACTATCATTCGGCTTCGACACGATAAGCAACTCTCTTCGGAACTCAGCATATTGGACGTCCTTGTAAATTAAATTCTTCTCTTTGTACTCTGGAGTGAAAAACCAAGTGATAACAATACCTAGACAAGCTACGCCAGTATACACGAACTGCAAATTCCGAAGGCCAGTGTCTCCACCCCCAAGTCTTTGCTTCAACGGATTAAAAGCCTCGGTAGCTGCAATTCCTCCACATTTCCCTGCAGCCGAACAAAGACCCAACATGACCGCTCGAAACCGAGTAGGGAAAGTTTCTGCAGGAACTAAATAGATGAGTACTAAAATGAAAGGCTGAAACACGTAGAATAACGAGAAAACAATAACAAATGCAATGGGAATATTTCGTTATTGAAAAAAAACGCCTCCCATTATTGCACTGGTAACTACTAACATAAACCATCCAAACAGTAATAATTTTCTTCTACCGATTTTGTCGACAAGCAAAGCTGAGCTTACTGGACCAAGGATATAGAAGAAGCGTTGAATGAGAAGTATCCAAGAAGTTTTCAAAAGTCCTGCTCCAGTCACTTGACTCAATATCCTGGCTCCAAAAGTATCGTAGGTAAAAATGTACCAGTCAAACAAGAACCAATTTCCTGCACACGCAACAAATGGCTTCCAATAATTTCGACAGATATACTTCAAATCAAATTTGTCTAAAGACAGAAACCCTTCCCTTTTTCTCTGCAATTGAAATAACTGCGAATTTTGCATACGAAGACGAATAAAGAAAAGCCCAATACATGGAATGGCACCAAAGGCAAAAGAAATCCTCCAAATAGCTTGAATGTCTCCATATTGAAAGATTGCAATGAGAACAAGTCCAACAAGTTTTGGTAATACATTCGCACATAATTCCACAACATTCACAGAAAATCCAACTCTTCTTCCTCTGTGACGATAATTAACTTCTTCACTATCTTCTGTTGTATTTGGAATACCTGAGACATATTCTCCACCCATTCCAACACCAACTATTCCTCTAGATATTGCCATCATCCAAAATAAACCAATGAGTGATCCATTTGATCCCCACGAAACCGAAGATAGAGCTGCGCCAACGAATATCAGAGAGGTTGAAATTAACAGACATGCTTTTCGACCAAACCAATCAGAAAAAGCTCCAAAGAGTAACAAACCCACTAAGATACCGTAAATATCCGCATTTCCAATGGTTGTTTCATAAAAATTTGAGTAACTAGAGCCATAGTTATACGCCAGCACCAAATTAACGAGGTCAAAGACCTGAATATTATATCCTGTACTCAGAAAACCCAGCACAGTACCAAGGAAGTTCGCCCCTGTTACTGAGCGGTGTCTCTCCAGGTGAATTTCAGTCTCCTGGGTTAGATTGACTTCATCCATTTCTTTCTGATCGTGCATTGTAACTTGATAGTTGAAATTATCACTATTGTTTGTAATAGAACTCATCGCAATTTCAAGAAATATATTCAACCACTGACTAAATTGTTCTAGTAGCAGTCTTCATTTAATGCTTCAAACTGAAGAAGCGATCCCAACGGACAGGGAACGGTTGATTTCCGTTGTTATTTTGGTTCAATTGGACAATTCATCTCCATGTGTTACTCGAATCTTATCGCTGCTTTGAAATCATTCTTTTAAAGAAATTACTATGGAAGCAAGCGTTAAGAGGAATGGAGTGAGTTTGTAAGAAAGTATGTCTATGAAAAACCAGATTTGAAATAGAGTTTAGCATGGAGTTGCTTGGTCTGGAGGGTTGACTCGCCAAACGAAATCCTACAAAGGCCTGTATCAAGTTGTGGATATCAGTCCCCTTGAAGCCTGGCAAATACCCTAAATATAAATAGTGGCAGTACTTTCAGGGTCCTCATTCTTAAGGCGGTTACTTGTTACACTTTTTCCGGCAGTAATTCGTGATATCTTTATCTATTGTGATCTCCTACTATGCAAGATGATACACAAAATGAGGCTCATGTTTTCTTTTCCAGTATTCAAACTTACGGAGTCCTGGAAAAGCAAGATGTAGCCAATGGGAATAATGGGCTGTTTATCTTATTCGTGTTCAAGCTTATTTCTTCTTCTACCTATCTGTTTGCTCTTTGTATCCAGAATACGGCGAACTACAGTATCAGCGAGTTCATGTTTCAACGTATAGATGTTTATGAATTTAAGCAGACTTGTTTAATTTATGGAAAATAGAACATTAAGATTTATGACTTGTTATTTGTCGTTGGAACAATAGCTAGTAGTTTACCTCTTGACACTGCAGTTGTTTAAATGTTCGTGTCATTTCCAGTAAAACTCATGGACAAGTTGGGGATACAAATTTTAAGTTCAAAGACTAAGAAACACCAAAAGCTTCCAGAACTCGTATTGTCGCTGACTCTCCTATTGACAAGAACATACCCCATTTATGCGAAGTCAACTAACTCCGCGACGAACAACCTGAAGAAAATTTGATTCGATCAAAAGTTGAAGAAGTGTTGAATTTGTACTTCACGCAACTATTGCATTTGAAACCTAAAATAAACCACTGCAACTGTTGTACCAAATTTGTTGAAGAGTCCGTTTCGAAGTCTGATAAAAAAGTTCAATATAATATAATTTTAGCTAAACCACTTCCGAATATTTCAAAAATATTAAATTTCGAATATTTCTTTGATAATAAATAATTCTTAATAAAAGAGCAATTAGCTGATATTCCTAAGCATTTCTAGGAAGACATAAAACCACATTTCTTTTGGAATTGCAGCTCCCATGAGTCTCGCGGAGCTTGGTTTTTCTGCACCCGTTAATGGACGAGGGATGCAAAGCAGACTCTCCTTGAGTCCAAGCCCGACAGGGTAAGGCATAGTAGTTTGGTGGACAAGGAGAAAGAGCTTGATGCCTATCCTTCTACCTTTTTATTCCTTATTGGTGGACCGGAGCATGGTCATTGTTCTATTTATTACAATTTGAGTAATGAAAAAAAGGAATGACTCTCCATCACAAAAAGAAAGAGATAAACCATTTTTTACATTGTTTAAACGCCAAATACTTTCAAATGATAATTGTCCGAGGATTTAAAGCTCTAAAATCAACAAATGTCTTTGCCAATAAACTTTTCTACATCGGCTTCAGAATGAATGACCATCTTACAACTACCAGAAATAATAAAATCTCCAAAGCTACAATCAAAGCAATGAAAGAAGACTAGAATGATTCAAGTGACTTTTTTTCATTTTTCTCCGGTTGAGTAATGAAAACTATCATCGAACAATTGTAGAGTGATTAGTAAACATTAATCAAGAACTGGTTTCAAAAACTTGTGAGCTTCTTCCCAAATTTCATTCCATCGAATACCATAAAGACTCCATCGGCCTTTACAAGCAATACCCACAATCATCAAGTTCTTCTCATTCGTTCTTCCATGCAACTTGAATAATATATCTGGAATATGGAATGTTGAATGAAACGGAATATATATCTTTTCAAATTCTAACATTTCTTCCACTATCCTTTCCCATTCATCATTGCTTCCAAATGTCATTCTCTCTGTTCCTAATACAGCCCTGGTATAATGTATAGATTTCATATAATAAGCAGCAGATTCGGAAGAAAATTGGAAATTCATTTCATTCCAAACACAAGATAATTGACCAAGAGTAGAAAACATTGAGCTGTTTGTAGGACGCCGGAAAAAATGTAAATAAAACAGTGTAGCAATAAGACCTTCCAAAATTCGACATTTCGACTCATAAAAGAATTCCATAAATTGAGACTTGAGAGTCTGTAAAAGTAACCATTCTAAACGATCATCCTTTAAGCCTTGGTCAATATATTCAATCAGTAACTTGGGAATCAATACTTCATAGCGTTCGTTGCGGTCTGGTTCTATAACCAATCGACGATAGAGACACATATCTGTAACTAGATCAAACAAAAACACATCAGAATTTGAGCTTATTTGCACAGTTTCATCAAAATCAAATCGAATACGATACAAAGATAATAACGTAAGCATTCTTAACAAGCGCTTACGCTGCTCACTGAGACTTATCAGACGAGGTAAGAATGGCGCAACACAATAATTTGTTACTGAAAGATCATTCATTATGATCAAGAAGGTTTCCTTAGATAATAAGAAATTGTTGTTGGATGATTTATACAGCAAAAGGTAACTGATTGCTCGAACAAGTAAACCAGGAACACCACCAGTCAACTCCAACAACAATTCTGCAAGTTCACTAGTTGAGAAGTCTTCATGACAAAGAATTTCTGAAACCTTTGGGCTCCCAGGGAATAAAAAGGAAGAACTTTTCTCCAAATGTTCCATGATACTATGTTTCTCAAGCGGCGAAAGAGGAATAAATACTAACTGAACTCTTGAGACTGAAGCTACGTAATTATATATATTTAAGCCTTCACTTTTCCCAACAACTATAAAAAACAAGTCGGGTTCTTCGCACAATTGACTAATGATACCGAAAAAGTCGTTGTATGGTCGAACCACACCTTTGTCATTCTTCTCCAGTTCAAAGAAAGTTGCCTTTGTATCAAACACACCAAGTTCATCAAAAGCTACCAAAAGAAATTGATCGGAAGGAATGCCCAAAGTCTTCCGTAGCTCCGGAAATAGAAAGCTTGGATAGGGAGGAATGTGTCTGTAGGCTTCATCAGGCTTCATAAACGGTAGACCCATCTGATTACAAGCTGATCGGTACAATAAATAGTAGACTGCCCACTTTAGGTTGCGTTTTTCCTCGATGGGTCGAGTTGGCTTCATCTCCCTTAAATCACATAAAGCAACGAAGCCCTTTTTAATTTCTCCAAGAAACCTCTTCGGTTGGCCTTCTCAGACTCACAAACGTAATCGAGACCTATCAGTGCACTTTCACCCATATTATTCACCAGTTCCAAGTAACTTTGTACGAATTTCGTCTTCCCACTTCCGAAGAGGTGAGGACCAAAGGGTATGACTGGTTTGAAATGGCGATCAAGTTTACGGAGACTGTATAGCCTAAATAACTGCTTTGTTACTACGCCAACATCATTTTCTCGGTCTACTACAACCATGTCATATACGGTTTCTGGTTGAAACTCACTAGACATATCGTAAGCTATGAAGTAAACTATGCGACAGTAAAATACAACAATGATCGATCAATCTTCTTACAACAGTCCAATGCTCAAACTCTTGATTGCGACGAAAGTCTTTTGAAGCTTTGAACAAGTCTTGATAAGAACATGATTTGCCTTTTAGATAAAAACTATCTTTCTCATTTTTTTTGTAATAAAGAGTGGATATTGGTTTGTGTGCAATTGTATATAAAAACAACTTCTCTGAGCTATTAGAAAATAGACCAGCTGAGGAACTTTCAACCTAAGGCAACTATAAATAAAGTCTTTGACGAATACAAGACCTTGTATAAAACCCATTTATCAACACGTTGGGACACTCTCCTGAGTAGTAACAAGAAGCAAACAAGACCTGTCAAACTGTGACAGTGACTTTTACAACAATAGGCTTATTTTGATTTTCGTTGTTAGTACCATATTAAGACAATAATCCTCAGAGTGAAAGCAAATAAGTTGTAACCGAGTTTCAAACATACAAAAAAAAGTTTATTTGCTCTTCAAAACAAAGGGAAGGACTGAGTTAGAATCTATTGCCAACTTNAGAAACTGTTACGGATTCTATCAAGTAAATCTNATCCAAAATCCCAAAAAGTAGGATTATGAGAAACACCAAATGCTCTTTCAAGTCCATTCNATATTTCTTCGTCAATCNGCATTTGGACATCTCTTTCACAAAGAATAACAAGTTCACAGTTATCAGGTACTTTGAAAGAATCATTTCCAATAAACATTCCACTGGAGTAACAACTACTCTGATTACCCAACTCATTAGAAACATTCNATGCTNACTTTGTACTAACGATAATAAGCATACAATGATGATAACCCATTGCACTGGATAAGACTTGATCATATAAAGGATCTNAAAATTTCTTGGCTTCATCTNTAATATCTGACCAGCCAATTCCTTCCGACCTCCAACGTCCTTTACAAGCAACTCCAACAGTAAGAACTTTGGGTTCCACAGGAGATTGTAATTTGAATATAATATCAGGACTATGAGAAGTGGCGTCCAAAGGAATGTAAATAGTCTCTNAATAAAGTGTCTCTCGAATAATCTTATTCCATTCACTATTGGCAAAAGTTCTTCGACTCTTGTTCGATTCACTTCTTGTTTCTCTAGAACTAACAACAGACTTGATATAGTGAATAGGTGATATTGTACTCNTTGGAAGTTTCNTTTGTTTCCATATCGGAGACAATTGACACAACAATTCCCTCNACTCATTTCGATTCTTTGAAGACAACATCNAAACTNGTCGTAAAGCAACAATTCCTTCAAATACACGACACTTTGAATAGAAGAAACAATCTNCTGGTTCTNCATCAAGTGATTCGAGAAGTATCTTTTCCAAAGAAGAGATGGAAGGGTCGTTCTTGAAGATTCCAACAAATACTTTCGGAATAAGAACTTGAAAAGTATTCTCATCAATAGGATATCGATATAATCCCATCTCAGTTNCGACATCAAATAAAAAAGACTCCGAGGACAATATGTCATCTNCTTGAAACGGTATACGATAAAGAGCCATCNTCNAAAGTAAATCAAAAACACTTTTTCTATCCTCGTCCAAATTCNATATTCGTTCCACAAATGGTTCAGCACAAATTCTTCGGAAATCGTAGTCATTCNTACAAGTCNAACATTCTTCTTTCGATATAAAAGGCTGGTTTCTTGCTNTTNTATAATTCNAAAGCATATTCNCAGCACGAGTCNACAAACCAGGAACTCCACCTGTACATTCCAATAATGAGTCTGCCAATTCATTTNCTGAAAATGAAGAACTACATAAGACATTACAAACCGGAACTTGAGTAGGTGTCTTTNGAAGACTTTTTTCAAGGAATTCAACGATACTGGAAGCGTCCAAAGGTGATAAAGGGATAAAATGTAATATAACTCTTGATAGCCCAAAAGCCACATCATTCTTAATACTTNAACCCTTGCTTTTCCCAACAACAATAAAAAACAAGTCGGGTTCTTCGCACAATTGACTAATGATACCAAAAAAGTCATTGTACGGTCGAACCACACCTTTGTCATTCTTCTCCAGTTCAAAAAAAGTTGCCTTTGTATCAAACACACCAACTTCGTCAAATGCCAACAAAAGATATTGATCGGAAGTAATGCCCAAAGTCTTCCGTAGCTCTGGAATTNGAAAGCTTGGATAGAGAGGAATGTGTCTGTAGGCTTCATCAGGCTTCNTAAACGGTAGACCCATCTGATTACAAGCTGATAGGTACAATAAATAGTATACTGCCCACTTTNGGTTGCGTTCTTTCGGTTCTGTGGGCTTCNACCCCCTTNAATCCACATAAAGCAATGAAGCCCTTTTCNGCTTCTCCAAAAAGGTTCTGCTCGAAGGGTCCGAAGCAAAAGTCGACAGAAAAGTTTCACCAAACCTTTGCACCAACTCCAAATAGGTTCGGGCAAAGGTCGTTTTGCCCGAGCCAAAGAGATGGGGGGCAAATGGTATGGTCNAGCGATAGTTGCAACTACTTGTTNCACCCCTGAGTTGCTTTCGGCCTTTATGAAGATAATACAGTTCTTTTGTCNCTCGAACAACATCTCTTTCACGATCTNCTNCCACAACAGACTCGAAGTTGTCCACAGCTTCCCACTTTTCATCCAAAC